CGCCCCCACCACCTCCCCATCAATCACAATCGGCACTCCTCCACCCACATACGTGAATCTCCCCCCATTCGCCCCGGCTATGCTCAACCCATACGCCGCGCCACCAGGCTGAACCTGCGCCTTGTAAGCAGAAGTCGGAACGCGATGGCCAGCAGCGGTGAAGGCCTTGTTGATGGCGATGTCAATGGAGGTGAGTTTTGCGCCGGGAAGGCGGGTGAAGTGCAGAAGGTAGAGGGAGGCGTCTACTATGGCGATGTTCATGGGTACACCAATTTCTTTGGACTTGGCTTCGACGGCGGCGCAGGCGGCGAGGGCGGCGGCGTGGGTTAGGTGGGCGGGGCGGTGGATGGTGGAGATGGTTGGGTTGGTGGTGGTGTTGGTGGTAGTCGGTGTGAGAGCGGGCGTGGCGGGAGGTGTGGTTTCGTTGGGAGCCATCGCGGTCCGGATATGGATGTGGATGGCGGAAAGTTCTGCCGGTGTCCGGGTGCTTGAGCTTCTGGTCGTAGTGGTAGCACAGCAGCGACTGACTTGGCGCCGGATCCAGCTATCGGGATGACCAGCAAGTGCGTGAATGGCAAAGGGTTAGGTAGATGAGCCTGCTTGAAACTTTCGATGCCGCTTAGGCTGAGAGTGGCGTTTTATACAGCTGCAACTTCAGCAGAACGCTCTCGTCCAAGCCAAGGATAAGATCTTCCGGCACAGGAATCAGAACGGCTCGAACAAGTCTGGTCGTCCTCTTGACGTAGCTCCGGCAGATAGTTGAGGAGACCTCTGAAGTGCTGCTACCAACCTATTGAATAAGATTGAGATGCAGAATCCAGGGTCAGCGTGCCTGCCTCTGCAGTGTACCTCTGAATCCGGGGAAGGTAGCACGGGTTGATCCGGGTACCTTTGTATCGCAAGCGCGTGTAGCTGCAGGTGCGAAGTGATCCAGGGTGTTGCCACGAATGAGATGGGCAGAAGTTTCTGTTAGATCGTGTCGGGCTCGTTTGCGACAGCGTATACCGTGTTGAAATAGTATTGATGGCCGTGTAGTGGTGTAGAAGGAATGAAAGCTTTCCCCGCGTCATCATATGCCGTTGAGAAGATCGCCGGACAGACGGCCGGACGACTCCGTCTCCGCCCTTCTCCGCTCAGCGGATGGGTTCTTACAGGATCTTCCAACAGGACTGCGCGTCTCCAGTGTCATTGTCACTGTCTCGATTCCATTCTTTCGCGTCCCAGGCAGCAAGATACGGGTGAGATCAAGGAAGCGATGAAGAAAGGCTTATTATTATTCTCCCTAGAACTGTGTCATCTGGCAAGACGAGCATAGGTGTCGCCTCTTACCACACAGCTTCTACATCGATCAACCTGAGAATCTCCCAGTCATCCAGTCCTTGCCGGCTTTGAGAGACGCAGCACATGTCGTGCTACCTAGGTAGGTGGCCCGCCGTCACTCAACCATACCAAGGATATTCATCGACCTTGCCGTGTCGGCGCTCCAAGTCCGTCAACTTGACCATTAGCAGCTTCTGGTCCTCACTCAGCTGCTGCCACAAACCGTCCTCGACGGTGAATTTCACTGCAGCCAGCGAGCCGTCCTCCCATGCCGCCTTGTACGCCTGTCGCTGCTGTTGGCCTGCATCTATGCGGTATCTGAGCTCCTGGTCTAGTCGCTCACCCTCGAGTCTCTTGTTCTCGATCGCAGCTGCATCCAAGCCTAGAATATGGTATGCCTCGTCGAGAAACGATTGGCTGTGCTCACTACCAAACTTTTTGCGAACCCGTGTGGCTTCCTGCAGCAGCTTGAGGGCGTCAGGTATAAGCATTACTGCTTTGTCAAAGAAGAGTGCGTAAAGCGTGGCTGGCAACACCTTTGTTATATTTGACATCTTCCAGGTCCATAGGTAATCGCCCTGGTCGCGGCGGTTCGCGATGTCCTGAAATGTTTGGGTAAGCTGCTGACTTGAGTAGCCTGCCAGCATATATGCGACTATGATCAGGTCTGCATCGATCTGAGTGGAACGTGTCGGTGGGACCGATACCACCTCGTCGCTGAGTTTCGATTGTGCCGTCGCAACTTCGTCGCCATCCGTCGAATCTGGTGCTGTTGTCTCATTCGCCGCGCTCTGTTTCGAGAATTCGATCGCGCTCTGCTCTGTGGGAAGGTGATCGGCGTCCATCACGTCGGGTGTTGGCGCGACGTGGTCGCCACGAGTGCTCGCACTTCCGTCGCACGCGGCCCTTTAGGAGTCTATCAGGTCTTTCTGAGTGGCAACGGATAACGACGAGCTTGACCGCTGGAAGATGATGAAGTGTGCGTTGGGATTCTGCAAAGCGCAAACGCTCATTTTGTCACTTACGAATTCGTCGTTAGGGAATTGTCGGCAGCTCAAGTGAAAGAAAGCACTAATTGAGCGCTAGCTTCGTCTTTTCTATCTCTCCTCACGTGGAATGTTGATGCCATCTCCCACCTCCCTCAGTCCGAAGCTACATCAAGATTGAGACATTGATATTCAAAGCGCGGAGACAAGCTGTCGGTGCCTAAGATGACTCCTGAAGAGAGAAAAGCTGCGTTCGGGCTGCATGTTAGTAAGTTCTGCGCGGACCAATCTCAGCAAGGCTATCGGTCGCTAATTCAGACGTAGAGATCGACATCAAACCGGTCGAGGCGGACCTCACACCGGGAACGAGTGAGCTCAGGGAGGAGGATCTGGTGCCCCTCCATCATCCTCCCGGTGGAATGACTCCTGAGGAGAGAGAAGCCGCCTTTGGGCTGCATCGCAGTAAGTTCTGCATCCCATGCGCGCAGTCCATCGATTGCTAACATGTAACAGCACACGAGACCAAGCCGGTCAAGTTCAACCGCATAGCAGGCCCGAGCGAGCTCAGGGAGGAGGACTTGGTGCCTTTTCCTCGTCGTCGTTTTCCTGCGGCGGAGTTCAAGCATGGACCCAAGACCTACCAGCCGATCGATCCGGATAAAGTGTAATACCACCCGACCTTTGTCTCGCTCTCAGCTAACGTGATATGCAGTGTCAACGACCTCTTAGACACCCCGGAAGAGGCTTCTGCCGCTGGATACTGGTGGGCGAACGGCAAGGCGTGGTACACCCGACAAGGAGCTGTTAACTCCGCAACAGCGTCTTCCTCGCAGCGGCCTGTCCAGGTACTATCGCCCAAGCATCATGGGACGGACTACACGTCTCGAAACAAGCTGAGGGAGGACGAGGAGTATGAGCATGTCGGTCGTGGCGTCAAGGACGCATCGTCCAAGCTCAACGGCGACAAGACAAGTGAGGATGAGGACGACGAGGACTGGGACTACATCCAGCGCAAGGACACTTTTCCTCTGGATAAGAAGGGAGACTGGATTCTTGTCAAGGATGACATGCTGATGTAGGAACGCTGGGCGACAGACGGACTGAGACTACCTACGGGATACCAGATCGTGCGCAGCAATCGGGTCATGCGGAGTCTGGGACCAGGCACCACACAGGGCTATATGATACCATATCTGCGTTCATAGGAATGGAAGAGCGCCACGCTTTCTCGAACATTGATCGTGCTCGATGGCGTTACTCGCGCCTGGTGTCCGAGTCTTGCTCCGTCTCTAGCCCATCCCACCACATTGCAAACATAGTGCTTGACAGACACGGTATTACGCAGCATAGTAAGAAGGCTTCCTTCATGAACTACTCCTTCGTGAGACCATATGTCGTATTGTACTGTGGTTGTCTCAGGGGAGTGGTATGGAAGTTGTAGTAGCTAGCCGAGGCCAGTTTGTCACAGGTCCCACTTTTTCACTGCCCAAACCGGTTGAGCTGACTTGAGCCCCATGGAACTTGAATTGAAGGCTCTGATTCAGCTCACGCCCGCCCAGCTTTCAGGGCCTTGATCTCCGCTCGTGGGCAGCTGTATGTTATAGATTTATATATTTGTACCCCGAAAACTTGCGCCAACAACTGGTCTCCAGTTCACACGAATCTCGACCTTCGAGGTTCAGAACGGCCGCATGGCCCAATGGTGAGCACTTCCAACATCCTTCACGCTCTCTGCGACGCCTACTAACTGCTGAAAGGTCAAGGCGCTTGACTACGAGTCCAGCGGCAACGCTGTCAGAACAGTCAATCAAGAGATTCCGTAAGCATCCCAGCATCCCCTGAGCCCATAGCAGCGTTTAACGAGTTAACAGAGGTTCGAATCCTGGTGTGGTCGCATCTTTTTGCTTTTTTGCACATAGCAGATGCCGGGGGAAAGAGTGTGTCGGAAACCTGTTGGTGCGATGTGACTCAAAAGAGCGGTGAGAATCGAGTGAATGTGGGTGGAAAATCCAGAAGCCATAGGGAATTTTTCACTTTTGCAGCAATGCCAAGACTTGGGTTTCTTCCTTCCTCTATATCGTGCCATCTGCACCCGCAGTATGCTCCCTTCCTCTTCGACAAGCAAGAGTGCATGGGCGACGGACGCGACAAGAGCCACTCACGTTCAGGCTGATTTGCTCACGAAAGGTGGAATACGTGGTCGTCTAGATGCCTATAGCTGCATTGTCACCCTCCGAAGTCACACCCTCCCTGACTGAGAACATTGTAACCCGTTCCAAGACACCAGAGGCATATGCTGACCGAGCAGAAGTTGGTCGCTCCCGGTGAGATAGAAGTCACTGCAGCTTGTTCCCAGCAGACAGGCGAATACGTCCTCTAGCCAAATGTTTTCATTTGATCATTCTACCCAAAAGCCGCAGGGAGTTAACTCGCTAACGCAGCCTCCCAGAGGAGCAGGAACTGAGCTATGCAGCTCATGACGGTGGTCAAGCCTCGTAGCTTCGACTCTACGCTCTGTAATACGAGCGGCCCCATTTCCGCTGTTGCGATGGGAATGCCTCTGCCCACTCCTTGTGAGTCTCCGATGCCTAATCGAACAGATCACCCGCCGTCCGCCTCACCCTCCTCTCCCGAATCGGCTGATCGAACAACTCTACTCCAGCATTCTTGTTCGCACTGTACCGATCCGGGAACAGCTCTTTGACTTCCGCCCTGCCCTTGATACTCAATCCTCCACTACCCTGCCCCGCTGAACCCTTGATACTGAGACCATTACTAGGAAAGAGCTCCACCGGACCGCTCTTGGTTGAGTCCATCGAAAGTGAGGACTTGCGAGCGAAGCGTTCCGATAGATCCTCTGCATTCTTGGCGTCCATAGCTCTGCTTCTGCGGTGACCGGCTCGAGGACTCGTCTGAGCGGCGCTCATGAGGTGATCGCGCATGCGCTTAGCTGCTTGAACATTTGCTTCACGACTCTCTGCTGGCTTCGCTGTGTCCATGCGATCGGAATGAAGACCGCCGTCCGGACGATCTGATACGCCGAAGAGCTCTTTACCGGAGTTTGTGCGCGGAAATGGTGCTGGATCTCGCTTCGTGTACGGTGGGAGCCGATCACTTCGGTCTCGATACCCTTTGCTCTTCTTGAGTCTACCATCATCTTCTGAATCCGAGAGCTCGATCTCGTCACTGTTCCGCTGGCCAGGACTAGCACTCCGCCTCCGTGACCGACCAGCGAACAGGTCCCGACCACGCGCATTAGGCTCTGGCGCATCATCATACATGCTCGCAGCGAAGTCATTCATGGTATCGTCGTTGCCTCTCCGTCTCCTCCGATGCTCTCGATCATCAAATCTCCGCCGCTCATACTCGCCAATATCGCGCCTTCTCGGTCTGTTGTTGGCAAACTCGCCCCGCATGCGCTCTCCTGGGTCTTGATCGGGGTTCATGAGGTAGTATCGACTTGCCTCGCGAGCGTTCTTCTTCTTCCGATCGCCAACTTGAGCGATGCGGACTGTGAGCATGCTGCTAGGTCTGGTGGAGAGGGCCTTTGCGGTGCGCAATTCGAGTGGTAAGGCTATAATTTCGTCGATCGTGATAGGGTTCATAGTGAGCTTGGACAGGCCTTCTCGTGCTAGCTCTTTGCTCTTGAAGACGATATTGGCGGAAGTGTCGTCAATCCATTGGACTCGAACCTCTGCTTCTGGGAAGTTATCGTGGATGAACGCTTCGATCTCGGTGGTATGCATGTCGTCGAGACCTCTGATATGTACTCGATCCCACTGTGGCTCGAGCATGGGATCTTCAGTGTATATCGCTGGTATGACATTCGTGGTAGACTCTGTGACAGGCGCATTGCTGGGCTGGAATGACGGCTCTTCGCCCTCCTGTGTACATATGTTAGATGAGATGGAGATGAACGCGCGGTCGGACTCGTACTTCGAGTTCGAACTCTTCGTTCATGGCGGTGCCTTCTTCGCCGAGGTCGACGTCAATGTCGATATCCATGATGTCGTCCATCGCGGCGGTGCTGGACATGGTGAGTGCCATGACTGGCGGGATATGGCTGGTTTGGGGCCAGTACGATGTCAGGATTCTATGATTGAGCTACTGGAGGCGGATCGAATAGTACGTGGTCTTTCAGGACCGGAGCAGGCAGAACAGCTCGTCGGCAAGCGTCGTAAATTCGCTCTAAGATATTTGGGATGTGATATAGGTGGTTGGGTGGTCAACTCAGTCACGGTGAATTTGGCTCCGTCACTGAAGCATTCGCGTCTGTTCACCCCGCCCTACACATCTTCACTGCCAGATACGAGATACATCAACCTTCTGGCAAAGTGAGACTGCTTTGAGCTGTCCGACTCGGGCTCTTTGTTGACGGGACACTAGTCGCCTCTTGAAATCCGGCATCGTTGCAGACTGGTCTGTCTAACAACACTTCATGGTCGTTTGAGAAAGATACCACGGCTGAACCCCGGCCAGAATTCCCACGCGGAGTCGCGTTTCTTGACCTCTCCGCATTTTGACGTCGTCACCACCCGAAACCCACAGCACATCATGCCATGAGAAACCCCCTCGACTTCTTCCGTAGCTCAGCGCCGAAGGAGGAAGACCCATCGACCAATCCACCCAAATCCCTCACTGAGCAGGCGGCCCAGGCAACTCAAGAAGCCGCCGAGCGTCTACATCGTCAACTGACGACCACAGCCGATGGCGTGAGCAATAACAACGCCTTCGCGCAACCTGAGACCTACGTTGCCGCTGTAGTACTCACCACTGCAGCGCTCGTGCTCCGCCGCTTCTACAAGTCTCACCTTCGTCGAATCCCACAGGCCACCGACATCCCAGCCCGCTTCTTACGCTCCCGCTCCATCTTCGGCCGTGTAGCCTCAGTCGGCGACGGCGACAACTTCCGTTTGTATCACACGCCCGGCGGCTTGTTGACTGGCTGGGGCATCCTCCCTTGGCGACGCGTACCCACCGCGAAGAAGGCGCTGCAGAATCAGACTATTCACGTGCGGCTAGCGGGCATTGATGCGCCTGAGCTGCCGCATTTTGGCCGCCCCGAGCAGCCCTATGCACAAGACGCGCTGAACTGGTTGACGGGGTACATTGGGGAGAGGAGAGTCAGGGCATATGTGTACAAGCAGGATCAGTATTCGAGAGTCGTCGCAACCGTATTCGTCCGCAAATGGCTACTAAGGAGGGACGTGGGTCTGCAGATGTTGCGGGAGGGGTTCGCTACTGTCTACGAAGCGAATACGGGAGCTGAGTTTGGGACAAAGCAAACCGAGGAGAAATATCGGAAAGCAGAGCAGTGGGCGAAATTCAGGCGGAAGGGGTTGTGGGCTGGGAGGAAGGATGCTGGGTTCGAGACACCGGGCGAGTATAAGAAGCGGTTTGGGAGTGGGAGTCCGGTGTAGATGTAGTGCAGTGGACTGCCGATCGCATACATAGAAGAAGCGCATCTCGGTTTGAGGTTTCTCAACGTTCTCACACGAGGCAAAAGCTAATTACCCGTGTAGCGTAAAACAAATCCATCTTCTGAGGTGCGTAAGTTGCATAACGGTAACTGTTGATGACGCCACACATCCCGATCAAAAAGAATGCGTGCAAATCGTGAGCGTCATGACGACCCACAGCTCGAATGGCGAGGAGTTGCTGATTCGGCAATGCAAAGAGGAGATCATTTGTCGCGGCGCCTTTGGGTACCATGTGTGCATACCACTTCAATGGTTCATACCGATGACTTCGACTCTTTTCAGGGTTCGGGCAATATGCATACCAACTGTCATTCGGGTCAGCACCGGAGTCCGGGCCCATAACCCCGCGCAGCGTCCAAGAACTGCTCGGATATGGCCTCCAAAACTTGCGCGAATATGCGGCGCGTGGCCCTTCGAAGACTGACACCTCCTCGGCCAAGTCCCAACGTAACAGCCTCTTACTAAAAGAGACGTAGAGCGGGATCGAAGATTTTGTTCAGGAAAGACTGGTATGTGCGATTCGAGAGGCACGAAGTCGCTGGAAAGCGAAAAGTGCTGCAAGTCCAGAGCCCAGGCTGGCAGTCCCGCGGTGCGGGCTTCCGGCTCAGGGCACCACAGTAGGGAGTTGCAGTGAGACATGATGTAACGAGAGAGATAGAGGCATACTTCCTGCAGAGACGCCGTATAGTCGATTTCGAAATCCGCGAAAGCATTGCTGCACAGGTTGTTTATCATGCCGATTATTCCGAAGATGATATCTCTTGGATCTGTTGCCTCTCGCGTCGCTGCAAGCCGCAGTGTATCGAGGAAGAGCCACATTGGTGTTCGGCCCGGTGTGCCTATGATAGCCCTAGCACTGACTCGAGGTTCCTGTGCTTGTGGCTTGTTCATGAGGGCTAACCAGGAAATATCTTGTTCAAGGTAAAAAAGCAATTGAATTTGGTTCCACGGCAGAGACGGTTCCTTTGTCATGGCCCTCCTCATATTCTCCATCGTGATATTGATCGGGAGCGAATCGTGACTAGACCTCCTCATGAACTGTATTGGAAAGTTTTGAGTAAATTCTCCAGGCTCGAAAGAGAGGTGACCACATCTGAAAACACATTTTCTCGCTGCATAGCATTCTTGCAGGATCCAGAGGCGGCTCCAGAATTGTCTTTGCTCAAGGGTCACAAGTACGGCTTCACGGCTGTCGTGATCGGGATCAGGCAAGCCAAGCCATGCAACGACTTCTTTGGCCTTGGCAAAGATGAGCAGCATCATCTGAACTTGGCTCGCTTTTTCGATTGCGTTTTCTTGGTCGATACAAACAGCATCACACCAAATCCATATCGGGGCGGTCTCCAGACGTAGATGTCTTAATGCATCAGCCAGTGATGGAGGCACGAACAACTTCTTGTTATTGCAGAAGACGACGGCTGTCCTTTCTGGCCAGCCCCAGGAGTAACTCAAAGCGTTGTACTTGACTGGCTGAGGCTCGCTCACGATGCCCATGCCCTCAACGAAGAGCAACTCTGCTGTGTGCAAGTCGCAACGGAGGGATGCGTTGAAGGCTCCTGGGAGTACTTTGACGAGTCTGGTCTGATACGAGTTGATCGGTTGATATTTGTAGAGGCCGGGCTCCTCCTTGCCGATGGCAGCAACGTTGGCTGAAGTGTCGCTCGTGTTGGGATCCATCGGTGACACTTTTCAATCTGATGTCCCCATTCCGGTCGATAGGATCGGTGGTCCGGTCGTAGAACCGAATGTTGTCGTTAGGGTTCTATGAAGCAATCATAGCTAGTGGCAGCCTGTGCTTTGCCAGGTATTCGTTGTTGAGCGAGTCTCGACGCCTAGTTAGAGGGCGGAGCGGTACGCCATCTATCATTGGCTGAGGTTTGACACCCCAGACTTACCAATCGCTTGCTAGCATGCAGCACCTCTTTTATCTCTTGTAAGTCATGTCATTGTAGTGAGCATCGGAAGTGCACAACTAGGTACATTATGGGTGCCTCGTGAAGTGAGAAGCAGCAAAGAAGAGATCGCGTAGAATCTGAAAAGAGCACGAACAGGAAAGAACTCCTTGGCGAAAGTGTGACGCAACTCGGATACCTTCTCACAGAGCACTTCTGCAGCTTCTCAAACACCGTACAACTTTGACTACATCTCTGGTAGTCGATGTCAGCCTCGCAGTTAGCGTCCTTCTGCAATCACGTGTCGTCACCCGCATCCCAGCGCTGGCGAAAGTCTGATAAAACCGACATATCGGACAAAAGGCGGCACAGCTGGCAATTGGTTGGAAGACTCATTCGGTGGCTCTAGATGCGTCAACACCGGGTCGGATGCAGATTGTTCTGTCCAGCATCAAGTCCGTGACGCTGCATCGTCAGACGAAGTCTCACTATTGCGTCGAGCTAAGTCATCAGTTCAGGCTCACGCTGAGGTAGACTGCCAGTTGAGAAGGCATTGTTGACGCGTGTTCGCTGTCGTTGGCGCAAGCCGCGGTGGCTGCCTTGGACAGCACACAACATTCGGACCGTGGTTCTCAGCCTAGGTCACACGTTAGTGCTATTCCAGACCCTCGATAGTACCCTGCCTTCGGTAAGGTGTTTGTCGTTCCTAGTATAATGGGAATAGCAGACAGATCACTAAACATGACTCTGTTCGGGCCATATCGCTGGACTGGTCCGTACTGGTCGTGCAATCTTTTCCTGGCAATCGAGAACCTTTCACGCTTGTTCATCTGTCGCATCAGCCATAAGTTCGTCCATGCTGCTAGTCGCGGTCCAGGTATGTGTCTCAACTTCCAATACTGCACAACAGCCTTGCAGAGTGCAACAGCGACGACTACTGGAATCAGCAGTAGAAGTAACGGTGGCATCTTCCCTTAAGTATCACAACAAATAACGTTTCTTCGAGCGAAGCAAGAGCGGTCTACTGTTGTATTTGCCCGCTCAAATCATGAGTAACACCTTTTGTAGCCATAATTGGCGGAGACGGTATGCTACATCACGGTGTCAGCCTGAACTATCGCTTCTTTATGTGCGCGAAGGACATCTATTCGGTTCAGATGGCTCACCGTGCTGTATTCCAAATGACAAGAGTGTCAGATATGCTTCAACTCCATCATCAAAACATAGCTTGAACCTATGAGGAGTTCGCTGCCGTACGGGATTAGGTTCGCATCTACACACTCTACCTCGGGAAGATGCTGGCTCTCCAGGATTACATAAGGTGAGCTTCCGGTGCTTCATCCGGGAGTACGGCGTCCTCATATATCATGTCCGTGTGTACAACGAGGAAGATGAGGGCTTGTAGGCTGGGCTAGTCAGAACCTGCGGCATGACTGTACTCCTTTACTGGGCATGAGCCTCATCCTAGTCACGCGACTTCGAGTTACCATACCCGCATGCAAAGCTCCTTGCGTTCAAACGTCCGAGACCATAAAGAGCTGCTTCAGTGGCATGTTGAAACCTCGTCCTTACAGACTTCCATACGCTCTCGAGGTGCCGATACGATGACGGACCACCGATACCCAGGTCCGAAGATCGGCGCCGGCTGGGTGAGCATGATCGAACCTGAAGTGGGCTACGAAAGCGCCTTCAATCGCTGGTACTCTGATGACCACTTCTATGCTGGGGGCATGTGCCTGCCTGGGATCTTCGCGGGCCGTCGTTGGGTAGCTACCAAAGAGCTACGAGCCCTCAGATACTCAGACGACCAGGAGCTCAGGGATTTTGGCTGCTACTTGCACACCAACCTCTTCAGTAGTCACCAATTGGATGATGTGAATAATGCTCTGAGTACGACGTTGCAGCATCTGGGCAAGGAAGGGCGAATGTATCCCACTGAGATTCCTCGACGACATTTGTACACGGCGATTTGTCCTTACAGTACCGTTGTGTATCGAGAAGGAAATGACGACGGACCTCACGATGTTCATGCGCTCGACTACCCTTTCCAAGGTCTTGTATTGGAGATCATTGACGCGGAATCAAACGACGAGCGACCGGACTTACTAAAGTGGCTGACCGAGCACTTTATTCTGGCCAAGCTCAAACAGAGCTCTGCGCTTATGTGTCTTGTATTCGTGCATGCCGATCTCCCGGACATCATCAAGTCGCCAAGGCTTCCAGCCAAATATCCTACAGGAGATTCCCGAGTTGTGCTTCTTTGGTTTCTGGAAAGTGATCCGCGGTCATGTTGGCGGAGGGACTTTGCTGATCATAACGAAGCAATCGATGGGTCTGGCAAAGGTAGATTAATACTTACTGCACCTTTCATCCCGACGATACCTGGTACGAATCGGTACGTTGATGAACTGCGGTAACAAGTCAGTGTTCGGATTTCCGCTGGATTGAGAATCAGCCGGAAATTCGGTCTCGGCGCAGAAGAGCAACGGACGTCGTGCGTCGTGGAATATGTGCTGAAAGCTTTCGTTCGTGGAGACTCGAGGAGTTCTACCAACAAGTGTCACTGTGTATGCTTGAGCTCCCTGGACCAATTTCAGGACTGTCCTGGACGCCGGCTATGCGTGAGAAAGAGCAAATACCAATCGATGAGTTCCGATAAAGACGTTGGCGGTGAAGACTAAGTAGTGTATTTGATCGTGATGGCATACAGCTCCCGGAGCGGTCTCGTTGATGAGCAGATCAGCTGTATGCAGTTTGCATAAGAGTGGCGCACCGAAGCCTCCTGGCCATGCCTTGACGTGCCTGGTTTGATGCAACTTGACTGGAAGATATATATGTAGGTGCTGCGTCCCACATCGTCGACGGCTTCGCTATTGGCAGACATATCATCTCTACCACGATTTGTAGTTGCATCGTCTCAGCGAATGTGTAATGGTGCGTGAGCGGCTGATGCCATAGTGAGATGCTGCCTCGCGCTGGTAAAACATTCGATCATCATCCAGAGGTATCGGCGGTCCACACCATGTTGGACTGCATCGATGAGAAAGCCTCGACGCCCGGACTCTTCGTCAGAGGGGCACATGATCCCTCATTGGCTGAGCTCCAGAGACTCCAGACACCGCAATCGCTTGCCGATAAACCGCCGTAGCTCTGCCTGTGTTCAAGCAGTATCGACATGGTGTGCTCCGAATGGCACATACTTCAGAAAGAGGGAGCTGCTATGTACTCAAGCCTGGGTAGCGCTGGCAGGAGCAAAGGAGATGCACAATGGAAGGCACGACCAAAAAAGAATTCCTTGGCGCCTGCCCGAGACTTTGGCTTCCTCATCACTGCACAATCTTGACTACATTTCTAATATCTGATGCCAGGCTGGCAGTTGGCGTCCTTCTGCAACCATGAGTCGCCACGCGCTTCCGAGCGCTACTCGAAAACCCGACGAAAGGCGGCACAGATTCCAATCGAAAGGAGATTCGGTGGCCCTCGACACATCAATGCGGCTCGAATGCCAACCTTTTGATTCAGAATCAAGATCGTGACTCAGCATCGCTAAAATGTCGCACTGCAGGCCCCAGCGTTGACACTTTTCCATACCCATGTCGAACAACATGCAAATTGAGCATGGTATTGTTCACCGACGCTGCACAGCCCGTACGCCCGTACCTGAGGCGCCTTAGCCGGCAACTTCCGCATAGTATGCCTAAAATCTTGGTGCTCTCCAGCATATACTCATCGTCGGCATATTCGGTGTCGCTCAGGCACATCATGTTAGACACACAAAGGAAGCCATGGCGCCGAGACGAGCGATACATGTTTGCTTGCCATGCCACAACCGGAAGATCAAATGTGATGTTGATACTACTCATCCATGCACCAAGTGTCTAGAGCTAGGTGAGGCATGTACACTGCGGCCAAGAAAAGCATACAGGTTGCGTTGACGATACACATGCTGAAGTCCATCTGACAATTCGTAGCACGAGACGACCCCGACTGCCAGAGCACAGCGAAAGCCCGTCCACCACATCTCTCGAACCGGATCTGGAAGACAGCCTCACCACGGCTGAGCAGGCAGGCTTTGTCGCCAATGTCGTGGCGAACCCCACGGAAACATGCAAGCCCTTCTTCATTGGAACCAGTGGTTATGGTGATCTTCTTCGCACTATCACGCCTGCCAAGCAAGTCCACTTCTCAGTGCCTGTTGAGATGGAAAACTCGTTGGATCCAGAAGATCTTGCCTACCTGCAGATCAAAGGCTGCTTCTCGATCCCAGAACATTGCGAAGTCCTTCTCAAAGCCTACTTTGACTTCGTCCATCCTCTGTTCCCAATCCTGGATGGCACTGGGTTCTGCAGGGAGTACAACGAGGGTGGCTCAGAAAAAACCAATCTTCTGCTCTTATGGAGCATGCTTTCCGTGGCAGCAAGCTACGTACCTGCGTATGCCAGGCGGTCCATCAAAGAACAATTCGTCAGTCGTGCGAGGTTACTGTTTCATCTGGCTCCAGAGAACAACAAAATGGTTGTAATCCAGTCCGCTCTTCTCATTAGTTTCTGGTTTACCGAGGCCCAGGATATCAAACAGTCGTGGTTCTGGACGGGAATTGCATTCTCGGTCGCTCAATCCTGCGGCTTGCATCTCGATGACACGTCTTGCTCAACCGGGGAAAGAGGAGTGAGACGGAATCTGTGGCGGGCATGCATGCTTCGGGACGTGTGGTTGTCGTACACAATGGGCCGACCTTTGCGTCTAAACGTGGATGACGGCAATATTCCCGATGATTTCACGACCAAGGACGCCGTTCAGTCCATGGCCATTCCTACCGCGAACGACCAGCAGTACACACCCGAAGAGAGCACATCACTTCAAAACCTGTGGCGGAAACTTATACAGGTCAGCTCTCTTCTTCGCGAGTTTCTGAGCAGCAACACAACTAAGACCGATGCCGTCAAAATCATGAGGAAGATGCGCCACTGCACTTCCACAGTATCTGACAACACGTCTCTCCTAATCACCATCGCCGATCGGCACTTCCAGCTCTACCTCAACGCCGCCTTGATCGCAGTCTACCGCCGCGCCGACCGCTATGAGGACGCCCGCACCGCCGCTGCCGCTGTCACTTCTATCATGCGCCTTTTCATGGCAGACTCAACGATCCAGTACGTCGCTGCTCCGACCATACCGTTGGTCGTGCCTTCAATACTCATCTATCTTGAAGAGCTGAAGAGGCCCGTGACCTTGACGGAGACGGCAAAAACGAGTAATGTCGTCCAAGAATACAAGGCTTTTCTAGAGGCCATCGAGGAGAATTATCCCGCTGCGTCGATTCTAAAGAGGCTCATTGTGGCGGCCGCGGACCAGATATCACGGCTTCGGCTGGCGAGAGGGCCAAATCCTGCAGGCGGAAATCTCAAGCAATCGTACGACTTCTCGTCGGGCAACTCGACGGATACTCGCTCCGAGTCGCCATCACTACCTAGAGGACATTGGACAGCCGATCACAACGCTGACATCGCCCTTGACTTTACATCTGGAGAAAGAAGTCAGGACTTCGCGGACGTGAATTGGGGTGCCTCGACGTGGATGCAGCAGCTTCACAGGCTTACAAATGATGGGTGGGACTGGACGGGGACGGCTGGGGGATTGATGGCGCCGACAGGGCTATATTCGACTCAAATAGACCTGACTGAGAATGCGCGGTAAGTTTAGCCAGAACACGGAATGAGAGGCTTCGCGCAAGGAATCAGGAGATTGCCGCGTTACTGTCCCACGAAAAGGTCGCGTGCCTGTTGGATACCTCAATCGAATGACCCGTATGCTTGCTCCTCTTGCTGCAGAATTTGATGGCAACCCGGGTACTCAACTGCTGGCACGACTGTGCAGCAGTCGACACCAGACGAGCGATTTAAGCAGACAAATGGCTAAACCATCTGGTCGTCCGGTCTTGCACAGGGTGACGTTATCTACATGTTTCGAAAATGAATTGCAGGGAGAACGTGACATTTGCAATGACATTGTCTACATCCACGACTCGTGGCTGCAGCGACCGCTCGAGCCCTTTCGACGGCGTGGTCGCTCGGTTGCATTCTGCCCTCGGATGACACCTGATCGCCTCACCCAGCGCCTACGAATTTAAGTGTCCCAGGTTGAAATACTCAACGGAAGCAACGTCAAATCCTGCACTCTTATCACACGCGGCTCTACCACATGTAACGCGTCTCCTCTCTGCCGCTAATGCGCAATGACTGCGCAGAGACGCACGCACATGATACATTCGAACAGAGCTGGCGCAGTGGCGTGATGGCCAGCTCGTCAGCCGGTCTCGTCAGAACGCAAGGGGTCTCGTCATCCGGTTTGGTGAAAGCTGCTCTGTCATATTCTAGTCATCCGGCGTCATCTAACGCTGTCCCAACCCTCAATGGTTCCTTCCTGCCGCTACTTTACCCGCGCTTCATGTCTTTTTCTCTCCTCTCAATGCCTGTGGTTCGCCTACTAGCGTGTCCTGATGACCGATTCGTGCTCTGAGCTGAAGTTCCAGCTATAGTGGTAGCAGCCTTGCTCACTGATGACGAACGATGAGAGTCACGCGCATGCGAGGCCGCGGCACAGTGGATGCAAGAATGATCGATATGGCCATCGTGCTTGATTTGGGTATCTACGATTTATGCTTCTTCTTCTCCCTCCTGTCCCTATCCTTGTCTTTATGGCGTGCCTTGTCCTTTTCCCGCCCATGGTCTTTATTACCGTTCGACTTCCCATGATTCTTCTCTCCTCTCCCCGCGTCCTTGCTATCTCGTTTCCGCTTCTGTCCCGCGGACTTTTCTGCTGCTGCCCACGCTTCGTCGTCGTCGGGTTTGGCTGTGCCATTTGCTTCGTATTTGTCGAGGGGTAGTGCGTCGATTAGCTCTCGCTGCCGCCGTCGAAGGTCTGTGTCTTCCTCTCGATCATTGTCTTGGTCGTCGTCCGCGTCTACCAAGGTGGGTCTGCCAGGCAGAATTTTGTCTGACACGCGGTATTTGTTTACGTCCACCGTTGGCTCAGCTGTCGACTCTGCTGCTGCTGTGGTGTTGCCGTTTGTGGCAGCATCTGTATGCAGCACGTCACTCTTCCTGCCTGGCAGCGACGCCTCGACCGCCTCCTTCTGCATCGCAGTGAACACGACAGTGAACTTCCGAATAACCTTGACGAAGATCGCAAGTAGTTGGGAGGACTGCACGCCAAGCTCGGTCGCGATGTCGGAGATATCCTTTCGTTGTAGGCCGATAGCAAGCAGTATTGATTGCTGAACGCCAGAAAGTGAGACTTGAGGGACACGGGACGTGAAGAACAGGAAAGCGAGACGTGGGAGGAGATCGAGTATGACATGGTGGTCAAGCATGTTGGCGGCGTATGAGTTCAAGCGGGCCAGGTCGAAAGGGGTGAATGTTGATGAGAGGTCCGTGTTTGTGAATGGTCTGGTCGAGATCGTAGTCTGCTGGGATTTTGAGGGTGCGGTGGCGGACTCCGAGATCGAGAGAGACTGCACGGCGGGAAAAGCGCGGAACTGGAAGGAGAGAAGCTCAAGGAAGCGCGTGTGGAAGTCCAGAGCGTATGTTGAGAGCCAGGCTGGGTCCGTATTTGAGGAAGCTGGCGTGGCCAGTGGCCGCAGCATCACGCAGGTGTGCTCGCCGGTGAGGTCGTTGGGTGTTTGGCGGAGGTAGACGGGGGCGAAGGAGGCGCGTTTCCAGAACTTGTGGAGTTGTTGGGTCAGACCGTAAGATACGCCCAAGTAGTCGAGCTGGTCGGGTGTCCTCTCAGAGAGCTTGCTGAAGAGAGGTGGCATGCTGTTGATGTTGCGGACCTGGATGTCGTCGGCGAGGAGGCTGGTGGACTGCAGCTCTTCATCGGTCACGCGAGCCATGTGCTCGGTGTTGTTTGGTGCGGGCAGTGATGAGGGCTCTGCTAGGGACGTGAATTTGCCTTCGTAGAAGTCGGTGAGGAGCTGGAGTGCTCTTGAGCCGTAGCCCATGTTGATGTACTCTGGATTTGTGGCGATTCGCACGACTCGACTGCCGGATAGACTGGCAAATTCGTGGTCTTGAAATTGTTGGCTGACGAGCCACGGGATGAGGTCGCCGCCAGCGCGTTGTCCACGCGACAGGCTGTTCAAGACTGATTGGCGACTTATCCGTCCTTCCAGCGCTACTTGCAGGACGCATAGCGGTTCTGGTAGCGAGGTGGCGTCTTCTTTTATCGGAGGTATCAGCACAAACAGCTGATGTGCGGGAGCGTCTGACATAAGCTGAAGGTCATTCGGTGAGTTCTTGTAGTGTGACGCCACATATAGCGCCATCATTTGTTGCAAGAACTTCTCGGATACAGGATGAAATGAGAAGAGTGTGTCTCGATTGACATGCACTAGTTCGCACGTCGACGGATGAGGTGTTCCTTGCGTGTTCATTCTCGCCTTTGGCAACGTTGCGTCTAGGCACAGCACCTTGTTCAGCCACTTCTCAACAGCATCGCCCGGTGCATATCGGATTGGCTCAGACAAGGTAATTTCTCGTAATGATCGGCCGCCAGTGTGTGACTTCTCCTCCTTTGAAGCCTTGCCTGTCGACTTATCTGCAATCTCGGTGTCATCGCCGTTGGCACGCGAAGCGCCTCGAGACTGGTCTCGTAGCTGTTGGATGAGCTTCAGGGACAGTGATCGACCAGTGCCTTCGTAGCCATTGATGGTGGAGGCCATAAATACCAGGTACGGTCCCATCAGCTTCCGGACTAGCGGTAAAGGTATCGCAGCAGCCTCATCGATGACAACAAGTTCTGCCTGACCGAGAACATGCGCATCTTGTGGCTGAATGTACTGGATGGTCTGACGGTGCTGTCGGTGGACGTTTATCCTCACAATGGCCTTGTTGTAGTCTGGATTTGTGGATTGGAGGAGCGTATAGTCGGCGTGATCCGCATATTCGAGGGCATCGAAACCCTTGACAACGAATTCGAAGAAGGTCTTCAAATTCTCCGGACTTGGTGACGTGACGAAGATATTGCTGTAGCCGTGTGCTATGGCTGTTGCAACCGCCACTCCCAGTGCTGCAGACTTGCCTCGCCCTCTTGCTGCTGTCAAAGTTACTGTGCTTCTAAGCGTCTTCTCTGATATTGCCTCGACGAATTTCAGCAGAGCCTCTGCTTGATCGACAGTCCTTGCCAGCTGTATCAGACTGCCGACAGGCTTCCGTTCTGCATGCTGCTCCTTGATGTCCTTCAGCTGCTTCCTTCGAGGCTGTGCATCCTCGCTCTCCGACACTACCGGAGGAAGCGGCTCGACATTCTTGCCGCCCGATATTGGCAGCACATTCAATTCGTCGTCCACGACCAGACAAGACTCGCAGCTGCCCAAAGATAATATGAATCGCTCGTTGAACCTTGCCACGACATCGTCGTGTGCTTCTGTTCGGTACCTCGAATGGACGTCCATTGACATGGTGTATAGTTGCTTCAGACTCTTCATGCCCTTCAGAAGTAGCAGAACCAAACCTCCACCTTCCACCGTCTCGATCGTCCGCGCAAGCAGGTTCGGAGTCAGCGCCTCGAAGTCCTGCAGGATACACATGCCATACGTGTTACCCAATATCTTCTCGGTCTCCTTATAGTAGACATATCGGATGTTGTTAAGCGTCACGAATACCTCGAACGGATCTTCAGTGTTGGCATCTCGAATGCCTCTCTTGACTTCCTTCTTGATCTTGGCTTCTCGCTTCTTCCGGTGGCTCGTGAAGCCTAGCAAGTCCTTCTTATATGCCCATAACACCGACTTGTTCTGCTTCATGTCGACGCTCGACATAATATAGTGGAGGTGCACAATGACATCTTTGGCTCGGTCGCCCACCACCACGACGAAACTGCGCTTCTTTTCTTGTATGCCATTGCGGATCAGCGCTGGGATGCGCGAGTCGATCGCCTTGCGAGGCATGACTGCCTCAGTGATGCGCCTTAAAAGTCTCCGTCACCGAGCTGGCTCTCGTCTGGTGTGCTGCGGTACGTGCATTGTGCTTCTACGACCAACGTACTACGAACTTCGACGATGCGGAGATCAAAAACTTTTGGAAATTTGGGGTAGAACGGTAGAACTTCGGAAGTCGACTTGATGCCAAGGCAGTCACGATCCATTCGCGTCACTTTCCTCACCTTGCTAACACTAACGAATCTAGATCCGACTTCATGCCAATATCCACCTAGCGCGGGCAGTACTCTACGGTCTCACTTGTGTCTTCAATTTACGCGCCTGCTTGAGCGCTAAGGACACGGCGGCTCCGTTCGACGCGTGCGTCTACTGCTGTAGTATAACCCAACAGCACCCCGACAAAATGGCGCCAAGCACAAAGCGAAAGTCGGAATTCAAGTCCAATCACTTCATCGCTAGTGACGATGATAGCAACAATGACACCACCACTCGACCATCAAAGAAGGGCAAGACAGCAGGGTCTGACTTCACACCGTCGCTTGCTCCCCAAGTCGAAAAGAACGGCGACACCTACTGGGAGATATCAAAGTTGCGAAGAGTCACCATCAACGAATTCAAGGGAAAGCAAATGATCAATGTGAGGGAGTACTATGAGAAGGATGGTCAGAGCTTGCCTGGGAAGAAGGTAAATTTGGTTTGGCTGCGTGTTGTGATGGAGATTGTGAGGACGAGTTTGAGTGCTGACGATTGCTAGGGAATCTCTATGACAATTGAGCAGTACTCGACATTACTGCAGATATTACCGCAAATTGAGAAGACGTTGGCGGAGAAGGGCGTGAGTGTTCCGAGGCCGGACTTCGATGGTGCAGCACCGACGAACGCTGGAGATGAGGACGAAGATGATGAGGGCGCGAAGAATGGTGATCATCAGAAAGCCAACATCGAAGCGACGAGTGATGAAGACGAGGCTGAGAAGCGCTAAAGTTTTCTTCCCAAGCTGATTCGCACCATCAACGCCAGTATCTTAATACGACACAAACAGTGGTTCAATCACCTTTGCCAGCTGTCTATTCAAGAACACTCTGTTACATCCGACGCGCCTCCTTTTGAGCGCCTTCAGTATTGAGCCTGGCCACATTCAGCACAAGAGACATTCATATCAGGCGCAGTGTTGAACAGCGGCCCCAGATATCTTCTATGTCGTTCCGGTCACTGGCAGGACCTGATCCAGAACTTCAGTGTCGGTAGTATAGGAACAAGCAGCCCTGCAACAATGCCATTATTCCCGAGATGGCGATGAAAACGTTCAGGCCATCTTCCAAACTGTGCGTTCGCAGACCGCATCCGACTCCGAGTACTACAGCAGCAATGACAATGACTATGGAAGTTCGCAGGGCTTTAGATTGACTGAACCGTGTGGAGACCACCAGGACTCTCGGGGCCGGGCTTGCACCAACAATGTTGCATAGTTGTGGATACATCTGTGCGAAGGGTCGTGCAGCAGAAAGCAAGCTGGATCCTCTGAGCGCAGAGGTGATTATGATCTCAAGGGCAGCTGCTGCCACAAAGACTCGACTGGAGGCTGTTGCTGTTTCGGCGTCGATTGACATCATCTGGTGTCAAGGTCAGCAATGGCATTCGGTGATATAACGGGAAGATTTACAGCGTTGCTGGCGGCCGTGAACGCAATGAGCTCTTGATTCAGCAGCAACAGATATAACGCGAACCCGACCCTTCCGGCTCTGGATTGTGGAAGACAGTGCCCCAGCAGACGAGCGACGACCACACCAAGAGTCATGGGTGCGCTGATGCTTATCGTGGACAGTCTGCCGCAGAAGTGCTGATCCACAAATGCCACTCGAAGCTCACATGAAGTGTGGGAGGGCATCTTTGCAGTGTGGGCAGAGCTTCGATGGGCGGAGGCTATACAAAGAGTCGTGCGCTGATATGGGCAGACTTAATCCGAATACTCAAGACACTGGTTGCTTATATATCATGATCGAGGTGAGGAACGGTGGGTGGGAATCGTGCCTCCGTACACGATGTTGGGTGTGCACAACGATGTCAGTACACAGCAGTGTGTCACAAACATACGCGGCGGGCTTGACCTCTCGCGCGGGATCAGCTAGCTGGAGCGCGTTTCACACGGTCCAAGTGAACCATAAACAGCGTCGTGTACACCGCTGTGTACTTCCCGTCGCGCTTCTTGTCTTAGTCTGCTAAGAGATGGGAGTGGCGGCTGTTCAACAGGGCCTGAATGCTTGACGACTATTCTTCGGACGACGCAATTGCCCAGTTCACGACTGTGAGCTGACGACCTGCGAAGCCGGAGACGCCCCAGCGATTTGCTTGGCCTCAAAGACATTTGCGCCAGGTTCAAAGAGACATCTCTGGCGTATACAGACAACTCAGTATCAGGCGCGTGCTCATATGGCAGAGGCGTTCTCGTACGTCACGCTGTGACTTCATTTCAAGGATCAATCTCCCATGAAGAGCGACACCTCGAGGCTAAAGGCGGTGATTCGTTGACGCGACGTGCAGGTCCAAGGCCGCTAATGCAGGATCGCAGGAGCAATGTTTTTCCGAGGCCTGGAATACGAGGCCCGAGTTCACCATGGTGACTCGATCGACGCTCGCGCCTGATAGCCCATCAGACACTTTCAGACATGAACGTCCTCGACAGAGCGCTACGGGGAGCTCTCCATGTCCTTCACGCCGACTGTCGAAAGTTAGCCTGGGTGTCGCAGCGCTGTCTGTCCGCACAGGTCCACCATGGCGACAGCAGCTCATCCGACGTCTACGCCAAGCAACGAGATCACGTCTGACCTGGAAACCATCGGCCAAAAGCAGCTGATGCACAACATGCGCGGCGATAACTCGACCAGTGGGCCTGTCAATAACCAGAGCGGCGGAGTCTTGCCATTCGAACCTCGCTACGACGATATCCCAGAGGTCCGGCCTGCGATGGAGCAGAGATTGTCCGGCCTCAATCTCATTGACGCTAGGCGAAGATCAGGGTCAAGCCGGCCATCGGTCGGGGTCAAAGATCAGTATGTCTACTGGCGGCTCGAGAAGGTCGAGGACGACTGGGGAACGGCATATCGACGAAAGATCCCGGCTCCGCAAAAGGAAATCGAGAGAATGGCGAGAAAGGGGCCCGCTACTATCCTCGGCGAGACAAAGCGAATGGGATCATTGCGCGCATCACAACTTGAAAAGCTGATTGAAGACGCCAATACTGACGAGAAGGGCGACTATAGGTGGGAGCCTGTCTATATCAACTCGCTCAAAATCAGCCGGAAGACAGGTAAGGTTGAGTGCAAAAGTATGGACGTCATCCTGGCGCGGGTTCTTCCAGCGCCCAAGCAATCTTCAAAGCTTCGTGACAGCTCAGGGGACCTCTTCGATGTTGCCATCGACGGAAAATATACAGCGGCGAAGAAGGCAAAGCCAACTGCACAATCCAAGAAAGAGAAGGGGTCTAGATCCAATGACAACCTTGACCTCCGTGATCCTTTCGACGACGCGCCGCTATTCCACAAGACCGGGAGACCACTGAGTGATCATGGCCAACACCAACCAGACCCCGGTCTGTATGTTCCCGGCTCACGTGAACCGCCATTTGATCCTGATCACCCACAACAGGCCTACTTTGAATCCATGGCGACCTCGTACGATGAAATGGACGACTCAAATACGTCTCCGCTGACACCATCAGGATTCGCTCTCCCTCATCGACCGCCTGTATCAGACCCGGAATACCCGAGATGGCCCTCCCCACAGCCATCCGGGTATACGCCGTCATTGACGGACGGCACATCCTCTATCTCGGACGTCGCAAGTTCGTACAGCAGGACCCGAGAATCGTTTGCGAGATTTGATAGATCAGACCAGGAGTTGAGTCGTGTTACAGTTGCCATGTGGGCAGAGCAGGTTAGGAGACGACAACTGGCGGCAGATGAGGAAGACCAGCTCAGAGAGTACGGCGGCAGAAGGACACGTCACGATGGTGGCAGAAGGACATATTACTACGATGACGGAGACAGAAGGACATATCGCGATGATGGCAGAAGGACATATTACGATGATGACGATTTGCACAATACAATTGCAGCTTTCCCGAGGCAGCAACTCCGTCAGACACGATCGCCTTCGTTTTCGAGCCACACGAACGCTGATCCCCTGTCACCTTCGGACTTGCCCAAATCGCATGCTATCTTCAATTCAAGCAAGCCATACCAAGGATATGAAGCTGAAAGACTGTTAGCAACATCCGAGTCACTATTTCACGACCACCCCGAACCAACGGATGGCCCAGCGCCTCTCGAGCTCACCAACGCTGGCCTGGCTGGGTATACCCCGCTGGATCGGCCAGTCAGGGCTATCACTCGTGACGAAGGCGAAAGGAAGAGCAAGAACAAGAAGCGACGACGCAAATCCCGAGACCGCATGTCCAGCCCGACCGACAGCACCGACGTCACGCAACACAAGCTGAACGACGAAATGACTGCTGATAGTCCAACCCGCTCAATCAGCCGGCAGAGTGCTCGCACAGACACGCAGGCGAGCACAAAGATTAGGGCCAAAAGAGAGGACAATAGCGACCGCGGCAGCCTTGTTGAGGAGTCAACGCATCCTCATATGGCTACTCCAGCAGTTTTTGAGGTCTCAGACCTCAGCTCGTACGACGTAGTCGTGGGGCCCGAGCGAACAGTGACGACAGACTGGCGGGACATTCGAGAGAACATGCCGGATTTTCCAGTTTTAGGTCAGGATCTGAGGAATATCCGTGCTGAGGCCAAATTCAAGAAAGCAATTGTGCCCATGGATGAGGTGGATTCAGGCCCTGCGCCGTCTGGATCGACGATCTCTGCTGACAGCGAAGACCAGCATGACGTTGTTCATATTCGATTTGTCCATGCTTGCAGCACTGTTCTTGTGAGTGCATACGTAAAGTGCGCTGCGTCAAATAACAAGGGCAAAGGGTCTGGCCACTCGGCGAAACAAGTCGCGGAGACCTCGTCAGCGGCGAACTTGAATCATAAGCGAAACACACGCAGCGATGAGGACGGCGACGACACTGTCGACCCTGGAGGCAATGGCGGCAAGAAGCGGCCCAAGCAAGGATCAGATGAGCCTCCTGCCAGGCTCGCTGCATACCGTAACCTAGCCTGTCCATTCAACAAGTTCAACACCTTACTGTTCGGCCCCGACTCTCCTGATCCGTCTTACCACGGCTGCGCCACTTGCAATTTTGTCAACATCGCCTACCTCAAGCAGCACCTTAAACGGAACCACTACACCCCGCAACACTACTGCTTTCGGTGCTGTGAGTCTTTTGAGTCACAGTTAGAAGCTATAGAGCACTCAAGACGACAGCCCGTTTGCGAAACACTCGAGCCACGGCTGTTTCGCGAGCGCATCGGACCGGACCTCGTCGAGGAGCTAGGACTGCGAGGCAAGAACTCGCCCGGAACTGACCCTGTCCAGTATTGGTATCGTATATACCACGCGTTATTTCCTGGCGCAGCAGAACAAAGACCAGTATCACCCTACTACGAAGGTCCAACAGCAGAGTACATCAATCGCTTCGTTCATGACGTGCAACCTGTGCTTCCAGACTTGGTGTCTGCAGCCCAGCGTGCTCTTGGCTTGAATTTCGAGCTGCCTCTAGCTGATATGGTGAGGCTCGTGGAAGAGATACAGCAGAACGCTATCCCTTTGTTTCTGCAACAACTCGCACGAAACAATTTGAGCAGGGGAGCCCTAGCCTCAGGGGTGGGCGATGCTACTGGCACGTCTTCGACCTCAGCAAACCCGCCGAAACCGCATCCCAGTGTTGTCACCGACGATTCTGCCATCGGCGATGTGAGTGATCGTGCGATGACCTTGCAGAACCCCAGTTGCCCCCTCCTAGAGGCGAACGCAGCTACGTCTCAAGGGTCTTCCGACCTCGCGAGGACGATGCCAGGTCTGACCCATAGCGAGGGTTCCCGTAGCAGCTTGGCAGACGCTCGGTCGCCATCAACTACGAATGAGCCCGCCCCTCCGCAATTGCCGATACCCGACATGGTCGATAAAGACCCCTTCAGTGAGCTTCCTGATCATGCCAACTTGGAGAGTGCCAATCGTTCAGGGCTCGAACTGGCGGACTTTGATCTTCGCGAGTTGACGGATGTCACTCTACCACCCAACTGGGACTGGGACGCCGAATTTGCGCAACTGACACAGGCGGAGACCTCGTCTGTGCCTGTTCAATTTCCAAGCGGTTCGAACAATGAGTTCATCGCGCCTGATGTGGAAGCGTGGAATGATGGGACATCCTGAACAAATATGTCCTTGCACGAGGCGGCAGCTCCGAATGACGACAATGGTGGAGACTTGCGTTGATCGCACCATCGGCGCGTTCCCGGTGTGAATCACGGCGTATCTCACGAACTAGCGTACGGGCGAGGACTGCGTCTTCCGGGCGATCTCGTGTAGCGAGCAACCCTGCGGATCCCAAATCTGAGAGCATGATGATTGTACTGATATTCATAAATATAGCTTGGTCGATCGGATACGCCATTCAAAAGAAGCGTTTCCCCCCAAGGACGCAAAATTGACGTATGATATGTAGTCATGACTTACCGTCTCGCAACCATATCCATTTATTGTTGGATGTGAGGCCAGTGCGAACAGGTCAGTATCAGCACGTGACTGGTGAAGCCGCCCGCCTACCATGTGCAGACTTTGCATCTTTTGATGTATACGGCAAAAGACTGACGCCCCCAGCTTCATCCGAGACATCTCTGCTACTTGCATTGCGTGCTCATACCGACGAGGCTCTGGTCCAAGGACAAGAAACAGGCAATAAGAAGGCGCAACAGTGCTGGTAAGATCGTCGTTCGCTCATGCTCGGCAAAGATAAGATTAAGGTTCTAGCGGGACGGGAAGGCATGTTGGACTCCACTTCCTTGAGAATGTTGGCAGACGGCATAGCAGCTGCGGAAAAGGAAGCCGATAAGTCGTACCTGCCGCTTGCGCTGTGTTCGTTGCTAGCGTGGCTTTGGAAAGGACGACATAGCTCAGTAAGACATCGGTATCTTGTAAATTCGACAGAAGACGCTGTGGCTGTCGCCCAATCGTCACGTCAGACCAAGCGATGAGATCGATTAGCGAACGCCGAATACGAGAATGGGGCGGTTTGACCTGATCTGTGCGTGGTACGTTACGTTCTGCCGGGTCTCACAGCACTTCACTTGACAGTCGCTGATTGCGCACAGGTTGTCGCCAGCATGTCTCCTTTGGCTGGCGTACTCGACAGATCATGCGATTGCGTACCGTAAGACATCTCTAGCCCTTTCTACGCTGCCATGCTGACAACGCGACCTGCTAGACCGGCCGGTCCATACCGCAGTCCTCTCGCTCGCAGTATGCTCATGCTGCCTCGTCTACGCGAGCAGAGCGTTCCCGACCCTGCTGTCCAAGCCGTCCCAGAATGGCGCGTCCCCGAGTTTGTTGCCACACGTGAAAGAAGATAGCGACGAGAAGCGAGGAGTACCGCCGTCTGCCACTCAAGAGACACTTAATGGCACTAGAAGACCGATACTGCTGGTCCTGGCCGTCATTGCATTGTCATGTCGCATCGAGACCCTCAGGCGGATCACAAAATCACCCGAGTGCACCGTGCCATCAGTAGAGGTATGGCTACCTTTGTTGCTTGCGATATACGATGGTCTACGCTTCCAGAGAAGTACGCCGCAGGATGCTACAGCTATTAGCAACCTGCTCATGCGGGCAACGCGCCTTTGGGGCAGACGATCGCGCTTTCGATACATCCTTCCGGTGGCCAGTGTGTGTCTGGGATGTCAGCTACTCCTCACGTCGTGGTGGGGTCTCAATTCGACCTTCATTTGTCCGATTGTCACAGGTGAACAGCTGACTGTGCCTGCATCTCAACTTTCAGGTCTCTTCATGGATGCCGTCATCTCAGCCGTGATCTGGGAGCAGCTGCCACGAGGGCGTCCAAACAATACAACAGCTGTTGAGACTGCCCACTTCCTGAGTCGTGCAATGGTCGGCGTGGTGGTGGCATGGATTGGTATTGGTACAGCTGTCTATGGTCTAGCGCATCGACATCGTTACTACGTGCTTCTGTTGGATGCGAGCTCGGTATCCATGTGGGCGTCAATCGTCATTCAAGCGATTGTGTTTTCCGTGCTGGTCGTCACTTCTTTGCACTGTGTAAGTGATCAACTACTTACCAGTTGCTCGCTACTAACGCTTGCAGACTGTATTCTTTGGACCAATAGAAACGAGCATGAAGTTCGTGGTGCTTATCACGGGGCAGCTGGCACTGCCATTTCTATGGACATCAACCGACGCGTTCCCTCCTGTCCCGAAGGCCGCCCCTATATGTGGCGTCCTAGTGCTTTGCAGCGGCTGGATGTCCTTCCGCAGGGTACAGTGGTTTATAGATCAGCCCACTCTTGGCCGATCCTTCGACAGACTCCTTGCACTTTTCGCTGCGTTGGTCGTCCTTCTGGTGATGCTCAAGAGCTCTGCCATCAGTGTGCATCCCATCGACAGTCTCATTGAAGCGGGCAATCTCCAGCACGAGGCTTATGTCAACGTTTCGCTGCAGCAGAGAACTCTCAGAGATGCCGTCGTGCAGTACCAGCAGAGATATCACCGCAGTCCTCCTCCAGGCTTCGATCTCTGGTACAAGTTCGCCACCAACAAGAAATGCCTGATCATTGACGAATACGATCAGATCAACGAAGATCTGCTGCCTTTCTTCGATCTGACACCTGCTCAGATCCGACAATCAACCTGGGAGATTGCATCAAATCAGTGGAACGAGGCCGCTGGAATCAGCATCCGCAATGGCACTGCTCGCGTACAAGATAATGTCATTCCGACTCACAGGTGGATGGTCGAAGGCGTGGAGGCCCTAATTAACAGCTTCGCGGCTTTCCTCCCTGACATGGACCTGGTATTCAACATCAACGACGAGCCACGTGTAGCACTTTCCCATGAGAAGCTGGAGCAGATGAGAAGCAGCGGTGCGCAAAAAGCGCTCTCCGGACGGCTGTCGTGGTCTGAGAACAGGACTGCGGAATGGCTTCCAGAAGCTGTAGAACAGGAGACGCGCAATTTTGAGGTGGTTTCGCGCAAAGACAGCTTCCGGGACTGGGGAGTGATTGGCTGCCCACCATCGTCAGTATCGCGAAGAGATCGTGCGTTGATCGGATCGAAGGCAAGCCTTTGCACTAGCTGCGTTGCTCCTCATTCGCTGGGACAATTCGTGTCGAACTGGTCTCTTGCCGCCGACATGTGCCATCAGCCAGATATGGCGCACCTGCATGGCTTCTACACGTCGCCTGCAGCTTTCAAGCCTGCAGGCATGCTAATGCCTGTGTTTTCCCAATCAAAGGCCCATGGCTACAACGACATACTTTATCCGAGCGCCTGGAATTACATGGACAAGGTCAAGTACGACCCGTCGATGAAAGAGCAGGGCAAGCCAGGAGAGGACAACTACAAGCCCGCGTATCCTGACGTACCTTTTCGGCAGAAGAAGAATGCAGTGTTCTGGAGAGGAGCAACTTCGGAGGGCATTTCCGGTGGCGACGGCGAATGGCGAGGCATGGTCAGACAGCGACTCGTCCATTTGGCCAATAACGCCACCAGTCATCCCCATGACGAAGCTATGATCCTACTGCCACACCCGCAGAGCGAAAATCAATGGGAGTATGTTCGCGTACCAGGCGATCTCGTCCCCAATCTAGGCCTCGAAACAGACATCCACATCGTCAACAACATAGCCCGATGCGGTGGGGAAGGACTCTTCGACTGCACAGATCAAGAAGCAGAGTTCGCACCCACCAGCGGCACCGATTTTCAAGCACACTGGGCATACAAATACCTCTTCGACCTGGACGGCGCAGGCTTCTCTGGCCGCTTCCTGCCCTTCCTGCAATCACGCTCTCTCCCATTCAAGAGCGCGCTCTTCCGAGAATGGTATGACAGTCGCTTAACGGCATGGAAACATTTCGTGCCGCAAGATATCCGGCTGCATAGCTTCTGGAGCACGTTGGCGTACTTTGCGGGTGTTGATGGCACGCTGCCTGATGGCAGGAGTATCAAGTGGGCTGGAAGAGAAAAGCAGGCGGAAGCGATAGCTCTTGAGGGGAGAGCTTGGGCTAATAAAGTGCTAAGGAAAGAGGATATGGAGGTGTACTTTTTCAGGCTGCTGCTTGAGTGGGGAAGGATCACGGATGATAACAGGGAGGAGTTGGGATTCGTGGTGCCTTGAAAAGAACGTAGGTTTTCTGGAGGTGAGCTGTCAACCTTTCTGTGGACTTGTTCGTCCATCCGCATACCCATTGTTGCCGGCTTCAGAGGTGGATGGCATTCCTCATTCTCCAACCCTGGTCGTGCCAAGGCGGTCTTTTGGAAGTGCCAAAGTTCCCGCAGGTCGTTCTTTCCAAGGCAGCCAATCAGCACTGACTTGTTTCGCAAGGTAGTGACTGCCATCCTACCAGTCGTCGGGCATCGCTCCCTGCCTGCACAGCGTGAATTTCACTTAATGAAATAGCGCCTCGAGGCAACCGCGACTGCTCCTCTGCTATTTCGCGTTCGAATCCTGATTGAACACCTTCGCAAATGACCTGCGCATTAAGGACAATGCCATCGAGATCGTACGGCAATGGCTTGTTCCACTGCTTCGACATAACGACAAGTGACGCAAGCTATTGTCAGAGTCATTACTATTGACATGGCCCCATGGCACACAGCGTCGCTTCTTTGCCCGCCAGCTATGAGAGTCTGATTGCCTACAGGAGAGAGATACGGCTTCTCGACATTCGATATCCGCCTTCTCCTTCAGCCCAAAGCAACGTAGCTGATCTGCGATTCGGCCTACACAAAGCTCGTCTCGATGAAGCCCCATCCTTCTACGCACTGTCGTATGCATGGGGCACGCCGGAGAACATGCAGACAATCCACGTGAACGATCGCCCGTTCCAAGTTCGGGAGAACCTCGCCCAGTTCCTTGAGGCGCTGACCAAACAACTGCGCAACGAGCATGGGGATAAGGGTCTGGCGGCGATCAGGATTTGGTGTGATGCCGTTTGTATCAATCAGAGTGATGCTCGCGAGAAGAGTTCTCAGGTCGCCATGATGGGCGATATCTACAGGTCTGCCACTGGTGTATATGCTTGGCTTGGGCTTGCAACACCTGAGTCCGAGGCCTGGTTCAGGTCTGCTGAGCACTTCATCCTGAGGCACGACAACTGCGAGAAGACTGACGGGTCTCTTGCTTGCCTACAACCGTGGAAGGCATACAAAATGACTGAGTTGAGAGGCCAGCTGCGCGACATAGTGCAGCGCGAGTACTGGCAGAGGTGCGGGTCCCAGTGCATGACAGACCAGTACTGATTGATATATAGACTGTGGATCGTACAGGAGCTCACGCTGGCCCAAAAAGTGAATTTCCTGTGCGGCCACACCCAGATGGGCCGCCGAACCTTTGAATTGTTCCTCAAGTGTTGGCGTGGTGGAAAAGAACTGCTGGCACCCGAAGACACCTCCGCATCACGACATGTGTACACCCTTCTCAACCTGCGTCACAGGTATCTAGCTAGTCCTCTCGATCTGGCCGCGCTGACCCGCGATTTCTCGAGATCCCGGTGTCATGATCCGCGAGATCGGATATACGGCATGCTCGCGATGATGTCGCGAGAAGAGGCCCATCGAATTCGAATCGACTACAGCGTGCCTTTGATGGAAATCCTGCTGAAATACGCGAACAACGTGTCAGATGACATCGGCGTGACCGTCGCAGAAAGCGTGGCAGAGGAAAACGGAACTAGGGCATGGGGAACACTCTCAAAGCTCTCATCTATGATCGAAGGTCTCGTACCATTGAACTTTGGCAGCAAAGAATGCTTAAATGAAAATTCAGAAAGCATCGGCTTCACATGCGACGTTCGTCTTCCTTTTGACAGCTACGGCCTCCATGTTGAACGGAGCTTGAGGGTGTTTGCCGTTGGTACTGAGGAAATGCTCGTTCCAGTCGATCAGATTTCGATTCTGCCACCAGGAGGACGACGAGTCTATGTCAGCGTCGGTCGGTTTGATGCAAATGATTGGGCAATTGTGTACACAACGGCGCCTCCATGCGCGACAGACACCTTCATGAAAGTGTCAAAATCATGTTCGTTGCAGTGCTCATACGAGCATGTTGTTCGCAACAGCAGCGAATGGGCAAGGGGTCAAAGCGTCTTTGAGGCCAAGCTAGCCTTCGTGGTGGAGAAGTGCCGGCGTCCAGATACGCTACCGGAGTATGATCATGAGCCTCTTTCGGATTTATGGACTTTGGACCCAAGACTGTGGCTGCAACAGATCATGCCGACATCGATGGTGGCGTGGTGGCACAACGGCTTGCGGTACGTCTTCACAATGAATGCGGCGGCAGTAGGCACGTACATTTGCATCGACAGAGCACACGATGTCTTGCTTATTACCCACGACAGAGGGGACCGCCCCTCGAATGGAGGCGCACGCAAAACATCGCCTTTCGAAGAAGGTGGCTGGAGTCCGTGGCAATTTGGACTTGAAGAAGAATTATTGGACACATTATTGGCCACATGTAACGCGTGCCTTCCTTGGTGGATGTCTCGATAGCGGATGTCCGGTGAATGCCTCATGGCACTTGGAAAGGAAGCCAGGACCGCACCAGCTCGGATTTTCCTTCAGTGCCGGAGAAGCAAGAAAGCAGGACACTGATTTGAATGGTAGGGTGATGATGAATTTATGATAGATAAGCAGAGAGTTTAGCCAGGCACGCCAGACTGGCCCAGCCCCCATGAAGCTCTGCTCGTCTGCCTGCCTTCTGGCGCCGTCGACAGTGCATACTTCTGCCAGAACGTGCCTCGAAATGATCTACACCTTCTCCCAGATTCCGCTCTCAATTACACCGATGTCACTGCCCATACCATACTCGCCGGCTGGACTTTCAGTACGCAGGCCATTCAAGCTATTGCCCGCTTCTGCAGCACTGAGCGCATCCTGCTGCTGCTTCCTTCTGACCGCGCCGAGATTTTGCCATTCATTCGCAGCTTTCCGTCGCTCCCGTATTGTCAACAACATCCCGACGAAGCCCTGCGGAACCCAGTTGCCGATGAGATGATACGTCCTGGCGCCGCTGCCGACGAAAGTAGTGGAGCTAGTCTTTTTGAAGGTCCAGTCCCATCGACCGAAAGCCTTGTAGTTCTGCGGTGGCGCGAGCGCGTCGAAGACGGCGTTATGTAGTTCTCGAGCTGACGAGCCGCGCAGGAAGAGGCGCTTTGAAGGCGAGGAGGACGACGGAGATTGATGCTGACTTCGCTGGAAGGCGGCGCGTTGGGAAGAGTGCCATGCTGAGGGCTGATGGGTGAGTTGGGAGTTTGCTGGATTGAGGAGTGGTGATGTGGAGGCGTTTCGATTCTGGTTTCTGATCGGGGAACGGTTGTTGGTACTTGTGTGCTGGGAGATGGTGGCTAAGTCGAAGTTGCCGAGTTTGAGCTCGTGTACGGTGGTATTTGCGCGCATGGCGGCTAGTTCGCGGCGGAGAGATGTCGCCATGGTGCTGAGGGAGGTCGTTATGATTGATTCGGGAGTTTGGCGTGGTGGTGTTAGAGAGGCGGGGATCGAGGGGTAGGCGATGACGATACTTGATGGTGACAATGGATCGGTGCTATGAGTGCTGAGTAGGGGCAAGAACTGCTGAATGGAAAGTAGCGGCGAGAGTAATCGTGTATTCAGCGTGTCGATGATGTCTGTGGGTGGAAGAGTGGCCAGCGGGCCGACGGGATACCCGCTGCAGCCTGGGAAGACAACGATGCCAGCTAGCGTCATATTGCCCATGCTCGATCCTGGTCCTGCTCGACCGGACGAGGCTTGCGGCTGATGCTGAGTGAGAAGCTCCTTGATCGGCTCCAGATTCGGATGGGTATCGACTGCCGGATTAGGCACAGTCGAAGTCAGGTCCATCCATAGCGGTCGCAGATCAGCCTTAGACTCCTGCTGGATCAGACTGTCCTCCTCCGTGGACGAGACTGTGACGTACACGACATACCCGCGTCTCTCCAGATCTAGCGCAAGCGACCGTGTGAGCGGGTCGTGGAAGGTCGAGCAGACCAGAACGATGATCTCCTTCTTTGCCCCGTTGGGCAGCTTCTTGGCTCGCCGCTTCCTCGCATGCGCTTTCCGTTGGCGCTGTGCAAGGTAGTATGTAGTCGACGCGAATGCCACGAAGACGGCTATGCTTGTACGATTGTTCGAGACCCAGGCAATGCTCTTCTCTGAGAACGTCTGTGGGGGTGGCGGTCGGGCTGCACTGAGATAATTTCTCACCGATTGTGGCGGCCGGATGCTGTCGGGGATCCATGAGCTATTGTGAAGTGCATCGCGAATGTCTGATGCAATCGAGTTGGTATAGCGGTCGATATGCTCGGCAATGCGCCCGCCATAAGTGGCGACGTCTTGGGGAATGGAGGCCAACTGTCGTCATTAGAAGGGCGTATGCAGGCGGCATGCGGTACTCACCAGGTCCAAGAACTGCTGATCGTCGCTCGTCATCTCGCCAATTGTATAGGGCGTGGATGTACAAGACTCTACAGGCCTTGAAGGGTGACACGGACGTCGGACGATGATGCGAGGTGGGTTGCGCACAGGCAGTGAAGTTCCCAAAACATACACCTTAGCCGAGGTGCAGGAGACAGCAGCTGCGCGCTAAACGAGGCAACCAGAAGCAACAAATGTTTACGTACCTGCCCATGATTGAGAAATAAGCAACATCTGGAATCTTCTACACGATACCGAGCTGCTCTTGCAGAGGCTATGATGGTGTCCAAGTCGCAGACAGTGTCAATTACATCGATATACTGAGAGTTTGAGAACCAAACACGAGCCCTTGTTGAGCGAATATATTCGCGTGCCCGTGGCGAATCCCAGCCAGTACCTTTCTTCACAGGTTTTGTTGGACTGTCACTAGGCCCGTCAAGATGTCTCGAGCCGTCTCTACCGAGCTGGAACCGCTCGTCAACAACTTCGAGCATCTCGCAGACAAGCGACGCGCCGCAGAAGCCCTGCAGACACTTCGGAAAATCGCCTCTTTGGTCAAACCACTTATGCGACAACGAAATTGGCGCGTCGGAACACTGGCCGAATTCTACCCTCCAGAGAACAACCTTCTGGGTCTCAACATCAATGCAGGACAGAAGATCTGCTTACGACTCCGACATGCCGGCGATGATACCCAGTTCCTGCCCATCGAGCAGGTCACCGATACCATGCTGCACGAACTTGCCCACAATGTCCATGGTCCTCATGACCAGCATTTCCACGCACTGTGGGACAAGCTGCGGGATGAGCACACCAAGCACTTGTCATGAAAGGCTATACTGGCGAAGGCTTCCTCAGCAATGGCAACAGGCTTGGCGGTCGACGAATACCGCTGTCAGAAGCACGCCGCCAAGCGCGGGCTGCGGCCGAGCGTCGGAAGACCCTGACGACGAATAGTGGACAGCGACTTGGTGGTACAGGCATCATGCGTGGTCAAGACCCGAGGCAGATCATTGCTGCAGCTGCACAGCGACGACAGCAAATTGAACGAGGATGTGCCAGCAATACCGCCAAGGGCCGAGAGATCGCCCACGACGTCAGTCTGAACAAGAATGTCGAACGGACACAAGTGGATCAAGAGGACGAAGACGAAGCCACGCTGATGCAGGCCTACATCGACCTGATACAAGAAGACGAGAAGCAGCAGCTCGGCGACTTGTACATCGCACCAAGCCAAGAAAATCCTGCCGGATCTAAAGCGCTCCCACCAGAGCCGTCAAAGAAGCTTGTAGAGGAGCAACGGAAGATCGAACAACAGATCAAGCGACTTAAGCAGTCCTCTTCATCTTCCCTATCGACAACACCATCATCGCGATCGAATACGCACAGTCCAATCCCACCACCATTGTTGACCGGCAGGACAAATTCTTCAAAACCTCCACTTCGAAAGCCAGAGCCAGAACCCGAGCCCATAACATGGACCTGCGAAATCTGTACCCTGGTGAATCCCTTGCAATATCTAACTTGCGATGCCTGTGGCGTAGAGCGTCCAGCACACATATCTGCCTCTCTTCCTTCGAATCCTCCGCCTGTGCCGCATACTACACGACCGACCAAGAACACCACTTCATCAACTCCGAGTGCGCTACTTCCTCGTCAAAATGCTTATGCCAACCACAAACGCTTCGACGATCTGGCAACACAAAAGCAGGCAGCGAAGCCAATAGGGTGGAGCTGTGGACGATGCGGAAACTTCATGGAACAGGAGTGGTGGACTTGTAGCAATTGCGGAGGGATGCGAGACAGCTCGTAGGGAAGTCGAACTCGCCCTGGGATAAAAATCGGGGGTGACCATTTTCAGGCGTGACGCAAGCGCAGATGCAGATCCTCGTCCAAGGACAGGAAATTAGAGAACCAGAATCAAAGCTGCCCACGTGGTGTATAGCCTCATTAGCTTCGAAGCTGTCCTCTCCGATGTCAAGAGCATGACTGCCGTACATGCCCTGTGTAAGGAACCTAAGCAGAAGAATAAGAAGAAGATCTAGCGTCACACATGACGCTGTCGTCTGAACCACCTGCAAGCTTCGAGTCAACCCCAATGCATCTTTCATGCGCACCCACAGACCACCACTCAATGATCGTGTCCAGATCCTCATTGGCCGGACCATCACCGCGAGCCAGCGGGGGAAGGTAATCCGCGGCAGCAATCTTCTTTCCCGCATATGCGTCGTCGGTACACACCATCGCCACGTCGCAGGATCCGCGTGTTTGTCCCAATCCATCCACACCGCCTGCTTCTTGTCCACGTGTATTATCTGCGTGTGTCTCTCTGAAGCATCACCTGGAGGCAGTACAAGTCCCTTGATGGCGCTGCTGGTCATCACGACACGACACCATACTTTCGCTTTGCGCTTGGGGTCGTCGACAAAATGGAGAAGCCATTGACCATACAAATTGCTCGTGAAGTCAGCCGAAGCAGCATACGTCATGAGCCAGGCCCGGTCCGCAGCGTCTTCATCCTTTGCCATCCTCGGTCCCACTCCGCCGGCCTGGCCGCGTCGCCTGCGACGATGATAGATCAGGTCCGGACTGTGCCCCAACACATTCCGACAGACCCCGATAGCGCACAGGTTGGGCAATCTTTGCAGAAGCTCTACGCTCCCGCAGCGAGTCGGAAAGATCACTGTCCTTATCGTCTCCGCGTGGGGTACTAAGGGGGCCAAAATCTCGAGATGGTCGATTGACAGTACCCGAAGAAAAAGGGTCTTGGGCATGCGGCGCAGGATAGCGAGGCATTCTGTCCGAAGTTGATGGTTGGTGAGTGGAGCGCCTGTCAGGAGAGTCTGTTGGCTGAGGCGGGTGTACAGGCTCAATTTGAGAGAAGGAGAAGGGTTGTGCCTGGGTTCGAGTTTGTCGATGCTGAGAGCGAAGTCCTGGAGTGTGTAGGTGAGGATGTGGCTGCGTATCTCGAACGGCAGAGTAAGGAGGGTGGGGACGGGATGCGTCATATTTCTTCCTTGGTGATGGGGTGTATTGAGAAGCGAGGACTGCACTGGTTGAGCCTGCAACTAAGAATGCAATCTTCGTAGACCTCATCGCGCAGTGTTCCGTGTTGATAAAGTTAATCTGAACTCTCGTGCGACTCGCACCCCACCTGACGGGTTCTTTTGGTTGATGCCTTGTTGGTAACGGAGCAAGTCTGGGCGGGGCAACCTTGGCAGAGACAGGGGTCATTGGACCGGTCATTAGCCTTGGAAGGCAGGCATCACCGCGCTGCCTTCCTACAACAGTGTCCTCTGTCCTGCTTCTACCCAGAGCTCGAGTCCAACGTGGAACGTCAGAAAGCCCGCATCAACACCCACTCCATCGCTAAAGACTGCTTGCCATCATACGACTTCCCTCACCAGCAGACATGAATATCCTTCTAGGTCTGCCTTACGAGATCCGCTCGCAGATCCTGACCTATGTGCTCAATGACTTCGCATTAAGTATCGAGAAGGCGACTAACACCCGCTCGAGCTCAAGCAGGGTCGGCCCATACACGCCTCTCAGCCAGAAGACCCTGGCAACACTCCCACTCGTCAATCGGCAACTCCGAGAAGAAAGCCTCGCTATACTATGGACGTTGCCTAAGCTCCTGGCTTTCCGTGTCCCTTTCATCGAACACTTGGAAACCCTACCGCCACTCCTCAACGCCACATCCATCACAACCGTCAACTTCCCCTCCCGGTTCGGCAGCCACGCGCTTCTCACTCAGCTACCCAATCTCAAAGCTATTGGCGTCTGTCGCAACGCCCTCGGTCGCTCTCCAGACCTATTCTATCGAGCGCGGCCCAGGCCCAAGGTCATATACCTGGGGTCAAGACTTAGTTACCACGACTGGTTGTCAAACTACATTCCTCGCGGGAGTTCATCCGTAACCTCACCCACAAGTGGTTGCTGACTTTCATGCACGATCCTACCCGCAAAGCGAGAATCTGGTGTCGCGTCGTCACGAGTCGCAGTAGCTACGAAGACGTGTCGAAGGTCGTCGAGCCGACAATCACGGCTTGGTCTGATCTGGACAGACGGGCACAGCCAGCCACATGGCAATCGCAGGGGCGAACTGAGGAAATGCGTCGGGTCTTGATCGTACAGCGGGAAGCAATCTGGGTCGATCTGGACACACGCGCTGATGTGAGTACGTGGCGATGGTGTGAACCAACGAAGCATTTGCAAGAGGAAGAGTTTGACTCCGCGAGGTATAATCCACCGCTGGTCCGAGCTGGGCACGCTGTCGGCGGACAGGATCGTGACGGCGACTTGGCGTTGATAATGAAATGGTGGACCGTTGCTGCTGCTGGAGAACAGATGGATAAGAAGCGCTCTGGGACCGATTTACTGCAAGGCGACACTCGAAATGCTCGTGAGGATGGCGCGGCAGTTCCCACAGGTGTTACCTCCCTCCCTGGTGTCGCCTTCACGTACAATGGCGTACGGGTAAGGGCATGAAGCATCCGCTAATCTACAATTTGTACTTATGGGTGTCGCCACTTGACCGATCGTCGTGAAAGGAGAAGCCAAATAACCACAGTCACTCGATGGCATCAATCAGCCACAAGATAAGCTGACAACAGCATCTACTGGGCCGCCGCCGTGACGGCCTGAGATTCAGTCCACAAACGATGCGACAGTTCGACCGATATGACGCTGCCGGTAAGCGCCACGGGGTGCTCGACCTTTCTGAAAACCTCGTTCCAGGAGCGGCCAGCCACGCAGCAGCGCCGAAGGATAACCAACAAGGCAATACGGTAGTCTGTTGAGCTAGCATGCCTGGTAACTGGACGCCCGGAGTGAGCCCCTGCGCTCTTTTCGAGGGCGACGTCAACGCGCTCGCCGTTGCCGAACATCCTACATGAGTCACGACTTAGCTGCCCCAGAAGCCAACAATCTCCTCCGCAACACGCTCAATCCACTCCCTCCTGTCGCGCGGCAACCCGTGATCCGCTCCAGCAACCACGACCAACGGCACCATTACATTGCCCGCCGCATCTGCGACCCCAAACCCACACTTCCGCATCTTCGCCTCACTCACCACATCGTCCAGGCCGCCGAGGATGGCTTGTACCCTCACCTTATCCCCACCTCCTCCTCGCCCTCCCAACCCCTTCTGGCCCGGTACACCCCTCCTACCAAGCGCAGCAACCCCTCTGAACGCACCTTCCTGATCCCGAATCCCCGCATGCCGCACAATACTCAACACACTCGCAGGATAGCCTGTATGGTGAACCACCTCCCAGTGCTTCATCGCCTTTGCCAGACGCGCAGTCCAGTCCTTAGCTGCGAGGTGGTCTGTGGTCCAGATCGTGGGGTTGTGGTCGGCGGCTTGGGCTTCTTCGAGGTAGTTGGGGCCTTCGAGCCAGGCGAGTGCGGCGTGCTGTGCGCGGGCTTCGTGGGTTTGTGCTGTTGTTGGGGAGAGGGTTGGGGAGGGAGGCTGGATGGCGGTTTCGAGGGATAGGGGGAACCAGGATGGGGGGAGGAGGCCGGAGGGGGCGATTAGGGTTATGGTGTTGATTGCTGTGGGGGTTAGGGACGGGTGGGTTGGTTGTGGAGTGGTGAGGAGTTGGGCGAGCAGGGTGCAGCCTAGGGAGTAGCCGATGATGTCGATCTTGTTGGGTTCTGAAGGGGATGAGGCTGTGGCTGCTGGGCCTGGAGTTGAGGTCGAGCACCACCCGACGTGCTGGAGGACGCTCTCGATCTGCATGCCGAACATTTCGGGCGTGTGAGCGACGAGCGGCGTAGAGCTGAGGCCGTGACCCCAGAGGTCGTACATGACGATATGGGTGCTTGGGACCTGGAGCTGGATTGCGCGGGCGAGGGGCAGGACAGAGCCTACGGCTGGCGTGTTGACTCCGTGGATAAGCAGGACTCGCCTTGCGTTGATGCTGGACGATGGAATGGTCGTGCCTGCGTAGGGGGCCTGTGGTGGGAGGGAGTAGATGGCGGTGGTGCCTAGCGCGGAAGTTGCGAATGTTGGCGTTGGGAAATTGAGGACTGATGGAGGAAAATGGGTTTGGAAGGAGGAAAGGGCTGGTGCTGGTATGTGGTTGATATCGGAGAGCTCGAGAGGCTGCTCTTGTGGTGGTGGGATCAGGATTGCGGTGCTAGCAGCTGAGGAGGTACTGTTGTCGACTTCATCCACGACGCGGGCCATGACAGCAAAGTCGCTCTTCGAGGCAGACTGGCTGTTCGTGTTCGCAGTACTGCTTCAAATCTGGAGAGCTTCAAATCTGTTGTGCTGTATACGAATCACTCCTGCTGTTGATCATCAGGAACCTTGATCGTGAAAGCGCCGTGCGAGCCGTTTATCAATGACTCTCCGCGCCATGAGATCGTGGGATCTCGATTTGTCAGTAGAGCAGATGATAGTATTAGTGTTCAGACGTGGTTAGAACATGTGAAATATGAGCCCCGCCAAGATAGGCCCTGTTCCGATCTCGACATCTTCGCAGTGACCTACTGAACGAGCGGACCGGAAAATTTTTATCGATCGCCGCGGTGCGACTTCTGAGCGACAGAGCTGATGTTACTGCTGGCGTCAAATTCTTACCTAGACGAGCTCACATTCTGTGTCTGTAATACGTACAAGCTGTTTGACGAGTGTAGGTGAGTACTTGAGGTGAGTTGAGCTTACGAAGCTGGGTTCTTCGACTGTCTTTCTGCCAAGAACGTGTGAAGCCTCCCGCCGTACTACTTGTACTTCCTACTTTTGAGCCTACGAGGCACAGACACCAGACGTATCCGAAGCAGTTCCCTTTCACGAGGCACTGGGACCAGATATCTCCAGAGCACTTCTGGTTCGTGATTATTTATTTTTTTTATAACATATTCAAACCTGTAAAGGTAGGATATGTGGCAGTGGCCCTTCAGGCACCACACCACTCGGATTGATCATGGTCAAGCTCTCAAAGTAATGGCCCTTGATATGGTGCATGATAGTTGTCTCCTTGAACGCCAGATCCTCCCAGTACAACCTCCTCATATACTCGTGCACATGAGGCAGATCATACCGAATCATCTTCTTGTTCGTCTTGAATAGACTGACATACACTGGATCAAAGCGCACGAGTGTCACATACAAACGTACATCGACCTCCGTAAGTACATCGCCAAAGTAGTACGGACCAGAGCCCTTCTCGGCGTTCTGAGAAAGCTGTGCTTCGACACGGTCTAGGCTGTCGAATAGCTTTGTGACTGCGCCGTGGTAAGCGAACTGGGTCTGACCCAGACCGCATTTGTAGACTCCGTTGTTGATATCATCGTAGTGCCATGGGTTCACATCGTCGATTTGGCTTCGCAGATGCTCCGGGTAGATATCGACGTTGGCGTACTTCTCAGGCAGAAGACCATTGAATTCGGTGTTAAGCATACGAATGATCTCACTCGATTCATTGCTGACAATCGTGTTCTGCTTCTTGTCCCACAGTACCGGCACAGTGAAGCGACCTGAGTAGTTCGGGTCTGCGAGATAGTATAACTGTCGTACGCGCCGGAAGTCTGGGTGAAGTGGATCAGGCGTCACTTCAAGATCTGGCTCTGCCGTTTCGGTCGTGGCAAACTTCCAGCCCGTCTCGTCTGGTGTCTCGCCTTTGATGTCCATGTGAAACATGACGGAAGTGAATGGAATGATGTCCTCGAGGCCTTTCAGCTTCCGTACGATCAACGTCCGATGTGCCCAGGGACACGCATATGAGACATATAGATGGTAGCGCCCAGCTTCTGCGGGAAACTGTGATTTCGGATCGCTGGAAATGAAGTTGCGGAAGATGGACGCTGGCCGTTGCAATTCACCCTTTTCGTTCCACAGGTTCTTGGGGAGCACGCTGGCCGGCTGCGCAATTGGTGCGGGTGACATGATGTTGTGTACAGGCTCTAAACGTTGAATATGCACGACACCGATGCTCGTGAGTGCATTATATGGGAATGGATCTGACGACGTTGCTTACCAGGCTCTTACGTGCAAGGAAGGCCGCGACGTGGTTGCTTACCTTATAAGCAGGTCTCGCCCGAGAGCACGTGATGCTCGGAGCGTAGACATTGTTCTCGACTGCGATTACGGGTAGGGTCATCTTGCATACCGCAGTGTCTTGGTGTGCAGCATCGGTAGCTGCACGCAGCAAGATCCTCTGTGCTTACAACTGCATGAAGGAACAACTTGAATTAGATGGTATGATGATTGGCGATGCCAGGCATCGAAGGAGACGGGAATTTGAGGAAATCTTTTGGCGGCTGTCCGGCCCCAGGCCCCGCTCTCCATTCCAGGGTTCAATGTTGTTACGCGGCCTGCAGCTCTTGGCAGTAGGTTCTGAGCACCGTTGGCTCCTGTTATTACACATGTACAACATCGATCTAGAATTTGTGCTGATATTCCCGCTCCTCCCTTTCTTTCTACCTTCAGGGTTGGACAATTGAGTGTCTATGACCATGCTGATCCATCCTCCACTACCTAGACATTAATTGTCTCGTGCGAATGCGTTCGGCCCATGAGCTTGTTGACAGCTCGATCGAGCATCGATGGATCCATGGACACCTTATGACAAGTATCCGGACTGGATTCGATATAATTGTCCTTTCCTGCTCTAATCGTGAGCACGTGTGTGCGCGTACTGAAAGTCGCGATCTATTTGTGTCAGAGTCAGCGATGATAGGCCACTGTAATGCAGCAACGAGCGCCTGAGAAACTTGTACTTACCCACAGTTGACATTTCAGCCCTGCAGGCAATCCCGGCGTGACGACAGACATTTCTATACAGAGTTCGAAACCTCTGTTCCGTGCCAACCAAGTCTTCAGCGCGGCCGCGGTCTGACCTTCGATATGCGGTCCGGATACAAGGAGATCGCCGTCAAGCATTGGCCCGTGAGGTCCGAGGCCAACCGACACGTCAAGCAGACGCTCGAAAATCGCCTTAATGTGGTTGTCGGCTTCAGGGCTGAGCTTACCAGTGACAATTCGACCTCTATTATTGGCAGCTCCGGCTGTGTCATTGAATTGCCAGTTGAGTGGGTCCGTGTTGCGTGGAAACATTGCGCTCGCTGCATCTACGACCAGCATCTGTAACCTGGGTGTCGCCTGGATAGCGGCTTTGAGAGCCTCGCAATTCATGCCAGTCGGATGAGAAGAAGCAATAAGGTACTGAACTAGTCCGAAATCTGGCGAGACAGGAATAGTGGGTGCAAGGGGATGCATCGACGCAGAAATGGAGCCGACCTCAATCGTTGCATGCTGGAGGAGGGCGTCTTTGGCTTCTGCAAAGTAGGTATGTGAGACAATCAATGATGGAGGCAGTGCAATCATTATCGCGCCGGATTGTCTTCCGACACCGCAGGCCACACGAAAGTCTCGGAATGCTTCCTTGAAGATTGCTCGAAGGATCTCGCTGGGTAAATCTGTCAGGCGTTTGCTGATTTTGCTGCGGTCGGCCGCCATTGTGCGGATGGGATATAGACGAGTTTCGGTCAGATCGCTCTCAAATGAAAATCCTTGGAATTATTGCGACAGTGAGCACGCCAATCGAAGTGCCGCGGAGTCGCGATGTCATGAGTGGAAGTGTCTGTGTCGCGATTGAATGAGAAGAGCATGATATTCGACTTGACGCTGTCGGCCAAAGTAGCAGCCTCGCCCAGCCTCGTCGCGGTCTCCTCGTGTAGTTAAGTAAGCCAACTTCGTGATGTGATCCGGAGCGCTGTCGATTCCAGCGTTTGCGCATGTTTCAGGCGCCAGCGACAGGCAGATACGCACTTCCCAATCGGTCGAGCTACACACCGCAGAGACTAACAATTGCAATCACTGAAGTCGATGATGCCATTTTACGGCAGTTGTGGCAGCCTCTGTATTTTGCCGGTAGACTGAGGACTTCTACGTTCTTTGTTGTCCACTGCATGTTCAATCGTCCGAATCGGGCGGCGTGACCTCCCGGGCCAAGTTCTCACGCGGCGCGCGTAGGATGCCAAGCTTATGCTCCTAATCGGGTCTAGCCTTTTCGTCGCCTCCTCCATGAGCTTGTTCTCTTTGCTCTTCCTGTTCTTCTTGCATAGATTGCGATACAGCGGCATGCACCGAAAACTTCATGGCTCTACTACATTTGAGAGGGTGCTACCCGAAAGCTATCGAAGGAATGTCTCTGACCCTCGTGCAGGCAGGATCCGGTCAACTGCTCACACTTCGTTGAGTCCCGACAATTGTGGACGCCACACGCCGGAGAGCCGGTCGATAGATGACAGTAGATAGCTTCACGAGGCGCGGAGTAGGCTCGTCTGGAATCGCGTACTGATGGGAGCATGTTCTGCCATACGGACGACATTCAACAACAGCATCCCGGGCGCCATTACAACCCATGTCCTTCCTGAACTCTCACATAGTACGCCGTCTGATCCAGTCACCTCTTTGTATAGCTGACCGCCTGTGGTGGGGTTCAGTGAACGCCACCACATCCTGGACATCGAAGCTATCTAATGCTTTGTGGGCATAAAGTACTTAGTGGTGCCCAAGACAGCTTCATTCCGTGTCTGACCAATCAACGCTTGCCACGCCCCTCAGTACCTAACAAAGAAGGCAACACGTCTGCCACCATTCAGGTTGACAGGTAACGACTCATAGGGCTCGCCCGCCCCGCGCAGGCTGAATGTCGATCAGCAGCCCATCATGTCGCGAAGATGCGCTGTCCTTAATGCATATCCACATGGAATTATTGCTGTGTTGGTCTTACGAAGGAATGCTTCTATGCAAGATGGCTTCCATGCCACCAGGGCTCAGGAGGCCAGGTCTGCTTTTGATTTGTCGCCTCATCATGCATTGATGCACTCGCTCCGGCATGTACGCCCCGATCTGCCTTGATGCTCAGCGCGGCTCGAGCACGTGCAGTCTCGCTGCGACACAGCGAAATAGAGCAGAAGGACATATAACTAGGTATACCAGCAGCCGCTCTGGCCTCACTTTCTTTGTGCACAGCCAGGCCACCGAAGAACTATCGGAGCAGCGGTAATTCACTTTTGGCTGTCCGTTTCCCAGATCTGTTCCGCAACACTTTCGCTGACAGGCAGTAGACTCAAGAGTATCGAACTACAGCCCTTCATCAAGGCCTTCATCGCAAGACTCGATCGGTGGTCTTAAATAACCGACGCTCAAGGTCACCTCTACTCGCATCCTACACCAAACAGCGTCATCACTCGCTATTCTCCACCAGCAGCAGCAATGGCCTCTGCAAGCTTCTCGCCTCCAGTCAACAACGCTGAAGTCGAAGTCACAGTAACCGTCAAATATGAACTTGTCTGTACTCCGTTCGGACCAGTGTGGGTGCCGAAGTAAACATGTGGGCGACGATGTGTCACGAGACGTGCGAGCTGATGGTCGATGCACGAGGCCTATCTTTTCGCACATCTGAGCATAGCCTCGGAGCGTCAGTCTTCCGAGACATCATGACCATCAAGGACTGCCTTAGCGGAAAAGAATTGCCCGCTTTGGTCGATATGGAACATGAACCAACAGCAAGGCAAAGTAATTGATTGTTGTCTACCGTCGTCTCTTATGTTGATGTACCAGGAAGCGTCCAAGGTTTAACAGAGCTCCGAGCAACCGAAATTTTCAGTTCACTCGAACCAATGTGTGGCCTGCCAAACGTTCGTGAAGTGGCCGCCTTGCCAAATTCTTGTTCTGCTAATTTGAAATGGATCAAGCACTCGGTCGTCTCTCCTTCACGTCTCTCTCCTTCCACTATCTAGTCTTCGTAAACTCAAACATTTCTTTGCAATTCTCCCAAACCACGAGCTCCAGACCTTACGCATCGACGTCCTCTCCCAAACCACGAGCTCCGGACCTTACGCATCGAAGTTCTCACTGCGTCGACTCCAAAAGGTCGCCGCATAGCAACCGATCATGGCGCAGTCAGAGACCGATCCGGTAAGTCTTCGCCGTCGCAGTCGTCAATCCTCCTTACTTCGCATCTCTTGCTGACCAGTCCAGCAGGCCTCCAAAAAGTCAAGTCATGTCCAGAAAGTCGCCACAACTTTCATGACTCTACCGACCGAAGTCCTTGAGATCATCCTGAAGGAGGCGTTCCGCGACCCCTGTCTGCAAACAAGGCTTGTAGAATCGTTCAACACGTTGTCGGTTCGAATCGCTCTGCCTCAGGCTATTCTTGTCTCACGAGACTACTTCAAGGTTGCGAAACAGGCAGCGCTCCAAGAAGGTTCAGTGTGCCTCGCGGGTATCCCGCGTCGCTTCTGGCACATGAATGTCCGTCCCAAAACATCCCACCCCAAAATGACTGTGTCTCCGGACTTCCATCAAATACAACATCTCACCCTCCAGAAGATCGAGTCCGACATGTCTCCATACTCCACGAAGAATCTGAAAGCCATCGTCAAAGCTGCACCGCGACTGCGGAGACTCGTTGTGCAACCGAAGTTCAAGATTTGGTTGATGTACGAAGATATGTCACCCAACTCCGTCGAACTCGATCGTGATGCAGTCGATGAGGAGATGAGTATCCCACTTAATGACACACGCTCTGACTACATCAAGCGTAAGTTCGAGAAGAGGATCGACAAATGGCCTACGAGCTATGATAATATGGACTGGCACTATCTTGCTGTCGCTCTGTTGGCCTGGACTACACGAAACAAGACATTCGAGGTCTCTTTGGAGGTGAATGTCAATGATTTGGTCGATGAGTGGCATCTGTGGGTAAATCGCCTCGATAAGACTCCACGCTTATCATTGCTAATGGCTTTTCGTCATGCAGACTGTCAAATCCAGTACAAGAACACATGCACTAGCCATCGTACCTGGCAGAAACAACATCAAATACGCCGAGAATGGGGAACCGGAGAAGATAATCGCTATGAGCTCATCACTTTTTGACGATATGTGCAACAGTCAGGCTGGCCAGAAGAGACTTCGCCGAACCAGAGCCGCATGAAGGCAGCAACATGATAGCGAAAGCCCTGAGTGGACAGAACCGTCAAAGTACATGACGATGTCCAGTGGCCTCGACGGTGCTGTCCTCTGTCCACGCTAGAGCGGCTCTCAAGATAGATATGGACCTGCCATTCGGCGCTGGCGTGGTATCCGAACGAGGGACTTAGTGCTTCAGTATGTGCGACATCGACTGCGACAGGAGCGGCGGATTTAAATCGCGGCCTTCATGGCGCAGCGGCGTCCGTCAACGTCTCTTCTGCATAGAACCACGCAGCGTAACTGGAGCCGAGACTGTCATCGACGATGGGTAGCTCCTACCAACTTTAGAATCAAGCCCTTCACACTACGTCACTTGACACGAGTTGTCCGCTGGCAACCACAAGGGAAGTGACTGCCGTCGTGACTCACACAACTGTCACTTGGGTGCGGCATCACGCTCGAACGACTCTCCGTTTCTTTGAACTTCTTTCATCATCCTTTCACCATCTCGCATCTCCTCGACAATCACAGTAGAAGACCACGCTGATCACAAGTATCGTCTTTGATAGGACACAGAATATCTCCCGGAGATGGCGCCACCAGTATTAGACCCTGTAAGTCATCATCATCCTTGTTATGCATGTCATTCGTTGGCCGCGTTGCTGATGGTCTCAGGAGGACTCCCGCAAGATGTCGGCTCAAGCGAGTGACGTTGTCCCAACGCTGATGAGCCTACCACCCGAGATCCTCGAAATCATCTTGAGAAAAGTTTTCTCTGACCGATGTCTACACGCCAGCATGCGGCGTTTTCCCAGACTGAATATAATGCTTCCCAAAGCTATTCTGGTATCGAAGGCGTACTTCAAGGTCGCCAAACATGCAGCGTTACAAGACTCGATGATCATTGTCAGAGACACGTGTTATTTCTGGTCCAAGGACTGGCTCGATGAGACTCTCGACATCACAGTCTGCACAGACTTTCAGACCATACAGTACCTCACCATCCTCAACATGAATCAAAGCACCGACAAGCCCTACATCGAGGTTCTGGAAGCCGTGCTCGATGCTGTCCCGAACTTGCGGAGACTAGTTCTGGGCGCACTGAATACCGTACGTCTGCAACGGGACGACTTCATATGTTTGCGACAGGAGCACTTCAGCTACGTGCCCGACGATGAGTCGTGCACCGATAACCTTGGTAACGTTGCCGTCGCTCTCCATTCAAAGGGCGCCCTGGCCATCAAGACTAGCTTCATGGCACACTTCCTTCCAGACCGGTATCCGTGGGACCCCTACGGGTGCTTTCTCGCTGCCGCTATAGAGACATGGTTGGTACAGGACGTTGGTGTTGAACTCTGTTTGGAGGCAGAGGTCGGAGGAGAAGTGGGCGGAGAAGACCCAGACCCTTTCTGGCAACCTTTTTGCTTGTGGGTGAGTGCTCTCAAATAAGAACGCCCGTCTCCTTTGTTCACCTTGAACTGACCTCTGTGCAGGCTGCACGTCTGAACCTACGTCGAAATACTTTGTCCATCATACCAGCATGTGAGAACTCGAGGCATGTTGAGGGTGGCGAGCCAGAGAGCATGATGAAGATGGATCCATCGTTTTTGTTGGATAGCCTCAAGAGTCCGATAGCTCAGGGAAGACTCCGTGCGTATAAGGCAGAGTACAGAAAAGACTAGGCGAACGCCAGGTCAAAGAAGTATACCTAGAGATCGCTCAATCGCACGACGATGTCTTTGCTCGCTCCTAAGACGGAACGGCCTCTCAACCTGACAACGGCCAGGCATCTGACTGGGTCGGCGAGTTTAGGGTCTCGCATTGAGGCATTCAGACTCCTTCACTTGAATCATCTTCTCGTCCGGCAACCGCGAGTGATGTGCTTGCCTTGACAGTCACACATTTGCAACTCTGCATAGAACAACGCGCTCAAACCGTTATTCTCCTTTACACCTCTTTCAATATTCTTTGCTTTCATTCCAGCGGCCTCTCCAGCACGAAACTCAACAATTGCGGATCGCAAAGTCTCACCACCAGTTCATCGCCTTCATCAAGCATGGAGCCGCAGTCGATGATGATGCCGCCGGATTCTGTTCTCGTAAGCCCTCGCCATCCTTGACGTCTTTGTCATGCGTCTCATTGAGTCTACTTGTTCATTTGTCACGACAGGAACCTATCAAGATCTCAACCCAAGCCGCGAATATCACCAGTCTTATGAGCCTACCTACGGAAATACTTCAGATGATTCTCAAGTATGCATTCTGCGACCTGCGTCTTCAGACCACGCTTCGGCGTTCTTCCAGCATGTTGATGATCGTGCTGCCGCGGGCTGTTCTGGTCTCAAGAAAATACTTCGAGCTAGCCAAACCTGCGGCACTGCGAGAATCGATGATTGTCCTAGATGAGTCCGATGATAGTCTCGAAATGGATATTGCGATTGCCGACATCACAGTCTCAAAGGATTTTCAGGTTGTGCAACATCTCAGCATGTACCGAGGCGTGACTCGGCCATATTTCGCTTCCTTAGAAGCTGCTCTTGCGGCTGTAACAAGCCTGCAGAAGCTAGTCCTTGGCGCACCCGACTCGACATGCTTGCCCGGTTACATTGGGCCCAAGTGGTTTGTTCAGATCGAGGAGTCCGGCACGGAGATTGACAAGCGGTTCGATGTCGGGCTTGGTTCGAGTGGCGCTAGGGCCATCAAGATCAACTTTGAGGATGACTTCGCTCTTCGTGGTGATCGCTCTCGCGAATATTGTTGCTTCCTTGTAGGCGCTCTGGAAACCTGGTTGGCACGCGAGGAGGGCTTCGAAATCTGCATGGAGGAGGAGGTTTGCGGCGACATGGCGCAGCCCTCCATGGCGGGCTGGTGTTCGTATCCGCACTTGTGGGTGAGTCCCCAAGACGATAGTGCACATTCGATTTGGACGTTCCCAGCTGACCTTCTGGTGTAGACCGCAGCTTTCAGCACTCGTAGGCAAGGTCTGGCCATCATACCAGGGAAAGACAACTCCAATTACTCCGAGAACGGTACCCCGGAGAGCGTTATTCCAATCGATCCCTCCTTCTTCAGAGAGGCACACAGACATACTGCTCTTCAGATGAGGCTACGAGAGTACAGAAAGACCTTCGCAAAATGGTACACCGGCACGCACCGCGACTGAGACGGGCGTCTAGGCGCCGATGAGCCACACAACGGTAATTCTCCAACACCAGTTCTGGCTGCTCGATTGGAGCAAAGCATCGGACAAGTAGGATCGGCGAAGGGTATTCGCCATGTGGGCGAGAAGGACATGAATTGATCATCTGGATCTTCACGCAAGCCTCATCAGGAGAGCCTGAATGCACTTCCAACCAGCACTGGAGATACAAAGCTCGTGCAGGCGCAATCGAGGGCCGCACCAGGTTGGGAGAACGATAGCCAGAATGGGCTTGTGACAGAATGGAGCACCAACCATTCGCAAGTCATACGGAAGTCTAGTCAGCGCGGTGATACATGCCAGCGTCCACCGTCCATACCAGACTTCATTGAACCTACTGAATATACCATCGCGTACTCAACAAGGTCAGCCAGATTGGCAGATGCAGAAGTTACCCGACACATACATGTGATGAAGCAAATCTGCAGCTGTGTTTCAGTCCAGTGCTGATGCGTTCCGCTCCAGCTGTATAGCCAGCCACACCACCGCACCTTGCCGATCCAGCAACCTGAAGCCGTTTATCATATTGCATTGTTTTCACAGCAAGGTTGTCACTTCCGCGACATCTGCAGTGGTGGTCGGGATAGAGAATCGGCGTGGAGATCCGAGGTAACATCTAGCCAATCAACATGAAGCAGCGCCAGGCAGAACCAATATCTGCTGGTGTCACTACGAACCTTCAACTTTGGTTCAGGGGCACACTTTCGCTTCGGCGTATAGTCACGCCGTCGGTGGAGCTACTGCCCATCCCAAGGACGAAAGGCGGAGGAGCATGAACCTGTGCTCATCAACGTCGCGTATCAGGGTCTGTGTAATCAATATAAGTTCCGCTGGACGCGTCGTGTCTGGTGCGGGTACTCGACAGCTCCATGCAACGACGAGACAGCCACCAACACCGTTGAGAGCCTCCACCCCTTCTCAAAGGGCCTTCACAACGACCCCTGTAAACATGGGCCTCGCCAAAGACATCCTCTCGCAATACAAAACCCTCCCTTACCCAACCAAGCCCTTCACCAACCAAACCATCGTCATCACCGGCTCCAACATTGGTCTCGGCCTCGAAGCCACGCGCCACTTTGCTCGTTTGGAGGCCGCGAAGATTATCCTCGCCGTCCGCAGTATCGAGAAAGGCGAAGCCGCCAAGGCGTCGATTGAGGAAAGAACGGCTCGCAAGGGGGTTTGTGAGGTGTGGGAAGTCGATCTCAGCAGCTATGAGTCCGTCAAGCGCTTTGGACATCGCTTGGAGACGCTGGATCGGCTGGATGTGTTCGTTGCGAATGCGGGGATTAACACTCGGAAGTGGACCGTGGTGGAGGGCATGGAGAGCCAGATCGTTGTTAATTGTATTAGTCCATTGCTGATGGGGATTATGGTGCTGCCGAAGCTACGGGAGTCGGCGGTGAGGAATGGGACGGCGGGTGTGCTTACATACACGGGCTCGTTTGTGCATTGGTTGACGGCGTTTCCGGAGAGGAAATTTGAGAGGCTGTTTGAGGGGCTGGCGGAGAAGGAGAGGGCAAGGATGACGGATCGGTATAATGTGAGCAAGATGGTGGAGATGTTGGCGGTGAGAGAGTTGGCGGAGCAGGTCACGAGGAGTGGGAAGGAGGGGAGGGTGGTGGTGAGTCAGTCGAATCCGGGATGGGTGGCTACGAATATTTCGGCGAGCGAGCCGTTTCCGTGGTTTGTGAGGGCGCTGAAGAAGGTTATGGCGAGGGATACGGAGATGGGGAGTAGGACTATCGTCAATGCGGCTGAGGGCGGGGAGGAGACGCATGGGAAGTATCTGAGTGATTGTGCGCCTGATGTGTGAGTTCTTCTGGATTTGTGATCGTCAAGGAGTGCTTTGCTGACCGGAGGTGCAGGATCAACCCGTTCGTGACGAGTGAAGACGGTGCTCAGGCTCAGAAGAAGGTATGGAGCGAGCTGTGTCAGCTGCTGGAGACTATCGAACCCGGTGTTACCTCCAATATCTAGAGGCCGAGCGTGTACTGCAGATGGTTACCGTGCGACACCGGCGGCGACGAACCGTTGGGAACGGAAGACAGGAGAGTGTCGTCGAGTTCACAATTGCGAGTACTCCACCATTCGCGTTACTTCAGTTGACACTGTTCGTCGCCTAGCACCTGGGCAACCACAAGTGAAGTGATCGTCATCAGAGGATTAGCTATACCCTTACAAACGGACCTGGCGCCTGATCGTTCCTATCCCGCCTCGGAATCTTCCCATCATCGTGGACGGTTCGAGGTTCTCTCTTCCATCGACTATTCTTCGGTGTTCGTATCATCGATACCGAGACACTGGGTGCTTGCAGTCATCGCCCGTAATACGGCGAAGAGCAATCCATCATGACACAATCAAGCTCTGATCTCGTAAGTAATCATCGCCGTTACCAGTATTTCTGCGCTCGAGTATCTCATTGACCATGGCAGAAGGCCTCTAGGGCGTCGACTCGAGGCGAAGATGTTACCAGTCTCATGAGCCTACCAGACGAGATACTCGAGATGATCTTCGAAGAATGCTTCCGCAATCATCGCTTCCACGCCAGACCCATGAAGTCCACCAACAAGTTGATGGTCGATCTTCCTCGAAGTCTCCGAACGTCAAAGCGTTTTCGCAAAATTGCACAACCTGTGGCCCTTCATCACGTTTTCATCAACCCGCCGTCGCTCACAACAGGTGACTCGAGACCCTCGGGCATCCTTGTCTCTCTAGATGTCAGTGTCCTACAGAGTCTCAAGATCAACCACCCCTGGAAGCTGCGCGACGTCAAGTTCTTCAGTAAGACCATCAAGGCTGTACCAGGCTTGCAGAAATTGATTCTGTGCTCACCGTTCAGAATCCCAATGCTCCCAAGACAGGTGGAAAGCCGAGTGGTTGATGATTCCCGCCTGAACAGCGAGAGTCCACTACATGTCGCGCTCCGGGGAGACGGTACTGATGCTGTCAAGGAATGCTTCACGAAAATTTTGGAAAGATGGCTTCTCCCAGGATTCTTCGATTCAAACTGTCAGTTTGCAGGTGCTCTCGCGGTCTGGGAGGCTGGAAACAAGAGATTCGAGTTGTGTATCGAAGCTCCCGTTGTGTACAAAATGAATTTTCCACTGGACAACACTGCGCTTCTACCATGCCTAGAGAACCGGAAAGTGCACCTCTGGGTATGTACATGCTTGTCCCCTGAGCAGTTATGCTTTGCTTGGGCAACCCAATCTGACTTTTGTCCACAGACTGCGAGATTCAGTACCCATACCCAAGCCATCGCGATGATGCCCGGCAAAGACAACTGCAACACTACTGTGTCCGGCGACGGCCATCTTCGTGCAATCGAGTTTGACAAGGATGAGCCCGACTCTGTGATTCCTTACGACATATCGATCTTCGACGAGATAATCAACAGACCTGCTTCTCGAGAATCTATCGAGCGAGTCAAGAACGCTTGAGGAAGAGCCTCAGGCTCTCTTCGTCAGACAGGCAGAGCGTACGGGCGGCTTGGAGCTTGGAGCAACGACGGTAAGTGGCCATGACGGGTGCTCCTGTAGTCCAGACTGGCGAGGGTCTGATGTCATGAGTGAGCTGCCTCAGCCTTTCCATCGCCTGTCCGAGGAAGCTTGATCGCAGAGCCTTAACCCATGGTTGGAGTCTATCATCTGCAGTAGCGAGCTCAACAGTCACGGTTGTAAAAGTCCGACACACTCGTGTGCCAAAAGCCTGCATGCCAGAACGACGATACTAAGGCGGATGAGGGAGTCATACCGGGCGTACTTGAATCACAAACACGTAAAGGACCACGTATGGGAAAGCATAGGACAGATACGCTTTGAAAGAAAGGACAACTAGAACTAGCTCTTACCATACCAGCCGGAGAAAGAACCTCACAGTGTGCCGTGATCTGCACCAGCACTGTCACCTGGAAGACTCACCTAGAAACTGATCCTCGACTCCGCATACCTCTCCGGCCACCTCGCCTCATCAGCCAACAACTCCACCTCCCCAGCCAGTTCCAGCACATCCTCCTCCTCATCCACCGCATCGTAGCCCTCCACATCATCCCCAAGCTCCTCCGCCAAAGCCCGCTGGTACGCCTCATCCTCCTCCTCATCCAGCGCCCTTTGGATAGCCTCATCCTCCTCAATCTCCTCCCTCGTCCTCACAGTCCACTCCCACATATCCCGCACATTGCCATCTGAGTAGAGCAGCTGGCCTGTTCGGGCGTCGATCACGCCGACCTGCCACGGTCCGGGGACGCCGCCGGCGGCTTCCAGTGCTTGCACCGTTGGGAACGTCATGATGGCGTCCTTCGATGCTTCATGCCCGGCAGCTGCAGTAGGCATAGCTACGCCGTTGAACAGAGGAAACGAGCTCGGCTGCACAGCGTGCATAGCGCTCCATGTAGAGTCGGGCTGGATACCGGAATGCCAGTAGTGGACTGCGGGTCGATGGATGCAGTGCTCGAATATCGAGCGGTAGAGGGCAACATAGCGCGGGAGCGTACGGATGTCGTCGGAAAGGAGATATCTCGGAAGGACTTCTAGGTACTCGAGGGTCTTCTGTAGGATGGGTGAGTAGAACTCTTCAGGGGTTGGGGAAAGGGGTGTGGGTAGCTCCTCGATGGTCTGGGATGATGATGAAGAGTCGGAATCGTCGTCAGGATCCATCCCAGGCTCCCATCTCAACAAGCACGCCAGTGTGTGCGCAAGCAACTCAAAGTCATGCGCAATGTTAGTCAAGAATGCTGGTGTCGTCTGCGACATCAGGAACTTGCCCATGCCGGTTGGGTTGAAGCCATCCATCCACCCCACATGCGGAATGCCTGCGTTCACAGGCGCCCTACCTGCTTGGGGGTGATCATCGAGCTTACCGTATGAACTGTCCACGACACCTTGCTCGAATGCGTGCGCATGGCCGAAATCGCCGATATAGAAGTCTGGCAGGAATGCGCTTTCCGGCCAGTCCACGAAGATGTTACCAATGTGCGAGTCCCGATGTGCGTAGCCTTGAAGGTGCATCTGATGCATCGCTGGGTAGACCTGAGCCAGGAACTTCCATATGATCGCTTCCGGGACACGATGTCCTGCCTCGATGAACTCTGTAATTAGGTGCTTGATGTCGCTGTGGTTAGCAAACGCCCAGTAGGTCACGCTGGAGGTGGCACCGGTGTCCGGATGTCTGTACTGCTTTGACCACACGCATTTGATCACGTTCGGGTGGCAGATCGAGTCGGCGATCACCAGCTCATTCATTTGCGCAGCGTTGTACTCGAGTTGGCGTTTCTTTCGTACGAAGAGCTCACCTGTGACAGCGCATCGGACTAGGACTGCGGTCCCTTGGATGCCTTTGCCCAACTCGCGGACGTGGAAGTAGCCGGTACCTTCGGCGTAGTAGAGGCCGTACCGCACTGGTACGGCTGCTGGTAGTTGTGATTGCATCGTGGTTGTTGGGGGTTGTGTCTGGACCGTTGCGTTTGTCTGGACTCGATACGTGTGCGCGGAACGGTCGGGAAGAGGCGTTGAAGTTGGCTCGCTGAGGGCATCGCTGCAGCCTTGACTGTAGTCAATCGACTGTGCGACAATCGACAACAAAGGGCGTCGCTGTGACAATGGATATCTTGAGACTATACAAAGGTATCAACGTTGTCGCAAGACCAAGGATCGATCTCGACATTGTGCAACGAACAAGACGAGTCTTTGCTTTCTTTGTTGTGATCAAGAAAGAAATTGAACTCGGTATTGCGCTGGGGCGGCCTGCGCAGCAGCGTCGTTGCCGCTCAACATTCTGGGTAGTGCGTTGGTGAGTTGCTGCCAAGCATTTTCACGGTTGAGAGGGCACACCTGGGAGTGTTAGCAGTCGAAGGCGCCATGGACATAGAGACGCGCAGACAGGTAGGAATAGTCCTCGATATCGTTGGTTCGCCGAGCAGGTGTCCTCTCTAGTGCAGTTGGTGCAGATAAGCTTACACCTTGCCATCTTTGCTCTGGTGCTCTCCTGCTCGCTTCTATGTGCGACTCCACATCGTTCTGAATAAGTGTATCGCCCTTCCATCAGCAGCGGTGCTGCTGAGTCCTTCGAAGAATGATGGATCCATAGGTACGACAAGCTCTGTTCCGGTCTTCTGGAAGTATTCCGAATTGTCTTTGGCGGGTGTGACTCCCAGGGCTTGTGTACGCGTGCTGAACACTACAGTCTGTTGGAAATGTCAACTGAGCTGCTCATGTTGCGGGAGGTTCTTCAACACAGCGAACCACTTACCCAAAGATCCCATTCCATGTCCCAGTACTCATCATAAAAGTCTTGAGCAACGCCCGAAATGGTCACCTCCACGCATAAGTCGAATTGCTTGCCCCGAGTCAACCATGCATCGAGCGCGCCAGCGAACTGACATTCACTGTTGAAAGACGACGGGTTGAAATGTTTCTGGAGTACGCCCTCGAATTCGGTTTTGATGTGGTCGTCGCCACAGGTACGGCTAACCGAGAGTGGAACAATGAACTGGGGTTTGTCGAAACTGGTCCTGCCACGCAGATGCCATTCAGATTGGAATTCTAGGTTGACACTGGTCGGCGCAATGAGGATCAACTTCTGGAGGTCTGGCACAGCCTCGAGGATGTTCCTTATTATGACAGCATAGCTTAGTCCCCAGCCATCCAGAATTGTGAGACATTGAACCGAGCGAAACTGAGGAAGCACCGTCAGAGTCCGCCTCGGATTGAACGAATAGACGCCCTTAGTATTCGCGCCGATGGTAGCTTGTCGAAGTGCTGTCTCGCGAGCCACCATGAGATATGACTGCGATACTGCAAGAGACGAAGGGTAGCTATCGCCATCGTGTTGGTGGATGATATAGCCTTGACAGGCAGGTTTACGTCACGGATAACTTCTTTGAAGATCATCCGGAGTATTTCGATCGGCAAATTCATCAGTTGAAGAGATTCCTTGTCTTCAACGGACATCGTGAGGGATTGCGCCTGTATAATGGACAATTAGCGACGTGACGTCCTGATCAGTGACAACGACTTAGGCTCCCGGTCGTGGGTGGGTCGTTGGCCGGCGCCGAGATGTTGGTGAGGGCTGTCGAAGTCATCAAGGACGCTGAAAAGCGAACGGCCTCAAGAACGCCCTGTGTGGGAATGTGATGTGGATGACAGAAGTCAGCTCAATATGAGTTAGTAGTAGTTGACTCGGAGTAGTTGTCGACAGTCAATCAGGTGAGTGAAGAGCTCGAACGGTTAACGACGCAATCAATTTCCGGATCACATCGCACCTGCCGTTTACGACCATTGAAGTTCGTTTGTGTTATGGAAGGTGCCAAGACCGCAGTCACGGTGTTGACTTACTTGTGCATTTTACACCGAGTGACGGAAAGACCAGTACGACTGTGCTCGAAGTGGCTGGCTCTATGAGTTGCATGGCGGCTTGTTGTTGCTTCTCAGCGCCCGGAGGACTCTAATGTGTTCTACATCTGGGATTTCGCGGACTTCCAAGAGGTTGTGCGGACCAAGTCCAGAGGTTGCTCCATTGAGCGATCGCGACCTATCTCGATCCGGCCTTCGCTCATATCCACCCCGCTTGCTCGCTGGCTGACTATCCCGAAATATCTTTCATTGGACGAACACGATGAGAGTGCCGTGTTGCTTGGTGATGACCAGGATTCTTCCACACTTTTGGACGGAAGGAAGTCACGTGAGCTACTTGGCGTAGAAGCTATAGTCGTGCAAGTGCATACCTTCGAAAATGTTATCCCAGGCTGGACGTTCCACATCATAATTGTTCCTAATCTTATCGAGCAATTCCAGGCAGGCGGAGCTGTCGCAAAGTCTGTCGAAGAGAGCTGGATCTGTAGTGATATCGGATTCCTGCTCGCCTCGTTCGCGAATGTGGTTGCCTTCGCCTGGTCCGATCTTGAGGTATTGTTCATGAGTACTAAAGGTGACATCCTGTTCATGGTCAGCAAAAGACTTGTTCGGTCAAGAGTCTATCCTCTCTGCACTCACCCAGAGATGCCGGTCCTTGTACCTCCAAGGTGGCCGCTGAGGAGTCCGAAAGTACTTGCATCCGCGCACGTTGAATTTCAATCGGAGCTCGAACTCCTTGCCCCGGGACAGCCATGCCTCGAGAGCAACAGCAGCTGCAGAATGTTCATAAATGAGCCTAGGATGGAGGGCTCTGAGCAAATTGTCCTCGACTTCCCGCTTGATGTCTTGTTGGAAATTGGGCCCAGGCACGGCAGTGAACCAATTCCAGTCGCCGTGGGCATCGTGGCTGATTGAAGTCCACTGCTGAAAGTTCCCCGACGCTGAGATTGAGGGCCCCTCTACAGTGACTGTACGCAGTCGTAGTGCGGAGGCGAACAGGACTTTCAGGTTCTTGATGGAACTGTCACTCCAGCAGTGCTGGGCAGTCAGATTCTGTATGAGGCCAAAATCCGGGTGAAAGTTGATTGGGAGGTATCTTTCGTGTCCGAAGTCCTCCTCGCGGAGAACAACCATTGCTTGCGATAGCACGTCAGCTTTAGCGGCCTTGGAGTACTCGAAAAACTTTCGTGACACCAGAATGGAATGTGGATGGGGTATTATCAATGTTCTAGAGCGTTTGAGGAATCGAACGCGCAGTTGTGGTGCGTAGGACACTATTCGGAAGATCATGTGCAGTATCTCTGGTGGCAGGTCCATAAGTTTCCGAGGAGCAGGATAAGTTTTAGGTTCGCTGGCAAGTTTCGACCGCTGAACGCGTCGTTTCCGCCGAGGAGCTCGTGAAGGGAAGTTGTCGTCCTCGAAAGAAGACCATGGCGTCTGCATACGTTAGCACTTGATGGTCAGTGGTCGATGATAGACTCACAGGTGGCGAGAAGCCCTCAGACTCAGCAGGGATTTCGAGTACTGCAGATTCTGGCACCGCGCCGACAGTACTGCATCGGCCTAAGCTGCTCACAGAACTCTCCTGATCGTCTTTCAATAGATGTTTCTTGGAAGCCAAATGTGGTCTGTTCGGGCCGAACTTGACACATCGGCGTAGGTGCACTGTATAGGCATCGCGATTGAATTGGCTCTATGTCTTGAATGGATTTCTGTGGCGCTGGCAGAGCTCGAAACTGCCAGCAGAAGAGTGGCGGGACAGGGACTGCTGGGTGAGCAGCAGAGCTTCAATGCTGCAAATAGGACTCTGTCGCAAGGTAAATGGCGCGAAGTGCTCGATCTGAGGAAGAGTAGACATAATCAAGGAGCTAGGTTATGTATATATCAGTGCTGTGAAGGTAGCTCATTACACGCTCGTGATAGATTCGCTGTAGATTGGAGTGAAGTGACGGGTGCCGTGGGATGTTGGATCTCATTGGCTGAGACTGGGTGACGGCGTGACAATGGTGACAATGGCGGTATCAGTGACCCTAGGCATCTTGTGCCAACTGCATCATCGAACCGCTGCACTGCAGCAGATCAATGTAGCGATGACCGCAGCGGATTGCAGTACCGCTGATCAAGCACACACAGCGAATCACCTGGCTCTCTAAACCAGACGAGAGATCATGGTGAGGTTAAATTCCGTCGAAGCTATATGTAAACTCGACTACTGATTTTGTCGACGTTTGCGCAGTGGGAGCACTTCCATCATTGTTTGCCAAACGACAATGCTTACGGACAACGACAATTTGTGTCTCGCGAACCCGGGACTTGGGAACAACGTCGGCGCTTATTTGGCAACAGTAGCACGTCGAATGCTCGTCGCGGAAATCAAGGAATCAGAGAGCATATGAACGACGAAGCTCGGGAGAAGAATGGAGTGATAGCTGCGAGCAGATCGAAGTGACCAGCATGTGCTTTCGCGACATCGCGAGCCCGCTGGGGGCGCAAGCTGTACCAGCAGTATCGCAAATGAAGTCTCATGGGCCCAAATATGCTCGTCGGCGACAATCGCGGCGCGGTGGTAACAAAGACATTCGATGCCAGTGGTGACAAAGCATCTGTAAGTCACGTGCCAATGTTCTTTGTGAATGATCAGCTCCGACCTCGGCAGTCCAGACTCGGAAGGGCCAGGAGCGGCTGCGTTTCCATCGGCGAGCTCATACAGCTACCTTTGCAGGCAGATCTTGACGTTACATAAATTCCGAGAAAGCTAATCGCATTAGATCTGGTGTGACTGCGACAGATCTTGGTTGCGGCTGGTCTAGAATCCGAACATTTGCGGGGATGTTTTCGACGCGGGTTAGCGGTTCCCCGCAAGGTCGAGTCGCGACGTGGATGAGCCGAAAAGTTTGCGATGATGCGACGGAGCGAGATCGACGGCTGCTATGAATGGCATGAAGTCGAGAGCGCGTTTGCGAATCGTAGTGTGTCATAGTAGGGGTGAGAGCTGATCGTATTTGAGGTGTAGAATTCCCCCATTTGCGCGAACACCGGCATTCTCTTGCTGCTATTCACAAAGGCCATTTTGAAGCCGCACACCTGCAGAGGTCTCCGTGTAGCCAAATCATCGCAGCAAAATGGGTTCTGTTGGACGACAGCCAGAGGTGATCACCTTCGACTACCAATTCGCGCCGAATGCGCAAAAGGCACGAAATCTGCTCAATGTCATGAAAATCCCATACACGTGCTGCGAACAGCCCTTCGTCCTCCCGCGGCCGAGTCTGACAGACATCGGCGTGACATATCGTCGAATTCCTGTCAATGCAATCGGCAAAGACTTGTACTGCGACAACAGACCATTTTTGGAGACAGTGCAAAAGATCTGGAAAGATAAGGCAATCCCGACCTCGCCGGCAGACCATGCATTCGAGAGCTTCGGGTATCGGACATTCTGGACTTGCTTGCAGCTCGTGCCTGCTGGCCTGATCAGTAAAGAGATGGCCAAGGATCGATCATCGTTATTCTCAATTTTCACACGTGACGACTATGGCGAGATCCGACAGAGCGCTCTTGGCGAGCTGAAGCAATGGCTCGATATCGTGGAACATGACTTCTTGTCACACGGCAAGCAGTGGATCGCTGGCGACAAGTGTGGCGCTGCAGACATACACGCCGGATGGATGCTGAAATGGGCGCTCCAAACGCTGGAAATCGAGAAGGAGGCCGGCTTTGGCGAGAACGACTTCCCCCGCGTCCACAAATGGATCAATGGCCTCCCTCGACACATTCCAGAGAATGACGCACCAAAGATCGAGGCAAAGGCAGCGCATGAGAAGGTGTTGAGTGCTGATTATGCGGTGGACTCGATTGGCGTGGCTGCGAACGATCCGACCGGCCTCAAGCAGGATCAGCCTGTGGTTGTGGAGACAAATGACGAGTATGTCCCGTTTCCCTCTTGCGTTCGTGCGTTGCTGACCTTCCCAGTGCCCGCCCCAGCGACCACCCTCAAGCTGGCAAGCTCAATGGTCTCAGCAACCGGGAGATTGTTGTTCAGCTGGACAATGGTCTTCGTCTGCATTTTCCCAGAATTGGCTATCGTGTTCGGGCGGCTTGAATCATGGTTGAGTAGCCTTTATTCAGTAGAACGCCGGTGCTGCGGGCGGTTTTGTAGAAACAACAGGATCTACCTCTGCGTCCGGGTGCGCCACGATTTTGCTGGCAGGGAACTCTTCAGCTTCTAGCATCTTTTTTCGCAGCCTTTCAGCTTTGCTCTTTGAGCGATTGTTCTGCCAGAGACGCTCTTCGCTCTCCAATTCCCGTAGTGCCTGCTCCCATTCCAGCTCCTGTGTTTCATCTCCAGTTCCCAGCATCTTCTCGACATCGACGTCCTCGCCATTCCCAAGTCTCTCGACAACTTCCCTCAACTGTCGCAGTTTGACATCTGCGATTCTATTGTCCTCACGCCGCTCGTTCTTGAGAGTCAAGATGCGAATGGCTTGAGATCCGATGAGGAGGTATATCCAGATGAAGAAATTGGCGGGATTCGTCTTCTTCGCCGGTTTGGGCTGCTGCGATCTTTCGCGTAGAGCTCTGGGTACCATGGATTGCCACATCGACGGCTGGGCGACTCTGGGAAGGTACGGTCGTTCTTCAGCAATAGTATGTTGTGCTCGCGTTTGTGCTAGTCGCGGATTGCGGGCAACCACCACCGGTAGTCGAGCCGTGACGCTCCTGCCCGACCGTGCTTGACACAAGTCCAGACATCGCCAACATAGCGGGCTTGCCCCTACTTTCATCGCGCCGTCACGACAGAGTTGTGTAATTTGGTGTGTGTGCTTGATTGGACTCGTCTACCCGTACTTTGTAACGCTCACAATGCCGGCGTTTAATTCATCGCCAAGAGCGCTAGATCGGAAATGGAAGGAGCCGCCGGCGAGACTTCCACTTTGGTCGTTGTCAATATCACGTCGTCGACGACTCTTTCTGGACGCGTCAGACATCATGTCGATGGTAAGAAGGCCACAGGGTTAGATTAGAGGCCGAGCGAATGAAGTCGGCCCAAGATGTCGCGTACGAGCGCGTATGTCACGCACTTGCTGATCTACAGACGGTGAGTGCGGACACCGTGCAGCTGCTCAACTCACTGCTACACGGCGAACCAGTGGAAGCGCCGAAGAAGCCAGCCGTAGTAGCAACAGGCACAAAAGCTCTCCCTCGGAGGCCCGCCGTCAAGCCGAAAGCTGCGTTAAAGCCCACGAGGACCGCCAAGTCTGTCAGCTTTAGCATTTACGAGCCACAGCCGCCGAAGGTCGCAGTCCTTGAACCCACGTGCAGGAAGAAGCTTGCGACCAAGGTCTTCAATACCACTGTCAAGGCCCTCAGTGACGCCGCCAAAGACCAGCTGTCTCACTCCGCAGCCCACCCCTCCAACGACGCGATCTCGACTACCAAACAGCAGACAACGCCGCAGCCGTTGAATGATCGACCACTCAATCGGGGCGAGAAAGCAGCACAGGCAACCAATAAGCCAGCAAAGACCGAGAATGTCGACTCGATTGCGAGATGCGCCTCCGATGCGCTGGATTGTCTGCGCACCCTGACAGCAGAAGACACTGATCCCAGCAATGCTGCCATTAATGGCGTCGAGAACGGCGGCCTCGTCCTCCTTGACAAAGCCATCACCCTGCAGCTCCTCGAAGTCGCCCAGAAACAGTCTGCTAGACTCCATGAGCAGTACTGGAAGAAGCGAAAAGCTCCGAATCCTGGCCCGGACTTCTCTTCCCGACTCTGCATGCAGAGAGCAGAGGATGCCGCAGGTCACAAGTTCGCAACGTCACTTCAGGCTCAGAACTTACGTCTGGCCATCCTCCAGGGCAAGTCATTTCTACAAGAAGGCTTGTCCTCTCGCATGGATCCCGATCTCGATGGCAGTCCACCCTGGATGGTCCTTGACGGACACGATAAGGGCTATCTCAGTCCAGATCTGTGCGGCTCTCAACTTCGCACTCTATCCTTGGCCTTGTCAAAGCTGCATTCTCTTAACGAGAAAGCATGTCCACCCACCCTACGAGACGAAAATCTTCGCCTAGCCACAACTGCTCTCCAGATCAAATGTCTATCATGGAAGTACCTGCAACACCAGCCAGACTTTCCTCGTGAGCTATGGGCGCCTTTCTCCAGAGCCGTCAAAGCGAGCATAACTGCTGCCAAACACCGGCCGGAAAGTGCATCGATAGCAAAGCAATGTATGGCGTCACTACAGACCACGACCGTGCGATGTGGATTTGTCACTTCTCCGCCGGCATCATTGCAAAGCTATTGCGGTGAAGTGTCCAGCTTGCAAGTTCATATCTCTCGCTCTTCGTCGAACGTGAGCGAGGATGCTAGTGACGGACTGTCTGCTATCCTCGATGTGGCAACTGCGGCATTGGCTTCATGGAAGAAAGACCCGCACAGTGCTATCACATTCGCTCCACAATGCATTGAGCTACTAGCAGCCGCAGATGAAGTACTCGCGCAGAAGCCCTGGCTGCTTGGCATTGCGCGCCTCCGGAGGACTGCTGCGGCAGCTATCACTGAAATTGCTGCAGCTACCGTCGATGATGAGGCAGTCCAGAATCGATCCGTCCCCTACACTGAATTCCAAGTTTCTGCTGTCCGCGTCATATTTGCCATCGCCGACGCGTCAAGGCGTCTGGCAAGTCTGCTCGAACAAGCAGCGAAATCAGCAGAGGGTCACACCCAAGAAACCGGCACGCTGCTCGCCTTCGCAAAGATCATCGAAGCAGTGCTCGGGCTGGACCCGCTGGGCGTGACTCGGAACCACTTACGAGACGAGATGCATGCAGCTCTTCTCACATGCGTGGCAATCGCAAAGTCGGTCCAGTCTCATCTCCACGGCGCTGGTCTGAGCGAGAGCGTCCGCGACTTCCTGCAGACAACGGCCCTTCGCGTTTCCCATGTATTCTGGAAGAGATATCTGGCGGCCACCGAACACGCTGCATCTACCAACGATCGCGTTCAGCTGTTGGAGCAGGCGATACAGGTCATGGAAGGGGCAACCAAGCAGCAAAGAAAGACGGCTTTAATAGCCATGAAGCATGAGAAGCTTGCCGAGTTGTATATCAGCGAAAAGAACTCCTCGAAGGCGCTTGTGTGTCTAGAGCAGGCTATCATATGTCATATGGAGCAAGACGATACGTTCCAGAAGATCACCGCAGCCGACCTACGCCAGGCCAAGTCGCCAGCAGCACGGGCCATGGGTACGATCGAACGAAGCCTCGGCCTCTACGTGCACCTCACGCTCGAGAATCAGTGCTACAATGCCCGAGGATCGTGGTACTACGATGATCCGGAACAGCATGATGCACTACGAGCCGCATTGCTAGAAGAGCAACTTCTGATCGTCGTTCAAGACGAAGTGGCCATGGACGATACCCGACTCTCGAGTATGTTGCAACTATGGGAGTCACTGTGCACCGGCCTCGATTATCAGTCGTATAAGCTAGGGTTCATCAGTTATGTGCTCTTCCTCCTGGCCAAAAGCAAACGTACCGATGTTGTCGAGATCATGGCGTCTTCCGAGACTATTCAGCGACTTGGTACCAGTGTCCCGAGCCGCGGCGAGATTGAGCATGGTCTACTGTTGCAATGGCTCACGCTCGCAATACAATGGGATCTGGCTGTGGGACGTTTGGACGAGGCCAGGTTGGTCATTCATGCGTCGGCTCTTCAAGATCTTGCACAACACGCCGACTTGGCCGTTTGTCTCATGAACGACACTCAAACATCTATACTCCGTTCCCAGATGAAGTCTATGAGCGATATCGCTGCAGTATATGGTATGCCGCAGACCCAAATACAGCTCAGCCAGATCCAGATACTGCTCTGGATGGGCCGGAAATCGGAGCGTGCCCAAGAGAGCCACGCAGGCATCCTCATAGACACCAGTCGGCAGATGCTCGAGCTCGACGATACAATCGGCGCAGGCGAAGCGCTCGCTGAAGCTGAACGATTGCTTGAGAAGCACAACGGTCTGCATGCTGAGTTGCTACTGACCAGTGCGGAATACCATGCTGCAATTGGCAACAACAAGGAAGTCATCCAGCTTCTTCGTGAAGCAGGCAATTCACCTACCCGACAGACGGACTCAGGGGTCAACTCTAGACTCGAACAGCCAATGCGTGTCTGTCGGGCGGCGGTATTAGCGTCAAGTCTATCAAGACAGAACGGCAACTTCGCACAGGCAACAACGTATGCTCGACAGGCCGTGAAGATCATCTCGTCCGTCTGGGCATCCTTCGAGTCTATGCTGAAGTCGGCAGCAACGAGCGACGCTAGCGTAAACGAGTCAACGCTGCAGAATATCACCCAGGATATGAGCAACCTCACACTGGTCGACGCCAGCCAGCATTCCTCAATCGATCCTCGAGGCGCAAAATACTGGAGATTGGTGTTCGTGCATCGGCAAGTACTACGGACGGCTGCGAATCTATATTCGCACATAGGCTTGTACCAGGACGCGGTGTTTATCGCACAACACGCTATGAAAGCTGTGGCCTGGACAGGGTGCCGCGCACTACGACAGGCAGTGAACTCCGAACTCGCTCTCATCTATGCTCAGGCATCGGAAAAGCAGCAGGCAATGTCCTTGCTGGGCGACACTTTGTACGACCAGGAGACCATCAACGCAACTTTGCAGAATCATAAGCTAATGAATTATGCTGAAGCCCTCATGCATCTGGATGACGAGCGTGCTGTAAATTTCTTCGAAAGAGTACGGCAGAAGGCAGAAGCAGCAAAGCCGACGACACAAGTGCGAGCCGCTGTTGCATCGAAACGGGCCAAAGCGACGAAGGCTGCCGCAAAGCCGGCTTCCAGAAAGCCTGCGAAACGTACAGCCGCGACTTCTTTGGCAGAGCCAGCAGCAAAGGCGCCTCCTGTGCCGTTGTCTGCCTCGGCAAAAGAGTTGCACGCACGTCTGAACATTCTTCGGAATCAACTCATGCTTGCCAAGGCGTTACAAGGCGAGGATGACGCACCAACCGAAGGCCTTGCGCGCCTCACGCCTGCCGAGATCGGATCACACGCGTTGCTACTTGCACAGAAGGCCTTTGAACAACTCTCAGCAGATCCTTCTAGCAACGCAGTTTGTGAGACAGCGTTGGCACTTCCCGTGCGCTACAAAGGTGTGAGGAAGAGTGGTCAAATGTCGCTTCTGCTGGAACAGTCCCCTGCAAAACCTGCGCGCAATGCAGACGAAGCCGACGCTCTGTCACATGCCTACGAGTGGCTGCGAATGGTCGACACGGCACGACTAGCAGTACTGCCGTCTGCAATGGTAGGATCTCTTTGCAAAGCTTTGTCGCAAGTTATCCTGCTGTCGACTGCCGCCGATAAGCCTCTGAACTATTCGCCTCTCAGCGTAGTGTTGCAAGCACTTAGGCCCAAGGATGTATCTAGAGCTCGAGAAAGATGTGCCATAATTACCGAGAGTAAGACTACAGCACGCGAGCAGCTTGAGATATGGCCAACCATCACTGATACGGACAATGATGAGGAGGACTTCACAGAGCTAATTCGCAGCCTTCCTAGCTCCTGGACGGTCGTCTCAATCGGCCTCAGCCACGATTCGAAAGAACTTCTCCTGTCTAGGATCCATTCCGGCACTACGCCATTCCTTATGCGAGTGCCGCTAGAGCGTCCAGGCGTGGACGACGACACACCGTGCGAGTTCACATTGGAATTTGCCCGGAACGAGCTGAAAGAGATCATTCAGAGGGCAAATGACACCTCACACGACGCTCGCGGCTATGGGGAGAAGCAAGCCCGCAAAGAGTGGTTCTTTGAGCGCGAGACCTTGGATAGACGGCTCAAGGTGTGGCTTGCGAACATCGAAAACATCTGGCTCGGTGGCTTTCGAGGCCTACTTGCGCCAGGGACCGCCGATCCAGCACTGCTGTCCCGCTTCGGTGAATCCCTTACACAAGCTCTGGACAAGCACCTGCCTTCTCGCCAGCAGAAGAAAGCCAGATCCAAGTCCAAGGTCCCCAAAATTGAGCTGCATGCCCATGTCCTATCCCTGTTCACCTCAATCGAGTTCGCTGAGGCATCTGTTGACTTCGAGGACTCCATTGTCGATCTTCTTTACTTTGTCGTCGACATTCTGCAATTCAACGGCGAACCCAATGCTTTCGACGAGATCGACTTCGACGCTCTGTTGCTAGAGACCACTGACGCCCTCCGCGCCTACCACGCCACGTTGCCAACTGACACGGAGACTCAACACATCATCCTCATTCTCGACAAAGAGCTACAATCCTTCCCCTGGGAGTCCCTGCCCTGTCTGTCCGGCAAGCCCGTTAGCCGCATGCCCTCCCTCGGCGCGATCCAAGAACGCCTCGCCCACATCCTGGCAACTCAACCCGCCTCACAGTCCTCCACGTACATCGTCCCCAAAGCAGCAAATGACGGCGCCTACATCCTCAACCCAGGCAACGACCTTCCCACCACCCAAACCAACCTCGGACCCCTCCTCAAATCCCAGCTTCCTAACTACACCTCATTGGTCGGCACGCCGCCCACTGAACAACAGTTCCTCTCTCTGCTCACCACCCACCCTATCCTCCTGTACATCGGCCACGGCGCCGGCACACAGTATATTCGTGGCCGCACCCTGCGCAACACGCAGATCTTCAGCGAGGGCAAGGAGAGACTCGCGGTAACATGGCTGATGGGCTGCTCGTCAGTCGCACTGAAAGAGTGTGGGCAGTTCGAGAGCTATGGCGTACCATGGCATTACTTGCATGGCGGGAGCATGGCTGTGGTGGGGACGTTATGGGATGTGACGGATCGGGATGTCGATCGGTTTGCCGTCAGGGGATTGGATAATTGGGGGCTGGTAAGCGTAAGGGAGGAGGGGGTCATGCCGGATGGCTTTTGGCGGAATAATGGGAGGAAGAAGGGTATGGGCAATGGTGGAGAGAGCAAGCAAGCGGATACAGGAGCGGGCGAGAAAGCCAAGGAGAGGAAGAAGATGGCGCTCGATGAAGCGGTTGCGAACGCGAGAGATGCATGTCAGCTGAGATACCTCAATGGGGCGGCGCCGGTTGTGTATGGTATTCCGGTCAGCTTTGGCTAAGGGAGTATACCGAAGCTGAGCAATGAGCATGCAGTAAGTGCTAAGTAGCGACAATCTTCCATCTAGGATATATCCTGGCTATCCACAGACTCAACCATGTTCTCGATGACGGCTTCGCCCAAGACGAATCTGTGTTCTGGCCTGCAAGCAGGATGATGAAGTTGATTCATATCAGACGAATCGTTGACCTTCTTAGCGATCACGACGCGTGTCTTGAGGTTGATTTCCAGTACCTGCGAATACAACAGTCAGCTTAACCGAAATCTCGCGCGTTGCTGCAGTGAAGAAGACTCACAATCCGCACTGCGTTGTACCAGTCCAGTCCAGCCTCGGCCTGTTCTGTGGGAAACGGGCCATGTGCATACGTCCAAGCCACGATTATAGGCTCAAAACGCCGCCCACAATCCTGCCATGCCGCGAGCACCTCGTGCGTGTCTGTTCGTTTGACATCTGAGCCACTCCATGGATGTTTGCTGAGACAATAGTGGAGATCGGACTCCACGTTCTTCTTGAGATTTTGTAGATGGCTCGCACTCATGGTCCCATCTGGATCGGTCTGCACGAATGATCCTACTCCGAACAAACTGTACTCGGTCCGTGGAATATGGGACGTTACTCTTCGCAGATTCGGCAGTGATGTGGTGATGAGTTGGCGCAGGGCACCGACGTTGCTATACAGCCTATCGAGAGTGAGGGAGATGTGTCGGATCGTGCTGAGCTGCCCAAGACTGAGTTTGAATCCTCGCTCGGGCTGCCACTGCCGTGACATTCGGTGACAAGTCTCAAGGTAGAAGTTGGCTTCCGAGAGCATGATGGGCTTTGCTTGCGTGTAGCATAGCTTCGAGGCGAATATGATCGATACAGAGGCAGATCAGTCGCATGTCCTGCGGCTGTCGAGTCCGTGGATGTAATCGAGGTTTGAGTTTTGGAAGACGAGACGGTAGATCATGGTCCTGATTTCAGCGGGCAGGACCAGGAAGGGAAATGGCCTGGTGACTACTGACGGGTTGGCTTCGCCTCGTGGCCGGTCTGTCTCGGGGGCGGACTCATAGCCGTTGCTGCGCGTGGCATTCTGCGGTGTTGGCGACATGTCTTTGCCTTCGGAGGCCATCGGACCTTCCTGCTGCATTCTCATGTTGGGAGTGCGCTCGGAGTCAACACGGAATGTAGGGAGCCTGTAGGACTGCCGACGTGTTGTTGATTGCGTGGGTTCTGACGCTGGAGTTTCAAATCTCTATTATTGACAGCACGCGTCCTTGCTGCGTAAGAATGAGGTGGGACAAGACGGATGACTCGATTATTTTAGGCGACACTTCAAGACTAGACGCCATCGGAAGACATCAAAGCCCAGCCAGAGGCAGTGTGAAGTACCAAGTCCAACTGCCTCACCTCACGTGTAAGCCGTTCTGGCCTCGTCTTGCCATGCATCACTCTTCACTCCTGTATTACCTTCCGAGTATGTGATGTCCACAGCAATGTGCCGTACCGTGTACTTGATCCATCTTTGATATCAGACAGTATCCTCATGGTTTCAGTGTTTCGTGATCGATCGTTCCCAAATCTAGGAAGCCAGGAGATGATTGCGATTGGATGCGCCGCCTGTTTCTTTCATCTTCGTGCCCTCGCAAGCATATCGGCCGCCGCGAGATAGCCACTCCGGCGAAACCTACCACGTCTGTCAGTACACCATAAATACCCCGTAGCCAGATCAAGGGAGCATGCCACGCCCGCGCTCTCAGTCGATAGCCAAGATTTCGACCCCTTGTCGAAGAACTGCCGCCAGAGACTGAAGTCGTAGAAGACAGGCACTTTTCTACTCCGACACCATCGCAGCAGCTCCACGTGGCAAGCTTGTCCACATGCCCTGTCACATCGTTTCACGTCATGGAAGTGTTCAGCCGCCGGATGTTCTGTAAAGTAGTCAGCCATCTTTTCCTGAAGGGCCAGCAAACCAGTAGCCGACGGCATGAGATCCATGTCCAGATTTGCTGCTCCGTTCAGACTTAGGCAGCTGGGACCGCAGAGGAATGCGCCGATCCAGGTAGCGGTTTTGATACTAGGCATGGCTGCTAGTTGAGCAGTGACTTCTTGATCGCAGTAGAAGCCGTTGATGTGTAGGTCGATATGCTGGATGAATGGCAAGACAGTCTGTTGATATCTGTTGCTGGTTGTTGCTGGTGAGGGTAGGTGCTCGGGTAGACTACTCAGGCTGATGGAGCATGTGCGAAAGAAGAGAGGTATGGCCTCGGTGTAGAGCTGTCTGCTGGAGAGGAGGAGGCCGAGACCATGGTAATTCGCTTTGTGGTTGGTCTGTGAGCCTTCTGCTCGATCAATCCAGCGCGCGCTGCCTTCGAAGACGAAGCGGAAGATGATGTGTTTGGTCTCGAGGGGGAGGTTTATGAGATTGGAAGTGACAGTCATTGGAGGGATGATTTTCCCGGCCTCTGGTGTCGGTATGTAAGCTGTCATGGTTGTTGATGTCCGATGGATTGTTGTTGAGGCCGGGATTGAATTTGCTTGCGTCGAAGCGCTGGCTGGGGCCTACTCAGGAGTGCGATCGCATATCGCAACGAATCAACAAGCGGCGCTTCGGCAGTGGATTTATTCTGTAAACGCACAAGGTACTCAGCATATACCTTGTACTGAGGATCGATTCACCCGCAAACTCTACGTTAACGCCACGTGGAGGCTCCGCCGGCTTCTAGTCCAGATTGATGACCACCGGCAATTACATGGGGGGAAGCCGTTAGCACAGACAGACCGAGCGTGCATCGCTACGTGAACGATGCCACAGGCGGAGACGACGACGGCCCGCTGCCGCTGCCGCTGCCGCTGCTGCTGCGGCCGCAGAAAGCCCATGAGTCGTGAAAGAGAGGACAAGCGCCGTCTGAACTCGCAGCGCCCCTGCTCAGACAGACGAGGCGGTTGATAACAAGGCAAACTTTTCAAGACGCGGGGAAACTATGTAAGGGCGATGGCTACAACACAAATGTTCAAGCGGAAATATCTTGCAAGACCGGATGACTGTGTGCATCTCTCCGACCGGTTGACTGACTATATTTCTTAGCATTTGCGCTGGTTTAAAGATTTGTATGCTCTGCCAGTACTGGGCTATCTAGGCTTATCCCCTTCCTTTCAGTCAATCTGACGGCATGCTAGGTGACGAAAATCCCTCCCGATAGCTTCGGCTGCTCGGAAGGCCATCGGCGGCGGATGAGCAGAGCAGAGCGGAGCGCCGTAAGCATCGCGACCGCGCTTTTTAGCGATTCTATGGCCTTAGAAGTGTCGACTGCTGTTGTGAATGCCAGCTACTTAACACACGATACATCCGGTCCGGACAGACCAGTGGCAATATGATTGCCGCCATCCACCCTCACGGCGTAGTGTCCTGGTGGATCTGGAGACGTAGTACTGAAGCCCTTCCCCGTCAATGCATGAACATGTCGATCAGCCGTTTCGGGATCTTTGGCAAATCCAACGACACAGTGAATTCTGGAGTGTTCTTGTCCTGAAGATAGTTGTCCTTGCCCGGCATGGCCGTCAATACCCATGTGCGCGTGCTGAAACTGACTGTCTGTCCCATCGAGATTAGTCTGACACGGGCCTGTCGAGTTTGGATGTAGGTACTCACGGATAGGTGGTGGGCTGGAAGATACTCCCTATAGGCAAATCTCCACGAGATACGTCGTTTCATGACTTCCGTCTCCATGAACACCTCTAAGGCCTCCTCCCGCTCCGACCACTGCTCGACCAAGATCGCCCAAGCGTCGAAGTCGAAGCCCCGTTGTGAACAGACGATTTTCTCAGCCTCTCTCTTGATGCTCATTCGACTTCCTTCAGTGACCTTCGAGGGAGACTCCACATTCTCGTTAACAACGGTATGGTACAGCACGATCGGATGTTCGTAGGTCAATGTGAGCGCCCTCAGCTTCGGTGCCGCTCTAACGATGATGCCCAGCTCTTCCTTGTCTGGGCAACGAGACAAAGGGATACGGAGATGCCGGATCAGGCTGAACTCTGAGGAGGAATCTGGGTTGGGGATTCCGGAGTCGGTGAAGCAGAAGCCTCCGGTCTGCGGTCGAATAGTGAAGGTCGCTTCTTGGAGGACTGCTTGTTTTGCTTCCGCAGCATAGGTCTTTGAGACGAGGATAGACGGTAAGTATGCTGGCACGACGATGTGAGGAGAGAGATCACATTTGCATTTCACAGAGATCCCTCTGTAGGCCTGTTGGAAGATCATCTGCAGGATCTCGCTGGGAAGGCTCAGCAGCCATGCGGCTTGTTTGCTTTGGATAGGTGCCGCCATTGTCGTCATGCGTGGCGTGGAGGAGTATCCGAGTTCGGGGTTGAGCCGCATGCGATTGGGATTTTGGTAGATGTAAGTCAGCAATGATGGGACCCAGAGATCAGAGATTGAAGAGCAGAGACAAGGACTAGCAGACTCGGTCGGAAAGAACGCGCAGTCTCAGCGCGCGGGGGAAGTTGCGTTCTCGTCCTTGTTGCCTTTTTGCTGAATTGCCCTGTTGCCTTGCGGAGAACAGAATCCCTTCGTCTGCCTTAGTCAGGTCTCTTCACTTGAGCTGGTGCCCGACGTCATTTTGCGAGTCAAAGTCAAGTCATCTCGGATGTCAAATCACTCGACGGTCGCCGACTGGAGTCTACCAGCGGTATATCACTCGGTATGGCACGGACGGGCATGCAAGGGACGTCATCGAATCAGCTGCAGCGCGTATTGTAGGAGAATGAAATGACTGCAAAGTACGGGAACACTCAAGGAGGTGTCATTTCGATGCAGAAGGAAAAGGGCTCGCATCTTTGCAGGGCAAGATCAGAAGGAACCAGCAGTAAGCTATATGCCCATGAAACCTAATGGAATGGACAGGACGAGTTCCTTCCTAGCCTGCCCAGGTGATAGGATGCTTCGCTGCCAAGCGATCACATGACCGCATGGGCGGGTTCCTCCTGCCGAGCTTTCCTAGACACTGCACCGTCCTGTGCATACCTCGCGCCTTCGAGCAAAACATCGCTTGACGATGGCAACAGCAGCCCAGAATCTGCAGACCACAGGGCATGAAGGCAGACCTTGCATCCACATCATACACAGGCTGGCAAGCCTCTCTCCAGGAGCTGAAAAACCGTAGACGTCTGTTATCCAAGCTGTCGTTCGCAAGCCCGCGCAGAAGGAATCTGACATTTCATCAAAGCTCTGCCGAGGCTTGTGGCCCTGCCGGAAGCTATTGCTGTGACTCAGACACCACTTACAGCATGGTTGGGCTGGACCGAGCATTGAAGTCTCAGAGTGCCGATGTTGAACGCCAGCTATCTGCGTGAGGCACATCGTGGTTACACAATGCATCCCCTGTGCCTGTGGCTTCTCATCGGATCCATACATGATGCTAAAGTCTTTTTCTGTCCGCGAACAGCGACTCCAGGTACCCCGGATCCATTGTCATATCGAACTCCGAGTCATCCTTCATGGGATTGCGGTTGTCTTTGCCGGGCATGAAGGCCACGTTGTTAGTGCGAGTGCTGAAGACCATATTCTGTTGATCAGGGTTAGTCGAAAGACCGATTGACGTGGAGCCAAAGGACCGATACGTACCCAAAAACGGTGATGGTGTTCGTCTGTCGGTGTAGGGTTGGCCTTCAACACCATCTCCATGCAGATCTCGAATGCGCGATCTCGCTTCTTCCACTCCTGAACGATCCAGAAGGTGATGCTATGGTGCACCAAAAACCTCACGTGGGCTTTGATGCTCTTGACAGTCTCTGGGGTCCCCATCGCGAGACTGAGCGTGACCGGGCCTCCTTCCGCAACGGCCACCCATGAGCCCGAATATGAGGCAGGTATATCGTTCCTATGTTCAAATGCAAGGTCTTCAGCTGTGTCGCTGCTTTGATAGCCATCATGACAGCCTCAGTAGCCTTCGCTTGCCAGGGATCCCAGTTGTTGCCGGTCGCCTCGAGATGCTGGACCAAGTGGAAACTTGGCGAGAGGCATAAGTTACCCGAGAAATTGAACCTCGGTCCACCAAGATCAACAGTGCCCTCCTCGATGGCTGCCGCCTTAGCCATCGCATAGAAGCACTTCGACACCAATAGGACAGAGGGATATGTTATCAACGCTGTCTGATCAGAGGTTCCGCTGTACTTGCAGCCCAGACGCAGACGCTTGTAGGCCTCTCGAAAGATCATCTGGAGGATCTCGTTGGGAAGATCCAGTAGCCGTGTGGCACCATTGTTTGCGACACTTGCCACCATTGCAAGACTACGCTATTGTATAAGCTTGGAACGGCTTGGTCCACTTGCTCGATGCTGCAGTAAGATTGCGCGTCAAATGGATCGCCCTTCGGCACGGTCGGGAAAGTGTTCTGCGCCGGGTCAGTATTGCTGACAACATATCGAGGAGTTTCACAGACCTGGAGACTGTACGCTTCGGAAGGACCGAGCAATATGTCGCTTGGGCTAGCGGCTAACGTGATTCATGAGACAGCAATACCGTGTCGTGAATTGCGAAGGACGAACCATCGCGACTGAAATTCGGAGATCAAAGGAGTTGGACCGAGCCAAGTACGATACCTTCAAGCGCTTGTTGCCTTGTTGCCTGGCCGACAACACGAGCATCACTATGACATTCAATTTCACGTGGGTATCATTTCAAGACGACCGCGCTGCAGGTGAAGTCAACTTTAAGAAAGCGGATCCAGGCAATGCAACTTCCCGACCCCTCAAGAGGCACAAGCACACTTTCTTTCTTGAAAACCGCTCAGATAAACATTGCAATAGAAAAGCACATTCTCAGCGAAGGGCAGCCCTTGCCAGCCTCATCATGGCGACATCGACCAGCGATACGGCAAGTCACCTACCGGGTCTACCAAGCGAAGTTCTTCAGATGATCTTCAAAGAGGTCTTCAAGGGCCTGCATCTTGACTGCAAATACAGCCCTGTCAGCAGCATCACACGGATAACATATCCCTCTTCCATCATCGTATCGAAGCAATACCTTGCAGAAGCCATGGCCGCAGTCCTCCAAGAAGCCACGATCGACCTGGGCAGACAGAAGTTCAACCAAGCCCGGGGTCTGCCCTACTCGTTTCCGGGCTTTCAAAACGTCCAGCACATCAAAGCCCCTCTCTGGCATCACACCCTCCCCGGTGCCGCGTTAGCCGCTGTCAAGGCCGCACCCAGGCTGCTGACCTTGACCCTGACTCTGGAGTATCCGTTCTGGCTGTGGCATAGTTCGGGCAGCTGGAAATTCGCGTCCGGCTCCTTTGGATCGAACGCTGCCCAGCTCGTTCTTGAGACTAAGGGCGTCGAGGTCTTCAAGTCTAAGTTCCAAAGCTTCCTGAGTCACAAGCTCCAACCATTCTGGAGGGATATCATCAGAGAGTGGTCGCAAAGACACGAGGCTTTCCAAATCTGCATGGCGGCTGATCTGACGGCACAGACCACTGACTTGAAGTCGTTTCATCTTTCGGTGAGTGATTGTCTTGCGTCCTAGCTCGGTTCCTCAGACTAAATTTGATGCAATAGACCGCAATCTTCAGCACGCGCACTGGCGCTCTCGCCTTGATGCCGGGCAAAGATAATGTCAATCCGGTCAAGGACAAACCGGAGTTCGTGGTACCCCTAGATCCATCATTCTTCAGAGGTCTGATCGGCGGATACGTTAACTGAGGCGGTCAAGTGCGGAGTATACATGCTGCATGATGGGACGAGAATCTTGCAAAGGGCGGGTCAAAATTTGCGGTGCCGTTGGGTCGCTGCTCGTCACGAAGCTCAATCGACCAATACGTTCGTTGAGAACATGGTATCGCGGTAGTCGCAGGAATACAAGGTTGTGGGGAGTGAAAGAAGCATGGTCGTCGGAGAGTCTTGCTGGTTCGGAATTCCATAAACCAAGTGAGAAACTGTCATTGGTGCGCGGACATGGTGGAAAGGTGTCAATTTGCCCTCCGCCGATTGAGAGATTCAAGTGGATCCACAAATACTTGAGCGTCCACATACATCATGTCATCGCTACCTGGAGTAACCCTCTGCATCGTGCGTGTAGTCTCAGAGGCGCTGGCAGTGGATTTGGCCATCTTTGGCAAGTACTGGCTGGGCTGGAAGTAGTGGCAGACTGCGGCGATCGACCTCATCGGTTCACTGAAGACGAGCACCACAAGGCGGGGACTGCTGATATTCATTGACAGCTAACCATATCTAAAGGGTCATGTCTCGAAACATCACTGGCGTTATGGTAGATACTCTCCCTCATCTCCTCGGTCCGACCAGAAGACGCCATGCTGAATTCCTCCGCGGTCACCGAACATGGCGGTCGACTAAGCTGTCCAAGAACAGTGAGTCCATTGCAATAACGACCTCAGGGTCGGCCTGCACCAAGTCACAGTGGTCCTTCGCAGGCGTGAGTGAAAGCGTATCTATACGCGTGCTGTAGGTGATCGTTTGTTGAACGATGGTCAGTCATGGCGTTCAGCCGCATTGATCCTGAGAGCTGTACGTGCCCATAGGCAATAGCCTTCATCAGCAGTATTCCCGCTGTGACTTCACGCAACGTGATATACGAGATGGATCCGAGACTGAATATCGAGTATTGGAGGTCAGGTCAAAAAGTTCCAAGGTGCATATGCGGACGAGGTCTGCTCCAGGGCGTGGTGGCGCGAGACAATGCGCCTTCCCGTGTCAACAATGCACCTTCCCGCAATCATTTGGAGCGTGCTTGCGGATAGTGACAGAAGCGGGGCCATTCATACCTTACACAGTCTTGGCATCTGCGGGACACGTTGCAGCGATGGAGATCGTACTGGTATGCCTCGCAGAGTCCAACTGGACGGTGACGCTGATCTGGTATTCTTCATATCTCCATTTCTATGATCAACATGCGACTCGACTGGCCCCGAGCGCCGCTAATCACCCAAACTGGATTGACGCATTCTTCTTCGTCGTCGTGCGCAGTGGCGCCATCAAGAATCGAGTGCTCTGTTGGCGCCGGATCGACTGGCAACTCGGCTGCTTGCCGTCGATGCCTCGGATGAAAGCAAGGTCCAGGCCACGCGTGCAGTGAGTAGCTGTCTGCGAGACGGAGGTGGGTCAGCATGACCTTCTTGCTTTGCCGAGGATTTGCGCTTGCCGACAGACGACATTGCTGTGGCGCGTCGCCGGCTAGGTGCTCTGCCGTTATTCTCGTTTCGACGTAGACTTTGAAGGCTTCGGCTCGTTTTGACAGCTCCCCAGCAAGTATTGGCCGCCACTCCATAAGTGCAATCGCGAATTTCAGTATGGACTTCGAGTGATCTCCAGTGCCCTCAGAAAGAACAATGAATCGATTAGGTATTGCATCGACTCCCCACTTCCAATGCCCATCATACTCTGCTGAGCTTGCTAAAGTGAAGGTCAAGCTTTTCAGCTGTGGCGCGGCCTTGAGAGCACGTCTCACAACATTCTCAGCTTTCGGCGTCCCGCCAGAATGATAGATATGCTCAGGGACTTTGAGGTGCTGAATCAATTGGAACTCTGGAGAAAATGAGACGTTCTCCCAGTCGCAGCCTTCCCACTCCAGTTCTAGATCGACAACACCTTCTGAGACCAACAGCGCGTTCTTGGCTTCTGCGAGATAGCATTTTGACACGATCATTGACGAGGGACGTGCTATCGTGACCGTGTTGTTGGAGCGATTATGGCGACAGACCAAGTTTTGTCCCGCAAACACTGCCCTAAAGATCATTTGGAGAAGTTCGGAGGGTAGATCCAGCAGCCGTGTACCGTCATTGTTTTGAGTGGATGTCGCCATACTTGTAGATCGCCGTAGTGAGGTCCCTGCCCGTTGTTCCTGGATTGATCATATGTATGCTCGTTGGTATGAGGATTGCTTCCAGAGTTGGGCGTTGCAATGCAGGAGAGACGTCGTGATTGAAACTTTAAGATTGCAATAAATGTGTTCGCAAGTTGCCTTGTTGCCTCGCGGCTGAAGCTCTCCCCGTCTTTCTTTGTTCGCTACGTCTTCACTTATCTTCGTGACGGAAATGCGGTGCCCTGAGTGACAATCGTCATGTGAAACTAGCGACCATGTCAAGCGACACGTATAGCTGCCTGTGCTCTTCGACTTCGAACGTCGGCATCGTATCAAATGTTCGGACTTTGGTTTGCGTAGTCTCAAAGACCGTGTAGTTTAGGTGAATGATAATGCATCTGGCCCGTACGACGAGGACATAGTTGCTACCTGAATATCTTCTCGTCACCGTCGTACAGTCTGTGCGCAGACAGCAGAGCTGCGCGATGCCCATCGAGGTTCGTCTTCAGCGACCAAACTTTTCGACCCATTTCTTCGCGACCGCTGGATCCAGTCGCACCGTAAATTCCGGGACCGACTTATCCGAGAGATGATTGTCTTTGCCTGGCATGACCTCCAACTCCCAGGTACGTGTGCTGAGAATGGCTGTCTGTTTCAGCAAGGGTCAGTACTCGGTGGATTCGGTGACCGGGCACGGGCATTTACTTACCGAAATGTGAAAGTGTCGGTACCCATGCTTGTCCTCTGTGTGGTGGTGGCCGATCACTTTCCGCTCTATAAAGAACTCGAGGTCCTCGTGCCGTTCGAAACACTGCTGAATCAGATCGTTCCAAGGCGCAATCTTGAGCCAGCGGCATATAGATTCTTGCATTTCGTTCTTGATGATGGTCCGGCCGTAATCAGTGAGCTTCACGGTTGACTGTTCGGTTATCGGACCGAATCCACCCATTCAGGTCCGCGAAGTAACTGAATTGCGAATTCATAGAATAGGGTCAAGGCTCGCAGTCGCGGTGTAGCACGCATCGCATACCGCCATGCAGCCGTGTCCAAATAGCTCGGCATGATAGTGGCCCGAAGATGTTGGATCAAGGCAAAATCTGGCGAAAAGTGTGATGAGCGAACTGGAGATTTCTGTGACCGGGAAGCGATGCTGAGTCCAGGAATGATATCGTCATGCAGATCGATGGTCGCCTCGCGCAGCAATGGGATCCTGGCCTCTGCGAAATACTTCTTCGAAACCCGCAAACACGACGGATATGCCACCATGACCATGCGAGTGGAGGGCCGGTACTTGCAGTCCAGCCGCAGGTTCTTGAAGGCTTCCCGAAAGATCATCTGAAGTATCTCGCCTGGGATGTCGAAGAGCCGTGCCGCTTCGCTGCCGCTGATAGGCATTGACATCTTGAGTCTGCGATATTGGGAGGCTTGTTGAAAGCTGCAGTGCCGACTGTCTTCGCGCGATGCGTTGGTGGTAAGGGACGACAGTTGTGCAATTAGGCGCTCCCAGATGACAGAGTAGATGAAGAGAATCTCCAAAGTTCAGAGGAATGTGCGAACCTTTTATGTGTTTGAGGGTGCTGCCTTCATGCCCTTGTTGCTTGGTTGCCCGTTGGAAACCTTGAGGTCGTGGCCTTGACCTGCCTTGTCCGGGAATCCTTCACTTCAGCTGTGGAAAGGCGAAGATTTCACCCTCCGGGACTGGGCAGACAGTTGACGCTCGGTTCAAGTGAAGGACCACGAGCTCACCGCCTGCGAAATTGCTGTGGATCCAGGCGATGCACTTTCCCGCGCAAACACTACCTACCTGCAGGAGCAAACAGGAAACGTATGCCATGAACAGCCCACGAAGAATATGCGAAGCGAAGACATATGGATCCCAGAATTTGGTGAGATGTCTTTCAATTCAAGTTGTCGTCAAATACTTCCAGTTCGCCGGAACGAAGAGAGTGTCTCCAGTGCTATTGAACCGACCGTAAATGCAGCAGCCGTTCTCTCGGAGCTCTTCGTACGAGCAGTGTCACTGCTACTAGTGACTGGAGACGCAAAGCATCAGCCTTCCGAGCCTGGGTATCCGCAGGACCCGTTTCATAGTGTTGTTGTTTCCATGCATGCAGCGTGTATCGGACTCATCCATAGAACTATCTGATTTGATGTAGCCTGGCAGCGGAGACTTGACCCGAGCAAGTGAAAGCACACCACCTGTAATCTACGCATGAGTCCCGGCCTGATACTTCAGCGGAAACATACGGCAGTCGAGCATAGTCGACTACTGCCGTGGACGCTGCAAATACCGTAGGTGCCCTATACTGAGGGTGGATCTGGGCCAGTGTGTTCTTTCGGGGTGAGGACGTAATTGTCGATCAGCCTATCGAAGAACGCCGATTCCATGTGTACGTCGTAGTCGGGACCATGTTCCCACGGCTCTACACAGTTGTCCTTGCCTGGTCGAATCGAAATGATGTGTTTTCGAGTGCTATAGATCGCATCCTGTGAGACGCAAATCAGTAAGAGAATTTCCTCGAGAGCCAACAGACTTTAAAGCAGTCATAACTTACCCAGTGATGGCAGCGCTTGACTTGGTCACCGGCAGTGTTTGCGGAGCTCCGGAAGCACAGGTCGAACTTTTTGCCCGACTCCAGCCATGCCAAGAACGGCGCGTGCATGTGATAGCCGAGTTTGTCGAGGTGATCTGGATAGATCTCCAAGAGGTTGTCCTGGAAGAGCTCCTTGAAGGGCCTGCCCGCTTTCGGTTGAAGTCTGGCAGCGAATGGCGCCTCAGGAAAGGTGGATCGTCCCGTCAGGAGTTCGAGCTCTGTATCGGAATGCGTCCAGATTGCGGCAGGCAAGGTCAAGATCAGCTTCTCCAGTCCTGGTGCTGCCTTGATGATGTCCTTGAGATGGTCGAGCCGCAAGTTGAAGTTGAGTCGAAAGGGTATGCTCAGGCAGTGGACGAACTGAAAGTCCGTGGTCATGGTGAACTCATGGGGAGACAGATGCCATTTGTATTCACCCAGAACGACATTTGCATGGCGTAGAACCGCTTGCTTGGCTTCTGCGAAGTATCTCCTGGAGACAATGAGCGACGCTGGATATCTGATCCTCAATGCTCGGGGAGATCGATCGGTCTCGTACGGGAAGAACCAGCAGGAAACTTGCTGATCGCGGAGGACTGCTTTGAATATCATCTGGAGTAGCTCAGCAGGGAGATCCATCAGTTGGTTGTCGGCACTGTCGGTATCAGCCATAGCGAAGTGATGTTTGCTGAGGAGTACTGTAGCGGAATTGAATCTTCGGCTGGGATTGTGAGCAGGTCCGCAAGCTTTGCGGTTGGTACACGCTGGAGAATTTGTGTGTCCGATGTCGCGGTGAGGAAAGCAATGGATGCGAGATTGAGGTGCCAATCAAGAAACTCAAGCCGCAATGACTATTAAGGAGATTGCTCTGTCGCCTTGATGCCCAGACTAGCTCGTTGCCTCCTTGCTCTCGCACTGGTGCCTCACAGCCTTTGTTGCTTTGTTGCCTTGTTGCACTCGCTTTGTCTGCCTTACCCTGAACATTTCACCCGACTCTGCTGACTACCAGCCATCAAGTGATGGATGAGAACCACATCAAGCAGGTCCGAAACGATGGTCGGGTTCGCCGCATGTAACGTTATTGACTGGCTTGCACAGGCGTGGCTTTGATTTTATGGATCATTGTCCCAGATACATCGGTTCCTAGTCGAATTCGTTCCTCGTTATACGGACTGTTTTCATTGAACGCTAGTTTGTTGAACGTCGCTTCGGACTGGGGCTTGAGTTGCACCAATGCTATTCCTGTCGCCGTAACGCATCTCTTGAACAGGGAACATTTGGCTCTAAGCCGATGTGTCACATCATGCTCAACGCACTCTTCGTCAGCGGACGATCTGATCGATCAATATCTCGTGAACACAGCGCGCAAGTCTTTTGGCAAAGTGAACTTTGGGAACTCCTGAGGCCCGAAATAATCGTCTCCGCCAAGCGACACCGTCAGCGTTCTAGTCCCTCAGCATGGTTGAGGGACCTAAGATATCTTCAAGGCGTCATCAAAAATCGTTGGGCCACCAAGGTATGCAATGTCGTGCGCATGGTCCGCGAACCATTCCAGAATAGCCCATCCATCTCCCTCCGCTGGCGAATCCTTGATGCATCGAGTCTGCCTCTTCGTCGCCGCCGATGAGGTTCACGACGGCATTTGCTCCGCATAATGATGTTTTGTCTGCGAGCGAACGAAGTTCTCGACCAGAGTATCGAAGACTGACGGTTTCATGTACACATGATAGTCCGGTCCTTCCTCTGCAGCTTCTAGATAGTTGTCCATGCCTGGTGTGATCGTGAGAGCGTGTGTGCGCGTGCTGTAGCATGCAGTCTGAAACGTAAGGTTAGTTGAATAGTGATTGGGCAGAGGCAGGAGGTTGATATACGTACGAAAAGATGGAGGGAGCGGCGCAGGGGCTGGGCGAAGTACCAGTCCTCGTCGCGTAGCTCGATTTCGGTGCAGAGCTCGAAGCTCTTGTTACGCGCTAGCCATTCCAGAAGGACGCCAGCAAACTGGCAGGCATCATAATCGTCGCCGAAGCACCTACGCAGTTCAGACGCAAAGGCAGGTCTGATCCAGCTCGCGGCTTTTGGCGGCAACCTGAAAGCGAGTCTTTGTGACCTTCCATGGCCAGCAGGGACAGGATCCGTGATAAGGCCTGCGTGTTTCGATCCAGGGAGAGGTACCCATGCATAGGTCGGCATCTCCAGAGTCAGTCTCCTCAGTCTCGGAGCTCCTCTGACGATGGACTTGATTTCCTCGATTCGAAGGTGCTCATTCCACCAACATGACACCCGTAGATGTCGAATGCAACAGAAGTCTGCAGAGAAGGTGAACTTGGGGGGATTACCACTATCGTAATAGGGTGGACGATCCTGTAGGTCGATTGTTGAATGCTGCAGGATTGCGCGCTTCGCTTCGGCGAGATAACTTTTCGAGACGTTCACAGAGGAGGGATACAGTATCCACAATCTTTGGTGGAAACGCCGTTCAATTGAAGTATGCAAAGGCTTGCAGGGTACAAGTGTAGCGCGAAAGACTTCCTTGAAGATCATCTGGAGCAGCTCGGTGGGAAGACCCATCAGCTGTTTGTCGGCGGTATCGGGATTGGCCATATTGAGGCTGTGGCGTTGATGATGACTGGCGGACAGTTCGAGCAAAGTGCTTGAGGGTTGATTGTAGTTCAGCTCGTCAATAGGGCAGCGGCTGTGATTGTTGGTACTCGTGGTAGCGATATGTGTTAGTGTGGCGGAGCGATGTGTAGAGAATGTAACACCACTGGAGCAGGAGGTGGAATTAGCATCTCTTTGTGGCAAATGCTGCCTTGAACACCTGCCTGGAAATGTTGCCTTGTGCGCTCGTGCCCCGAAACTGCCTTGCACGGCTTTCAAAGAGACCTGTCAAAGAGATAGCAATGTCAAAGTGAAGTGAAGTGTCAAGTGAAGCGGCGTTCGTCACCGAGGCCATCTGAAGCGCCGCACTGCGCGACTTCCCGCCAGTTCAATGTACTTACCCGCAAAGCAGTGGCGTTTGAGGTACAAATGATAATGGCGACTGAGCGTTCCTCCATAAGTCGACGAAAGTCCTTGCACTAAATTGGGAAGCTGTAACACTCTGTCTGATGAGTCAGTGAATGTGGATTCGGGAGATTCTAGCTTAGAAGTCGCAGGTGATGGGAAAGACCCGTGCGCATTGTTGATATCGCAAGCAGCGAATCGACCAGTGTCAGCGCCGCCATATGCATCGTCCCTCCTAGACACGATCCTGCGTAACGTCGAGCACATCCACATCATTCTCGAAGAACCCGTTGTCGCTCTCGCCTATGCCTTCAGCCATAGGACTAGCAAGCTGATCAACGTCCTCTCTGCCCTTGTTACTCTTCTTCCGCCGAGTCGTGCTCACAATCTGATTCCTCTCGCCTTCGAATTCTGCTGGCTGTATGGTGGTCTCTCGGTATACAGCTCCTTGCTGTCTTGGTTCATCCACTGCTCCGTACGCATCGTGCGGTGGCGATGGGCTGCTGAGTCGAGTAGTCGCAATGTCTTGACCGAAAAGCCACTTATCGTTCGCCGGAGCGCACTTCGACGCAGCACTTCCTCCGTCAAACTTAGCTGACACACTGGGCAGCTCTGACGCCGCTGCGTCATCAGCAAATATGGAGATCGTAACTCGATGATGCGAATGAAATGGCTGGTATGGAGCGTTGGTGTCAATTTCGGCGAACGAGAGCGGAGCCGCGGAGACTGCCGACGGCCGCCGTGGTATCTCGGAACGCCAAAATCCTGCCAGGTTTTCTTCTGCAGGTTCCTCGTCTTTCGCGATCTCAGCGAGTTTAACAGATACGACTCTGCGACTGTCGAAGACGGACACAGTCTCAGGTTGTCGATCTCGAGGATTTGTCTTGCGAACGTAGTAGCTTCTCACCTCGTTCATGTCCAGAATAGACAGTCTGGGACGCTGGTCGCGATAGGTCCAAGCCAACCGACCTGGAATTGCTTCGACTTTCAAGTGCAGCTTACTCTGACCAGCATGCCTGATGTTCGCGACGGTATCGCTCGCTGCTCCCAGTGACTTGCTAAACCCTGCTGCAACGACCTTACCTCCACGCAGGCCAGTGGCTGACGCCAGTCCAAGACCAGTGTTGCCGATTCCAGACGGCATGCCCATGCTCGGAGTTCTGCCACGTAAATTTGCAAGCATGGGCTGTGCTCTGCTATTCGCGAAGTTCATTGCCGACGAAAGGAAGCCAGATGCTTGCTGCGTGCTGGTCACAGTGTCTGCAGGAACGGAGACTGGCCGTTTCTTCTTCCTGGCTCGGGGTGGCGGCCATCTCCATGCAGAGACAGGGATATCCAACATGTGAACAGTCTGATTGTGTGTCAACACCGCATATCGACTGCCGACAGGCGCTTCCCATTGGATGTCGACGATAATTGACTCGCTGAACCTTTCGTTCTTGGCGATCTGGCGTACTTTCGCAAAGCTCTCTGCTTCGCCTGATCCCAAGGTGTGTCGGGGATAGCGGGTCTGCAGAAGGTCCCACACGTAGTATATGTTGCCTTTCCGGCTAGCAGTGAGTAGCGTGAGACCATTCGGAGCGAAGGACAGATAGCTGCAACCGCCGGGAGGCTGGAATGTTGATACAGCAGAGACGTTTGAGCGCTTCGCTTCTTGATTGTCTAGATGGTGCAAGTCCACAATGGTCACGATTTCTGATTCCTTCGAGATAGCTTCGGTCGTGTCGCCATGGGTTGGTGGGAACGAAGGGTTCTGTTGAGGACTGTAGATCGGCGAAGGGCTTGGCGAGGCTTTGTTCGGAGTATCTTGCGCCCAGTATGACTGCCACGCCTGTACGCCCTTCTCGCCGAGCCACTTTCCGCCTTTCAGCACTTCCTGAGCAACGCCTTTGGCTACGCGACCAAGCATCGTCTCGACATCTGGTGAGTCCACGGCACATGTGGCTGCGGGTCTTGCTGGCGCACTCCTGGATGTGATGGAAGGACTGCTGCTGCACAAGACGTTTTCGCCAAGGAGTGCACCAAGAGACGGTCTTGATGATAGGACTGGGCAGTATGCGAGCCAGCGTCCGTTGATCGAAATGATCGGCTGTTCACCATTGTCTATGGAGCTCGCGAGGTCAGCCGGAGAGACAGCAGGCTCTCCTGGTCGAGTATGAGAGGAATCTCGTCTTCGCATGCGAGGCTGTAATGTAGTCCAAAGCTTATCCAAACAGACAAAATGGGGCTGATCGTTCACTTCTCTGACGCCAAAAATATATGCTTCACCACTGATCCCAGAACTGACAACGAGATGATTACCGCTGGCTTGTAGTCGCAGGCGGCCGGTAGGGAGTTGACTTGTTTGTCGGTCCATCCACGTCGGTATCTGTTGCGAAGCACCCGATGGGACATGGAGCAGTGTACTGAGCATGGCTTGCTCCTTGAGAGAGTATACCACCACAGTCGTTGACGCTGCGGAGGCGATATCCGGGCGCTGTGTCATGACAGATGCACGCCGAGAAGTGTTGCTGAAGCGACGTTGGTCGGGCGCCTCTGCATTGCTGATACCGTGCAGGGTCAAAGCCACAAGAGGCCGCAGTGCATGGAACGGGTCATGTCCTTGGCTCCAAGTGAGGATGAATGCATCGTGCACAACGCCTGGTAGGCCAGCTAAGCACCCCAGACGCGAGAGCTTATCACCGCGATAGGCCAGAACATGCAAGCTGTCTTCGGTGCCCACAAGAACGGCGGTCTTCGCATCTTTGCGACCGGGAACCTTAGAGAACTTCACGAACGTTGGAGCCTGGTTCTCATTGTAGCGTTGTCCAAGCCCCAGGTCGATATCTCGAGCATGGTAGAAATGGGCTTGTGGCATGTGGGGAGGTGGCGAGCCGAACGCGCTCGAAGGATATGCGTATGGCGAGGTCGAAGTCCTGGGATAGCCAACGGTTGACGGAGGGCCTCCATAGCTCACAGGACGCGCCTTTGTTTGTGGTGGGGACGTGGGCGGACTTCTGGTATTGAAGCCGCCGCCGCCGATGTAGGTCTGGACTGGTGGTGAAGGTCGATGAGTGAAGCCCGGTAGCAGCTCGACAGGCGGACTGCGGCCATATGCGATAGGCTGAGCATAGTTGGCCTGCGGAGGGGTGTGGTCATCTGACACCTTCTCGGCGGCTGTTAGCTCATCCGGCGCATGTTGGCGGCGGTGTGCTTCCGGTATGGGTGGCACAGGCGGTGGTGAAGGAGATCGCTCGCTGGCTATCTCGTCGAAGGCTGTCTCGGTGACGCGTTTGGCATGCTTGCTCTTCTTCCTGCTCGATCGTGGCACGGGCTCGGGGTCTAGGAGGTCGGTAGGAGGTTCAGTGAATGCTTCTGGGGTGTAGTCGTGGTTCTGTGCGGTCTTCTTAGATGGCATCCAAAAGACCTCGTGAGGCAGAGAGCAGGACTAGCTGGACAATGTCGCGATTGCGAACGAGACTGGGACCGTATCCTCGATGTCAGTGGATGGTGAGGGGGAAGACGCGTGTTGGAGATGTGGTTGGGGAAGATAGGTAACAGCGATATGCGGGTTGATGGGCTGAGTCGGCAGAGAGCGTGGTCTATTGTCTACGGTAGGCAGGTTGTGTCTCGGTTGTATAGTGGTCAATGAGCGTCTTTGTGAGTGGGAGTCATAGCAGAGTCGGCAAGAGCTGGGCAAGATACATGTCATCGGTCACTTGGGGGGGCAACCCCTCAGCCTCGCCTGCCCTCCCTGCCTCGTGCCGCAAATAGCCACTGGATTGGAGCAATGGCAGGCACCTAGAGGGGAATGCGGCGGCTGGGAGAGCCTAGGATATAGCATCTGTTTAATCCCGCGCGGTTTTGGCACCGCAAACAGCGATTCGATTCAGCTCAACACAGTACTCTACTCTCATAGCTTACGATCAGGCGGGCGAGAGGCATCACACGAGCTGCATCATCAGCAATCGTTTGGACACTGTGCTAAGTTGCCGCGTACACGGAGTCGAGCTGATCTGGTCACGTGAGGCGTCAAGACCGGATGACCCGGGCATGTGGTCGCTCCTTCCTTGCCATACCCCTGTACCTTCCCACAGATGAACGGTCTGAGGCATAATGCAACGTCGGTCCAGATGAGAACTTCTGTAATCTCGCAGATGTGCTGCGACTTGCACATGCCGGTTCGTGTCAACGTGATGCATGCGTTCGATGGTGCAGAATTGACCATTTGTATAGGCATAGGGCAATCAGCAGAAAGCCCAGCTCCAGCGCAGGTTTGGAACATCATGGCCGTTGCCCGCCGAAAGGCCACGAAGTGGAGGATGTGTATGTTGTGAATTGATGAGCATTGTCCTTATTGGCATTGATCAGATCTAATCGTCTGCGCAAACAAATCCTCATCAGGATCTCATTTCGTCTTCTTCGCTGCCGCTGCTTTCGCCTTCGCTGCCTTCTTCCTGTTGCTCCTGATCATGACCATCGAGAGGAAGGACCCTACGATTGTAGACGCAAGTAGTGTGAGGATGACAGGTATTCTGATGGCCCAGACTCTTGGAGGAAAAAGTCCTTGCAGGCTGTGTTCGTCGTCGACGAAGGGCTGGGCCCGTTAGCTATTCCTCCCGTGGCGTTGCTGGACATTACTTACCATGAACAAGGTCCATACTGTGTAGTAGAGGAAGACAGTTGTTGCTACGATGAGCATCGCCATGCCGACGGCTTGGGCGAGCTGTCGATGTTAGCTGAATGCTCTGGTGTGACGAGACGGGGCCAAAAACGCACCATCTTGATCTTTGGACCGAGTGATGAAAGTGATGCCGGACCTGATGCCAGAGAGGTGTGTCGTTAGTCTGGGCCGTTAAAGTCGCGCTGCGCGTCAGTCAGAAAACAAATGCCAAGGCTTGCATTCCCCACAGGGAAAAGTTAAGAGGCTATATATTGCCACATCAAAAATCTGCCCCAACAAGAGCACATCCGAACTGGTGTAGAGGTAACATCTCACGCTCTCACAAGACCAACGTCTTGAAGCTCCGTGATGCCCGGGGTTCGATTCCCGTCAGTATTCCCTGACTCAATTGACCATTGAATAAAGAATCTAACATCCTGTAGCGGTTCGGAAATCAAAAATTCCTTTTTTGCGGTTTTTGGGACTGATCTGGCTGAGACACCGGTCTCGGCTCTTGGCACAGCGCGGGGCCCCGTCTGCTTGAAGAGATTCGAGGCTGGAAAGCTGTCTACGAGCCATGGGTAGGCCGACATCTTTTTCAGCTACCTCGAAAGTTGCACCCTGATGGCATTCGCTGGTTCCGAAGCACAATTTGAGAACACGTCCATTGGTGGTGGCTATTATTCGATGTGTCTGGATGTCTGATGCCCGCTCAACACTCGCGGACCGATCGACGGAAGTTTGCACGGGCGTCCCCAAAAGCGTTCATCTGCTGGAGTCTTGGCAGGCCATCTCGTACCGAGAGACAAACACCACCTACGCTACGCCGAAGATGTCCTCGAGGTTTCCAGGTCGCTCAAAGCTCTCATCTGGTGGGCTCTCGATGAATCCTTGGATCAAGTGAGCCTGTCGGCTGCACGCATAACCTACGATGCTCTAGAGCTACTGGTCTCGGCTCCTGCGCTGGCTTTTGACCTCTCCAATGCCACTGCTGCGATACTCTCGACCATCTCCAGGGACCTGCGAGCTGCAATTGGAAGTACTGGACGGTTTCTCCACCGGCGGCCTTCCATTCTCGAGCCATAATTGCTGCTCGTCATGGATTTCCCGGCCCAGGAGGGCGCTGAAGGCCTGGCACTAGTACGCTACCTAAGTCAGTGGGCTTGAGACGAGCCTCACTCGAGCATCAATGCTAAGGATCGACACCTCGTGGATGTTTCTGCTGGGGCGTGCGCTGTGGAGAACAGGCGCACTACTTTTAGTCACAGAGTCAGTCTTACACCGCCTGGGGAGTCACTGGCATGTCGTTCGGCTGCCGTGTCACTGGTGAATGACACTCTCTGGCGCTGGTAAGGAGGTGCTTCCATGGAAGTCCTTGTGCATGCGTGCCAACTCGTTGACTCGAGCACTCACTGTTTTCTCAGCATGGTTGTGTTCCGCTGTGGAAGAATTGCGAGGCTCCTTTCCGAAGTTGCGCAATTGTATGGAGAATGGTGATCGAGGTCAGTCTCAGCAATGGAATCTCTAGACATGCGACGGCACGGGGCCAAAACTCCTGCAGCGTCTTCCTTGATCGAGAATTTTTATATTGGCCTCCTCTGCCGACTGACGCTGAAGTGAGGCTCCTCGCAGATCAATCACTCGGTTTGTGGTCTGACAGCTAACCATCAGCGCCCTCCCTGGCTCGAAACTCTGGACGCTTGATCCACTATTGTAACCACGCAGAGGACTTCTGCCTGACTTCGTCCACCTTCGCGCTCGTGCGCACTCCGAAGGAACACTGACACCTATCGGTCGGTGAATCTCAACGAGGTGAATGTAGAGACGAACGCAAAAGGCAGGGTGTCGGTACACCCTTCCGGGCAAAGCCACTCGCTCTCATGGTTTCACGAAGTGCAAAATCGATAGCCATGGAGTATGGAACACCGAGAAACGAAAGGTCGCCATGAAGACTGGGTGGAGAAAAAAGCGAGGACGGAAACAGGACTACATGCCTCAAGGAAAGCCGACGCGTGATTGGGAGCCCCGGCTTCGGCAGAGCCTGGCAGATCATGACTACAAGTAATGGACGGTCTATCAGGTTGGGACAGTGGTCATCTATCGGGTCAGGGCGGGCTCTGAAGATTCGATATTGCTTCGATAGTAGAGTGGGTGTCTTTGAACTAGCCTCACTTGAGCCTCGGGTCGTAGCAAAGATTGATCACAGGTTTTCTGGCCAGGGAGGGCGCTGTCCGGGACCGCGGTCCCCAAGGTGACGACTTTCGACTTGCAGATAACGCTGACGGCTTCCTGTTACAAGCTAGCTGGCTTGTGTGCGTAGCAAGCAGTCCGTTCAGGTAGCTCGAGTGGGGATTGAGAAGTTGCAGAGCAGTGAATATAATTGTTCTAGCTACCTAAGCACTCTCGGAGCGGAAGCCCTTCCGTTCTATGTGTGACCGACGAGCTCAGTCGCAATCATCTCACCACAGCCAGAGCGCGTGAGACGCAGACCATGATCGGCCGGACAACGTGTGCTATGAGACGGAATCTGAGAGAGTTTGTCTATGATCGCGAGTGTTCGTCGTGGCGCTTCAGTGCCGGTCTGGGAAGTGCATCTGGGGGAGATGTGACACGCCGTAGTGACGTACGTCGCCCCTTCCCGGATACTGCCAGTGCTTTCTGTCCTCCTTTCGAGACCATTCGTCCTCGTCAAGCATGCCCGATCACAATCTTCATGTCGAATATATTCCTCGAGTTAGACTTCCAGCACTGCCGTGGCCACCGCAAATCTCCTTCGTTGACCAAGGGTGCGGGGCGACGTGTCTTGTCCAGGGTCCATTGGCTCTCAACAAGAGTCGCGGCCATCGTTGCTAGGTCCAGATCTGTTCTCTGCTGTGAATCAGCCTTCTAGATTCGTGTTTGCGTGGAAAGGGAAGTTTGGAAACATACCCACCAGTGGTACGCAGCATCAGATTCGGACCTCCGCCAGTCGCAGAGTGATCGGCCTACAGCGCTATCAAACCAAGTATTTGTATCCTCATCATGTCGACGGGTCCTGACCTTCACGACGACGCGAAAAGCACGACGCCGCTGATTCCAGATCTTCAGTATAGCTGTAAGCTCTGGCTGAGCCATCGGCGGCGCCTCATCACCGTCAGAAAAACAGTCGAGGAGGAATTCCAGGACAGCCTCGCAGAATTGCTTCATGGCATCGTTTGTTAGTTGTCTGGGAAGCAGGTAGCCCCCGGAGTCCCGTTCAGGACCGAGACCTTTTTCGAAGCCACTGGCAAGACGGAGCTGTCTGTTTGTGTCCAGCGTGACACTCTGCAGGTTTGACATTGTTCGCAATACTGCGGTAAGAGAGGCGACGCTGACCTTTGAAGGCTCCCACGACGCATCGATGTGTAGGAATCTGAGTTTTCTGAAGTCCCTGGTGGAAGAGAGTGATTTGTGCCCAGCAGTACTGTAAGCTGCCCAGACGTTCGCTGTTGCGCTTCGAAGGAGCACTTCTCGGGCTTCCGCGAAATATTTCTTCGATACCAGCAGCTTTGTGGTGACAGGATCACGCTCGGCGGGGACTCGTGTCGCATACCAACGAATCTTCGTCTCCCTATACAAATGCCGGAAGATCGTCTGCCGGATCTCTGTGGGCAGGCCCATTAGTGTTGCTGAGACTTCTGCGGCTTCCCCGAATGCTGTGCCAGTGTTGTGAAGGTTGGGCCGCTGGTCCTTATCTGCCAGGTGGGCCGAATTGATGGTGAGATGTTCGGCCATGGTTGATATTGGCACGTCTTTTCTGGCAAGCCTGGAGGCAGGATACCGAGATCGAGCAGAGTCGAAAGGTAAGAAAGAATTTGCTCACGCCAGATCGCAGTTGCAGAACCAGGGATATATGTACCCCTGGACAATAAGGCGCTGCTGACGATAATAGCCAACAAGGCGCAGTGAAGTCTGAGTGCAATACGTCACTTCTACGGCGCACTCTCAGAGGTCGCATTGAGAGTGACACTCAGGCATTACAATATCTCCGTTTAGACAAGGCAAAGGGGTTTGCTCACGTGATGTACAGCAGAAAGAGGCACGTTGCCAGGCAACTTCTGTTGGCGGTGCCTTACATGGGAGCCTTGGTCGCCTTTCATGGCTTTCACCTAATGAAGGTGTTTTCCTGTTGTTCCCCGGGCGGGCTCTGTCTCAACCTCCTCTCAACCTCCGCCAGTCGTACTGTCCGACTGTGAATCCTGAAATCCAACAGTAAGTCAATTTTGTCGCGAAGTCTGTGCGATTGTGACTGACTGATGACCAATAGCTAACGATGTCGTCGGGCGATCCGCCGCAGTCTGACGGTCGGGGGCCCGCCGCGGCTTCGCAAGAAGTTCTCCAGGAAACATCGGGCTCTGGCAGGAACACAGCATCATTCCATCTCACACCCGGTCCACACCAAGCCAATCTGCCAATCACCGCCACCTTCCGCTTCATGGACATGGTTGTCGACATCAGAGAAATCATCTACGGTCTTATCTTCCGCGACATGATGCTCCGACGCGGGAGCATTCCACCTATCTCCATGTCTATCATATTCGCCTCGAAGGCTTGCTACGCTGAAGCGAGACCGATTCTGCTCTCGGAGGCAACCTTTCATGTCCGACCGACAGGGGGAGGAGAGCCATACTTGAACGCCAGCAATCTGCCACTAGCTCTCAAGGACTACAGCACTTTGCGCCACATTCAAGTCAGTATGCCTGACCAAGGTTCCAGACCTCAGTTCGTCCATCGGCTTCTCACATCTTTGCCCAACTTGCGGAGTGTGGACTGCCATTTCATATCATACTCAGGTCCCAGCTTTATGCCTGAAGGGCAATATGGCGAACTAGGCGTGCAGATACAAAAGGACAGAACAATTGATGAAGCCAATCTGGAGCGTGTCAAGGATGTGCTCGCGTCGACGATCCCCCATTGTCTAGCCCGACGTTCGTGGCAATCCTGGCGAGACATACATGAGCTACTCCGGACGTGGCACAGCTGTGTAGGACCTTTGAGCTCACGTTGGTTGCACGCCTGTATGCAGAGCCGCACAAGACCCCACTAGAGAATGACCGTACGTTGTATGAGGCGAATCGACTGGTGAGTTCCGCTTCCCATTGCAATGTATGGTGGGTTCCAGCAAGCTAACTCACACTTTCGTAGCGGGTGGAGGTCACATTGAACACAGGGAACACGGTTGTCAAGCGAATCGAGGACCCCGTGGACATCGCAATGGAGCATTATCCGCCATGCGGGCCAGAACACAAGTTTGTGCTTGCCGAGACCGTCGTTGAGGATCTTCTTGCGAGTGTAGTTGCAGAACCTTTGGATCACTGATTCATCTGGTCTCTACGATGCGAGCGAAAAAGGACAGGCCACAGTGAACGAGACTGGGAACGATTGCTACAGGATCAAGAGCCTTAGAGCTTCGCCATGCTGTGTGCGGTGGATTTCTGCTTATGGTCAGCGGGCGGCACTTTGGAATGCTTAATTCTTCTGCAGACAAAAGAACGGCTCGGCGATTAGTCTGTCGGCCTCACTACGGAAGTCGATCGACGAACAAGAATCGTCAATACCCGATAAGGATCACATTTGACAACGATCCAGATCTGCTTCGTCACCTTCTACGTTATCTGTGCGCTCTTCGACCGAGATAGGTCTGTGTAAAGCGGGCAAGGAGTTCATTTGCAGGCAGCGGCCTGCAGGCGGCGCCAGGTAATCTGCGATGTCTCGGAAGCGGGACAAAGATACGCAAAGCAGCCCACAGGTACAAGTACTGCTCATGCGGCCTCTATTGCCTTTCACCTCCCTGATATCAGGTGAAGTGATCTGACAGAAATGTTCAGTCTCTTTGCAACAGACCTGAGTCAATCACAGATTCCTATTTCCGCCGCGCTTGGTGTTCACGGATCATGACAGACTCCTCCCCAACTCGAACGACGACTTCGGTAGCTACTTGCAACTGCGGTGGTGAGTCGAGCCTGTTGCAGTCAGTATCGACAGATCGGACCCACTAACAGCAGCTGACGACGCGAAAAGTACTAGACCCTCTGAATAGACACGGTGATCGGCTCCAACGTATCACTTGCGACACCCGACGCTATGTCCACAATGCCAGATTCTGCGACGCGCGACTATGGCACCGAGACTACTACCGCCACCACAGGAGTAGAGAATGATCCATCACCAACGGTCGTCCCATTCCGATTCCTGGACCTGCCAACCGAGATCAAAAGCCTTGTCTACCGTCTGACCTTCCGGGCTGCGAAACTCAGACATGTAGCTGGAATAGATAGCTCCAGCACGACTCCGTACCAGCGATCTGCCAAGGCATCCATCATGCTCGCTTCGAAGTTATGCTACGCAGAGGCCAAGCCTATTCTGCTCCAGGCAGCCGACTTCTACATCGGTCTCTCCGCCAAGTGGCTTTGGCATTCGACCCACGAGCAAGATCGATGGCTCAGCTACGTCGAGTTCAGTACTTTGCGGCACATCTCAATCACCCTCCGCGGCGTCAACGATCTGCCCGAAGCTGAGCGTCTGCGTCCGCTGATCGCCATGTTGCCTGATCTTCAAAGCGTGACATCCTATCTCTCACCACCGTCACACGCATATGCATTCGGCAATGGACCCATGGTCCTGGCTCAGTCAGACGGTTCGTTGGATCCAGACAATCTGAAGAAGTACGAAGACATCGTCGAGTTTGGTTTTCATCGCGCTCTTCACGGAGACCCAGGGAGACGATTTGCGGGAGCGAACGACACCAAACCTGCAGATCTACACGACCTTCTTGCAGCATGGCAGGGCCGTGGGCGTTCCTTCGAGCCACAATAGTGACCTGGAATCACGCACACTACCTGGCTGCGCTGGAAGAGAGAAAGTCGCCTGACGACTTCTTTGGCTCACTTCGTTCAATGCGAATGGTACGTCGTTCGATACAATTTCATGTGAAACCATGAGCACGCTAACCATTGCGTGTGCAGCTCTTAAAGATCAATCTCAAGACCCGTGCTGTAGTTGTCAAACAGGTCAATCAGTCTGCTGACGTGGACACGCTGCACTATCCCGATTGTGGCCCGAATCACACGTTCATGCTCGACGAAGCCGCCATCGAAAACATTCTTTCATGGGTCGATCACAACGTCTGATCTGATCTCAGCACCCGCCATTACAATAGGAGGGAATGCTGATGGACAAGGCCCCGTCCAGCACCAGGCGAATCAGCAGCTTGGATCTGCTGTCGGATCCAAGGACATCTCATGTTCACTTGGACATTTACCAGATCGGCCGACGGGACAACGCATCAAGTACTCGCGAAGGAATGGACAAGGCTGCAGCAACCAGTCTGCCGGCAACTGCCCACGAATCCAAGCAGGAGTCAATACAAGTGTCGTCCATTCGCGCAGATTTGATGTACGCAACGCTATTCCAGTCATCGCTGCGCGCTATCTTTGGACCTCTGCCAATGTTCTGCGTTTCCTAGGGCGTTCCGCCACTCGTCTTTGTGTTCGCCAGCGCTTCGTTGTTGTATGTCTCTTTGTGTTTGATATTTCGTTGTGTTTGACTTTACCACTGACCACGAACACTTACGCTGACTGAAACTCTTGCGGGGTCACTTATATGAGGTCAGAACTGAACTCAGAAACATGCCCGAGGTTTCTGTCCATGTATACGAAGCCGAAATGCGCCTGTTGATATAGGTATGAATCGACCAACACGGGATGAAAGTGCTCAGTAAGTTATGCAGACAGCATGTGTCTTTGTTGTTGACATTGGCTCTAAACCCCCTTAGCGAGATACTCGATCAGGCACACAAAGGGTAGTGAGGTTAAGTTGCGCTGTACCAGTGGCTGCGTTATGAAACAGTAGGTTGCCCTCAGTCTTGCCCCTTTTTTGTGAAGAGTGAAGCTCATATATTGGCAGTGAAGGATTGATGGCTCTTATGTTGCACGACACGTTGACTTGGCAGTTCACACTGCCTGTGATGACTGCCCCTGCTCGTCACTGCTGCATATCAGCCTGCATTGTTAGCCATCTTAAGAATGGCGACTTCTCTAGTGTTCGCTTCGTCCTCATCCCAATCTATTCCACAAAGCATTATCCAAGAGAGCCTTGACTGACGCTCAAACACACCTCGTGACCTCACAATGTCACAACGCTATACGTCCGACGGTCGCTCTGAGCACGTCGTCAACAACAATCTAAGACTTGAGCTCACAATATGGCCTGCTAGTCCATTTCGACTCCTGGACTTGCCAACTGAGGTCCGAGGACTGATCTACCAATCCGTCTTCCAAGACATGGTGATCAAGCACGTTGGTGGTATAAGCAATTCAAGGTTACTCTGGCCAGGCATCGCGATCTTGTTCGTCTCAAGATTGTGTTTCGAGGAGGCGAGGCCCATCCTGCTTACCACGGCAACTTTCTACGTCGATCCAGACCGCCTCAGCCGCCCGGCAGCCAGCTTTCAAGGCATGAGCTTCCTGCGAGCCATATCGACCGACGTCGTGCTTAGTCCTGTCGAGCTCAGAACCGTGAAGCACGTCAGTATCGATACGGATTCCGGCAGGAACAAGAATGGGGACAGCCTACCGGGTCTACTGACTTCACTGCCTAACCTCGAGAGCGCGGTACTGCATCAGCCATGGATCCCATCATTCATCAGAGCCATTACAGGTGTGGAGCCCGCCGGAGATGGAGCGTTCGAGTTGCACCCGGAGAATTTAGACGACATCCGAAGCTTCATCGAGGACGCTATCGCGCAAGGAGCGCTCGCCTACGTGAGTGCGCCTTGGTCGCACGACTACGCCTACAGCTTGGTGCGAATCTGGCACTCCTCTGGTAGGCGCTTCGCCCCGATCTTAGTGCTTCGGCTACAGTGCTACCACAAGTTGGACATTCTTCCGCGCATCTCGAGACATTACCACTTCGTGAGTGCGCCTCCAGCAAGTTTTTTGAAACGGCCTGAACTGACCCAAATACAGGATATCGGACTGAACTTAAAGACCAGATTCGTGACGCTCACATACCTGGAGGACAAGGGGATTCTTCCATCTAGACTATCGAGACACCCCACCGGTCCGCCACAGCATTCTTTCATGCTTAGCGAAACTGCCGTTGAGGCTTTCATCGCGTCCGCTTGCGCGGCGAACAAGCGCCAGACCGACTGAAAAGCGAGCAATGACCCCATCGTCCTGATCTGGGGAAGAATTGAGCCTGCACCCCAGGAGATGAAGGCGCAACAGTACAGACCTACGACCGGGAGTGCCTCGCACTGGTATCAAAATGGAAGTGTGTCGGAACTGGATCCGTATGCTGGACTTAAGCAATAGGAAGCTCAGCCGTATCCATAGATAGAGCACCCTCAATACCAGATCTCTCCTCGTCAAGATTGAGAGCGAAATCCACCAACCGCGTTCCCCTGAATCCTATGTCCCTGTCATGTCCTTCAGACGGCCCCCACTCATGCAAAGTATAGCCGCCATCAACCAAAACATCACTTCCAGTCGCAAAACCACCCGCACTACTCGCCAACCATAAATACACCGCCTTCAACTCCTTGACATCTCCCTGCCTTCCCAAGACCGCCATGCGATGCGCCTCATCCTTGACGTTCTCGCTTGCACCCATGTTCGTGTTGAAGAAGCCAGGGCTGACCACATTGACCCTGGCGAACTCTCTCCATTCCCGCGCCAAGCTTTTGCCGAGGTGCGTCACGGCGGCTTTGCTGGCGTTGTAGATCGGCTGGTCGATCGGAACGTTGACGACATGTGCGCTGATGGAAGACGTGAGAATCAAGGACCCGGAGCCTTGACGCTTGAAGACCTCGCCGACAAACTTCGCGCAGTAGACCACGCCGTCGAGGTTGACGGACATGACCTGGCGATACTCGTCGATGGTCATGTCGAGAAGAGGTTTGGAGATGGCGGTGCCGGCGTTGGCGACGAAGACATCGATTCTGTCACCGAAGTCTTTGAGGACGGTCTGGATGCCTTTCTGGACGGCTGAGGGGTCTTCGACGGAGACTTGGTAGGCGATGGCTTTGATAGAGTATTGCTTGGCGAGCTCTTCGGCTCTGGTGTGGGCCGATTTGTTGGAGTTGTACCAGAGGGCCAAGTTGCAGCCTGCTTCGGCGTAGGCTTCGGCAACGGCGAGGCCGATGCCTGCGGCGGCGCCTGTGACCTGTGTTGCGATAGTAGCGTCAGTAGTGAGGCTTCCGAGTGGGTTGACATTTCAGTAAATATGGATTGGGAGAAGGAGGGACCGGAAGGGAAGTAGCTGTGACAGAGTCCAGAGACTGTTTCGCTGACCCCGACATGGCTGAGACTCACGATTGCGACCTTGCCGTCGAGACGGAGCTGCTCAAAGACGGAATTTGAGATCGGTGGACATGGCTTCGGTGGGCGGGGTTGCGAGAGGGAATCCTCCAGGCTCATCGACATCTTGACACAGGTCGGGTTTTGTAGATTCGGCGGGTCGAGCTCGTTATCAAGGAGGTTCTTATGGCCGTGCGTTGTGCGCACTGCAGCGGGCACCCGCTGAAAGTGAATGACTGTCCGCGAAGTGAAGTCGTTTTTGATGGGGCCTGTCGACGATCTGGTGCGTCACTTGAATGAGCTTCACGAGCACGCCGGCCGTTTGACCTGACGATGGAGTCCAGAGCACTCAGTTCATTCACCGCTGTACGATGCAGAACAAGTCGCAGCACGCAACCTCGAAGGTAAGTTGGCCATCGAATTAGGCAATGCTGCGGTGGTGGAGGTCGTGACGTTCTTCAGCTACGGATGCGCACAAATGCCAATGGCGATCTGAGGGATCTTTAGCGTAAGATCACAACATCGTTCCTGTTCTCAACCAGCGACAATGAAGCATCTCTGACCTTGCCAGCATCGTGCAAACCTTTGTCACTCGATCTCAAAGGCGTCGTATCCATCGTCGACTGCCCAGACCAACAAGTGACGCCGAAACCCGAGTCCCGCATGTGTTTAAGAACCAAGTCCTGAGCAGAACGAGCTCTAGTCGTCGTCATGATGTTTGAGTCTGTTGTACCAACCCGACATCAACCCCTAGCGTCATCTGGAGCATCAGCACTGCCTTCGACTGCAATATCGTCCTCCAATTCACCGCCTACTTCCACTCCGTCTCCGTCTTCCATTTCGTCGTCACTGGCTTCACCACCGGAAGAGTTCTGCCACTCGCTCGTGCCGGAGCTGCCGTAGAAACCAGTTCCATTGCTACTCTCGGAACCTGGCTCGCTTTCATCGGAATCACGAGGAATCGCTTGCTTTGCTCTGGTCAAAGACTCGCCCAGGTGAACAATGAGGTCTAGCGCTGCAGTGGGATGCTCAGCCATGAGCTTCATAATGTCTTCATTAGTCTTGGCGGCCTCCATACGGGTCGTGAGTGCCTGCTCATGGGGTTCCCCGTTCGTGAGTATTGGATCAGTCGACGTGTGTTGAAGCTCCCACAAAGACGACCATGGCAGGTCGAGACTGGTGATCTCGTGTCGGAACCAATGCATGATGGGGCCCTGACCGTACACTGTTGTGGGCAGAGTGGCAATTCGAAAGAAACTCTTGATGCGTGATCCCATCGAAATGGAAGAGCTTTCAATACTGCGGATGGCGTCGATGATCGAGATGCTCAGGTGTGGGAGCTCATACATATCTGCAAGAATGAGCAGATCCAGTAAGTGGCCCTGATAGAGGTCTCCTGAGCCGGGCTCGGACTTGTCGGGCGATGGGACGTGTCTGAGATCTGACGTGTATAGGTAGCCGAGCATGCTTTTCAACACACTCGGATCATGGTCATCCATCTTGATGTTTCGTGAGTGTTGCTCCTATTTGACAGGTTAGTCCAGGGCAATATTGGGTATCGCAGCAGATGTGAAAGGCCCTTGGCGAACGCAACATGCTGTCGCAGTCACTTCTGTGCTGAGGATGCCGTAACTCACCAGGAAGCCACCATCGCAGCAACGTTCGAAGAATTGCCATCGTGACGCCAATACACCGCGATGCACCTTTAATTCCTGGCCATTACATGTGATCGTAAGGTCAGAGTAGAGGCCGCTGTCGAACCAGTCGGGCACGGATACATCATTGTCAATGAAGCGGGATTCGTCAGCTTCCGCCTCGAAGAGAGCCATGTCGAACGCGAGACTTCTGCGGCAAGCTGGCACGGATCAAAAGAGGATCCAACGGGCATGCTCGATTGCAGGCTGCAAAGGATATATCAGGGTGGCTTCTCAAGTGACGTTCAACCTTTGTCACAGCACAGCAACGTGACTCTCACATTGGTGCCTGCGCTAGCGCTATCGATACACAAACCTGTGAAGTTGGTGACCATGGCTACTTCTTTGGACTGCTCTGTGCCTTTCAGAGATATTTGATGCGCCATACGACATCATGCCACACAAAGACAGCAAAACGCCACTGGCAATGTGGGTGAGAACTTCGTTTCCCGCCGTTGTGGGTACTTCTGATCGAAGTATGTCAGCCAGGAAGCCCAAAGTCCGCCTGCCATGGCAGCTGCCGCCGATACATCAACTCGGTGCGCGCCCCAAGAAGGCGAAACTACATTCCCTTCAAGAGACGATTTCCCTTTCTTCTTCTCCCAGCAGAAGTGCGCGACACGATTTATCGCTACATCTTCTGGGGCACTCAACTGGCAAGAGTAGAATGCATCGACAGGTACCACATTTCGGCTCTGTGCTTGGATAACGCTGGCGGCTGGCGAAAAGGCACGAACATGGGACTTCGAGCACCATACACAGCGATCCTCTTCGTATCGAAGCTCTGTCTGCAGGAAGCGCGTTTTCGCCTCTTCTCTGAGGCACGTCTCCGCATCAACAACGGAACCGTGGGACTGTCTAGTAGTCCAGGACTTCCGCTCACAATTGCGCCAAGAGATCTGATCTCCTACAGACTCAGTGCGAACGCGGAAGAGTTCGAGACGCTAAGTCATGTGTCTCTGGTCCTCGATTATCGCCGGGGTCACGGTCTGGCGACAATATGCTCCTTGGTCGCATCGATGCCGAATTGGACATCTGTGGCGATGCACGTTGGACCTCTTCGCGTTGGCGGGAATGCTGGAGACTCCTGGTATGTCCACAACAACTCTGAAGGCTTCTGGTACACCGACGACGCTATTCCGACAGCCAGTCAGATTACGACCCTCGCAAGCGCAGTCGGACGCTCCTTTGAGCAGTTTTCGCCTTCTGGTCTTGTCGCTACCGCTTGGAAGACGATAACTGAGCGTAGCGGAACGATGGTCGTGGCATATGATGTCGCCGGAAGGACCGAGGGTCATGCTCAGGCAGACTACACATGGGTCAGTCTTTCCTAGATCGATCTGACTAGCTTTGCTAATCATGGCCATTCCAGTTAGTCACAGTCGACATGAAGTCTCGAGCCATCAATGTCCAGCTCAAGGAGAGAAGTATGCCAGGCCAGGACATCTCGCCAGGTTCTGATATTGCTCAAGTCTCCACAGAGGCTGTCGCGAGGCTCTCTCACCCGAGCCATTGAGTACTGGCAACACATTCAGCCATGTTCATCGAAGCTGCGACTTGATCAGCGCATGGACCAAGCCTGACGTCTGACGTCAACAACATTCTGCAGACAGGCGGTCAACCTGCGAGTTGGGCATCGCACCTGCGCCGCCTGCCGCCGTAACGACGAATAGTCGAAGAATCATGAAGGCCACGATGCGATGACGCTATTACTGCTGAAGACTGGAAGGGGTATCAGATATGCATCGTCGTGGATCATACTTCTTCTGGTCTACCATTTCCGGGGGCTCGAAGCTTCGAGCTGCGTGCGAACCTGTGGGTTCTGTTTGCGTCTTTGGATATTGGCTTTCATCGTGGTCCACCAGCGTCTTCCAGACGAGACTCGGACTGAGCTGGCACGAGGCTTACAGGCCATGCACCATGCAGCGACAACGCCATAAATTGAACTTAGTGTCCTTGTGAGTGACGTGTAACGATTTCCCTTCTTCCGTTCCACGTCTCCCATATATATCAGCTTTGAAGCGATAGACACCACATTGATCTGTTCGGGGCATCTCGCCCCCGGCACTGCTGTTGGATGATCTCTCAGACCAACCAGCATATGCCAATCCTTGGGCGCAAGGCGTCCGGCGGTACGCTATGCCAGTGTGCCATCACTGCCGTTTTGGGAGAGGGAATGTTTACTCGCTGACTCAGCAGACCCTGCCAAGCCGGCAGGATCTGAAGCTGCCCAGGTGTGTTCGCTCTTTGTCGATTTCTTAAATTTTTGGGATACCTACCTTGGCATCGCTCGCTATCTGCATGCCGGCTCGCGCATAATGATACTTGCCGCTCAAGCTGTGGAGAGGTAACCAGAAAATGGAATCAGATGGCTACTGCGCCATCTCATCTAATGTTGAGGAAGCTCGTCGATTCACAATGTCTGTGGACTCATCGTTATCCCAAACTATCGGAGCCTCGCTATCCATAGATGAGCCCACTCGAATCCATATGGTAATAAGCAGGTCCATTACTTGTACTAGCATCGAGACCTGGATATTATCGGCGTGATCGAGTGAGCGATCGATGGTTTTAACTTCCTCGATGTACGGTCTGCCAGTGTTGCGCACGCACACGAGGTCTCTGTCAACGACAGGTTGATCCACTGGCCACCGAACATGGACCACTACGATCTGGTTCAGTACTCAGACTAAGATCGAATCGCACGCCATCGATCGTATGCAGCTGGAACAGTGCACCTCGCCGAGTCTGGCTGATGTTGTCCGACCTGTCATGCGTCAGGCACGACATTGTGGATGAAAGGGCGCGCATTCGCGATGCGAGTAGGACACTTCTCCCGGCAACGTGTGACCGATGCATGAGATAGCGTCTCGGACCGCCTCTCGTATGCCTTCGATAGTCGCAAGCGCACGAAGGTGTGCGAAGTTGCCGCTGCGCGCTCTACGCTGTGGCTGCCACGTTTTCGTGGCTGCTGCAAAGTGCGAGCCCAAATGTACGGATGCAGAGAACACGACCTCCGTCGGGCTGCCTGTGAATTTTGCTCGGATTGAAACCCGGTCCAGTCAGGTTCGTACCGTTTTCCTGGGTACCTTGATACTTCGGGGTCAGGCCAAGAGATGCTCCGCACTTCTGGCTTGCTTACGGCCAAGCGAGTAAGACGCCTTATTGGACATTACTAAATTCAGCAAGTCCTCAAAACTGCCGTATGCCTGATTTTCCGGCCCCGACGGCCAATGGCATCGTCTGAAATTGTTTGGCAGCTGCAACAGCCCTCGAGCACGTATCTGCACTAACATGGCAGGGACTTTCCGCACCGAACGAGCAGCACTCAAGAGCAAGTCAGCTTCGTCGTATTTCTAACCAGCAATCAACATCCCTGCCCTGCGGATATCGTTTATTCTGAGATTGCGTACACGGCCGGCATGTCTCGACCAAGCCACTTGGCTCGAAACGAGAAACACCTTCAGCCAGTCTGCATTAAGATGAAGTAATGTTTGTCCGACAGTCTTACTTCAGCCTCGCCCCGACCCTTGATGTGTAACTAATCATCCAATGTACGGACCAGCCACTGTCATCCGTAGGGCAATGCCGTTTGACATGTCCTATTTCTATCACTCAGCTCGCCGAATGGCTGACAGGGATGCCTCAGCTTTCCGAAATACTTATATCAAGCATCATCTGATCCCAGACAGACTACCATCGACTTCCTCATGTCCTACTCAACCATGTCACACCAAGCTGCTCACCCAAAGGCTCAGCCTCACAAGGCTACTCACGCCAGGACAGCACAGCCTCACACAGCTGCCCATGTCCCGGCAGCACAGCCACTGTTCAACGTCGCTGTCCCAACTTCATTCCGCATCGAAGCTGTCGATGCGAAGGCCGAGCAGACTGCCGGTCATGCGACGCGAGCAGCCCTCCGGAAGGCTCGTGGACTTCCAGACAACGTCTCCCTGCTTCATCCCGACAAGCCGAAGTTTCCTTCCGAGTTTGTTGCTCAGCCAGTCCCACAGCCTGGTCCACAGCAACCACTTCAGCCGACTCCGACCACGAATGAGACTTCGACCGGCGTCGAGCCAGGCTCTCTTGGCATCGCTTTGTCAAAGTTCGTAGGCGAGTTCCAGGGTAACGGTTTCAACTCGATTCTCAGACCGCAGAACGGCCCGAATGGTCAGGGTACGAGCGACAATCTGCTTGAGCTCAACTTCACTCATGAAACCTTGACCTTCCTGGCCGAGGATGTGCTTGGGGACATTCCCAACAGAGGATCTCAACTACAGCCTGACATCAACCTCCGAGGCATCCCTTATACTCAGCGGATCAAGGATCTCGCCAATGGAGAGACTGGAAAAGGAGATCTTCCCATCGATACTGCCCCAGCTATTCATTTCGAGCAAGGTCTTTTCGTCCGTACCCCAGCACTTATCCCGTGGAAGGACAACACCTTCACCGCCAAAGTGGACACACCCATCTTACCCGCTACCGTCTCACGCATGGCATCGATCCCTCACGGGACCACGATCAACGCACAAGCTCTCGACCCGACAACGGTCACCCCCGGCGCTCCAGTATTCCAGAACCTCGATGTTCAGAACACCTTCCCTTTCAGCCTCGACAAGACTCCCGCAGATGCCGCAGACCCCTCCTTCTTTCCCCAACTCCAGTTCAAGACCGACGTCACCAAGGACCGCATCCCGCTAGATCTCCGCAAGTTCGACACCGCCGGCACCATCAACGAAGCCCAATTCAAGAACCCCGAGAACTACCTCAAGGACAACAACGACAAGAAGACCATCAAAGAGCACATCACCTTCACGGTCGACACTCAACCCCAAATCGCCCTCTGGGGCGGCGGCACCGACAACGTCGCTCACCTCGCTGAGCATGAGGTCACTGACCCTACCACAGGCGAGGTCGAGACCAACGACGCCTCGAAGCCCCTGGCTGACGGCACCGTGCTCTCCACCGCCAACGCCAACGCCATCCACGTAGCCTGCAAATACTGGATCTCCAGCGTCGAGGAGACAATCACCATCCCGGTCTTCGACAAGGCTACCCTGCCGCGCATCAATCAAGATCCGGCGAAGAAGGACGACTTTGCGAACATTGTCTGGCCAGTCGTTAGTCCTACGAAAATCGATGGTGTTGGCCAGCCGGACTTCCAGATCACCTTAGACAAGAATGATACGGAGTTCCAGGCGAAGGTGCTGTATACGCAGATTCAGTACGCGCAGACTGTGATGCTGGATTTCAATACGCTGAGGTGGCCGCATGTTTCGGTCAATTCGTTGGTGCCGTCTACGCCGGTGATCATTGCTACTGAGGCGGACTTTACGCGTGTTTGAGTACGAGGCAGTGAGTTTCCTAGCGGCGTCAACGACACTGCAGTAAGCTATAGGACGCTGTAGTCTATCATAGTCACGAATTGAATGATCAATGAAAGCATCTGGTGCAGAACTATCATTTCGTTGCAGTCGCAAATCTATCAATGGCCAAAACATGCCTTGTGCGGTCTCCGCAGTGACCTCGGTTTCTGCGTGAGACGGGGTCGAGCAGTATGTCGCTTGAGCAGTCGGGCCCTGAAGTAGTCAAGGCAGCCCACAGACTCGTGCCAGGGGATAACGGTGCAGCGCAGCCAGTACCGTATCGCTCAGCAATGACGAGGTGCATTCTGCCCTAGACATCGCTCGCTGTCGGACTCCTCAGCAGACTGAGAGGACTCTGAGAGTCGTGCATAGTCGTGTCAAAAGTATTCCGTTTCCAATATCTCAGTGATTCGGGCTTTGATGCCGACAAGGCTGAATTTGTAATCGAGGTCGAGAGTACTGTCGTTGATGAGTGACATCGTCTCGGTCGCGAAATTCGTCCGCGCAGTCTAGAGTGTGAGTTAGAAGAGTCGGCTTCGGATGCTGGGAAGAGTACGTACCCAAGACTTCCTCGCTCTGTAATCTGGACGACACATCGACGGGCTTGTTGGGTCTGGCTTCGGTTCCCTGAGTACCACTTTTGAAACCAGAATCAGGTCAAATCGAGCATTCGCGGCCATCCAGTAAGACAGGATCGCCAACATGTCTCCGTCATAGAGATCTGAAGCCTTCCCTGTGTCATGCCTGCCACAGAGCCGATCAAATGTGTTCGCATATTGTTGAATCGCTCCAAAGCCCAGTCTGGGAGGGACTCCCTTGTGCTCTCGGAAGTAGTATGTGCGGTAGTCCACGTGGTAGGGGTAGTGACCCGAGGCCGCCAGCCGTAGCGTGTTGACTTCGAGCGTGCGAAGACTGCTCATGGATGGCAACAGCATCCCCATTCTACAGAGCTCTCCCGGACAGAGCTCGAGGTGTTGCAACCGAGGCAAGGCCAATGCGCTGAAGTACATCAGACCCTTGATGTACAATCTCTCGAACGCCTCAGGGACGAATATGGTAGATACCGCTAGCAGCATCGGTTGGCTCTCGGCATGAATGAGCTTATTGGCAAGGATGATGTTGTAGTTATTCCTGTCGCTGATCGAGCCGCGCCTATAGAATCTAGGCTGCCATTGAAAGACTTGGCTCCTGAACAGCCAGCGGTAGATCATTCGGCGCACCTCTTCGGGCAGGTCGAGCAAGGAGTAGACCATGATGGCGCATCAAGTGAGAGCTGATGTCGCGTTGATTGAGTCGCCTTATTCCTCTAGGTGAGTCGGACGCCTGCGTCGAACGTATCGCGTCGGGTGGACAGTCTCCGATCTTACAATGCTGAGATGCCGATAAGATTCGTGCCGCGGAGGCTCTTGAGGAATCCGACCCGTGAGCGTGTTGGGTACTGCAACACGTGTCACCCAGGCAACGAAGAGCGCGGTCTACTTGCCCGTGGGTGATGGCAGGAAGATGCATCGGCGAGAGAGGCAGTGTGTCGGCGAAGGCGTGTGAGCGGTAGCAGGCGGCAGTCACACGCGGCGCTTGTAGTTCGATGTGGACAATGGGACCAGCGTGCATGCCTGGACGGATTGGACTGGGTTAAGTCGATGCTGGTAGAGTTAGCTTCGTTAGCAGATTCACGTGAAGTACCTCGGCCAGTCCAAGTGGTTAAGTGAAATGCAGGCATCAATTTGATCTCGTGATTCAAGTGAAGGTTTGGTCCCTCTCGTTGGCGTTGTTGATCTCCCCAAAAAGGCATTCCGCCCACCAGGAGGACGCTGCCATGCCTTCCATCCACAGACTCAATACTCCTTCTCCGCCACCAGCTGCCTGATTCGTGCCATGATACCAGGGAGTTGAACCACATGCTCCAATTCCTCCGTAGAGTCTCTAGTCAGTGTCATCGTTTCGGTCGAGTAGTTCGTTCGCGCAATCTATGATGAAGACGTTAGGGCGGCCCTCATCACGGGCGAGGGCTAAGCACTTACCCAGACCTCAGCTTGAAATGGCTTCTCGTCGTTGATTTTGCGCAGGACGACCCCTGAGACCAAGATCAAATCGTATTGAGTGTTCGCAGTCAACCAATAATAGAAGACTGCCAGTAGACCCTCGTCATAGAAGTCCGGCCCTTGCAAGCTTACGCCCTTGCCACATAGTCGGTCGCGGTCTCGTCTGATTGAGTCCAGATCGTTGGTGGTGAGCTGAAAGCCATCTGCAGTGTGAGGGGTGTAGAAGTTGAAATCAAGATCTGTGTCATCATTTGCATTGATCTCGAGCGTGCGCAGACTTCTGGCATGTGGCAGGATCACGCCGGCGCGCTTCAGCGCGTCTCCGTGGAATCGTAGTTGTAGGTACCTGATCTCGGGCAAGACGGTGGTGCTGAAGTATGGCGCGCCTTTGACGAATGAGTGTATGAGTTGGTCCGAAGCATCGACCGTCGCCTCCTCGACAAGCCATCGGTGACTTTCGAGATGGATTTGCCTGTTCGTCAAGAGGATGTCGACGACACTGGCATCGCGGAGGTCTCCATGGCGGTAGGCGGCCGGGAACTAGCGGACAACCTCGCCTCGAATGAAGTAGCGGTAGACGAGCTGTCGCACATGCCAAGGCAAGTCTCGCAGGAAGTGCGGCATGATGGAATTTGAAGTGCTGGGGAGGACTTCGGGGCGAGATTGACGATACTAGAGAATTGATGCAGGTGGAATGAACGCGAGCTGCATCAAAGGATGAAGTTGAAGTTCCGGCGCGCGGGTCACGTGAGCCGTTTGATTGCGCGCTAAGAGTGCCTCAGGTATCGGTCAGCTCGCATCCAGTTACTCAACCTCAAGTGAAACATGGAAAGAGCTTGTTGAGAGTCATACTACAGAGCTGCTGAAGAGCTGGCATTCCCGACGTCGAGGGCCGGTCCAGACGGCTCATCAAAGAGGATTTAGCTGATGTCCAGTGAGAATCGCTTCCCATTTGCTTTGACCAAGCTGGTTCTCCATGTTATGCTGTCGTTCTGAGCTCGGGTGACCAATTGCTCCCTTGTACGCTGGGGCTAGGACATCGAGTATGTCGCAGAGGCTGTCCAGTAGCATTGCTGTCCGTGCGTTATGCGAACATTCCGATTCTTTCCCGTCCCCAGACATGCCGCCCACCACACAACAAACCCGAACCACCTAAAGATCCTTGGCCCAGCATAAACATGCTCCGAATGATCGACTTGAGACAAAGTGCCTCAGTCCTCTCCCGCCACAATCTTCTTGATCCGTGCTCTGATACCAGTATGCCAAATCACATGATCAAGGGTCCCAGTCTTGTCTTTGAAGAGCAACATCTCCTTGGTCGCGAAGTTGATCTTTGCGTTCTACAGCGTGGTCAGCGACACGGCTCTCGGAGCTATGGAGGAAGAGGCCTCACCCAAGCAACAACTGGAACAAGATCATCGCTCAAATTCAGAACGGTGACTTTCGATTCCAATATCAAGTCGTGGCGAAGGTTGTCCTTCAACCAGTACGAAAGCATTGCTAACATGTTGGGCTCGTAGGCCAACGTGTCGTCCTCGTCGAAATCCTCGTGGCAGAGTCTTCGCTGATACGGACCATATTCGTCGCGACCTCTGCCACAGAGCCAGTCGCGGTGGGCCTGGATCAGACGGACTGCTCCCGGGTCAAGCTTGTTGTCTTTTTTGGACGCCCGGAGTCGAAGAGGAGCTCGAACCAGTACTTGAAGTAGGCCGCATCAAGTGTAGTGATCTCCAACGAGCGCAGACTGCGGCATGACGGCAGGATTGCGCCAAGATTTCTGGTCTCTTCGGCGTGAAGACGCAGATGGCGGACCTCTGGCGCAATCGAAGCGTTGACGAACAGAGCGTTGTCGACAAAAGACCGGAAATGCATGGTAAGATTCATTGTAGACACTTTGAGCAACAGTGTTCAACTCTCGGTGTAGATCAACTCGTTGACGAGAAGGACATCGAGGTCCTTGACCGGTCTGTCGCCGCACCGGTAGTTGACGTCAGGGTTCCATCGGAGCTTGGGCTGACCAAAGATCAGCATGAAGACCACCTTGCGTACCTCTGGAGGTAGGCTAAGGAGTGTCTGACTCATAGTATTGTATTTTGAGAGGGTGTGTAACGTGCACTGAGCGTCCAAGGAACAGGGTACTAGGTACGTAGCAACACAGCCAGCGTGGCCTTGGCACTTGGGTCAAGTGAGCTATCTCAAGTGAAGCAGAGTGAACAGAAAGTGTCAAGTTGGAAGCCAGACTAAGTGAAGACTTTCAGGTCGTGCAGTCACTGTCTTCCTCAGATGACAGGTATGTCCCTGAGTGCTGCCAATCGCCCAGGCCATGGCAGCAACTGGGCGTTGGTCCAGATGATTGCAGATTGCAGTCTGTGGGCGCCTGCCATTATGATTGCCAACATGAGCCTTGATGAGGAGTCGCAGCGTCGTGTGGGAAGTCGATGACAGAGTTCATTTGGCCGATGTCACCTTTGGCAAGGCGTGACGACTACCTAGGTAGTCCGCATGTATGTGTCGTAGAGCGCGTCGTCCTATGCTGCACAGCTCAGGACGTATGCAATGGAATACGCTGTCAATCGACGAAAAGTGCGACTTTGGCAATTCCCCTCGTAGTTGTACGGAACTCATTCGAGTTCTACACTGAATCTGTGTCCCGCTAATCGTCGTTTCATGGCGTAGTCATATAACTTCCTATTGGCTGACGACTACCCTAGCTTGGCTCACGGAACTCCGTGGACTCGTAGGACAGGATTGCTCAGGCTTGCTCTGTAATCGTTTGTGCATGTCATGGAATTCAAGGATCACATACGACTTCGGGAGGATCGCAACTCTGTACGGCACCGGAGAACAGTGATATATCAGTCATGGCCAGTCTTCGTGATCTCGACCACGGGACACAAAGAACATCAGTACTCTATTCTAGGGAGCCGGCCTTCTGGCCTTGACCATCTACGAAACAGGTATCAAGACTTGAGCTCGAGCCACAATGACGAAGACTCTCGCGGTCCTCGGCGCGACAGGCCACCAAGGCGGCTCTGTGATCAACAACCTCCTGGCTGACCCTGAGCTGTCCCACCAGTACTCCATTCGCGCCATCACCCGGAACACAGCCTCCAGCAAAGCCGTTGCTCTGAGCAAGCAAAGGGTCGAGGTAGTCCAAGCCAACACCAATGACCCAACCTCTTTGGCCCGGGCCTTCTCCGGCGCAGACTACCTCTTCCTAGTCACCACGCCTGCCCTCGGACCAGACGCCATGGCTACTGAAATGGCCACGATCAAGTCCATCGCCGACACCGCTGTTGCCAGTGGCGTGCAGTATATCATCTTTAGCACACTTCCCAACTACAGCGCCATCTCGGGCGGCAAGTATACCGCTGTGACGCCTTTTGATGCGAAGGCTCTGGGCGAGGAGTACATCCGATCCCTTCCGGTCAAGTCTGCGTTCTGGTGCGGAGGCTACTTCATGGAGAACTGGCATGAGCAGCCCTTCCTGCTTCCGAAGCCTAGTGCTAGAGACGATGGATCGTATGTTATGCAGCGCAACGTGCCAGGAACAGTGCGCATTCCTTACGTTGCCGCTACTGAGGATTGTGGGAAGTCCGTGAATGCGATCCTTGCGGAGCCGGAGAAGTATGCGGGCGAGGTGTTTCATGCTGCGGTTGCGACGTACTCGTTGGAGGAGCTGGCAGCGATCCTATCGAAGGCCACCGGGAAGACGGTGCGATATGAGCAGGTCAGTGACGAGGAGTTTTCAGAGCAGGTGCCCATGTGGCAGGAAGTATTTGTGCAGATCTACAAGTTCAAGGAGGGGTTTGGTGGCTACTTCGGGCCTGGCACCGAAGAGAAGGTGCAATGGGCGAAGGAGAGGGTCAGGGGCAGATTGACGACGCTGGAAGAGTATCTGGAGGCATATCCAGTTGTCTCGCAGTAGTGGTGGGTATATGTGCCTGCTTCAATCATATTTCTACCTTGATGCCAGGATGCTCTGTTCAGCCTCGCTCTCTATCCTGGGTGATGCTTCTTCTCCTGTTGTTTCGATTTCGGTGTAAGCAGAGGCTGTCCTACGGGGTCATATGGCCTTGCTCTGTCGTTACCAACAAGTCATCTGTTCGATCTGCCCCGAACGGCCTCTGTATGCCTAGCCGGCTCCGTATACTCTGCATGCTCGACGGAACATCGGCCACAGCGATATAGCCACTCTCCCGCCAATGGCCATGTACATCAGTGCACCGCATCATACCGGTAGTCAGATCAACAGAACAATCCATGCAGGCGCCGCTCGTGAAACGCCAAGCCCCGTGGTAGGCCTGCCGGAACATGTTGAAGTAGACGAGGACGGAAACGCCTCTTTCCCGACATACTTGCACAAGTTTCAGGTCGTCGTGTAGTAGACTGAATCGTTGGGGTGGATAGCAGTCCGCGAAGCGTCCTCCGTTAAGCCGTGGTAAGAAAATAATCATGTCGTCCTGGAGCTGTCGCAGGCCCGCTTCTGTCGGCATTAGATCGCGATCCAGATTTGATGCTCCAACCAGATTGATATGATCGTAGGAAGAAGAGGTCAAAGTGACACTCTTAACACTCGGCATTCTGGCCAAGTGGAAAGTAAGACCAGCTGCTTCAGTCATGCCCGCAGAGACGTGTTGAACGGATGGCAAGACGGCCCGTTGATACGTGTCGTTGGCTGCTGTAGATGATGCTTCGGACGTGAGACTGCTGACATTGATGAGAGTGGTGCGGAAGAAGAGCGGTCTGGCTTCGGCATAGAACGACCTGCAGGTCAGGAGTAGGCCTAGGCATGATAATTTGCTGCGTTATTCTCATCCCGCCAACTCGCTCTTTTGACGGTCCAGCGGACGTTGCCTTCAAGAACGAAGCAAAAGATGAGTTGTCTCACCTCGAGTGGGAGGGCGTAGAGGTTTGGTTGAGCGACTGTCGCTTGAGGGATGGACTGGTCATCCTGTGTCGACGACGTTGATGCGTCCATGATTGTTAATGTTATCATCGGATTATCGAGGTCTCCGCTCGTCGTTGCTGACTTTTGTGCTGCCATGGTTGTCAATTGCACGATGAGTGGTTGTTGCTAGCAATGATGGGTGCCGAATGCCAGCCCGGAGACAGTTTTCTAACAAGATTACGGCAAGGTACTCAAGGTACTTGACTCGTGTTGACCTTTTGGTGTGGGCTGACTGTGGGCATGGCACCTACCGCGCTTCCGTTCAGCTCACCTGTATTGTAAACTCTAAGCATAAAATGCCACGTGGAAGGCTGCAAAACCTTCTTGAGCAAAGAGATGGAGGCGGTAGCGGCTTCGCATGCAACGTGTACGAAGCTGAAGTAGGGATATAGACATCATTGCGATACAATAGGTCTCGTACAGCATCGTCACATGGTGCTGATCCAGCGATCCAGCGACATGAACTTCGGAAGTAGGTAAACTGGACGCGATGGCATTGTTGATTTCATTCAGTCTGCGCGATTGGCATTATGTTGACAGTGCGGCAAGTAGCGGGAGCCAATCGCTCCAATTAATGTATTACAGTGGCTGAAGCAGTCTTGGGGAGCATGTTGCACATAAAGTGCTACGTTCCATTTTGGGCATCCCGATTGCTGAACCTGGTTTAGCGTTGCACGTCTTGGCAGTGCCTTCTATCATTTTGTTCCTCTCCATCCTATCTGTAGACTTGTGTTATACAAGCACAATAACATGAATGACGGATGTGTTACACACTACACACCTATTATGCCTCGCGAAGAGAGTGCAGCGATTAATCACAATCAGTCGTATCCTTTCCGGGTCCATGCTTCATTGTAGCTGATTGCTATGTCCTTCTCCTTGTATGGAAGCCTCCATTGTATGCATCTGCAGTCTCATCAGCTCATCAAAGTCATTCTTTGCTCTGCACTGATCTTCTGAGTCAGCTTCATCGGCGCTCAGTCGTAGGCTGAACCCGAATTAGATCCGCCTTCGTTGTCTCGCAGTTGACAATTGGCGACATATCAGTGGGTCTCGACGACGGTCTGCGTGTAAGAAGGCCCGAAAACGAACTCTCAAAACACTGCGAGGCAGAGTGGAGTCACTGCGACCGAATCTCAAGTCAATGCGAGGCATAATATGAGTGAAGAGTGCTCTGTTTGACGAATTTGTATTAGTGCAGACGAATCTAGTTGCTGGGGACGGCTGTGTACCTACTTAAATATGCCGTCGATCGCCTTCTCTCCGAAGTTTCAACTTCAAAATACCATTACAGACTTCCGAGAGCTCCTTTCAGAGTACGTCGTACTGGTCGGAGCGTAATGGACGGTCTCGACACGCCTTTTCGATTCCTGGATCTCCCCGAGGAGATCCGCATGGTCGTCTACGCCTTCCTCTTCGCTCAGTGCCTCCTTGTCTGGGATAGCCCATTCGTCCAATCATACACCTACCTACATGGGACCCGGCAGCCACGCTCTGTCAGAACTGTCCCTCAGTGGTTCTCGATCCTTCTTGCCTCCAAGGCCGTCTCCCAAGAAGCCAAGAACATGCTCTTCAAGCAAGCCAATTACCGTATGAAGATCGAAGAGCATATGCTATACCGCAGACTACCAGACAAAAGCATCGAGTGGAGTGACATCCTCAACAATCTCAACAAGTACATGCCATCAGAGTTCTTGAGTACTGTTGCGCCACACATCAAGCGCTTCATCATCGGGAAAAGCCAGCAGTGGAGTCTTGAGAACCTATACTATGACAAGAATCCGCCACTCGCTCTGCTCACTCATCTCCCGGGTCTGAAAGTGCTCGAGGTCACGTCCACTGCCCAATTCCACATCACATTGCAGGGCAACAAGAACATGTCCGAGCTATGTGTGCTGACCGATGATGGAAAGGTAGCGCTCGCCCCATTGCTCGAGAATCGTATACAGAACTCCACATTCTCGTTGGGAGTGTCGGTGGGGAGGCGCCTCGCGCGGCAATGCAGAGCCAGAGGATGCGCATTGAAGATCTACATCCATTTCTTCCGAATGCGTGCTGTCAAAGGCAGAATGGTCCAGCCCAACGAAGTACGTCCTAACATACCAGCATCGCAATGGGTAGAAGCTAACATAACCCAGTACGCGCACATCGATCTTGCCCGCGGCCTCCTTTACTACGCAGACTCGAAGGGCAACATGCACGCTGGCGACTACTTCCGTTGCTTGGACTTTGGTCGCAGCGACTAGCTGGGAGTGCGGGATACCGGGCACACGCCATGAGATTAGGGAGAGGGAGCGGGAGCTAAGAATCAACGTGCGTTTGGTTCGCTATCGGTACATCAAGGGCAAGGGGTTCTTTCGACCGTCTGAGGTAAGCGATTGTATGCTATGCAAGTCGTGAATGCAGAACCAACAAGAGGGATGACACGAACACCGTGAAAGCAGCTGTACTTCCAGGAGCATTCAGCGGAGCCTTGGGTACCAGCAGGCAGCATAGTCCAGGACGAGGCAGCTATGGAAGCCTCTGGATGCAACTTGTCAGCTACTCTCAGTATGAAAAACATCCATTGAATATCTCACATCGACAGTATTCCATGCCATGTTACGCAGTTATATTCACGATCCCTCAATCATAATCTCTCTCCCGCCTCCCACCGCCATCCAACCAATCCCTCGCCCGTCTAAAACTCCCACTCAACCCCCTTCCCCGCGCCTTCGGCTCCTTATACGCCTCAATCCCCGAATACCCACCTCGTGCCTGCTGCCGCGCATACTGCTGCTCATGCGGGTTATTCGCCCACGCATTCGCACTATGCCGATCGTTACCACCTCCGCCCGCCCCAGAGAAGTTCCCGATGATGCCATTGCCCCGTAGCGGCCCTCGCTGCATCGGTGGCACCTGATCCGCCACGGCAGGCGGCAAGCTCGCGCCGCCAGGCCCAATCCCGAGTAAGCGTTCCTGTTTACTCTGTCTCCGCTGAGGTGGCACGGGTTGTGGGTAGGTCGGCTGGTAGCTGGCGGTTTCTTCGTCGGAGGTGTCGGATTCGTCGGAGCTGTAAAGGGGCTCGTTCCGACTGTGCTGCTGGGGCGGTGGATGCTGGTGCGCGCTGCGTATGCTGGCGGAAGCAGGAGCAGCAGCAGCAGTAGCAGGAGCAGAGGTTCCCAGCTTTGCGCGATTAGCGTGCTGCTGGTGCGATGGCTTCGTGTCTGAGATGGACGACACAGAAGTGCTATCGTCGTCCGATGGTGGTGACTGGATTGGGTAGCTATCGCTCGCGACTCGCCCGTGCTGCGCCAGATGCTGTGCCAGGTGTTGGCGCGGAACTTGCGGTGGCAGCTGCTGTGCGTGAGCATTGAGACCTTCAGTCCCAGGCGTGGGGCGCGGTGCAGCCATTGTGACGTGCTGTTGCTGACGGGTCTGCTGCGCCTGTGGTTGCTGTGGCTGGGTCTGTTGAGCAGCGGCAGAAGCGGCGCGTTGTCGTCCACCAATCGTCACCTGTCGATTGTTGCTCGGCGCGATGGAGATCTGCTTCGCTCCTTGGGCTTGAGCGATCGGGATGCGCTGGCTTGTGTGGTATGAAGGTGGCTGATTCGTCGTGTCGTAAAGAGCATCGTGGGTCTCGGGCATTTGCATCCTTCGTGATGGAGCAGGGTTTTGCTGATGGACTTGGACTGGGGGATGCTGTGGTGGTGGGAAGCGATTCGGATCGTAAGCGCTTGGCCGCGAGGTACCGGTGCTGATGAGTGACGCTGGACAGGTTGTTGTTGAGCTTGTGGAGGCTGATTGAAACCTGCTGCACCTTGTCCATTGGGCGGCTGATTCTCGATGTCGGATTCTTCGTCGCTGTACAGTTCGTCCTGCTTTCGTCGTCGACTGCCGAAGAGGCCAAACATCCGACGAGGCTGGGCCTGCTGCTGAGAACGTTGCTGCTGCGGGTCAGTGTGCTCATCGTCCGTGTACGGCTCTGAATCACTGTGATCCTGACCCCAGTTTCCTTGACCTTGCTTTGCAGCACCACGATTGTCACCGCTGCGACCGCTGAACATACGTCCAAGCAGTGGACCCTTCTTCTCGACAACAGGAGTATTCGGCAGCTTCTCGCGGTCAGATGAGCCGTCGTACCATAGTGCAGGTACAAGAAGTCGATAAGGCGTGGTGATGCCAGCTGGGTCTTTCTGGTTTACTTCGACGTTCAGTACGACATCGAGACCACCCTCAAGGTTAATGGTATCGTTGACATCAATCTCGTTGCCCTCAGCATCAATCGCTGGAACATTGCCTTTCCTGGCGGCTTTCTCAGACAGGTTCGTTGGACGACGAAGGATACCAGGCCGCACAGGAGCTGGAGCTCGGTCGACAGACTGTGATCTTGATATTGAGTCCTGAGAGTCGACCGATGACCTCCGCCCGGTCAAGCTGAAGGTGCGACCCAAGAAGCCTCTCTTGGCAGGTTGCGAGCCATCATAGGATGCGGAACGTTGTGGGATACCTTCTTGCGGAAATGCTGATGGAGGTGGGCGTCTTTTGCTGAGCTTCCGAAACATATTTGCCGGCTCTTGGGTAAAGGAGAAGCGCCGCTTCGGTGGCTCGCGGTCCTGATCAAGCGAGAAATCGTCTATTTCGTCTTCGTTGGAGTTGACAGATGGAGTCAGTGTACTGACAGGAGATGCTGGTGGCGTCGATCCAGGAGCATATGTTCGTATCGAGCACCAATTTCGGCGAGGCAGAAGATGTGTGTTGTTGCGTTTTCTCCTGTCGACGTCGTGTGTGAACATCGGGATCATGTCTTCTTCGGTGTACTTGTTGAGCGTGTGCACCTTGTTGCGCTTGTTGAGTATGTCAGCCATGATGTCGGGTGGCGGAGTGTTGACGATAGCAGATGAGATGACATTAGGCATGTATCGATGGTCGTGATCTTTCGGGATCTTCAGCTTCGGATTGGATCGAAATTGGCCTACAGCAGCGAGGTGCACATCACCTCCAAGAATGGTGATACGAACAGACTTCTCAGCTGCGAGATCCTGAAGGTCTGTGATCAAGTCATTCCGCTCTGACTTGTGGTGACTCGCTGTCCAGTGATCGTCGAGATCATCCAGAATCTCCACGCCGCCATCAAACTTATTCAAGAAGCCGGTTTTCATGACGCCCATTCGGTTGAGTGCCTTCAACGGGTCCATAGCTCGACTTGTGAGCACGTTCTCGAGCCAAACGAGTCGTGGGTAGGCGATTGGCACACCAAGCAGAACAAGCAGATGCTTGGTCTCGCCTTCAATGATCTCCTGCCTGCACCGCTCGAGAAGGTTATCAAACGTGCGGATGCTGAGAATCTCGTCGCGCATACGCTCAGTCCGACAGTCGATGCCCAAGAAAGCAATTTCTTTGCCCATGTGCATGAACACACTTCGGCTGGGTTGGTGGATGTATGGACCTGGCTCATGCCCGAGGATCCAACTTGGCTCGTGCGCAGCTGTCTCTTCTGGTACACTTTGGTGCTGGAAGAGCATGTAGTACTTGAATGCGACATTGCCGACACCAGAGAAGACTGGCGTCTTCATGAAGTGGTCCGGGTAGGAGCCGAACCCATCGATGATGTCGTGATCGTCCCAAATATTCACCATCGGAATCTGGCTGTTGGCCATGCTAAAGAGACCCTGCGAGAACCACATACAGTATCTGTTGAGATAAAAAGTTTCCAGTTCCTCCTGCATATCCTTTGTGAAAGGCGCGTTGTGCTTGTGTGTCGGATTTCTGATCTTCAGCCACTCTCCAAACAACTGTGTCTCGGTCGTGCAGCGATCGTTGTATATTTGATCACCTCCTCCGATCATGACATGGAAAGGTCGAGTTTGATGCACATTGAGCACGTCTCTCCAGAGAGGATCTGGGCCGGAGAACTGGTTGGGATTGACAGACAAGCTGAACCCGTTGCAGCTGTGGAACATAATGTTCATTGACTGACCCCGAGCAGGAACCCAGAAGCCGGAAGACGCTCCTCGATTGATGCGGTACGAAACGTGTTGCTGCACGTCGCTGAGCTCGACCTCGATGTTGAAGCGCCAGAACGTGACATCGCGGTCCGGATCCGCGTATAGTCTCGCAGCTGCAACTTCTTGATACTTGCCAACGGATTCACCGTCTTGATCAGTGCTTCGATCATTTGTAAGAGCTGTTGTTTTGCCTGCATGACCGTTGGTGTCGAGCAGACTGGGAGAGCTCTCGTAAAGTCCTTCGTCGTTCTCAATCGTGGAAAGATCTCTTTCCTCCTGCAGATGATCTACTGGACGCACGTATAGCGGCCTGCCAATTCTGGACATTTTCGTTAGGCCAGCAATCGGGTCCACGTATTCCTGCGCAAGGTCACCTCCGATCTTTTCAGGAGGCGGAGGCAGTAGGTTCTTGGGATGTGACCATAGTCTCAATGTTGGTGGCGTGTTGTAGTCCGAATGTGTGTCCTGCGTGACGATCATGACACTGCCACGCCAAACTTCCCCAGTCACTTGACCTGCTTCGTCCTTGATACGTTTCGCGCCCAGGTATCGAAGCAATGGCCCACAACGCATGAACAGCCTTGGTCGAAATTCAGCTCGAGAGTTATCGATGATGTCGCCCGGCCGAGTGCTTGTCGCGAACGAGGCGGAAGATCGACGACGCCTTCGTTGCTGAGTACCGCCCTCTTCCCACCAAGTTTTGCTCTTGTCCACTGGCTCCACTTGCGGCTTGTCAAGAGCAAAGTCTGCTGAAGTCAAGCGAGCTGTCTTTGCCTCCTTCCACTCGTCCACTGGTCGTTTCGAAAAGATGGGCTCTTTGAATGTCACGCTTGACTTGCTCTGGCGTTTACCGACGGGACGCATCGAAGACATTGGGCTACTGACAGGTGGTGATCCGCCCACTGTACTGCTCGGATCTCGAATCTTCGGAGGCGGTGTCAGTACCTGAGGGATGGTCGTCTCGTCCGAAGGCACAGATCTGTCGTGAGCGCCGAGTGCTGTACCAGTGGCAGGCGTGGCCGCTGCGGGAACAATATGCTGCCTCGTCCTTGAGGTCTGCACGTCTGTTGGCGGAGTCTTTTGCAGTTTCCTGGATCCATTGCGCTGCGGTGTGCCATCAGCTCCTGTCAACCTTGCCAGCGCGGCTTTGTGGGATGCGTTCCGGTCAAGTGGTCTCCTGTCACTATCATCAATGTATCGCGGCTGCTGTTGCTGTTGTCCAGGCAGAGCCCGCTGCTGATCTGATACTGATCGAGGTTGCTGGGTCGGAGCTGAGGCTTGAGGACGTGAGTCCTGGACAACATTCTGCTTTGAAGGGTATGCGACGGGGGAAGGCTCGTAATCGGGCTCGGCAGACGAGTAGTTGAAGCCCTTCTTACCCTCGCCCGATATGCGTCTCACGTCAGGTCGTTGACTCTCGATGGTCGTGCTATGCTGTAGTCTATCACGATGAGTCTGGCTCAAGCCTCTGACCAGGCCGGAATCCTCGATAGTAGGCTGAGGACGTGCGTCATCTCTCGCTTTGATCAGCTCTCGCTGTCGCTTCGTGCCTGCGCGCGTGGGATTTGACACGGCTCGTCTGTCTGCGGGTACATCACCAGCACCGCCGCCAGCTTGTCGCGCTTTGGCTTCTCTCAGCAGCATCTCGGCTTCTTGGACTCTAGCTCTCTTCTCCTCCTTGCTGATATCATTTATGGTGAGTTCCAGCTTCTGCAAAGGTGACCGATCTGGCGCCCACTCCCGGTCTCCAGCGGAGACAGCTCTTGCACTTGACCGGCTCACGGCGGACAGAGGAACTTGCTGGTCTGGTCGCTGTGTAGAACGGGCCGACATAGGCTCCTGCATAGGTGGTCGTCTGGCGGATTGTTGCTGGGTGCGAGGCTCGACTGCGCTTTGGGCCGTCTGCCTCTTTTGTGGCCTACTGCTGTCCTGCAGGTCGTTGGTGACGACACGGAGGCCATCTCGAGGAGAGGCTTGACTGTTTGCGATACCTGCATCTTGCTGCGTAGGAGGCCTCGCTGGGCTTTCGTAAGGCTTTGCGATTCGCTCGACCGTTTGTGGCTGAGATGGAGGCTGGACAGCTCTTCGCGAGGTGTTCATATCGGTCGGCATCGGGCCAGGCTGCTGAGACGACCCTCGAGCCGGGTATCTTCCGTCGCTATCGACGTCCTCGAAAGCTTCCTTCGCGAATGGCCTGCCTTTCGCGCGCTGCGAAAAGCTCCTCTGCGGCGGAGGGCCAGCTACTACAGGCTCTGCCGCGCCCGCGTCCCGGTACGCATTCGGAGGTCCACGAGGAACCTCAGGCGCAAAGGGCATGAAATCGGCAGAATCAAAGACCTGGCCACTCACCCGCCGGGACCGCGAATCTGGATGTGATGTTCGGCGCGATGGTCGACTCATGCCGTCATCGACTGGACCATTGTACCGGGGGTCGCTATGTGGTTGGACGAGGCCATCGAGGGACGGATCATGGTACAAATCGCCTGGGTTCATGGTGGTAGCCGCCATCGTGCCAACTCACTCAAGTCACTTCACGCTGATACGAGCTCGAAGCCGCGGTCGTCGCAAGTGAATGAGCTGGTCAGGCTGGTAAGCGTTCCGTAATCATGCTGCTGTCAGCTTCAATGTTATCGCTTCACGGCTTGCTGAATTGCTAACAGTACTCAAACACAGGTCGAGTCAATATCGCTGAAAATGGAACAGTATGTACACTGAGCAACATGCGCTGGCAAACGAAAAGAGATTCGAGACTCGAAAAAAGCAATCAGATCAGATCGAAATAATCATATTGACAGGAAGGAAAAGCCATCGTCAGGTTGACTTGACGTTTTCCTGATGCATGAATCAATAAAGGTGGCTGGCACATCTTCGCCCGTGTCCACGATGCCTGACTGCGTGGCCATGCAGCCGAAAAAGACATGCAAGATGGCCAGGTTCCGAGTCCATCCAAGATCTCGCGTACCAGCCACCGATGAAGCTTTGAGGCCTTGGGTTCGACCGTACTGCAGCATGAGTGGCGAGTCGCGCACCGTAACGGTCGCGTTCTGCTTAAAGCTTTCAACAACATCTGTTCCATCATCAAATATTATTATTGTCATCTCATCCATCCGATCTACGCACCGGTTGAAGCCGGTGTCGCTGTAACTGTTGGAAAGTCAGGCAGCTCGGTAATTGTCGGCGCCGCACTGCTCTGGCAAACGCAGCCACCTCCAGATCCCCATGCTGGGATACTGGTCACTGGCGGTTCCGTGCAGAAAGGACTAGGCGTCCATGTCGCCGAAGTCACCGTAGTCGTCGCCTTCTCCGGCGTTGTCGTCACAGCCTTGATCAACACTGGAATGATCTGACCTGTGCTTAAACTGAACAATCGGTGGCCAACCACTCTCAAGATCGAGGAGATCTCGCCGGAGTGACTGGTGAAGCTCAGATACGTATTGTCATCACTGCTGAACACCTCGTCCAGCATCGTCTTCGAGCGAAAGTCCTGCGCAGGTTGCACCTCAGCCGTCACTCCCGTCCACAGCTCGTCATTCTCCGTGAAGCCCGCCTCGAAGCTGAACTCGGGGAAGTTCTCCTCAATCCACGACTTGGTCGAGCGGCGATTGCAGGTATGCTCAGCCATGCCTTCACGCAAGCCTTCCAAGATGACCGGCTTGAATGCATACTTCGCCGGTAAGTCAAGGTCGGCGAACGTCAGCTCAGCAGTCTGCAAGCAGCGCTGCATTGGTGAGGAGTAGTACGACTCGATGTACGGGATCTTTTGTTCAGCATACCGCGACGCCCAGTACTTGTTGGCCTTCTCCGCTTGCGCAGCGCCGGACTCTGTGACCGGGGCATCGGCATAGATGAATGACGAGTTCGCACCTTCCAACAATGCCCAATAGCAGTTCCAGGCTGGCGTTCCGACGTACGATTCCTACAATCAGGTCAGCCAAATGTTCGAAGCTTCAACAAGAAGTGCTTACCATAGCGTTGTGATTGCCCTCGCCATGTCGACCCATGAACACCAGCTTGTACGAAGTATCCTTGGGCGCCGAGTCCTGGAGGTCCTTGAGCTTCACAGCAAATCGTTGCCATTGGGTCAAGCTTGCATCGGTGTCCGTGTCATATGTTTGATTGATCAACCCAAAGTTGACGTTGGCATAGTCAAATCCAGTCGTCGAAGTGCTGTTGTCGTCTTGCAGGAAGTATCCGCCAACAGTGCTGTACTCAATCACAGTATCAGCTGTAGGCTTAGCAGTCGTTGTAGTAGAGCTCGCCCCAGTCATTGTCTTCGTCGTTCCGGAAGTGGTCTTGGTTGGCGGTCCGTGATCGGACCACGAGTGACCATCGCCACTGGCAGTGCTGGCCGGTAGCTCATGATCAGCCCATGCTTGACTCTGTGGTTGCACGCTGCCGCCTTCCTGATACCACCATGTCCGAGTCACAGTCTTTACCTCTCCACACGGATTTGCCAGTGCGCCGGCGACGAACGCCGTCAGTAGCGAGGTTGTTAGCATGGTTCTAGCCGAGGTCGAATACATGAAAGCTGCAAACTCATTCTCGAGAAAACACCTCCCATCAGATAGCTATATACAATTCCCGTTCAGCGCAATTTTCAAGCGAGTAATCACCATGCTCCGCGTGCTGTTCTCATGCAAGTCATGGCACCACGTCCATGCCCAATCAGGCAGCGCACGTGTGCTGATGTTCAATTTGCTGCAATAGAAATCCACTCTCGGTTGGAAAGCTTGGCCGGCGGACATGACCTCGGAGGATGACTTCACAGTTTGACAATGATCTCTGTAGACATGTTCTATGCAGCAAGTACGCAGCGCGGTACGGGCAAGACCAGCGCATCATGTGGCAGTAGGATGGTCACATCAACGACGACCGATGATGACCTGCAGCAATGCGGCTGCGTCAGCACTGCAAGGTGATTGTGCCGAGTGCCGTCTGGAATATATTTGTATCCGCTCAAGCTACATCCTGCCACGCTGCTACCTTTATCAGCTTCGTCGACCATGTCACGTCAATTTCATATGACTATGAGATAAAGCCTGCTTCAAAATGAGCACAGCGAGAACGGCAGACCTTGTTCTCGACCTCAACGGCCAGAACGAGCGCGTCAACCGGCTTTACACACACTTGACGTTCTGCTTTTCCCACTCGGACGATTCGTCCTATGACGCTTCCACCATCGAGCAACTACTCAGGACCGCCCTCAACACACTAAGGTCCGCCCTGCCGTGGATTGGCGGCCGCGTTGTCAAACGCGAACAAGATGGACTGTATGCGATTAGAATCCCCAACCGCGCTGACGGCCTTCCACAGGACCGGTTGACTGTGAATGAGGAACTCGATCTGAACTTTGATGACCTCCGCGCATGTGGATTTCCCGCTTCACTTCTTCACGAAGACCGCCTGGCACCATGCTCGACATTCCTTGCCGATATTCCCGAGGACGGTGCACCCGTGTTCTTGATCAAAGCGGTTCTGGTGAAGGGAGGTCTACTGCTTACACTCGCCGCCCAGCACGGCAGCATGGACATGACTGGGTTCGTGGAGGTGCTAAGCTACTGTCGAAAGCCTGTGCCGGAGAGCCCTTCATTAGAGACGAGATCAACCGCGGGAACGCCGAACGAGACTGGTGGTTTCATAGTGGTAACCGGATACAAACCTCAGCCGATCAGCTTCAACCCACCATAGCTCCACAAACGTCGAGAGACCATGCTGGACCCTCCGCAGCACCAGACCCCGCCCCAGCATGGACCACGTTCCGCCTACCAGCAACAGCTCTCACCACCATAAAAGCATCCGCCACCAAGGACATCACCTCCGGCTTCATCTCCACCGACGATACGATCACTGCATTGGTCTGGCAAGCCATAACACGTGCCACCACCCATCATCACAACCCTGCAGAACAAGACACGACACTCATGCAGACCACACTATCCCGCAACGTCGACCTGAGGCCCGCCTTGCACCTGTCCAGATTCTACCCTGCTTTCTCACGGGCTCTACAACTCATAGCCTCGCACCGGAATCTATCATGAATCAGCCGCTCGGTCGAACAGCACAGAGCCTTCGTACGGCACTGGACTCCGAGAAGCTGGTAGAGCAGTTTGACGCCCAGGCGGAGGAGTTCTGCGGAGCACGAGACAATCAGCCCATTCCAAAGCAGCCTCCAGCTACTGACCGAAATTCGACGGGGAGGACTCTACAGGTCCGGGTCTCATCGTGGGCTACATACACTAAAGTCCACGAATTCGAGTTCGGCCTAGGACTCGGCCCGCCTGTCGCGGTCCGGAGACCGGCATTTAGGGATGGAGCCAGAGAGGGCTTGGTCTACTTCCTCCCAAAGACCACTAGCCGCGCCATCGACGTTATGGTTTGTTTGCGACCCGCGGCTTTGAACGAGCTAAGAGAGCTCGTGGAGGATCATGGCGCAATCTGGATTGGCTGAGTCGCGATGTATTACAGTCACGAAAATGGAGCGAGCAGCCATACTCTCACCTACGAGATTTTGACCGAGAGTACTGGGCCGGTTGTCTACAGCGCCCTCCCTAGCTAGAAAGTCTACAAGGCATCGAGCATTCACACTGACGCTTAAGTGAGGCTCACCTCAAGCCCACCAGTCTGATCAGCGTGATGGTGCTAGGGTCGCAGCGCCCGCCCTGGCAAAGACCATGGTGAGCAGCACTTGTATCTCAAGAATGGAAACGTGATCGACTTGGAGAAAACGCCCAGTGCTTGAAATCACAATTCGGGCGCGAGCGAACGCCGGCTCCAGTTAATTTCGAATGCGACATCCTCTGCACATCAACAACACCATCATCACAACATCACCGCCCACCAACCTGGCCCTTCGGAATAGGTCGAACCCAGCAGAAAGCCAGGTTGAATCCAATCACCATGATCCCCAAAATCCAGAAACTCTCCTGGTACTCACTGCCGTGGAACCGGAACAAGATCGCGAATATGACACCACCCAAATTACCAGCAGCTCCGGTGAAGCCACTGATAATCCCGTTGGCGTGAGGGTATACATGCGGCACCAACCCGAAATTAGCCCCATTACCTGCTTCAAGGAAAAACGCCATCCCGGCGATCAGCCCAAACATGGTAGCCTCGTCGCGCGGGTCCGTGAGGCCGATGGCAATGTTGAATGCTCCCGAAATGACGCCGACGAAGACGATCCAGCCCTTTTTGACCCACAGTGAGTGTGTCTTTCGGTATAGGAGATCAGAGATGATACCGCCCAACGGACGCGTGACGACGTTGAGGAGGCCGAACATGGACGCCCATTGGCCAGCGTGGGTTTGGCCGAGGGAGGGGAAGTTGCGGAGGTAGTAGGATGCGAGGTAGGAGTTTATGGCTAGTTCCTGGTTGAAGTCAGCAGCTGCGTCTGAGCCAGGGTCTGGGGCAAGGGGAAGACCTACTCCACCAAACGAACAAACATAGGTGCAGGCGTGGAAAGCCATTTGCAACGAGAAGAACACGTTACAAGCCTCCTTGAACGTCGGCGCAACGACGACCTCACCACGAGCCGTCGCAATCATTTCGTCTTGCGACATCTTGGCCTCCTTGCCTGCTGAAGCTGTACTGCTGCGGCGGGTGCTTCCGCGCTCGATGTCGTTCTTCGCCATCTGATCGCCAGCACGCTTCTTCTCATCATCACGTCGAGGAGTAGCCGTACCACTCGAAGGCTCAGAGGAGTCAACGGGCGGCGTCCCGTCAAGGACCGACGTTTGCACTCCATGAGCAGCGAGCTGGTGACGGGCAGCATCGTGCCTCTCGCTCCATTTCCCAGTCGGGGTATCCTGACACAGGAAGATCATACCCAGATACGTCGCTGTGATCAGAATAAACGGCACAATCATAGCCACCCGCCAGGCTTGAGGAGACGTAAGACCCATATCAGCCTTCAAAGAATCATAAATCATCGGCATCAGGAAGTAAGTAATGCCACCACCAGCATTACCCCAACCGCCAATGAGCGCATTGGCCGAACCCACGACATTCTTATCGAAGAAGCCTGTACTCCAGACCTGGCACGGCACGAAGGTACCGCCAAGGACGCCGACGAAGAATCGGATCGCGATGAGGCCAGAGACGTTACGGACCAGACCGGAGAGGGCAGTTGGGATTGAGCCCATGGCTAGGATGCCAATGTAGGTCCAGCGTGGACCCCAGCGGTCACAGGCCGGGCCGGCCATGAAGCGGACGAGGAGGGTGCCTGTCAGTGCTGCGATGTTGGCGTTGCCGACATCGGCTTGAGTCATGCCGAACTCTCGGCGGATGGTGACGGTGGTCAATGGTGGGAAGGCATCTATACTTTTCAGTAAAGTCGTTGGAGGCCTTTGGGAAGTACTTACACCATGACCAGAAGGCGATGAAGAATCCGAACCACGAGAAAAAGAAGACGCGCCCATACATGTTGATGACATTCAAAATGGGGACGGAGCGTGCCTTGTGGTTGATCGGGTTGACCTCAGGGGCCTCCCATAGCAGCGAGACTCTCACCATGCTGATGAGGTCGCGGCCTGCTGCTGTTTTCGTGAGTTCTCGTTAGGATTGCTGGTGCGGAAAATATTCCCGTTGGGAGGGGTGCTTCCAGGGTTGATGAAACCGCTCCTCCATCACGCTCTTTGGGCAGGGCTTCTTTATGTCAAATGAGCTCGACAGTCGACACTGTTGGCGCACGTCAGTCGAGCTCTGGTGTGGTACAGCCTACCTTCGTTGTTCCGCCCAGTCGTGCCTGTGTACCCAGCGGCACTGGGGGCCAAGACCCTTATCTCAGTCTTGGCACATTCGGACTTGGCACGATGGTTCAACAGAATCCACTTCGCAGCTTTTTCCCACACTCCCCTTATCTTTGCCGAACGATCATTGAGCTGCAAGCGGGAGCTGTCTCTCTGAAATCAAAGATCTGCATCTCCGAGCCTTGGTAGACAAGCCACAGATACGGCAAAAAGGCAATAACGAAGGGAGACCATTGGCTCTTCGCTTTCATTCCGATGTGTGTCGTCGACGCTCTACCAATGGGATATCCTGATCCGCGTCCGGGGAGAAGGACACGATCGACGTGGATATGTTGTCCTCACTTCACATGTGCCAGATCACCGCCGCTGCCTTGGCGGCTGAATTTGAAGCGTTGGCGACGATAAGGGTGGTGATGAGACTGGAGGTGATTTCTCCGTGGAAGTTGAAGCGCGGCGATATGGTACTCCTGCTCCTATATGTGTCTCTTTCAAGCTCTCAAATACCTCAGGCTGGCACTTGGCCGCAAGATTGACACGTTGGCAAGGCAGTCTTAAGATTCCAACGCGCTCATCGTCGGTTAGACTTGACTGCGATCATTGGACATCAAGTTTGCCCGAACAATGGCCCCAAACAGCACGATCATCTGTTCCAAGTCGGGTGCTGAAGTCGTCGTTGGAGTTCTCGCAGAAGCACTCACGATTCCTTCTCCATGTTGGAGTCTGCTTCGAGGAACTGTGATTCAATGGACCTACGTTGCAAATAACCTCGAGTTCTACAGGTTGATGTTCGCGCATTTCAGCTAAGAAATCCTAAAACAGATGACGTCATATCTAAGTTCCACCGCACCAGCATTCCATAGCTGCCCAGGTGAGGATTTCCCAATTTTACAGACCATTTGTATCAGTCGTTGCTTTCAGACGGCGCGCGATCGGTGCGTAATGCCAGTATGAGCTTGGCTCGACCTCGCGACAGGGTTCTGACGCATCCGTTTGTAGAAGAAGTCGCACCGCGGCTAGGCAATGGCAACAACTGCTGAATGCTCTGATGTCTGGCGATTCTGGCTTCTGATGAACGGATCGCAATGGTAAGGACGGTAGACTGATGATCTCCGAGACGCGCCCGGCTCGTCGAGTGTTGATGCCAATGGTGTGCGACATGACTTCAACTTGATGGCGAGTCTGGACGGAAAGGTAAGAAAGGTACTCGTGGTAAAGGTATTCACGAGAAAGGTACAATTAGCCAGCCTAGCATTCATGCATTTCCCTTCACATCTGTCATCTCACCACAGTAAAAAGTTGTCGCTGCAGCACCTCCGTCAAGCGAGGTCTTTATTAAAGCGAAATTCCAGATCACCGAAGTCACAAGTCCTTCTCAACAGTGAACATGAGCAATACAACCTCCATCATGTGGCAGACCATGCTCATCGCCTGCGTCACTATGGCGATACTCATCCTAATTTTTAAGCTCAATCGCGATCAGGAGTCGAGGCAGCGCTCCATCCTCATACGTTCACCAGCCCGTTCACCACCCCGCGTTCACAACCAAGACGATATATATCGACCAGTACAGCCGTCGGTCCCTCACCGAAAACGAACAGTACTTCCACTACCAGCAAGACATCACCATCAAAGAGGACGTTGTAATTGTGGGGCACTCTGCTTTGGACCGGCGCACAGCGCCAAACACAGGGAATGGAAACGAAACTGGTGAATTCCTCACTAAAGGGAAGGCGAGCCGAAATCTACTGCTGCAGGACAGCCAAGTTCGAGAAAGCTCGGCCCTGGCACCGAGATGGGCCATGGGAAAGCGAGTAGCGCCAAGTACTCGACCGAAGATCGGTAGGATGAAGGTTGACAGTCGACCCCCCTTGTGGTCGGAAGGCTTCAGCCGACCCCCTGGCTCCAGCTGCACTACTACACTCACCATCACAAGCATCCTGTCGTCGTCGATGGACCCTCCTGCCCTTCGAATACCCCTCGAGATCTAACAAAGACTTCGCCCCACCTGGTAGCAACGCGTGTCACCAAGGCATGGCGGTGATTCCACCGACGTTGGTGGCAGCCAGCGCAATGAGGGGAGAAAAGAAGAGGATGATGAGGGCAAGACGACTACTTATACCTTTTGACGCAGCGGTCACCCGAAGCAAACCGCAACAGTCACTGTTGTGACTCAGCGAAGAAGGCATTCACTGGTGTTCTTGCTGCACAGCTGTCTAGACCAGTTTCCAACACAGAAGACCTTTTCAGCCGAGGCAACGAGAGCAGCAAGACCGACGAGTACGAGTAGAGCAGGACCGGAAACACTCCACATGAACTCCCGTCCTGGTGACGGTCTCTGTATTCAGTAGCTACAGCTGGATTGCATGACATACAGTCTCTCACTGCACTGTCCCATCCCCCAACATCCTTCACTGTCATGCTCGTCGATCATACAGTGCACATCTCGCCCACTCAGGTGCTTCGACAACAACAACTTCGAAGTTCAACTTCGTCGCTCAAGACAGAGTCTTCTCAGTAGTGGTCGCCGGCAAGCCCTCACCAGCCGCCTTATTTGGCGTCTCGGAGATCTCGTGAACACTTGCGTCCTCCGCATGCTCGATATGGCCCAGCGCTTTGTGGGTGGCACTTTCGAGCTCGCGGGCCTTTTCTGCCTCGGACTCGAACACTGTTCGCCGTGATTAGTATTTGCATCCAGAATGCTATGTGGCAGAAAGCGTAAGCACTCACAGAAAGTCAGCTCCTCCAAGGTCTTCCCAAACGTCTCCGGGAACAGGAACCAGATGAACCCAATCTCAAACACCAAGAAGCAAACATACACCAGCAGGTATTTCCATTGGATATCCGCCAGTCCAATGGGGTTGACCTGCGCGCCGAAGGTGCTAGCCGTCCTGCTCCAGAACTGGAACCACGTGATACCCTTGGTACGAGCATAGTAAGGCCATAGCTCAACCAGGTACACGTACGTAAGGGCGTTGTATGCGATGTTGTAGCAGGGCGTGTATGCGAAGATGAAGAAGATGACCGCGATACCCCAGCCTTCACTCTTGGTGATCATCTGACGAGCTTGACAGGCCGTCCAGAGGGTGTAGCAGCAGAGCAGAGAGCAAGAGCATAGGAGGTACATCCGGCGACGAGGGAAGCGGGGTGTGATGCTGGCGAGGGTGAAGCACACGATGAAGCCCCATGCTTCTCGGCCGAGGGAGAACTTGAGTTGGGTTTGCGAGTCTGTCCAGCCGATCATCTTGAGAATGGGCACCAGGTATTGAGAGATGAGTGCGTTGCCACTAAATTGGCAGAACACACCCAAGAAGCCGGAGACGAGCGCGCGGCGGCGCATGGCAGGAGACTGGAAGGTCTCGAGCCAGCCGCGCTTGCGGTCGGCGTTCTCGATCTCTAGGGCTTTCCTGATCTCGGCAAATTCCGCGTGTGGGAGCGGGTCGGAGGCGTTGCCCTCGGCGTGGTATTTGATCAGGATCTCAAGGGCTTCCTCGTGACGGTCCTTGGCCACGAGCCAGCGTGGGGATTCGGGAACCATAAAACACGTGGCTATCTGGATGAGAGAGGGACCAGCTTGAAGAATTGATGGCAGACGCCATGACCAGTCGCTCTTGATCTTTTGGGTCTCCATGACGATGCCGGCACCGATGACGGCTCCGACTGCATAGAAGGCGTTGAAGTAGCTGCCAAGGAACTTGCGCTCTTTGGGGTGGCCGAGCTCGCCGAGGAGAGCAGAGCCCGCGACGATGGCGTAGACAATGCCGTGGCCGAGGAAGATGCGGGAGAAAACAAACATGGCCACTATCAGTTGCGTTAGTGTGAGGAGGTTGCACGCAACGTTCACAACTTACTGTTTTGGGACAGTCCTTGCAAGAGGGATCCGATGACCATGATGACGGAGCCGAAGACGACTGACCATCTCCGGCCAACCCAGTCAGAGACGAGGGGCACGAAGGGAATGGACGTAATGGCGCCGAGACTGTAGGCTGAGACCAAGAGACCGAGAATGGCCTTTTCGGGGTTGTCGAAGTACTCCTTCCAATATGAGAGTGCCTGGAGACCGTTCATCATGGACGAGTCAAAACCGCTCGTGCTCTCGATGAACATGGCGAATGGCACCAACCACAAGTATAGGCTTCGGAGATTCCTTTTCTTGTACCATGGTGTCTTGTCATTCTTGATGATGCCATCGATGATGGGGTTGCTGCCGCCTGCGCCGCCTGCCATCTTGCTGATTGTCGAGAGGTTGTTGCGGGATGAGAGACTAGGACCTACCCCGAGAAATGGGTAGGACGTGAGCAGACTTTATTGATCATCTTGACTCTCCGCTCCCAAGCGAAAGCGGTCGGATGTCGCCCTGACCTAGCACTCATGGGTCCATCCTGGGGAAGTTGAGGCAGACCATGTGGCCGGTCTCGAGATCGAGGCTGGGCGTTAGACGAGGGTTGCACTCGACTCTCGTTGGCGATGTTTGGCAGCTTGGCAGCAGCGTGATTGGAAGCACTCCGGTGTGCTACAGCGCTACCGCATTTGAGCCGGAATTCGACGCTCCATAGGCTCGTTGTAGACAAGCTCTTCTTGACTCGTCAAGCTCACTGGACGTTAGTCGGCACTAGTCGAATTAGCCGAATAGGAAGGGTTCAAGCAAGCATTCTCCGGCCTTCTAGACCAGCGTGCCAAGAGCGAGAGCCTGCAGAAATGACAGCGTAAACGGTCAACAGCGGCGACTCGTAGCCAGATTTCCGCCAGTAGCGAGCTGCGCAGTGCCTCGGAGTGTAGTCGACCGTCAGCTTTGGGGTGAGATCACCTGCACAAAAGACATGTTCTGCAGACTGCAGAGAAAGATGCACCTGCATCTGGGTGCCCCACGTCTCCGCAACCTGAGAACGGGGCAGACACGAAAGTGCGGAAGGAAATTGGAGCAGCTCCAGAGTCTGCTATTGGTTGGCGTTCTCACCTTTGGCGGCGGCCAAGATTCAAAGTTGGCATCAGACCATCTTTTCGTTGTAGCGAAGACACAGTGCCGACACAAGCCCGATTACGCGGGATTCAGGTGGCAGTCGACGCGAGATGTTCTTGAATTTTTTTCATGATTTCGAGATAGCTTGGTAGCACGATGTTGTAACAAGGTTCGGAGAGATAGATCGAAGTCTTCGTAGAAGTCAACAACGCGTTCCTTCCAGGAGTCGTCACATAGGAATGGTGTCGAAGCTTGCGAACGGACTATGTCAGTGTGCTGCGACGCTGTGGCGACTGTTTTCGTCGTTTGACAATACGACCTGGGAAGTTGAGTGGTGGTAGCGTTTATCCGGCGCGGCGGTAGGTCGGAAACTGGGAGGTCAGGTGAGCATGCAAGCGCAACCGAGCTTATGGATCATGCTTCATCCCGGCGGATATAATCGTGTTCGGCCGTATCTATGTGGCACGAAGGGGATTGCCAAAGCGGGCAGCTGAAATGTGTAGAGATGTCCAAGGACCACTGTATATATTGTACAATTGCAGCTATCATGCTTGATAAATTGGGGTTTGTAATGCCTGCCGGTTGGAGTTCGATATTTGGTTAGGGCAACGAGCGCGTGGAGTTGCTGATTTCAAGTCCAGGGCGGCTTTCAGATGCAAAATGAGGCCTACCACTTCCAACCTTGGAATTTTATGCACAGCGCAAAGGCAGGATCAGCAAGCACAACTACTGCTACCGTAGGCAGGAATGAGCCCTAACCCTCTCACGGGCAGTCGCTGCAGGCGGCATCACGGTGCCCGCGGCATTTGCAATAAGAACACCAGGAACTCTGTGCCAAGGATCACGCCTTCCTCCGCAACAATTGCAACACTCCGATAGCAACAAGTCCTTCGCCTTAACACGAGCAAGCTGTTGCATATGTGAATTTGGTTCGTTGGCTACAAGCTTGACAGCTGGACGAGCTCCCCACTAGTGCTTCGCCTTTGCTTCTTGCAGCCAAGCGATGTCTTGTCTCCCGAACCGAGTCGATCGCTGGGGCATTCTGTATGGCAGTCTGAAGTCTTCCGAGGTGAGCAGCATCATAGACTATTTCATGATGCATGCAAGATGAGATGGTGCGAGACGACCTGCATGGTTCAGGCACGCGCTCGACGTGCTGCATGACGTGACTGCGAAAATTGAGGTAGGGAATATAAATGCTAGCAACCACGAGACGTGGTAAGTGAGGTCGGATTTGTTTGTTTCCGCTGTTGCATATTCACCATGAAGCTCCTGCGCATCTTCTCCAGCTCGCTACTCATCAGCAATGCTGTTGCCGGCCTAGTCAGCCGACAGAGCGCCCAGAATAGCTTTGAACAAGGCTCGCCACGGACGAACAACGGCAGTCGCGGCTCAATCATCTCAGGTATTGACACCGTCCAATCAACAGACTCATGACTGACAACGACAGGCGGCACGAACCATGACCTAGATCTCCAAAACCCTGATGGTCTCGGCCAGCAGACCACAGATGCCGGCACCGTGCCCAATCTGAAATGGTCGTTCTCCCTCTCCAAGACTCGCATCTTCCCCGGCGGCTGGACAAGGACCCAAGTCATCCAAGACCTACCGCAAAGCCACGACATCGCCGCCGCACAGCAGCACCTGAAGAAGGGAGCTGTCCGGGAGTTGCACTGGCACAAAGTGGCTGAGTGGGGCTTCGTGTATACTGGCCGTGTCACCGTGTCCGCAGTGGACGAGAACGGACAGTACCAGGTGGAAGAGCTGGGCGTGGGCGATATCTGGTACTTCCCGAAAGGTCAGGCGCACGCCATTCAAGGTCTGGACGACGAGAATGAGTATCTGTTGACTTTCGATGAGGGCAACTTTGATGCTGTTGGGTGAGTTGCTGCTGTTCTGTGATGACCAGTCTGACGTTAGCTTAGTGTGACGTTCAATCTCGGCGACTGGGTGGCTCACACCCCCAAGTCGATCCTCGCGAAGAACTTTGGCGTCAACGAGAGCGTCTTTGCCAATATACCGACCGTTGACCCGTACATCTCTCAGTTGAACGTCAGTAACAACAACGTGACCGGCGGCAACGGACCTCTGACTGGCAATGCATCCTACGTCTACCGTACTTTCCAACATGACCCAGAGCCGGTCCCCGGCAATGGCGGCACGTTCTACCGCATCGACTCAACGAACTTCCCAGTCTCAAAAACCATTGCGGCCACGTTTGTCACGCTAAAGCCAGGCGGCCTACGTGAGCTGCATTGGCATCCTACAGCAGAAGAGTGGCTGTACTTCCACAGCGGGGAGGGCAGGGCTACCGTCTTCATCGGAAATGGAGCAGCACGTACCTTTGACTTCCAAGCTGGCGATACAGCTGTCTTTCCCGACAACAGCGGTAAGTAAGGCCAGCAGCTCATGAACTTTTGCTGACGGATTTAGGTCACTATATCGAGAACACTGGATCCGAGGACCTCGTCTGGATAGAAATATACAAAAGCGACCGAGTGGCAGATATCTCGCTCGGGCAATGGCTTGCTCTGACGCCTCACGATGTGGTTGCCAGCATTCTCAAGATCCCGATCGATGTCGTGGACCAGGTGCGTCGACGTGAAGGAGACTGCAGCGCCCTGCTAACCTGCGTTCAGATCAAGAAAGACAAGCAGTTGCTTATTGCAGCTTCGTAGATTCAGAAATGAGGTTGAACATAGCATTCACCTCGCCACCGGCGCGGCAGCTCGCGTCGTCACGCTGGCGAGGTGCATAATGACACGTATATATTTAATTCCAGACCGTTGCTGGCTGCAAGGGAGCGTGCTGTGCAACGTAAAGATGCCGAGCCTGCTTATCGGGTCGACAAAGTTTGGGCTCCGATGCTAAGCCAGCAGTGCCTAAGCGGTTTCTCCTCGCATCGACTATAAGCATGCACTCCGCTACAGGCGAATCTCGTCTTTTGTTCTAGGTAATAATCTCAACAAGAGCAACGGCAGCAACAACAAGCCACACGATAGTTGAACAAGACATGACTGCGTCTCCCAGAGCACAGTATGTCTTGATATGTCCATCAAGGTCTGCTGCATCGTCAGATCACCCTGAATTTGCAGCCACGTCCCAAAATGATCAAGACCTCGAGCCGGGGTAGCTGTCAAAGTCTCGCTTCTGGCTTAGTTTGCGATCGATCAGCACGCATCCCTGTCCACGAAAAAGTTGTCGAGCAGAAAGTCCTTCGACTCCTCAACCAAACAATGGCAGCCTGTCATCCGAGTTGCGGAGGCCGCTCGAGATTTACGAGAAGTATCTTGTCGATGCTGCAACTCTGAGACACATCCCACCTGTCTGGACGCATCTAACATGTGTGTCTGCATGAAAGACTTCGTGAGATGATATTCTCCGCGCCACTCATATCGCGACCTTGCTCCTTAGCACAGTGGCGGGCGTCGATCTAGTCTTCGATGACCCTTGACTAGTGCCAGAACAAGCCGCAGAGAGCCTCCACTTCTCCCAACCCTTCGTCGACGCCAGCAGGAGTTCATCTACGGACTGCGCTTTTATCATGTGTCCTTTCTGCTGACCACAAATCTTCAAGCACTTCAGCAGGCCGGTATCAGCAGTGACATTCGTTTCTTTCAGCATTTATTTCATTTAGCATACATTCGTTGCAGCAAGTTCAGCATGCTATCACAGACAGCCATCGCCCTTGCGGCCCTTCTGACATGTGCTACGGCCCAAGTGCCTAATTTTGTCCCCAGTGCCGTTCCCCAAGCCGATAGAGGTACGTTCTTCAGTCGACCACCACGACCAGATCACTGACCGAGATTCAGATCAATGGTGCACATCACAAATCTCAGCCTGCCCACTGATCTGCCTGCAAGAAGACGCCGCCACGGCCGCCACCCAAGCCAACACCTGCGACCCTGACTCGTTGACATACCTCTGCATATGCGACAACGGCCTCCAGCCTAATGCTTCCGAATACTCTCAGACCTTGCCTTACTTCATCTGCACGGAAAACAACAATATCTGTGTGAACAACTGCGGCAATGGGAACAGTGCGTGTCAATCGGCCTGCCGTGCAGACAACCCCTGCGGTGCACAGAATCCTACAAGAGTCAACACGAGTACCATCTCGACTATGTCCTCAACAGCTACGGATGGCAGCTTGGCGCCTACGGCTCGGATGTGGTGTACACGGGCTTTGGCGGTGGTGCTGCATCGGCCTCGGCTACTGGTGGTGAAGCTTCTGCGACTGCCGCCTCTGGTGGTAGCTCAGCTGCTACGAGGATCGTGCTCAATGCCGGCGAGTTGTACGGTCTTGCGGTCGTTGGGCTTGGTGTGTTTACTGGCTTCACGCTGTTTTTGTGAGCGAGCATGACTTGAGGTGATGCATTTGCAGAGAAAAGTTGGATCGGACAGGAGGACGAAAGAGCACAGTCATTTTGAGCGGATTTGAATAGCGAGGTGTTGGCCAATGTGCCACTGGGAATGTTTGAGCGTATCGTACAGCTATTTGCACTAATACACAACCTTCGACGTATAGCAGATTTTTCGAGAACTTTGATCGTGAATGCTTATCGTGACTCGTGGAATACGCAAACGTGCGCTATGAATTACTGAAGGTGATTTGCAGAAGCCATCGTTCAATCTGTAAACTCCAGAAGAGCATCGATGACGAGTTCAAAATGCAGTGCGTCTGATGCCAGATCTGCAGGGACCGCCCTCGACACTCATGCCAAGCCTTTTCTCCCGTTGCTGAGCAACGCGCATTCAAGCTCCATCAAAACATGGTGATTGGCCAAGCTTAGGAACGCGTCGGACTTGCGACTTTTCGGCATTTGGACTTCGACTGCAGCGATATCAACATGCCTTAGAAAGTAGACTTCATGCGCCCACACTGACCTCAACAGCAACTCTTCGCCCATATGCCTCCCGTGCTGTAGTTATACCTTCACAATGGCAGCTGTAGCTTCGCCAGCAGCAGCTTCTTCCTTGCACGACTTTCGCCGACCAGCAGCACGCCCTTTCTCGAGGTCAATACCCGCTCGCTCATATACCAGCGATCACCTCCGAATGCGCAGAAGAATGTCACGAAACGATCGATGGGCGACAGCTCCGATGATGACGATCTAGCGCCGATCAAGCTCAGTGCAGAGGCTCAGGCTATCCTTGAGGGAAATTCGCAGACTGGGGAGGACAAGGAGAACCAAGTGCACCCTTACAAGCGCAGTATCACGGCGGCAACAACGTCGACAGCAAATGATGGGTACAGATCAACATCAGGCAGTCGATTCCGGCGGCCGCTGAGTGGTGGGCTTGGTACGGGCAGCCCTGTTCCGAGAACGACGACAAGCACAGCACCTACTCGACCTGCAGCGTTGACGACGGTTGCGCGAGATGGCTCCTTTATGTACAAGATGGTCGACAAGACCGGCGCATCCGCACGGACGCCGCCCAAGGAAAAGAGATCTTCCCCACTACGAGCCCAATCTCCTTCTCCGCGTTGGGTACCGGCTGCAGACCCTGTCCAGGAGCAGATCAGTCCTCCGCGATCACCTATGGCGGACGAGCCTGCGAACCCAGTGACTGTTGCTCGACCAAGGAAAGCCGAAGAGAATGCTGCCCATAGCACGGTGCGCACACGTAGAGCTGGGCTAGGACTCTCGGGGAAGCCAGTTCGACGGGGTATTATTCGACGGCCATCTGAGGATGATGCTCCTGTTCTTAGCAACAGTCGAGAGAACTCGGCAAGTCCAGAGATGCAGGTTGGAAGGCGAGCACCAGAAGCTGATCTGGATGACCACCCTGATCTTGGCCTTGCGCCTCGAGGCAGCCCCCAGCCGATCTCTCGAAGCACTCTCGGCAAGTCATACGGTACCGACATCATGGTTTCAGCCTCACCACCTAGCCGATCAAAGTCAGCAATGGCAAGAAGCTCACCTCAGCCAGATCCCATCGCTCCTCGATCGAGGCCAACCCCAGCTTCGTACGGATCTCTTCCGTCTTCTCGCTCATCTGGACCACAAAGAAAGCCCGCTTTCCGAGTACCGCCCCTACCAGCGATTGAAGCTTCGCATGATCAAGAAAATGAGCCACCTCCAACCTTCAGGAAATCAAAGCCTTCTGCACCTGTTCTTGAAGTCCTCGAAGTTCGCGAAGAACCCGCGCCAGCCCCTGTATCTGCATCACCACAAAGACCACCGCTGCAACCAGTAATCAACAATGTCCCGCATCGTCCAGCACCCGCTCCACCACCAAAGATGTCCTCCCTTCTGGACGCAGCAACCAACGCTGGCCGCTCGAAAAAGACGAGCTCCCATGTAGTAGTCAACAACCGCCAATACCGCCGCCTCGATTGCATCGGCCGCGGCGGCTCTAGTCGTGTCCACCGTATCATGTCAGACAACTTCAAGATGTTCGCCCTCAAACGCGTCAACCTCGAAGAAGCCGACGCCGCTGCCATCGCCGGCTACAAAGGCGAGATCGACCTCCTCCAAAAGCTCGCCCACGTCGATCGTGTGGTAAGGCTGTACGACTACGAGGTCAACGACGCGAAGCACGTCCTCAACGTCATGATGGAAATCGGCGAGACGGATTTCAACAAGATGCTGAACGAGCAGTGCAAGGTTGAGAACGCAAAACTCGATACCACGTTCACGCGACACTACTGGAAGGAAATGCTTGAATGTGTTGGATCCGTCCACGCGTGCGACGTCGTGCACTCGGATCTGAAACCGGCCAACTTCCTCCTCGTCAAGGGTCGCCTCAAACTTATCGACTTCGGCATCGCCAACGCCATTCAAGACGACACTGTCAACGTCTACCGTGAGAACCAGATCGGAACGCCGAATTACATGTCTCCTGAGTCGCTGATCTGCAATAACGTCACGCCCAGTGAGAATGGGGATATCAAGGAGATTAAGCTTGGAAAACCATCGGACGTCTGGTCGCTGGGGTGTATCCTGTACCAGATGACCTATGGCCAGCCGCCGTTCGCGCACATTCAAAGCCAGATGCAGCGGATCATGAGCATTCCGAACCCGAAAGTCGAGATCCAGTTCCCAACACGAGGTATAGGCGACGTCGTCGTTCCCTTCGGCCTCATCAAAACACTCCGCCGCTGTCTCACACGAGAGCAGAGCCTGAGGCCGACGGTGCAGGAGTTACTGGCGGATGCGGATGGGTTCTTGGAGCCAGTGGCGGTGAGTCCGCCGATTCTGGGGAGGATGATTGGGAGTGTGGTTAGTTACTGTCGAAGTAGGGAGGAGAAGATGAAGGAGAGTGGGGAGGTGAGGTTTACAGGGGAGGGAGGGGTGGGAAGTGTGATACCGGATGAGGAGGAGGTGGGGAGGTGGCCGCAGTATTTGTATGATAAGTTGCGGAATGCTAGGGGCGAGGGCGTTGCTTGGTGAGGGCGGGAGTGTGGTGTTTTCTGGTTGTATTGCAGTGGGAGTTTGCGTTCTAGCGATGTTCCTGGTTTGAGCAGGCCCGCAATGAGGCTCTTAGGATAGCGAATGTTTTCATTGGAGGAAACTACTCTGCAAAGCGGATCTGGACTGTCCGGTGGCATCACGTCGTGTTGAGACAAGTCGTGAACAGAAATGTACAACGATGATGTGCTTCCTGTCATTTCATCCCCTGCGACGATTGTGCTTTCCTCGGCACTCCCTGTCACCTGAGATCCTGCCGACGGAGGAAGTGCATTTGGGGCGGGAGTGGCGCGCCCTAATATTTGCACAACATCCTTGCTCTGGCTTTCTTCAAACCTAGCCATTCATCCACAGATCCCGCCCCATGGGAGGCATTCATCAAAGACATCTTCCAGCACTGATTGCTTAAGCACGATGTCTGCGCCCTCAACTAACTTGGCCTCGGTACCATCGTCTTCAGTGATGGCAACCACGCGAGTCGAGATGTTGAGCTCTGCAGTCTGCTACTGGTCAGCCCCTTCCAAATGAAGCACAATATGGAATGCTGAGATACGACTTACATAGTTGTTCCTCTCGAACAGCTTGACTTGGGCCAGGTCACGTACACTTCCGTCGATTCCTGTGTGCAAGACTACCTGGAAGCTGCGACGCTGGCACAGCCAGGCCTGCAAGACTCCGAACAGCTCCGGCGGAACTCTGCCGCCTCTGGCAACACGTCTTCGAGCAGGGAACCTGCAGAAATCCCGAAGCAATTGTTCGAACTTGGCGCTCACATGGCATCCAGCGTTCTCTGTCAGACTCGCGGCTTGATGGGCCTCAGTCATGTCGGAGCGATGAGTAAAGCAACTCCAGAACACATTGTTCAGCAGGAGTCTCTCGACCAGCGCCAACTCAACCCGTTGCAGGCTCGGAAGTCCACACAGTACTCTTGTGACTGTCATGGCGTTACCTTTGAATCCGTATGTTGAATCAAGGAAGAGCAATCTGAGCTGCCTGAAATCTTCCAAGACTGGATCCTGAATGTACCTGGAGCACAAAACGCAGTTCCAGATGTTGGCCTTCGCTGTGCGAAGAAGTGCTGCTCGGGCTTCGGCAAAGTATTGCTTCGAGATCAGCATCTGCGTGATGACGGAGTAGGTGTGGCTGATCCCACATGCTTGTATGTGCCATTGGATGCGCTTTCCGCCGTACGCCTCCTCGAATATGGTCTGTCGGATTTCTGAGGGGATGCTCGTAAGGGTGAGTGGATCTTTCCTGCTAGGCTCGCTTGCAGATGAGGTCGATCGGGCTTCGCTGCGCTGCTCGTTGCTGGCTGTCAAGCGAAGTTGCGCGAACAGAGACGAACACATCGTGGTGATGCGTCTCTTTGTGCTTGACGACAGTGGCATCGCGTTTGGCGGCAAGCTGGTGACCACGTTCCTGGTTCGGAAGCTCAATCGTGACAATCTCCGAAGTTGCGGGAATAGACCCGGAGTGTCGATATACAATAATTGATGAGACACCCCTGAATACTGTGATCCGGCAAGCTCAACGGCAAGGCAGTGGTGGTGAAGTTGAGAAGCAGTATGTGACGTTTCATCTCCACGCTAGAACTGGACGTAAAGGGAGGGGTGTTGCTCCGGCAGCATGCCAAGACGCACACATTGTGGTGTTGGCTCACTTCACCTGAACCAGGTTGACGCCAGTGTTCTTTCTTTAAGATCTCGCAATACTTGGTCTGCTCACAGCGGCTCCTTTCAAGCTGCTTCTGTTGTACAGATTGCTCCGAGCAATTGCGAAGCGGACAGAGGATACCAAGCAAAACAGCACAGTAAGCATTAGCTCCGCATCGATCAATCAAGTCCATCTCGAAGAGCACTTCCCAGCTGACTTACGCCGTAACACAGCGCATGCAAGTCATGGAGCCCGGCATCTCGAACGACGCTGTTGTCAGTGCATTGGGCACGGCAGTACAGGAGATAGTATTCATATCGCAACCTTCGCCCAGCAACGAAGCCGCAAACAGCGCTCTCGCCAGCATAGAGGTTGTTCATCCATCAGCGCCCTCTCCTTACTTCCGATTCATGGACCTGCCGGTCGAGATTAGACGCATCACTTACCAATGGGCTTTCCGGAACACCAAACTGAAGTACCACCGGGTAGTCAACACTTTGCCTGCTCCACGACGACGAGTCACTCACTGCTGGGGCATGCAAGTATGGACTCCAAAGGTCAAGGGGCCGGCGTTGCGCTCACCAGATGTGTCCATAACCTCCGTGTCCAAGTCCTGTCTCCAAGAAGCGCGTCCAATACTGCTCACAGAAGCAACATTCTATATTGATCTCGACTCGGTTTGTCAGAGAAGAAAGTTCGTGGACGACTACCCTGGGAGACCGACATCTGCCGACCTGGTGCTTGGTCCCACTGAGTTCAGCGCCTTACAACATATCTCACTTGGCGCAGAGATTTGGGCTAGACCTCTGGGCTGGACAGGGCTTGAAGACTGGGCCGATCTCAAGAATAAGAACAGTGTCCATCGTCAATATCTGCCCGCGTTCCTGGCTCGGTTGCCCAACTTGAGAAGTGCAACGTTGTATTCGCCATGGTGGGCGGAAGTAGAGGTGCTGGGAGAGAAGATTGATGTTGGTCCAGAAGGAACACTGGATGCCGACAATTTGCAACTCATACAGAGCTGCATTGAGAAGCGTCTCACAGAGAACCATATTGGTGGGAGGGGTTATCGTGAGCATGATCTGCGGGACTTCATCGAGTATTGGGCGTCTCGTAATCGAGAGTTTGAGGCGATGCTGGTGCTTTTGGTAGACGTTGAAGGCGACGAAGCGGACGGGAATAATCCTTCGGTGGTGAGTCTGAATGTAGTGGTAGTCCTCGGAGTACGCGAAACTGACAATGACAGGAAACAAGGATCAACCTCAACACACGGTCGGTGACTCTGAAGTGTGTCTCGCATAACGACGATGGGGAGAACGTCGATCTGGTGCGGAAGTGTCCCGATGGTCCAGAGTACACTGGCGTACTGAGTCGAGCTGCCGTGGAGGGTCTGGTGAACTTCAACAAGGACTGAGAGCTGCTGATCACAGAACTCCAGGCCCAGGAGGGCGCTGGAAGTCCAAAAACTTTTGCCAATCAAGTCGACAGGTTTGAGATGAGCCTCACTTGAGTGTTGAACGTTCCGAGAGACACATTGAGAAGGCATAGTCAGGGAGGGCGCTAAGGGAATCTTGGCGATTTAGCTGGAGAAAACGCCCGGCTCCTACTCCCACAGCTTGTCTGGGTCAACGCCGGCATGCATGTGTCCGAAGCTTAAACTCATGTCACTTCCTACGTTTTCTTTGCTTACAAGCGATCGTTGTATCTACCACGCACATATGATACTACCACAGCCGCGATGACATTGATTCGTACCTTGCCTCAACAAGACTGCGCCACTGGCCGGCAGGGCGCGACTGAAAGCTGACCTATCGATTCGTCCCGCCCTGACATCGCCCAGCGCCTCTTGCGCGTGCCCGAAAGCCCACACCGGCCCCCACGCGCAGAGACGCGCCAAGCCCCTGGATCGTCTGTCCGCGAGTCCGCATACGGTTTATCAGGCGAGTCGCATGCCTGCCACGGTTGATGATAGACAGATATACCCCAGTGCGTTGAAATGCAGGCAAGTGCGAGGGTCAGGCCAGCACCGTTCTTGTAAGAAGTCGCTGCTCAGGGCAAATAATCACGCCGACGTGCTAGTAATTACATGTACTCCCCAGAAACGCTACTAGCATTGGGGGCCAGAAGCGCGGTCAAGTTACTTGAATCCGATAACTCTGATGTGACGCGTCGAAATCGTCAAGAGAAAGGAACTCTCCAGTCGCGAAAGGAAATATGATCGAAAGCAGCATCTTGTCCCGTTTCAAGGACGTTCTGGCAAGTTATTCGGACGACTTCCACACCGTGCAGAAGATCTTGGAAGAAGATCCCTCGCTCGACATTAACGCAATAGGGTATAATGGGCATGGGCTACCTTTCGCCTTCCACGACACCCCGTTATTGGCCGATACCGATATCTCACCACTGCATCTTGCCTGCTACCTTAACAATGAACAGACCGTTAATGTACTACTTGACCGCGGTGCTCATCAGAGACCTACCAGCCATTCTGGGGTCACACCGCTTCACTGCACGATCCAATCCAGAGGAGACTATTCAAAGACTCGCAAAATTGTGCAAAATTTGCTACAACGATTCCCAGATCCTCAGACGCGCACAGGACACATCGAGACAGCAGACCATCTTGGCCGTACAGCGCTGCACCTTGCAATACACCACTCCAACTATGACCTAGTCGAGTATTTATTAGTGGAAGAAGGGGCGGACATTCTCAAAACGACCAATATCGGCCAAACCTGTCTGCACATCGCCGCACAAAATTTTAACTGCGAAATCACCAAGTACTTGTTATCGAGGCCTGAGGTAGACCAGGAATTTGTCCGAAGACGAGACAACTACGAGAACACTGCTTGGGATATCGCGAATGGTTGTGGAGAACCACAACACCTATACGGCGCATTTCGATGGAGGAACGTGAGGTCTTACCTGGAAAAGGAGCTGTCGACCAAAGGGGTTGCGAGCATGAGAACCATCACTCAAAGCCACAGCCTTCTATCTATTACACCTGAGGCGGATACCCATTACAGTCTCGAATGGCTCAACAACGTAAGTCCAAGCTCCGCAGGAGAAAGATACCAAAATGAGATGATACAGAGGTCAGTAGCCATGGTAATACCTCTCGAGTTACAAGTAAGCTCACACTCTGACTCTTTTCTAGGCACTTTTACTCAAGGCAAAGGCGCCTGGCAGGATCATTGCCCAGTTCGCAAATGGCTTGTTGGACGATCATGTCAAGGGCGGTCCAGCCGAAAGCAGCAATGCCTTGATAAGATACAGAGAGCCAAGCTGCGTTTTCGATCAAGGGACAGATTTCATCTCGCTTGTGGTGAGTTATCATACCCTTGTGCAACGACAACTCATGACAGTCCAAGTTCCCTTACTTCCACCTACAAGCAACAGATGAAGCGGCATACTGGAGAGTTGACAGCAAAAGAGGTTACTCGTATTCACATCTAAACAGAGAGTGGTCATACTGCGTCAGTTCAAGATCGAAGTCCTATGGCATATGTCTGCCACTCACTCTTGATGAATACTGCTGTTCGGCATTGACCTGGGAGACCTTGAGTCAGCGTAACGAAGACCAAGTCTACGCGAAGGTGAATGCGGCGTCAGACAGTACCGGAAAGTTGGTATCTATCAGCCAGCTTTGGCTATGGAGTTTCGGAAACACGGTCGTGGTATCACCAGCGGGTGATCCTACCTTCACCGATATTGAGGATCCCGACGACCCAGACCTAGGGAGAGGTCAAGCCACGGAAGTAGGAGAAAGAACAGGGGTCATGTCAAGGACGGGAGATCCAAAGAGACGTGTTGGACAGATTATTGCCCATCTCTTGTTGTACCTGGATGACCCGAACAAGAGCAGCGCAACGGAAGAGAGGGAGTCCAGATGGCCAGCATTCGGAGACACATCCTATTCCCAGTCTACCGATGAGTCCATCTTGAACACGTTCCAGAAGGCGATCACTCTGGTCTCCGAGGACGTCAATCAATACCTGAAACACATATCCATGGACAAGATCAACAGCGATCAAGAAAAACGCTATATTCACGACATTGGCGACATCCGAGAGGAGCTCTCAATGATCAAGCGTGTCGTGATCCAGCAAGAAGGCGTGTGGAAAGACTTCGCCCTTACCGCATGGCCCGACTTTTGGCCATTCGGGCCTGACGGTCGAATGACAGTACCCGTGGAGATACTGGCCAAAGCAAGCGATGCTGAGCGGAACGAATGGCGGATCATCGTCAAGATTCCAGCGACGTTCTCCAAGTACTACCGGCGTCTGGAAGCACTGGACGAGGATGCAGCGCGTGTCGAACAAGCGATAGCGGTCAAGTTGGACTTGATGGCGAAACATGCGACCATCCGTGAGAGCCATACGAGCGCCATCATGAGCGCTGCTGTGTTTGGCTTTACGCTGATCACCATTGTTTTCACTCCTTTGTCGTTCTTTGCGAGTTTGTTCGCGTTGCCGATCGACAGCTTCCAGCGGAGTCAGATATCGGGAAGGTTTTCGGATGAGTCGGGCATGTATACGACTGACTGTATCGGCAGGTGGATCGGTGAGTTGAAGCTGATTTGTGCACAGTACAGTCAATGCTGATGAGTTCTAGCAACTGGAGAGCTCGTTGCTGTTGCTGTCACTTTCTTCGCTATGTGGCTGGCTGTGAGGTATGGGATGGGCGTGCAAATCTTCACTCCAATCTGGGGTCGGTTTAGAGGTGCGTGTGGCCGATTCATGGTATCAATGGAGGTTCAGGCAGATAAAGAGAGGCCACGGCCAGTGTCTCCACGCTCGGGAACAGACGCGCAAGCTTGAAGCTCAAGAGAAACGAGCTTGACTTGGAAGGACAATAACGGAACTTTGAGCATGCAAGTCCACTGTATCCGACCCATGTCCAAAGTACCACCTTCGTCCCCAACACGCCAAGCAATGTGCCAAGCCACTGGATGTTGTCCGCATTTGGCCCATCAGGCTGACTTCTAGAGTTCGCTGCGAGGGACGATTTCGCGAATACACGCAACTTGCAGCGTGAAAGACTTCAACATCAGTTTTATGTTACTTTCGAGACTCGGTCCGAATTGTGACCCAACCTGCGGCCACCAGGACTATCAGCCGCGAGCCTGAGCGTTATCAAGCGAGCCCAGCCGCAGCAAGATCGGCTGACTGGAGGCGCAATGAGACTCATCAATTGCGTCTCCGGTTGCATGGAAGAGTTTGTGGGGACAAAGATACCTAGGTACGCCATTCTGTCCCACACTTGGGAAGAAGAAGAAGTCACCTACTTTGAACCTGGTTCATGGCAAGACTGGCCTGCAACTCGCAAGGGCTATAGAAAGATCGAGCTGACATACCACCTTGCACGAGAGCGGGGCATCTATTACATTTGGGTCGACACTTGCTGCATCGACAAGAAAAGCAGTGCTGAGCTTTCGGAAGCAATCAATTCGATGTACAAGTGGTACGAGCGAGCAGAGGTGTGCTTCGTCTACCTATCTGACCTGGACCAGGGGTCAACAATGGCTGACCTGCCCCATTGCAAATGGATCACACGGGGCTGGACCTTGCAGGAGCTCATAGCCCCGATGACTGTACTATTCTTCAATTGGAGAGGAGACTTACTGGGCTCGAAGGCCGAGTCGACTACCAGTATCTTTCAAGCGACCTCGATCGCGCCCGAGATCTTGCTACAAACGCAATCGCTGCGATCTGTGCCAGTAGCAGAGAAATTCGCCTGGGCCGCTCATCGGAGGACTCTGCGTATCGAAGATATCGCATATTCTTTGCTAGGCATCTTCGATGTCAATATCCCCTTGCTTTACGGTGAGGAACACAGAGCTTTTCGACGCCTGCAAGAAGAGATCATTCGTACTACACCGGATCTGAGCATCTTCGCATGGAGATCTCCCACGATCCCAGGGGAACAATCCACGGGTGGCCAGTCCAGGTACTCCGGCGTACTGGCAGACTCGCCGGCAGTCTTCCCAAGAGAACAACCCATATTGAGAAGACCACGATTTGGCCGAACAGAGCTAAGTGTTACCAGCATCGGCCTCAAGACGCCGATACAGCTGCTCTTTGGTGCGCACGGTATGGCTAAGACACCAAGCTACGTGCTACCGCTAGATTGCGGGGACCACCAAGGGAATTTCTATGGGATCTATCTACGAATGTGCGGACCAAATGAATTCGTGAGAGAGAACCCAGAGCTACTCACGGAGTATATCGAGAAGATGCATGTGATAGGCGCGCCGGGCAAAGAGCACTTTTTGCTCACCGAGCTCCCTGACTGTGACTGCTGCCGGGCCATCGGTAGCCCGAGTCACGACTTTTCCATCGGCCGTTTAAGATCACATGCTTTACAGCTATCAATGCCGGACAGCATGTGGATTTTCGGGGCGCGGCCAGAAGGGAGTTTTGATTATCGGGATCAGCTCTTCTTCGTTGTTGACAACCCAGAGATGGACCTAGCCGTGTTCAGTATAACTGAAAGGACGCGCGAGTTCAATTGCATGTTCTTTGCTGTCGGCTGGTCTAACACCAAAGGCGACTCACCGAAATGCACGATCATTAATCGGGATGATTTCAAGCAAGCCGTCGACGACATAGAAAATGTTCTGTCTACACGAAGCATCCGCTTATCGAGCGTTCTCCGGGGACTGCTGGATGCGCACTCTATTCCCATGGCCTCCTCGACGACGATCAGCGCCAGGAATGATGTGGTGGCATTTACGATCTCCTTTCGGTCGTCCTTGGTCGAAGACCAAGACTTGTGCAGGCATCCCATGTGGAAGATAGAGTTCACCGTAGACACGGGCCCGCTAATTCCCAACGACCAGAGCCCAAGACCCAGAAAGCCTCCGAAGTGGCAGACGGGGAGAGCATCCAGCGATAGACTTCAGACTTCCCATTTCACAACCGTGCAGCCATAACGCACTACACGAGCTTAGCGAGACCACTGCCGCCTCCTCATTACAACCAGGGGGGCTGCTCTGATTCCCCGGAGCCTAGTTCTGATTATGCGCAACGCTAGGCTGTCTCCATCTCGAGCTCGATCGTTCCATGCTGCGCAAGATTCTTGACGCTGGCGACCGATCCGTTGGTCCCAAATGACTGCTGATGCTGATCTGCTGAACATTCTTCGCGGCAGGTTGTCTCTGTCTCCGAGTGAAGGCTGTATGTGCACCAAAAGCATCGTCTGCTCAATGTCAATCTCGCCGGAAGAGGCAGATACAGGTGGTGATGAGTGGCTGCAGAACGCAAAGGTGCTGTCATTGCTGCTGTCTGGGCGCCGACCCTCTGGTCAGGTACCGGTACCGAGTCCTCCCTTCAACGACTTAGGCTTCCTCCACCTCACGAGCAGCCGTCTCCCCATGCACAACACTCTGACTGCCTTTCTCACCATGCACAACATCAGCAGTATTCAAATACGCATCCAGGTCCCGCCTCTGCTCCTCCGGCACATCATTGATATGCACAGCCACATCATCGCCAAACTTGGCAGAGATCTCTTCCAATGACAGCCTCGCCGTCTCCGGCCAGAAGAAGTAGATCATCGGGACGAAAACGATGCACCAGCAGATGATGATTAGGTAGTACTTCCAGCCGATAGTGACGAAGCCAATAGGCGCAGTCTGCAAGAGGATGAGGGTGGCTGCGAACTGGCCAAAGAGGGAGAAGCCCATGCCGATGGGGCGTACTTCGGTGGGGAAGATCTCGGAGACGTAGAGGTACATTGTGGTGTCTTGACCGGTGCTGTGTGGAATTAGCATGAAAGGGGTTCGGAAGGGGAGGGTATCTGACTGACCCTTGGAATGCTAGGTAAAGGAAGACGAAGAATACGCCCGCGGCATTGCCGGCTTTGTTGTCTGTGCCGCTGTACTGCGCTATGCAGCCAGCGAGGCCTGAGGTGGTGACGAGACAGCCGAGAGTGCCGACCATAAACATCCAGCGGCGTGAGTTGACGCGGTCGTGGAGCCACGCGCCGAGAGGATTGTAGATCAGACCTGGCGACATCAGCTTACTATGGCACGACATTGAATGGGTGATCACGTCAAGGATACGTACCTGCGGTGGTCAACCACAAAGCGGACAGCAGCAGGGGCATGCCGCCAGTCTGGCCGAGATTCGTGTATAGCAGCACCGAATAGTTGTTCTTAGGGGCTGTTAGCGACGTCGACGCTAGGACTCTTGGTACTCACAATGACAAGAGGTCCAGAAAACTCGGCACCCCACTGCGTCAAAAATCCAATAATCATACGCTTCCTATAGCTCTTGATCTTCAGCACAGCAGTCCAAGGAGTAACATTGAGCTTTCGTAACTTCGCTTCATCTAGCGCGAGCTGTGCTTTAGTCTGGTACATCTCCTCCTTCGCAACAAGATCAGTCGGATCATCAGGCGATTTCCGCAGTCGCTGAATGATAGTCCACGCCTGCTCCGACTTGCCCTTCTGAATGAGCCATCGTGGGGATTCTGGCATGAATACGGAGTTCACACCCAGGATGAGTGGCGCGAGGCACTGCATGCATAGTGGGAAGCGCCATGCGAAGCTGGGGTTGGAGGCGGTCGCGAAGTAGCAGCCGTAGCCCAGCCATGCCGATAGCATGTACCCGAAGACCAGGAAGATGGCGTGGTGGCCGACGAGCCAGCCGCGACGGGCGGGAGGTGCGAGTTCGGAAAGGTACATGGGCAGATCGTTACTAAGATTCCGATACCTAGCCCTGCGATGAATCTGCCGGCCTGGAACATCCTGCCGTCATATCAGCATGTATTCTATTCCCAATCCGTGGAAAGGTCACTCACGAGAGGCCATTGGCGCCACCCTGGAAAGCGCCACCAAGCAGAGACAGAAAGGCACCAATCTGGATGTTGCGCTTACGACCGAGGCTTGTTGCCGCCCACATGATCCAGATACAGCCTACGGCTGCGCCTGCGCTGAACAGACCGTTGGCCGTCGCTATGGCATTGGTTGTAGTCGTACCGTAGCCAGGCTCTCCCTGCGTGGGCAGGTTGAAGAAGGCATACCAGCCAGGCTGACCGATGGTGCTACCAATCACAGAGGCACCGTAGCCGTAGGTCTATTGCCACTATTAGGCACTCGTAGATGAAGTTTGAAGCGCAAGTGTGACTTGCCAGAGATCCGAATGCGGCTGCGATGGTGACGAGCCGGTTGTAGGTGCTCGTGGGTGGATGTTTGCGCGCCATGTTCTTCTTGGTCAGTCTATCTGCTATGAGGGTATGCAGGCGCGAGGCGACCTTCACGATGAGTGAAGGAATGGCAAGGACGAGGTCGAAACCTGGACATCGTTTTCCGGGGATGTGGGGGTTTATACGCGAGCTCCGCGTGAAGATCGACAGGACTTGACAGAAGGGCAAACCCGAGGTAATCTTGTGCTGTGTAGGTGAAGGACGATCTTCGAGCAAGCTTTTACGCCAATCCTGCTTGGGTACAGACTCGAGTGCTTGAGCCTCATAAAACTGCAGGAATTCTTCCGCCATGGCCAATGGGGTGTTGAGCGCAAACTCCGATTGCGGCGGCTTCATAGTGCTTAGCAGAAAGTCAACTATTGGGGAAACATTTTGTTCCCCGAGATTTGTGCGACTCGATGGGCCGACATCCAGAAATCCGTGAACAGAAGTCCCTGCTCGAGATGTTCAGGCTCCCAAGGACTCTTCACGAGGGAATGACCTCAGAGTGGCAGATGCACGCCGCGGAAACCTGGTCGTCAGCCTCAATTGTACAGCATCGGTGCTAAGTAGAGACCTCGTACATTGTGAATATGGAGCCACGTCGCGTACGGCTGCGTTGGTGATGCTCGTACAGAGACCTGAAGGAACCACAGTACGAAATACAGTGGAGTGTGTATTCTGCCTCAGACCAGGCACGCATGCCAACCGTTCCGGGCTGGAGCACTACACAGGAGTGAGAAGGATGAAAATGCAAGACTGCGACTGCCGTGATGAAGCCTGACATCACTGTGTAGGTGCGCAGCTCGCTGCCGCCACTGCCGTACTAGTAAGGAAGGTATATGATGTTAAGATCTACCGGCACGAAGAGGTCGTAGTCTTCGGACCCGATAATCAAGACTGAGATCGACGCCCTAGTGTTGTTCACATTGTCGTTGCGGGCCGTGAATCCTGTCGTATTGAAAGCCGTACAAGACAGCTTTAGGTCGTCTGTAGCGTGGCACTGTGTCTCAACGTAGTATGACTGGTCGTCTTGGGCGTTGTGACGAGGTAGAGCCGCGTCAGCAACTTCGACGCTGGACTGAAAATACCAGACAAACAGATTGTCATCATAACGAACAACCGGATCGTTCCATTGGCTCAAAAGCCGGTACCCTGTGCCTACACCAGCAGCTGCGACGAGGTTGTTGTTCTCAAGGATGAATTGTTGAGGGATCAGCTGATATCTTGACATCAATTCACATGTCGCGAGATATCCGTACCCATATGGCAGAACTGTTTCGTTGTTGCGCGATTCACTTTGTTGAGCGCCGACCCATTCGCCAGTATAGGCAGTGGTGAGATTGCCAACTTGCAGGAGGAATGCTCCGGGTACTGCTGCCGTGGGTAGCTCGAGGGGGCACGCAAGAGCTGTGCTGATTCCGTTGGATGTCGTGCTGACGCTGGTAGATACTGTGCTGCTGCGGGTAGGAATTGTGCTGCTGCTGGTAGAGGTCATGCTAATGCTGCTAAGTGCCGTGCTGATGCTGCTGGATGTTGTGCTTGTGCTAAAAGATGTCGTGCTGGTGTCGTTGGATAGGTAGATGATATCGAGATCCATCGGCATGAAGCCCACACTTCCGGTGCCGACATAGATATGTGGCGCAAGGCGCCCGTCAATGCCTTCGAGTCCACTCACATCGAAAGCCGTACAACTAAGCTTGAAGTCGCTCGTGGCACTGCATTGTGTCTCAACGTAGTACGCATTTGTAACGTTGTGATTGATCAGATACCCGTTAGCGTCATCAACACTGGTCCAGAACTCCCAACGATAGGCAATGGCTGGAAATGGAGGTAACGAGGGATTGAGATAGCGGCTCAAAAGACGAAGACTGCCGTCGGCGAGGTCAAGCCTGTTGTCTTGGAGGATAAACTGTTGCGGATTGAGCGGGCATGATGTGTATCCTACTGGGATGGGGTCCCCGAAGTCGTTTGTGACGTTCTCAAGTGCGGCATACTGGCTGGACCAGGTTGGGTTGAGATTGCCGACCTGGAGGATAAATGCTCCGACGCTTGGGGAGTGGGGTTCGTGATGCTACACGAAATTTGGGTGCTCGTCGGCGTTGTGCTGGTAGCTGCGGAAGTCGTACTGATGCTGATAGATAGTGTGCTTGTGATGCTCGACGTTGTGCTAGTACCGATCGACGCTGCACTGGAGCTAACAGATGACGATGAGACGATTGTCGACGAGCTCACATCGTCCTGCGTAGACGTAGTCGCTGAAGGCAAACCACTCGTAGATGCTGCTGACGTCGTACTGACTGTATTGTATGTTGAAGAGCCGTAGTTCGTCTTGTCGCTGCTTGTCATTGTCGGCTGTGTCATTGACTGCGTCAAGGCAGATGAGAAAGTCGTAGTGCTGGAAGCAGGAGCAGAGTCAGTCGCAGTGATAGTGGACGTGATTTCAACCGTTGTTGGCGCATTGGTTATGGTAAGGAAGTTGCCGTTGTGAAAGGGGTCGATTGTGGTGTTGCTGGTGACCAGAGACCTGACAACAGCGGCCTGCAGGAACTCTGTGACGGTCACAGACGGCACTGGACAATTCAATGTGTTCCCACTGGCCGGTAAATCTCTGTGTCGATGCATGCGTGCGTGCTGATCAGCAGTTGTCCCTTCGGCAAAGGCCAATAAAGCAAGCAACACCAGGGATCCATACATAGCGAAAGACATTGTCAGCATTTCGCTTTGACTGGTATTCCAATGAAGTCGCTTCGAGCTTGCTTTAGAGCACGACGAGGAGGGTTGTCCTTTTGTGGTCTTTTGTCCCGCCACGAGACGTGTAGAATGAAGGGCAAAGTATAACCTTAGCGCAATGGTGCAGTCGCGATAGGTCGTTGCATTGCTGGCAGAGGTTTACTTCCAGAACCACTGTAGATGTGCACTCGCAGTGGCCAGTTCCAGGTTTGGCTTTGCTCGTGCCATGGAGTTGTTTGAAGGCGCTGGCTTAGACCATGCAATTTCGAGATAGAGTTAATTTGACAATTCGGTCGGTCTGAACGTCCAGCATATCGGGTGTATACATACTATGATGTGGCTGCCGTACACATAGCACCTTCGGTATGCACGGAGGCCCGGATGACAGAGCCCAGAAGGCTATCTCGTGAGTCCTTGGTAGGTAGGGGTCTTGGTTGCAGGAAGGTCTGTGCCGGAAAAGCATGATTGCGGACCATTGCATCACATCTCACCACACTCGACAATTCTGACCTCCAGGACAGGCTTGTCTCCTGGTCCCCGACCACCTCCGCCACCAGTTCTCGTCTGCTCAATCTTCCGCACGACCTGCATCCCCGCTTCATCCACTACCTGCCCAAACACAACATGCTTCCCGTCGAGATGACTTGCCGCCCCACAAGTCACAAAGAATTGACATCCATTCGTATTCTTCCCCGAGTTAGCCATACTCAGTAAGCCAGCCCGATCATGCTTGAACTGAAAGCTCTCATCTGCGAATGGAGCACCATGGTAGATGGACGTTGAGCCCGTGCCATCAGCGTTCAAAAAGTCGCCGCCTTGAATCATGAATCCCTTGATGACGCGGTGAAACTTGGAGTTCTTGTAGCCTTGAGGAAGGCCATTGCTGCCTTTAGATTCGCCGGTGCAGAATTGGCGGAAGTTTTCGGTAGTCCTGGGGACGGTATTGGCGAAGAGGTGAAATTTTATGCGACCGAGTTCTTGGCCTACCGACAGTCAGCTGAAAGAAGACTGAAGACTATGTGAGGAGGGGAGACATGCCGCCAAGAGTGATGTCGAAGAAGACAATGGGCTCGCCCTCGCCCGGTTTGGGAACAGGCACCAGGCCTGCCATCTCGAGTTCGTCGGTACAATGTGGCCGGCGCACACGTTTTGAGCGTTTGGTGGAAGAGGGCAACGCTCAGAGGAGGCGCTCAGGTTTATTCAATACCAGCAGTAACTAAGTGGACAGGCACGTCGTCAAGGAAAGAAGAAAATCAGTTGCTGGCCTTCACCAAAACCGAGTGAAGCCTATGATCGGTTTGCTCGACCGTATCTCGGTGCAGCGTTTTGGCCGAAGCGTGCACCGTAGCAGTCTTCTTGACGACTTCTCCATCGACTCATTTGTCTGTCTCCATTCGATCTCTACAACCTTGCCCGAAGTCCTGACTATGCCTTCAGTCGGGCCGCAATTGCCGCCACATCTGGCTGAGAAGCGCAGACGAAATTCCGACCAACCGAGTGACGACCGGCGGCCCGCAAGCCCCGAAAGCGCCACCAAACGTCGACGAGTCGCAGGCCCCAGTCTGCCACCTGCACCCCTAGACGAGCGGCCAGCAGAGCCCCTTGAGAAGGTTGACGGGTCAGATGATGAAAGTAGCAGCGATGATGACGACTTTGGACCTGCCCTGCCCACCGCTGCAGATCTAAACAAGCCGACCAGCATTCACAAGCCCACAAAAACGTCATCAGCAGCGCCCGCCATGAAGCGTGACGATTGGATGACCATGGCGCCCTCCAGCGGCGACTGGTCGTCGCGAGGAGCAGACCCAACACAGCTCAAAGCGCGCAAGTTCAATACCGGCAAGGGTGCGAAAGCGCCATCCACAAGCGGGGACCGAGCAGCTGATGCGTCATGGCATGAGACGCCGGAACAGAAGCAGGAGCGCTTGCAGAGAGAGCTGATGGGAATCAAGTCCAAGGATGTCGCATCAAAGGCGGCTCCGGCTAACGTGAGTCAGCGCAGTGAGGAGGAAGAAGCAACGGCGAAGCGATTGCGGGAGTACAATGCCGAACGCGGGCCTTCGCTATACGATTCGCATCAGTCCAAGAAGGGCCGCGAGGAGGAGGACGATCCAAGCGCAAGAGCATTCGATCGCGAGAAAGACATCGCGGGTGGACTGCAAATCAACGCCACGAAGCGGCGCGACATGTTGAACAAGGCAAGTGACTTTGGTAGTCGGTTCAGCTCGGCCAAGTACTTGTGAACTCTGATGGTACCAAGATTGGTACGTGTCTCGTGGCAAAGACGACTGCAAGAGTCGACCAACTTCGGGTGTTAGAAGTCAATCGAGTGCAGGCAACCGCATCGACTTGCTTCAAGTGAAGTGAAATGAGCCACAACCGTAGGTGCCTTAGCATGCTGCCTGAGCCACCCTGTCTGAGGACTTTCTTCACGTGGACAAGTTTCTGGCAGACGAGCAGCACTTGTGATCTTGAATTTAAGTTTCACAGCCACTGCCCTGTTGTCCACCTCGCCTGAGCTTTGCAGACGGCACGTCTTTTTCATTGTACATCCAAGTGCTGCCCAACGCAGTAATTACCTCCGTCACACGGGTCTGGACCACGATATGCAGTCAGCGACACGACCAATCGAACACACAAGGCCGTACCTGCAGTCGAGCGCACAGAGACGTATCGCCAAGCTGAGTCCATCGCTTATCACGCAGCCTCGCTTGGCTGCAGGCGAGCAGCATAGCAACGCACAGACAATCGCATCCACAACCGAACCTACAATGAGCGCACCTTACACACTGATGGGCCTCCCGGCGGAATTGAGAGCGACTATTTTCGAGCACCTATATCACCAGACGTGCATCAAATGGCGGCCAAGGATGTCCGACTGGTGGCGCCACATCACCACGAATCTGCTCGTATCAAGGGAATACTTCGCAGAAGCCAGAGAAGTACTCCTTCGGACCGCAACAGCGACTATCAGGTCATGTTATTGCGCTGCAGCCATCTACTCGCCTTACACTACGACAGATTTTCGACAGCTGAGATTTCTGGCAATCCCGACATCCTTTTATACTAAGAGCTCTGATAGTGTTGCAGAACTTTTGGGCCACATGCCAAGTCTGCTATGTGTCACGATCAACCTTTTCAAATATCTCGAAATCGGTAAACCTTTCGAGACTTCTATCGCTCCCGCCGGAGATCATGGCGACACTGCGCGTACAACACGTGTGACCGAGGACGCGAGAAAGCAGTTTACCACGATGTACCAGCAATATCTTCTCAAGCAATTCCGCGGTTTGCCCACCCCAGGCCAATCTCCTCTAGAAGTAGCTGGTGTTCTAAGGGCCGAGATGCAGCGGCATCAAGCTTTCAAGATTCTTCTCAAGACAAAGATTACTCGATTCTGTCAGGAGACTCGGTCTCAGGAATTCACTCTGTCCGCGGACGAGTCACTCTTCGGATGGTGGACCTCCACGCCCGACCCTGCGGCGTCGCGTTGCACTGGGTAAGTGCCCAACTCATGTCGGCACAAATACGCAGCAGCGAAGCTAATGAAGAGCAGGAAGCGACTCTGGACCTGTCGAGCCTGATCGCGACCTTGGTCGAGTTTCAGGATACTTTGACTGAGAGCGGACTGGTCCGCGAAGCGGAATTCAAGGTGGCGCAGTCGACGCTCGAGATGGTAGTCAAGGACACCATTCGTGGTGTAGCAAAGACCTGACGCTGGAATCTGCTTGCCACGACAAAGCACGAGCGCTCGTCCCACGAGATACTGGTCGAGCTGCCACTCTTTCCTGCCCCTTGCCAACCTCAGATGAGACCTTATCGCGGCGCGCAGAATTGCCGATCCAGCGCATTCAATGTTGAGTTGACGTCAAGAGGGTGCCCTTGATGAAGGACGAGTTACTCGCAAGGCACTGCGAGAGTCACCACGCCAGGTTGACCGAACGGCTAGCAGAGCTGCCAATATGTGTTGGAGGACAATAGCTCACAACACTTAGATGATGTCCAGTCGTAACAACTACAGTCCGACAGGTGGTGGTTGAGTGAACGTTTTACAGAGAGGAATGGTGTGATCGCAACTTCAAACGGGCAGCAAATCATCTTCGGTTGACCACAGCGCTCTCCAGATTCGCAAATGCCTGCTCGATCTCATCTGGGATGTCAACGTGAACGATGAAACCCTTGCCACGAGGACCATAGCCTTCAGGTACGTCCCGCAGCCGTGGGATCTCGCCCATAACGAGATCCAAGAACCGGTCCGTCGACCATAGTCCTTCGGGTCTGGACCAGCAATGTCATACTGGACTTCGCCACTGTCCGAAACTGTGAGCTTGGGAATGAAGGTCGGACAAGTCTCGAATCGTGGAGGGTCTGTGTGATCAGCATATACCTTCTGGAACGCTGCTCGGGTCCGCAGACTCATAGTCGGATCCTGCACAATGACGATCTGCTCAGGGCTCGTTATGCCCGCAGCATCGAGCACCCTCCTGGTCTCAATGGCATTTGCACCACAATTCGTCGACTGGTCTTCAATGATAACCTTCAAACCACTCCCGCTCACCTTCGCCACGTCATAGAACTTCGTCCGAATCAGCTCAAGCACTCTTGCCTCAGGCAGACCTTGAATGTCATCTGCACGCGAACGATACTTTGCGTGTGCACCCACAGCTTCGTATAGATAGCCCGTTGAATGACCTATGCCACCACAAATCACGAGACATTTGACCAGCCTTGGATTTGCTTCTAGTGCTGAGAAAACGTGATCTGCTATCGGGAGAATGGAGTTTCCACAGAGAACAATGACGTCGATCTGTGACTTGTATGATGAAAGCGATGGGATTTCGACGTGTGCTAGGAAATTCGCTATCGCGTTGATAGAGTTGATATGGGACGCCTCGAGGTTGCTCATGGCAAGCAGTCACCCTGTCCTATAAGTTGTGTTGCGGGTCCGCGGTACAGTGTACCTCCGGGCAGAATGCGTGTTGAGTCCCCTTCCGCGCTGTGACGTTTGCTTCAATTTCGGCGACGAGGTAGAGTCGGAATCCCAGATACCGGCTCTTCAACTGCAGTGTCTATCATGGATATGCCAGGCTTCGTTCAACCCTACTGCCTGGTTGAGATAACAGCACCGTGAATTGGACACTTGCTCGGGCAGTTCGAAGGTGCTGTCGGATCTTGGTGCTGACAGCGGGAGACAGGGCCACGGGTAGCTGAAGGCTTAGCCAATCAGGCGTCTTTGAATGTCTACCCACCTCGTTCCGTCAGCTTGCCGTCGCAATCTTCGAATACGATTACATATTCACTCTTGGAACCATCGTTTATGATCATTTTCTCGAATATCACGCAATGCACTACGCGGACGACGACCGATTCACACCGGGATCTACTTGTCGGCTATTCCAGGAACAGTGCTCTTGGCTCACATATGTCACTATCAACGACTGCGCGGGGTTCAACCGCTTCATGTAACGCTGAGCAGCACATCCTCCACCTTTTGCTTCTGCCAAGCTGCCCGCCATCCTTTCTTGGGAAGCTTGCACTGCTGCCGAGCCCGACGGCGCTGTCCTCTTTGAACTCTTCAGGCTTGCTCCGAGCCCACCCCGTCGAAGCTTGACGGTCTTGTCTGATAACAAGTCCTCGCAAGACACAAAGTCCCCGCTCTTTGACTTCCAGAAGCCCTTGTAGGCGGACTGCTCGGCATGCGCTGTGGCCACTGTGGATCGGCCAGGCGCGTCATGCCTCCCACCAGATGTAACCATCAGGACGAATCGCAAGCTTCGTCTTGTGCGTCAAGCATGGGCTGCAAGATGTGATGGTAGGTTCCTGCCTTCGTGAGTCGCTAAATCGAGGATATGCCTGCGGAAGCGACAATCAGAGGTGGGTTCCTTGCAGCTTTCCTGGTCGGATTTGCAATGCATAGCTGCAGGCAGCGACGACCTTAAGCAAGCTACCGCAGCTGTCAGGAAAAAAGTCTTCAAAAGCGCATAGGTTGCCAGCGCTGCTCGCGAATTCCTCTTTCAGGAACTGTCACTGTGAATTGATCAGGCTGGAAAACATGGCAGGGCTCAAATGGACTGCGATCGCGACTGCGGCGCTGCCTCTGGTGGCTGCCCTCACTCCCGAGTACGTAACACGCGAAGTACCGAGGCAATTTGGCTGACCACGACCAGAGGCATGCTGGGAGCCCCCAGAAGAAGTGAAGTCATTCCCAACCCAACTGGAGTAAGTCATATGACAAATTCAACATTCACGAGCTGACAGCGACAGGAATGGGGAATCTTCTCGTCGACCAACTATTCTTGGGAAGATCATGCAGCGACCTCGGTGTGGAATCTTCTCAACTTGACGAGCGGCGAGTACGACTACCTAGCAGACGGCAGCGAGGTTGCCGAGATTGCCTGGCTCGGTGGTAATTCCAGTACCGCTCTTGTCTACCTCAACGGCACGAATGAGGAAGAAGATGGCGGTGTCAGTCTATACGCTGCAGACGCAACTGACATCAGTGGTGCGGCTCTCATTGGGTCGTTCCCGGCGCCATACGCCGGCTGGAAGCACGTCCTCACGCCGAGCGGTGATGTTCACTTCCTCGTGTATTGCCTCGCATTCGAGAACGGTACTGCGTACAATCCTGACCCAGAATACGAGCCGCTCAACACTGCCCGCGTCTACGAGTCGACATGGGTCAGGCATTGGGATACCTGGCTTGATGATACTCGAAACAACCTGTTCAAGGGTGTGCTCACTGCCGACGGCGATTCCTTCAGCTTCGATGGTAACCTGACCAACCTGCAAGTCGGCATCAAGAACATCTCTCGTGCAGAAACGCCAGATCGTCCATTTGGCGACTCGACGAACTACGCTCTGTCGCCTGATGGTGAAACTGTTGCATGGTGGACTCGCAACATTGACATCCCGCTTGCGAACAAGACTTCCGCGTACATCTGGCTTCAGCCATTTGACATGTCCTCGCCGGCGACACCACTCAACCATATGACTCGCCCAACACTCCACCCAACGCGAGAGGCTACTCTGCCAACCCGACCTTCTCGCATGACGGCACAAAGATTGCTTACTTTCAGATGGACAGCGACTACTACGAGGCGGACCGCAATAAGATCTACATTGCCAACGCCGACGTCGCGAACCCCAACATCACCCAAATTGCCAACGACTGGGATCGCTCTCCATCCGGGATAGCCTGGGCCAACGATGATCTATCTGTTTTCGTTCAAGCCGACGACCTTGGCCACAGCCGCATCTTCGAGATTCCAGCCGACGCACCTGCCGACTTTCAACCCACCAATATCACTGGCTCGGGCGTCGTGGCTGCCTTCTCCATACTCGCCAGCGACGACATCCTGGTCGCAGACAGCAAAGTCTGGTCCAGCCGAGACTACTACGTCATCTCGCCCGAAGGCGAAGTCATCACTGAACTGCTTAAAGCAAACGAAGAAGACGAAGCCCTAGCAGGCCTGTCAGAAGCCGACTTCCGCGAATTCTACTTCCCCACCCCGAACAACTCTGCCCTACAGGAGCTGCATTCCATCATGGTCCTTCCTGCTGGATTCGACGAATCCGAGACCTACCCGCTCGCCTATATCATCCACGGCGGTCCACAGGGCTACAACGGCAACTCATGGTCTACCCGCTGGAACTTCAAGCTGTGGGCCGACCAGGGCTACGTCGTCGTTGCGCCCAACCCAACCGCCTCGACCGGATTCGGCCAAGCACTCACTGATCTCGTTCAAGGCAACTGGGGTGGCACCCCATACGAGGACATTGTCGCGTGTTACGAATACATCGGCGCCAACTTCCCGTTCATCGATCTCGAAAACGGCATCGAAGCTGGTGCGTCTTACGGCGGCTACATGACCAACTGGATCCAAGGCCACGATCTCGGTCGCAAGTTCAAGGCATTAGTGACCCACGACGGCTCCACGGACACCCGCGCCCAGTACTCGTCGGAGGAAATGTTCTTCATCGAGCACGACAACAACGGCTCCTTCCTGGACGTGCCCGAGAACTACGACCGATGGAGTCCCGTGAACTTCTACGAGAACTGGGCTACACCGCATCTGGTCATCCACAATTCTCTGGACTACCGATTAGGCGAGACAGAGGGTCTGCATCTGTTCAATTTGCTGCAGGAGAAGGGCGTCCCGAGCAAGTTTCTGAACTTCCCGGACGAGAACCACTGGGTGCTGAATCGAGAGAATAGTCTGGCGTGGCATAGTGAGGTGTTTGGGTGGGTTAATTACTGGAGTGGGTTGAGTGAGGTTAGTCCGTTTCATGGGAGTACGAGTGTGACGCCGAGATTTGATCGTGGCGGTGGGGGTCCGGCGAGGAGGCGGCGGTGGCATTGAGTAATGGGACTCGATAGAGGGTGAGTGGAGGGGCCATCTCGGCTGTCGACTATGAAAATAAGGAACGAGTCTCAGGGATAGATGATGCACAGCTGCATCACGTTGTGGCATGATATTATGTCGCTAGTCTGCTCGCGTCGAAAGAGCACCTACACAATCATTAATGTCGAATACGATGGTATCATAATTTCTCCATCTCAGATCGATCTCCCCACAATTTGGCACCAGAACAGTGACATAAGTGCCAGTGAGGGAGTGATAGGTTGTGGCTGCTCGGGTGCCTGGTTGTGCCTGGAACTATCCTAAGTTCGGACGACAACACGCCCTTTTCCGCGACTGCTGACTCATTCACAGCGTGATTGTACTTAGGTATACGCGTAGCAGACAGCCGAACATATCTCCAGCAGCAACCACTTGAACAAACCTTCCATACATCCTGTCGACTTCTCATCTCCAGATTTCGGGTTCGAGATCACAACAACTAACAATTCCCCTCCCTTACACCTCACAAATCACCACAGTCTCCATCAGCCAGCATGTCCACCCCACCAAAACCTGTAACAGCATCCTGCCACTGCGGCGCCATCACAGTCACCGTCCCTTATAAACCCACCCGCATCAACGAATGCCAATGCACCCTCTGTCGCCGCTATGCCGCCGCCTGGGCGTACTACACTACCGCTGACGTGCAGATCTCGCCTGCTCCCTCGCATGAGGAGTCGGCGGCGAGTGGAGCGTATATCTGGTAAGTACTATTAAGTACAGCACTATGCCTCGAGATCTTGGACGCTCTGGTGCACTGGGCCGCAGTCGACTAACTCCTCTGACACTTCTCCATTTTCGCTTCTCTGACATCTTTCAGGGGTGATAAACACCACGGCTTCCATTTTTGCCGGAAGTGTGGCTGCGTCATGTGTTGGTATCCATGCGATGTGGTGGAGGGGAAGGTGGATGCGAAGGAGGGGAAGCAAGTGGGCGTGAACACGCGGATGATGCGGCCGGAGGATGTGAGAGAGGTGGATCGGGAGGTGTTGTTTGATGCGTTGAAGATGACTTTGGGGAAGGACGTGCCGAAGGAGGAGAGGCATGTGGATGATGGGGCTGTTTATGAGGACTAGGGGTGAGTGGGAGGAGTTGGAGATGGTCGGACGATAATGGACGGCGGTGTGTGAGGTATGATGGGGAAGCGATGGGCTTCTTTTCGACAACACCCATTGCCTGCCACTAACCGTACCAGAGCGGGAATCGACAGTGCTGCGAAATTGCACGTCCCACCAGGCAGCAGCAGAAGATACCACCAGGGAATGACGCAATGATGCGGTAAGATACCTGCAAGTGTGATGAGAAAGAAGAGCGGATCGAGGGCAAGAAGGCTGATTACTTATACACCTCAACGTTGTACAGCTCCGGGGCAAACCGAAGCGATCGCTTCACTGACTTGGCCAGGAGGCATTCACTGTAGTCTGAGTCTTTGCTGTCCGCATAGTTCCGGGCAACTTGCTGGCTGCTGTTCGGTTGTAACATGGCTTTCAACAGGTGTTGTATCATACAATGGACAGTGAATGTATCTTGAATGAGTGACTGTAGTGACCGCTCCGCGTTCGTCCGGATCCACTTTGTCGAAAGAGGTATATATCCCAGTCGCCGTGCCCTGACCTGTATCCTTCTCCCTCTCTCACACACACCCACGAGGCTTCACACACCACCACATGCCATGCCAAGGGAGCATCTGGTGCTACTTGACGGGGCGACTGTGTGGTATCAGTGAGTTATACGAAGGGGCCCTAGGTCTGGACTATCATGCTGTACATACCATCTGATCTCTCCGTGATATTGCACTGGGAAACGCATCTGAGCGATGCGAGCTTTTCGCACGACGGGCGCCTGACACTGCAGTATGGCAGGAGCAGCGCATTGATATTCATGGGCTACCAAGGATTATAACCCGACTAAACAGGTCACCATACATGCCGCGGGTACCCGTTTGTTCTTCCCCTAAGCTACGAGTCTTCTTCCATCAAGACTGTCAGGTCTGACCGGGTCTTCGGTTTTCGAGGCAATGCTGGCGAAGTCGAGATTTTGTTCGCTCATAAAGCTAAGTTTGCGGTTTCGTATGGTTCGCCACACGGCGGGAAGATACGCCATGTAGAGCGGCAACTGTGGTGACCATGCTTACTGTCATGGCCTCCGCCTTTCTTTGGGTGTTTCGAGGTTAGGGAAGCAGATTTGCGGGTTTGCAATTTTGGTGGTTGACAGCGCTAAGACCTGCCCTGGTCGGCACTGTATTCCACGAGCACGCAAGAGCCGAGTCGACGACGACGTCATGCGGGGAACATACGTACACTGGCACGGCTTTAACACCGGCAAGTGACCGGCGATTAGGACTATGATATATAATGGAACTTCAACCAGACACTCGAAGTCGTCCCTAACATCCTATAACACAGCCATAACCGTTGAAAGCCAGCTGACCCACCATGTCCTCCAAATACCCCCAACGCAAACTCGGCAACGACCATGTCTCAGCCCAAGGCCTCGGCTGCATGGGCATGTCCTTCGCCTACACCTCCAACGGCGGCTACGACGACACCGAATCCGCCAAAGTCCTGACCCGCGCCGCCGACCTCGGCATCACCTTCTGGGACACCAGCGACATCTACGGCCCGCACACCAATGAGAAGCTCATTGGCAAATGGTTCGCCGACAACCCGGGCCGGAGGAAGGAGATCTTCCTTGCGACGAAGTTTGGGAATATGCGTAGCCCGGATGGGAAGCCCGGTGTGAGGGGTGATCCGGAGTGGGTGAAGGAAGCGTGTCGGCAGAGTCTGGAGAGACTGGGGGTCGAGACGATTGATTTATACTACCAGCATCGGGTGGATGATAAGGTGCCGATTGAGGAGACGGTGAAGGCGATGGTTGAGTTGAAGAATGAAGGGAAGATTAGGTATTTGGGTTTGTCGGAGTGTTCGGCAACGACGTTGAGGCGGGCGTGTAAGGTGCATCCGATTGCGGCGGCGCAGATGGAGTTTAGTCCGTTCGCGCTGGAGATTGAGTCGGAGCAGACCAAGTTTTTGGAGACGGCGAGGGAGTTGGGTGTGATGATTGTGGCGTATAGCCGTTGGGGAGGGGTTTTTTGACGGGCACGATTCGGTCGAGGAAGGACCTCGATGAGACGGACAACAGGATCAACCATCCGAGGTTCTCTGAGCAGCATTTCGGGGATAATTTGAAGCTGGTGGAGAAGCTGGAAGAGATGGCGAAGAAGAAGAACTGCACGGTGGGACAACTGGCGTTGGCTTGGGTTCTGGCACAGGGGTGAGTTGGATTTTGATTGAGGTGGGCTTCACGGCTAATTGATGAACAGGGAGGACTTCATCCCCATCCCAGGGACGAAGCGCGTCAAGTATCTCGAGGAGAATGCAAAGGCGATTGATGTGACGTTGACCAAGGAAGAAGAGTTGGACTTTAGGAAGGCCGTCGAGAGTGTTGGTGGCGGGAAGGGCGAGCGCTATCCACTGGCCATGTTGGCTCGCTGCTTTGGTGACTCGCCAGAGTTGAAGTAGATCAGGGAGTACTTCGTGGGATGGCACGTATCCCATGCCGAACGGCAATCAAAATTGTGTTTGTTGGGTGTTGTCGGCACGGGAAACCGCTAGGCTACCAAGACTTCTCACTTGGAGGTCGGTGATATGCAACATTGCGTCCTCGGCCGAGCTCACCTCGGGCTGAGAAGTTCTCAACCTACCTTCAATCCATCTCCAGCGCCCCCATCGAGTGAATATACCAGGCAGCAACTCAATGCCGAATCATCGTTCGACAGTGAATACTTCCTGACCAGGTCGGTGAAGTGATTGCTCCTCGTCAGCCTCGATCTTCACGTTCTTGAAGAGGTATAAGTAGCTGTGTCGTCCTTGTCTGTTCTCTTCCTCGCACTAGCAAACGAAGATGACTACCGGCGCATGCCATGTCACGCTAGCAACCACTGCAGCTTGATGGGGCGAGTTCGGTCCTCCAAGCCTTTCAATGCGGACGGAAGTGTCTCAACCATGCAACAAGCAGTGTGTGCCGCCGCCATGAGGCATAACCATCCTCTCTTATTCCATCTGTAGACGAAGTGAAGCTCCGTTGGGAACGTGTTGAGCGAAGTCATAGAAGTCGTGGATCGTCTCTGGTCTTCGCATCAACTCCCTGCAGCTATAGATCCGTGGAGTGGTCGGCCCACGACTGTATGCATGATCGACAGTCCACATCACAGTCGCGTCACTTGTACTCCTTTGGTTGCACCTCACAGACTGGACTTCCAAGATCGAAGCAGCAGAATACCACATCGCATGTTGCAGGACACCCAACACAGCCTCGCAAAAGCCCCCCAGTCAAACCAACCACCCCTCCACAGTCCTCCCGAGCGCCCCCTCCCATCCCTCCTCCTCCCGCCTACTGACAAACTCAACCACACTCTCCACCTCCTCTTTCTCCAACACCATCCTCCCATCCCCAAAATACACATGCGGAAAGAACCCCTCCTCCCATTCCGCCCCTTCCTCACCATCCCCATTCTCCCACTTCACTACACACTTCTCCGCACCCTGCGCGACAAGAGCCGCCAACTCGACCCTCAGCAAATAAACACTGCTCTGCTCCCCCGGAGGAAGCCTAAAGAACCGCCCTAACGTCCCAGGCACCTGCGCGGCAGTCGAAAGGTGGATGAAGCCGGATTTCTCGTCCAGGTCGGTGGGCACCATTCGGAAGTTAGCGGCTGGGCGGAAGACCGTCTGCTCGAGAGGAACGTTATATGGTGCTTTGTAAGGGTTTGTGTCCAGGTCCAGGCGATACAAGTGACCGTCTGGGCGGGAAGTTGAGGGGCCCGGGCAATTTTGTAGACGTACTTGTGGGTTGGAGGGGTGGTTGGGGGCATGGCCGTGTAGTGTCTGCTAAGGAGGAACTTGGGCTGCCAGCCAGGGATGGGCTGATGCGCGATGATATGTTGAGAAGTGGGCCCTTGATTGTCTTGCGAACGCGCTAATCATGGGCTTTGGTTTTTCGTGTGGCAACAAGTCTACCGTGTCCCCAGCTTCAGGTTCTGTAGAAGAGACAGTGAGGCAAGGAGTGTCCGACTGATATAGTGGGCCGCGAGGGGGTGAGGTGAAACTACGGTGGTGCACAGCAACGCAACTCAGCATCCAGCAGTCCTGGTCCGAGCAGAGGAAATTCTTGCATATGCCTCCTTTGAAAGCGGATGACATGCCTGATCTGCAGCATTATTGTTTTTGGAAATGCGATGCGCACGGCGTGACGGTAGTCGTGTGGTCACTAGCTCAAGTGTGGAGCGGATGCTGTGGTAGAAGGAGATGACAAGTAGGAGGAATGCGTTCAGTCTGTGATTTATATTCGACCTGCTCACTGCTCGAAGGCCGTACACAATGGCTCGCTACACTCTCCGGATTCTCATTCTGACTCTACCTAAGCCCGGTATGGATTGTGCGAGTAATCCGCCGATGGAGCCAGTCGTCCACCCTGTTCGTACTGCGCAACAGCCACGTCTCCCACGAACGCCTCGTTCTGCGCGCTGACCTGCATCCCGCGATATGGACTTGGCTCCCTCAATGGTCTTCGATCGCTGTAAGTGTAGTCCGGTGGTGGGTTTGGCGAGGCCGATCTCCCCACACTGCCGTTACGTTCACGGAAATGCTTCATTCGCATACCACGAGCGCTTCTGCCACCGTATGGAGACGTGTCTCGGTTCAGGTCCTTGACTGATTGGTAACCTCCAGAGCGCTTCCAGCTGCCGTCTCCGATCGGACCCATGCCGGCTCGCATTAGGCTGACAGCATGACCCGCACCCCAGATCAGGTCCATGATGTTGAGCGCGTTGCCGGCGGCACGGAATACGGACATTGTGCTTGCTCCATTCCGCTTCGCTTGGCGATATTCGCCTGCACGGAAGGAGAAGTGGAAGGAGAGAACGACCAGGAGCATCTCTAGACAGACCAAACATTGCTGGATCCCAATATGCTGGTCGCGAACCGTGATCTTGGGGTGGGCTTTGAAGACGTTGTGCGTTCGGAGGATCGAGAAGATTGTTTGCTGCAGGAACATCAACGCGATGATGCCCTTGAACGTCAACAGCTTCGCGGTCGGGCTGTGTGCTTTGAAGTGTGCCTCTTTGTTCATGCGAGCATAGAACTGGATGACGGCCAACACTCCGATGCCGAGTGCGATGTCAGAGATGACAATCACGTAGATGTTGCCAAATTTGAGGCTGAATGTGTACTCGCAGAGACGGTCAGCGCCCTGAAGGATGAGCTCTGCGATATGGATGATAATCGAGGCGACGAAGTAGATGAAGAGTGCGACGTATTTGGCCTGTGTTTGTCAGAATTGCATGCGTAAGGGTCATAGGACGACCATACATGGTACCAGCGGGGACAACCGCCTTGTTCATCCTGCCATTTCCCGCCAAAGCCGAATTTGCCTCCGACCTTGCGTCGATGTTGAAGCGTCTCGAAGTATCTCTCGCGCAAATCGGGCTCGGGCTCGGCAAACTCGACAAACAGCAGGAAGATCCCGGCCAAAGCAACAGGCTCGTATATCGAGGCCAGGGGAATGAGGTACAGAGAAGCGGTATAGTCGAGGATCGAGAAACAGCTGAAGAGGGAGAAGACGACAGGATAGAATGCTATCCGAACAATCTGCCGTTGCTCTCGAGGGCGAACATAGCAGGTCAAATGTCGAACGGCGAGGAGGACGGCGAGAGCGGTGGTGAGGATCGTGAAGGCACTTCCAATGTAGAAGAGGAAACGCTGGAAGCTGATGTCTCCAATGAATGGCTCTTCTGCGTTGGGCTCTTCGATCACAGAGTTGGGAACCGGGCAGGTTCCATTGAATAGACCCAAGCCCATGGCTGAAGCTGTACTAGAAATGCAATTGGTGTAGAATGAGTGAGTGCTGTTGTTCTGTCAAAGTCGATTTCTACCACGGACAGACATCTGGTTATATGTTGTTAACACGCATGCCACTGTTCAAGCATATCATGTCGACACATCCATCCTGTTTGGACCACTTTTTGTAGCAAGTAGCACGAAAGCATGCAGATGTGCCGTGGACCCATAGGGCTGTGGGTGATGTTGGGGGGCGCGGCATGTTAGCGGTATGATAGGTCTGCTTGTGATTTTCCGGCAGTCTAGCTGCCTCAAAAGTGGGCTGAAACGGTGGCTGAATGTTAACCAAAGTGCCTTGTAGCAGACGATGTACGCAGAGTGCTCGCGAATCTGCACATATGCGGCGATGTGCGCCGACAATCGTTGTTCGCAGGGTTGCGCAAATGTGATTTAAGCATTGGACGCCTGATGCTTGGGAGGCTTGGGCGTGCTTAAGCCCTGCCGATCTGGTTGACGCCCTAAGCCGTTTGGAGGAACCAGCGCGACTGCAGGGCACACATCTGTCCCTATCAATCGACCTGCGTAACAGCAAGAGATCGTCATCATGCGTTTCGGTGCTGCCGCAGTACAAATGGTCGTCACATGTGTACGAGGGAAACCTCCAAGTCTCCGGGATTTGGACACTGGGGGCCAAGTATAAGGTAGCCTGCTTCTCTGGTTGTGCAGTCGAACCTTGAGCAAGACTGCTGCCAGAATAGACCGCCACCATGATCATCGGCGCTATCATCTCAGCAAGAAGGTCAAGAAGTCGGTCCGTCAGCGGCAAGCACAGAAGGCTGCAGAACAGCTCTCAAACCCGTATGATATTGTGGGAGATCCATCTGATGAGATCAAAGCAAAGGCACCGCCAAGCTCGCCGACACTATCCCGTAGCAGTTCGAGGTCAAGAAGTGCGACAGCTTCTTCACCCACCAGTACCTTCATGTTGCCTACTTCTGACATAAGTCGAGACAAGGAATGGGAAGCTTATACGCATCGTGCTTCGGTTGGTGGACATGTCCCGGAAGACCCTCCCACGTATGAGGTCGCAATGAGTGCAATCTCAGAAGTCTCGACGTCGCCTTCCAAACATGAAGTGCCTTCGAACCACTTACAGCGCGCGCATGGGCCTCTGATTATCTCCCCCTTATCTTTCGGAAATTCGACGGCTTCAGGAACCGCAGAGAGGTCACGATCATCGCAGCCCACCACTGTAAAACCATATTTCCAAGGAATATCTGAGACGACAAGTTGGGTCGAGCCAGCACCAGTAGCTGCAGAGTTGCCTGCAGAGACTCGTGCCATTGCTGAGCTGCCTACCTTTCCGATCAAGATGGTCGAGCTGCCGGCGAATGATGTGGCGGAGTTGGCCGCCCAGAATGAGAAGGTCGAGACGAAATTGCCGCCAGAGAATCTGTATGTTGGTGAGCTTGAGGGATCTGTTGTATCCGAGGTGTCTGCAGAGCGGACGAGCCAGCTAATCCCTGTGTTGGAGCTTCCGGCGGAAGACGTGGACACGGCCAGCAGTGCTGGCCTTCAAAGCTCGAGCCTGTCAGCCAGACCGCCGGATTAGCTGTGCATGATCATCGTTTGAGACCTTTCCAAGCACGATCCAGATCATCCTGTCGCACCTCGTAGGCCCAATGGTGACAAGTCTGGTGCATAACAGGACTGACTTCTTTCGTGTCTTCTTCCTCGCCATCATCGAATACGTCCCGCACACCCATGGCCATATACTTCTTGAGCAGCATGCGCCGCCACCTGCCAGTCTCGCCAACGCATTTCCGCCATCGACTGATTTGTCGCTCGTCGTCATCACATCTCCGGCCCTGGAAAAAGCGGCAGTACCACTGAAACCATCCTCGAACATCATACTCGTGGGCTATCCAGCCGGCAGCTTCCCACTCCTCAATGGACTGGCCACATGCCACCTTGTACTTATTGATGGAAGGATCGTAGTCGGAGCGAGTGAGGTAGATGGCTGGATCGAGGCCTTGAATCCAATCCTCTGGCAGCTCTTTCCAATCGTCCTCAACCACGAGACCCAGTTTTCTCGAGCGAAGAGGACGGAAGTAGGAGCCGCCGAAGCAGCCCTCTTGCAGGACTTCGGAGGGAGACTTGTTGGGCGTGAACGTTGGCTGGTCTTGAAAGTGGAAGACGTTGTCGGAATCTGATCGAGTCGGCGGAGGTGCTGAGGGCAACCATGATGTCCATCCGGCTACAATGTCGGCGACGTATTCATCAGTTACCACTGCAGGAGGCTCAGGTGTCGCTCTCCGTGACTGCTCTGCTTTTGGACGTCGCTTGAGCGTCTTCGCCTCCACTTCTACTTCGTTGTAACGGGGTCCATTGTCTTCTTTGTACGACGGACGAGTGGTCGACGAGATCCGAGCAGACGTCCTCGTTGGGATCGTATCCACGGCGATCCTTCGCTTCTTCGTGGGGGGCTTCGTGGCTGTCGATCGGGTGGAAGACACAGGGATCGCATTCGATTGCAGGTCAAGCTCAGACAGGAGTTTCCGCTTGTGCTCGAGATTCGACAGTCGCTGGGCTTCGAAATCCGTCATGGCCGCAGGAGCCTCGCGGGGATGTAGTAGGCCTGGTATTGATTGTTGTCACGTCGCGGGGACAGCATCCAAAGACGCGTCGGTGGTGATGGAGTTGAGCATGACATGACGTAGTGATCCTTCCAGGCGGGAGAGTTCCCCGAAACACTGCCAAGCGCAATTACTCCGACGCCTAATCTTCATCTTCTCCAGACCTCCTGGGCGGTACCGAGATGGGCGCTTCCGGGGGCAGATGGGTGGATTTCTTTACGGAAACTGCTTCCCTTAGCTGATCGCTTGATGTGCAGAATGTCTCCCGATCTTAGCGATGAGATGATAGACTACGGAACAGCGATCTCCTATCTGCCTGCGAGAAGCACATCAAGGATACAAGATCAGAAATCCGTATTTGACAGTGCATCGATGACAGCTACAGTGCTGCTACACCGCCATGATTTCAGGTACCTTATCATTGACAATGCAGTGACTCGGGCGGCGGCGTTGATCCTGCCTATTGGGCCGTGCCGGATTGGCTGGGGAAGGATCGACTGTCAGTCTGTCAGATCAGTAAGTGTCACCACTGACGCGCCGATGCAGCGGCAAGGATCTTGACTATTCAGAACACGACAGCCACGGACCCTTTTGTCGCCGACGTTGCTCTGCTTACCATGTTGTACCAAGTCGTACGTGTTCACGATGCCTACAATTGAGTGGTTCGGGCACTGCGAAAGTCACTGCAGGTCTCCGAAACCTTCACGCATGTCGCAGAGATACAGAGTCTAGGCCTCTCCGCGTGGTCAAAGGCAAACGATTGCTTGCAGGAGTACCTCGACAGCTGGTATCGCTTCAATGCATGCTGGTTCGCTTGCGACTTCGACCCACCAGATACGTGGCTACCTGTACAGAGAATGGTGGCGAAAGTCATGATTCAGAATCAGCGGCAGAGACGGCTTCTCGCCGATAACTGATTGACAGAATTCGCGGACACGCAATCGATGCCAACACCGCTAATAACCCATCATCCAAGTGCTGGGCAATGTCGATCAGGAGCTCGAACCAAGGACTTTGCACGAAGGGGACAAGTGAAAGCTGTACTCCTCACTCCGGGTCCTGCATACACGAGCTTCGACTACCGGCCCTCGATTGCTCCCGCTCCAATCATTGGCCTACAGCTGGCCCGTTCCCTTCTTCTTTGGAGATCTTGGTCTGTTTGGTAGGACGCTTCGGGAGAAGCTATCACCTTTCTGGGCGCGCCCCATACAATAGAGGAAATCTACAGGGATCATCACTTTGCTCGCTAGAGAAGCTCCAATTCTAAGCGCTTCGTCATTGGATCTGGATCCCGAGCGCCAGCAAGCCACACCTGCTATCTGCTTAAATCTCCCAACACCTCTGTCAAACAATGCATGCCGTTCTAGCGCCATCAAGCCCTTGCTTTTGCCCTCAGTACTGCAGCAAGAAGCAGAACCTCTGTCGCACACACGATAAGCATCGGCGCACATATAACCCAAGCCACACCGCCCATGAAGAGGCCTTGATCATCGAAGCTGTACCATGGGTCGGCTGCAGGGACGAATCACAAAGGAAGACGTACGCGAAGCTGGCTTGCGACGATGGGACGGCGTACAGCGAGTAACGACGGACTGGATAAACTTATTTCTGGTAGGTGTGGCACACCAAGACGTGTCTTGACTGACAAGTTAGGAACCTGAGCTCTACTTCAACGATGGCGATTGCCTGATATACCTTAGAGAACCCGGCCAGTCGAGTCGAGGGCCTGCTTTCAAGATTCATACTGCCCGACTGAGGGCACAGGGCTTTCATTCGCTGCTGCAGAGATGTACACCTCAAGCGAAGCTACACATAGCCTCACAATGTGTGATGAGCAACTGCGAAGGCTGCAAGAACCACTCACCGACCTGGGAGCTATACCTGCCCACTGCACCTCGATCCGGCCTTGAGGCCACGTTTGATCATCATATCACGACGAGAAACTTCTTCGCGTGGCTGTACAGGCTGCCTCTGGCAGGAAGAGCTTTAGGGAAATCCGTAGTGGATCTCAAAATAAGACTGGACACGTATCGACCGAACGATGAAGCCCGGAATCGGACTGATCTACTGGCATACGCAGACTCCCAGAAATATCTCGACTTCAGAGAATGCATCGACCACGCTCTGGCGGCGTTGCGGCTCGCTGAATTCCTCCAGATCGACGATCTGTGGATTGACGCGTTCACACACTGTGTGGGACTGAGCCATCGCGGAGTGCCAGCCAGCCCCGAGTACCAAGTAGGTCACAGCGAGCGAGTGTGTAAGGTTTATGCTGACACGTCGCAGTATATCAGTAATGACTCGAAGAAGCTGATCAGCTCAGCGCGCGTAACAATGGACAACAGATTACATCGAGTCGCCCAGGCTGTTTCTACATTCTTCGAGGAAGAGCTGTCGCGAGGGTTCCCAGGCCTTTCGCAAATCGCCCGGGACCATCTTGATCGATTCAGATCCTTCCTCCATTCGTTCTACATAGAACAGCATGGATTTTGGCCACCAAACAACTTCGACACTCACGTTGTACAGCAATTGATCTGCAATAGTATGTATGCGGACTTCTACTCTTTGTATCAGCATATGGCAGACACCACCACCTCTCCTGGCTTGTCTGAGCCCAATGTTAACACCGCTGGCGGTGTTTGCGCTTTGCAGAACATTCGAGCATACGATGCACGCCATGGATCGTTACCGCTTCCACATGCCTTACCCAGGATCCCTACCATGCCGGTCATCCCTACGACGGCGTCGACTAAGAGGGAGAGACGGAGCTCGTGGAATCCAGTTGCAAGGCATCGAGAAGAGAAGGAGCGTCGCAACTCGCAGAGACTACAAGCGCTCATCGACTCAACCAATCGCGACTGGACTCTGATGAATACTGTTCTGGTGCGCCGCTTCTCGGAATTCGAGATTGATGCTGCGATAGATGACCTGGAGCCCATATCGCTAACAGATGGCCGCAAGGTCCGCTGGATTGTAGTCTACGCCATACTTCAAAGCTTGATCTCTGTTACGCAAGCACCTAAGCAGGTCCGCAATACCGAAGGACTCAGCTATGGTCTCTGTTGCGATGTGCCTTCGAGACTGCATGGCATGTCGAGACCCGCAAGCGCAGTCGGACAGTTGGCCATGCCAGCATCGAACCAGACAATCAGCACTCGCACACAAATACCGAGCCGTCAAGTCCAGTCGGCATCAACCGAACAACGTCAAGGACATCAACTATGACCTCGATGACCGAGTCCCTCTTGCGCAAGACCTCCCGAGCAAGTACTACAAAGGATCGCCGACAGACTGTTGCGGATGCCACTCCTGGCCGCTCGATGTCCATCAAGTCGACAAGCACACGCACCTCCTCGCTGCGGCGTATAGGCCTCTATCGCAGCACCGACAGTCTTGTGGAAGAGCCAGACTCGCTGCCACAGCAGCGGCCCAACTTTGCGAAACGCACCTCATTCTGCGAGATCTACGTCCCCGGCTACGGCAACGGCTTGAATGAAGTCGAGCTCCAGCGATCAAAGTCAGAGAAAGTGACTTCGTCATCCAAGCATCGCTCGGACAAGATCAAGCGCAATTCCATCCCACCGCCGGTGCCCAAACTTGTCATGCCCGCGGTTGTACCTTCACCCATTAACCCTAGCGTCAACATCAACACTTCTGTGTCACGTGAGTCCTCCAATGCCTCCACCAACTCCACATGGTCCCGAACGGCTCCGTCTGCGTCGACACCCAATGACTCGGACGCGAGCCTCCCAACTCCAAATGGCAGTCCGATCGTCGCGGCGGATGTTGCGATCGCCATGGCGAATCTCGAACTGGACAGGGCCGAGAAGAAGCGGCCTAGGACTGCGGCTATGGTGCATATCGTGCAACAGGAAGACATCAGCGATGCCACCGGACTGGACACAGTGCACTTCAACACCAGCACATGGGATGATATGCTGAACGTGCTGGAGAAGAGAAGGTTCAATGTCGTCTGACGTGGCTTTTACAGTACGAGTCGAGACGGAATGGCAGCAGCGATCAACGGCAACAGCGATCAACGGCAGCAGCGATCAACGGCAGCAGCGATCAACGGCAGCAGCGATCAACGGCAGCAGCGACCAGCAGCGATCAACGGCAGCAGCGACCGGCAGCAAGAGCAACAGACATCAACTCTCCTATCCCTTGAGCTTTACGATTTTATGACGCCCTTTAACGAACCCAGACGCCAGAGCGAGCTGAGCGAAGTGATTTGCATGGATGCGAGAGAACAAGTAATGGGCTGAGCATGGTCAGTGACGCATGCTCACCGATACGGAAGGACGGAATTGCATTGATTTGGCATTTGGATCTGAGCACTCGAGCACCTAGCTTGAGCTCAGAACATGATACCCCTACGCTCCTTTCCCTGGGCGGAACACTCTACCTTAATATTTGAATGTGTATGTACCACCAAAAGTCCTTTCAGCGATCCCACACCATCATTGGCTTTTTCAGTAGAGCCCACTTTCTCCAGTCATTGTATACTTGGAATTGGTCGACTTGATTGTTTCCTGACTGAATGAACCCCCCTTCGACGCGGCCTTTCTCTAAGAGGAAGCCGAGCATAACGCGAAGCTGTTCGCCCCACCAGGCAGCAGCTCGTGCTACAAGGCATGACATTGTAATACAAGACATCCGCGGACTTGATGGAAGAGAAAGAAGATGGAGTCGGCGGCAAGATGACTACCTACTTATACTTGTTTCGACGGTTCGAAGGTCCGGAGCAAGCCGGGTTGAGCACTTCACTGAGTTGATTACGAAGGTCGAAGGCATTCACTGATCCCGACGTGATTACGTGTTAATTATGGCCTGGTAGATTCAAATGGCCCTAGGTATGGGACTCGCGCTGTGCAGAGGTTCAAGAGCAGAGCGGCACCTGATGTGGTCATACGAAGAAAGGAGTATTGGGTACCAGGCATTTATATTCTGCTGTCAAACACCATTTTTCCAGCCTTGAGACTATGCCTTATTGCCAGCGAACTGTGCCAGCAGATCATGCCATGCATGTCGGTGATTAGCGCTCCTGGAAGAGCCAAAGCGGAAAAGGCAATGCATAGATAAAGAAGATACTAGGAGAAACACACTACGACAAGGGCCCGCCCACAACCACCTCATCGACGAGGTTGACGATCACGGTCGTCGTATTCCCATCAGACGCAGGAGCCTCACTCTGCTTCTTCACCGCATTGTACGAAATGTCGAGTGAGGTCAGTTCATCCCTGATCTGCGCCCACATCTCCACATCCTTTGACCTGCTCGTAGTGCCCATACCTCCAATACCAGCAATGAGATTTCGATGGCGACTATCACTGCAAGCAAGCATGCCCACAAACGGCACTGCACGCTCCAGGAAGACCTCGAGCGCGAACAGACTTTCGAGCACATCCCGCAACGGCTCTGTGGCATGGACCTCGTTGAGTCGTGTCAGTGCCACCTCACACGCCTTCAGATCCTCGCCACGTCGTCGTTCGATCGCAGCCTCCTCTTGGCGGCGCTGATACCAGGGCAGATGTGATCCCACAGAGGGGGGCATGAGTCTATACCTGATATCGTCCAGCTTTCTGGAAAAGCGCACCGAGTCCCATACTGGGGTAAGTTGCCTCATAAGGACGTAGAGCAGCTTTTGGGGAATTGTATCCTCGAAGGCGTGGATTTGAGCGGCGAGCGTGCCGACTTCTTTGATAGCGGCGCGGACGAGGGAGGAGGGTGACGGTAAGGACGTGTTGGTGCTGGGGCCAGGAAAGCAAGGCCGTCGTTTTCGGACTGGCTGAAAAGAGTGGGCTGAAGTATTTGCTGCGTTTGAGCTGATAAGTAGTGAGGTCCTTTGTTATATCATCGACGGCAGCTGTTCCTGCTCGATGTCGCTCAGCCGCGAACAGAGCTGCGCCGGACCAAGTCGAGAGCATGGACGTCAGCCGGCCAAACGCGGTTGTAGAATAAGGGGATGCTGTGGCCTTGAACTCTGACTGAAGTTTGCTGTAAACCTCTGGGAGCGGCACCACCGTCTGGCAAATTGCGATGGCTGGGTCTGAGTCGAGGGCAAGTTCAAACTTCTCGTAGGCTGTGCGCATCCCGATGGTAGTCTGTTTGAACTGGTGGACAGCAGGGATGGCCTTGGTAAAATTGGCGCGCACGCCAACACGGTCGATTGAAGCGCACTCCGCAGCGGTTGAGGCCAGGAGCAGAAGATACAGGACCGCAACGAACAGGACGCCAATGGCAAGAATGCTCAGCGGGCCAAGATCCTTCGGGTCCCACCAGGAGGTGTTCGCGTCAAGATCAAATATCAGGAGTCGTCTCCGCCCACTGAGCGGGACCTTGCAGCGCTCGTAGATGTGCCGTATCTCTCTTGCTCGGCCTGCGGCGGCTTGCTCTTCTTTCAGAGTGGCGCCGATCGCAGGGTCGAGTGGCAGGGCGTCCCTCTTGTCGTCCAGACTGCGGGGTCTGGGCGTCACGCATCTCTCTGGCTCGGCTGGGTTGAGGACGGCGCTCTTTCGTCGGCGCAGCTTGGGGGGCATTGCGAGGGAATGGGTGTGATCATAGGCATGGGGTTGCGGAACTGAGAAGACTCTACGACGCCGGGCCGACTTACCACAACAAAAACTCACCTACTGTTTACCATACAACCGAGCACGAGCCTTTCCGGCGCTGTGGGATGACATGGCATTCCGAGGTCAACGCTTTGACATGGAGCACTCAGAAAGGCATTTGAGCGCGCCCGGCAGAGAAGGAAGGCGTGTGAGATTTTGTCATTGTTCACTTTGTTGCATCTGAGGGACGCGAGATAGAGACAGAAAATGTTGTAGGTGCGAGGAGCGAGGATGAGAACAGGAGAAGCGTAGTAGTCGAGTCAAGTGAAGCGCAAAGGCTATATGAGCTACCGTGTTCTGAATACTGGTGGCTCTTGTCGTAAACCGTAGCTCTTCAACGGATCACTCAAGGTCACCTTCCATCCTCGCCATGTTGAACTCTCTTCTCGCTGGCTGCCACACTCACTTGCGTACACGATCCCCATCCTCTCCCAATGTTCAAGAGCCACATCGACATTCTGCTGGTCATGCCATGCCCTGCAGATACCGTAAGCATCGATACGTGCGTGCACTCTAAGCGCCCGAACGCCTAGAACCGAACTCGATGCTTGCCCCGCCTCGATTCCAAGCCTGCTCCCCAATCACGTCAGGTTCGCATCTGCAGCTTCCCGCGTCCACGTCTGAAACGCTTCGAATAGAAGCTGCAGTCTGCATTATCTATGACTGCCATTTGGCGATATTGACTTGGTTCGCACCTGCAGGGTACTTATCCAGAACTTCTGACCTTCTAGCCTCGTCTGAGGCAATCGAGGTGATGTGATAAGGAAGCCTTCCTTCCGCATGTTCCCCACATGTCTTCTCTGGGTACCCTTGACTTCCTCCGAATCTTGTCTTGAGGATCTACGGATCTACGAACCTACACTATAGGATCCCACTCTGGCTGTACCCGTGATTCATTGTGTAATTGACTACGCCGATTGACCGTGATGGAGGTCGCCAACGCTGTTGCTTCCATCATCTCAGCGCTAGGTAATGGAAAGGACCTCTTCCGTCGAATGCTGGGCAAGAAGCCCAAGCGCAGAGGTCCAGGCAGGAAGCCAACACTGTCCGAAGAGGAAGCTTGGCTACGGGAATCGCTGACTCGAAGTCCCGAATCAATACGGACCTCCTTGAGCCAGAATATCTCCCGTCATGGCAGGAGGTTCGAAGTTGGTGACGAAACGGCGAGCTCGAGCTTAGGCCACATTCTGCTGGTATTGAACTCCGGATTGATGGCTTTGATTGACAAAGTGCTCCACGGCAAGGACGGCAAGTTCGACTCGGCCGAATCAAATCGTGTGCTACGGCACCTCAGTGAGAACGCCACTAGGGAGACCTTGAGCGCCATGAGCGAGTTGAGTCTGAGGCTTGCTGGAGATGTGCCGGCACCGAGAGTATCTAGCCAGGAAGGCCCTCGTCGGAAGAAGCACAAGCAAAGGGCCGAGACAAGGGACATGAAACAGCCAGCGATCGACAGCAAGAAGCCGGTCACCGCTGTACGAGGTGCCTGGGTTCGTCCAGTGAAAAGCTCTGGCTCACAGTCAGTCGCGAGTATTGCTTCGATCGCTACTACTACAAAAGCGACGAAGAAGAAGGCTGGACAAGAGCCTTCATCACGCCACCGGCATCACAGGTCTCAGCCGAATTTCCATGAGAATCCAGATGCTAGCGCACACGGCAAAGTCCACCCCAGACCAGCAAAACCCTCCCCTGCACGCCCTCCAGAGCCAAGCATGCTCTTAGTCTCTTCCGAAATTTTCCTGCCCAAGACGGCGGAGCACGATTACCACGACCGGAACCACGCCCCACAACGAAGGAAACACCACCACGCATCCCGGCCACCGAGACCCGTATCATCAGCAACGTTCATGACCGCAAGTACCAAGATCGGCGAGATCCCGCCTTCGCGCCTCCTCCCAACGAATACCGCCACTCCTCAGGCTGCTGTCGTGGATGAGCCTCGGCTGTTGCAGTATCTTACTGATCAAGACCGTATTGTGCTCGATCTGAATAGTGCTCCTAAGAAATTGAAACGAGGATTCAAGTTCTGGAAGCGCCCGCAGGAGGAGCAAGAACTATATAATACTGCTGCAGTGCATTAAGAGCCGATGTCGATGATACAGTCGGTCAGCTGCGTCATTGTCTTGGCGGACTGCGCGTCCGTAAAAGGAGGTAGTCGCGAATAGTCGATACCTAGTTCTCAAATTTATCTCTCGCACGCTGTGTACCGAAGCGAGAGTGATCTATTCCGTGTGCTTATCACGACTTCATAGCGGGATATCACACATGGTGTACAGCAACATGGCTGCAACACTAATCGAATACGAACGACAGGATGAGTTTGTTGTCACGGCAGCTTAGTGTGGCGCAATTTAGGACGACGCCAGCAGGGTCGACCTTACATAGAGATGATCGTGGACAGTATGACTATTTCAGATTGCGCAAAGGCCATACCTACTACTAGCAGCAGCATTGGTAGAGGAGATAGCTCTGATAGTCATTGTGTCAGAGGTCACGAAGAACTATTGTTTTGTTACACATAATGATCTGATGATTATGTATACATAGATAGGCTCTTTGGGTTAGGTTTGTGGGCACCAAACCTGAGCCGTGAGAATGAGATGAGAGTCATCACTTCCACGCCACACAACTCTGCGTTGCGGGATTCCCTGACATACATGTTGACTCCATTTTAAGCGCGGCCAGGGCTTCGTCACAGTCTACGTCGCCGCAATCCTCTGCTATCATCCTAAAATCAGGTCAAGCCCGACTGCCAGGATGACGACGGCCGTGATTGCATGCCCAATGCTCTTCCCTGCTGCCAGTTCTCTCGCCTCCTTCACCACCTTCTCATCGCCCTCGTCACCTTTGGCACTAGCCTCCAATTCTCGCGCGTAACTCCTCAAGATCATGGCATCCCCGAGGCCCACAACTGTGCCGCACACCAAGCCTAGACCCAGACACCTCCTCACCACCGCCTTCGCTACTGAACTGTTCGTCGTTGCCCAGTAGCCCAGCAGGGCGAAGTTGCCGAGTCCGGCGCCGAGATTGCGGATGCCATGGATGCGAGAGTAGGCTGTTTCGAATGGGGACAATTTAGGTTGTGCGGATTTGGTGGGGAGCAAGCCGAACCCGCGGGCGCCGCCGTGCGGATCAACGATTGTGTAGGCGCCTCCGAGCACGCCTGCCGCGGCAAGTAGGGTGGCAAAGGTCGGATAGGTGACTGCGGGGGTAAATATGTTGCTGATTGTGGTGGCCATGGTGATGCAACGCGGTCGAACTAGTCGTCGCACTTCGTTAGTGGTGCTTAGGCTTGTGAAGATTTATCGTTGTATCGATGTAAGCCTCGTCTCTTCTATGCTGAAAAGTATACCACGTCGAGGGGTCAGTCGTGCTCTTATATACGAACTGCGAGCACAGCTGGAGCACTGCAGAGGTCTCTGCCAGAATGCACACATTTCTCCAAACTTTCATGTCACGTTACGACCTGTACATTCGATATAATCTTTCGATACCGGCTGTGCTGAACTTCAAGGCAGGTTCGTATGCCGGCAATGACATATATGCACTGTCCTGCAATACCCCCGCGAGCTTTGCCCTTGCATGAGCCGTCCGGGTCTTGCAATCCCTACCAGCCAACACCACTCAAAGGTCGTTTTCGAACAATGTATCACCAACAAACATTCCCCAAACACCCGTTCTCCTATGAAGTCTTCACCAAATTAAACCCATCAAACACCAAATCCGCATTCCCCTTCTCCGCGTCCGCACTTGTAAACGTGATAACAAAACACAGCGCAACCCCCTGAGTCTGGCTTTGACCGTATGTGAACGGAATGGTGTGCTTGGTGTACCTCGCACCGCCCTGGCCGTCGATTCCACATCCATCATAACCCTCGCATGCGGTGACCGCACCAAGATACTGCGAGCCGGCGGTCACGGCGATGGTCGGGGAGTCGTTGTCGATTGTGGCGGGGAGGCGGCCTTGGTAGCCTGTGAAGAGGCTGTGGGGGGGTGGGAGGTTAGTGTGGAAACTTGGGGTGTGGAGGGAATGGGACCGGCAAGGGTTACTTACTAGCTGGCGCCTTGGACGAGGGGTGTGCTGATGGTCTGGCAGATGCTGAGCTGACGGTTGCTGGTTGTGGGATCGGATGTGGGGACGACGTGTCTGATGTGGGAGTTCGTTAGCAAGCAGGCGACAACATCACCAGATATGAAGCCAAAGTCCAGGCAGAACTCACGCAGCATTGCAGCCTTCCAGCTCATGCTCAGTGTCGATTCCAGCAGCAAATGTTCCCTCCATGATATTTGGAGTCCAGCCCGTGAAGCCATCCTCAAATCCACCATTGATGAGCAGACCATAGCCATCGGCACGGAGCGGCTGGCATGCTGGGTCAGGGGGTGCTGACGGCGAGCCATACATGTTCAACGCATCCGGACCGCCGCAGAACTCGCTGTGGTCGCCGACGCACGGCATGAAGCATTGGGATGGGTCGTTGGTGGGCCTGATCATTGGGTTGTTGCCGCACCAGCATTCCTGGGCGTACTGCTTCTGGGTCAGCCAATGGCAGAACGGGGCGGGTACTCGAGTACGCACCTCAACACCGGCAAAATCAAAACTAGCAGCACTACATGCCGCAACACATTTCGCCACGGTCATGCCACCGTCCACCTGCATGAACGTGTTGAGCGTCCGATCCTGTTGAGAATCGCTCACGCACCCCAGGCTATTCCAGCCATCCACGCCAGGATTCGTCGTCGTCTTTGCCGCGGTTGGGTCAGAGTAGATGCTCAGCCGAGACCCCGCGCCACAGGCTTCAGTTGTGCTTCCGGCGCAGGGCATTATGCAGTCATCCGCAGAAGGCGCAATGTTAGGCAGGACCGAGCCGCAATAGCACTCGGCGCCATACTCCGTGCCGGCGATCGGGTAGCCTTTGGCGGAGCAGAAAGATATGCATTTCGCGGCGGACATGGAACTGGAGTCGTAAAAGGAGGCATCTGCGAGCGAGCGCGGGTTCACGGTGTCGATGTAGCAGCCGGTGAAAGACCAGCCGCTGGGGAGAGTCGCTGGGTCAGCTGGTCCGAAGCCGTGTGAGGTCGGTGAAGTTTGTGGTGGAACGAAGAGGGCTAAGGCGGTCGCAGGCCCGAGCAATAAAAGAGCGGAACGCATGACTGTTGATGCTGGTGGTGAAAATGAATGGACGTGCAGCGTATGTGCACTGGTGAACGAGCGTCGAGATGAGGGCAAACAGCGAGTAGAATGCGTCGTTGACCACGTCAAGGAAGAGCTGTATTACCTATATCTCGGCACTTCTCCTAGTCGTTGAAGCATAGTTGTAAGCCATACCATGTTATCCAGCCTTCGAAGGTCTGGGTAGGCCCCCTTCTGAGGCAAAAATGAGGTGGCCGTGCGGTCCATAGTATGATTGCTGCTTAAAGTGGCCAAGCTCGATCAATCCTTTACCGCATCCGGCAACAGTGTGAACCTGTTCGTGAAGAAGAAAGTTCGGTAGACACGAGAAAGGTGAGTGAAGAGGAGATGGCGCGAAATCGAATATCGACTTCAAAGTTCGAGGTGTTGGGGATGGGCCAATGATAGGGTTGCCGGACAGCCAGGAACCCGGTCTGGGCGCTGATGGTGGAGATTGGCGAGATCTAAATTGTTCCGAGCTTCATCTCCACGTCGTAGGTGGTTTGTATGGGGGAGCGTCATCGCATAGATTGCGAGGAGCACCGCGGCAGGAGGGTGGTCATGGGTCTGCGACTCTCGGGTGATGCTGGTGAGGTTGTATCTGGGTCAGCGGCATACCGAGGAAGAACCGACGCGCTCGATGAAGGAGGCTCGATCGCTTTGCGGAGTCTAGCCGGACGCGTTGTCACCGCGAGCAGCAAGCGACAGGTGTAGCACACTGTCGCCATCAAATGTTATCCGGACGGGAAGACTTATATCTCTGCCCTAAATGCATCCAAAAATCATGTTATACAAATTCCCGACTCTCGATTCTGGCTTTGTGCATCGAAGTCTTCTCTTCCCCACTACTAGCAACGCCAATCCTGTCTCTATCGACCATCTGTTGGACGACGTGCGATAGTGGCACCTTTCCGACAAAGTCTTGCGTTCTGACATGCATCATCTCCGTGTCCTGAGGTCTCACACTGACCCGCCTGCTCTGCCTCCTGCTGGCTGCCTCGCTCCTTGCTCTACTTGCAGTTCTGCCGGTTCCGCCCCTCCTGCCTCCTGCTGTCGAAAAGAACCTGCCTGGCAGTAGCTTTTTGAACAGCGGCTTCAAGCATGGTATGCACGCACAGATGATGCCCGTGCCAAGTTCAACGGCCGACCAATTCAGAGTCGGGACGGCGCCGATAGAGAAGTCGACATTCTGAACTCCCTGCAAAGTTGTGATGCGCATAATGCTTGCGACTGCAGCAACAAGACCGAATGCAAAGAGTCCAGAAACGATCATCTTCTCCCTAACAGGCAACTTCAGCTGCCAGAAGAGTGGGAGCGGCAGCACACAGAGCATCAAGTCGGTAAGTATGCTGAAGGCGGTAGTGAAGTAGTACACTTTCATGATGGGTAGACAGTGCGCTCCTGGGGCCGTAGCGGCCTCGAAGTCCCATGCCGCGTAGATTGGGGTGCACTGGAAAATGGTGGCGAAGATACCCACGACCCAAACGGCGGTGATGAAGCCAGCGAGTGTGTATAGAGTCCAGCGGACAGCGCGGGTTGGGAAGATGCGATGGAATGAAGCCACGATGCTGAGCTTGACGAGAGCGAGCGACGTTGTGTAGAGTATCTGACACACCCATAGTGTCTGGATGATCTTCTTGACGTTGGGAATGAGGTTGCTGAGGTCGAGGTCGTATACGTGCCGGCCAAGGCCATAATGTGCGGCTGCCAAAGGTTAGACACGTCAAAGACGAGGACGAAGTTACCAACCGGCTATGTTTAATGCTGAAAAGGTTGCTCCAAATACTCCAGCAGCCACCATCAACCAGTCCTCCAGAGCCACATGCTTGACAATGAATGTTCGAACGACTACCCTCAGTGCGATGATCGAGGTTGTAACGGCGAGGAAGGCGGCATTCAGGCTGATGATTGCGGGCACTTCGCTGTTGTGTGGGACATTCGGGTTCTGAGCGTATAATGCCACGAGAGTCTCCATCGTGTTGTGCCTTGCGGCTGTATCTCTATATTAATGTACAAATGAAGGGAATAACGCTCAAATGGCCCGCATTGGAACGTGTGTGCTGAGGAGAAGATCTTCAGACCTACCTGTCCCAGCAGGAGAAGACGCCAGCAGGAGAAGACGCAGTCTGCAGAGATGCAACGGGCAGACGCGGTGGGTTTTGTCAAGGAAGCCCCCACCCGTTGAGAGCAGCAGAAAGCATGCATGTCGTGTTCATGCAACTGCACGTTCAGACCTTCCTACCTACCTTCCCGCTGCAACGCACGGATTTGAGTTGCCTGTTCCTGAGCGTGCCCAGCTTTATCTCCCGGCAGGGGTGTCGACGAACAGCGAGCAGTCCTTTGGCCTTTTTGCGGGGATTGTGTGTAGCTTTGCCGATTACATTCATGGCTTGGGTGTCACTCGTGGTAGAGTTCGTGCATGGAAACAGTCCGGCGGTCTTCACGTCCAAGGGTTTGAGGGTTTGGTGTGATCAAAAGCCGTGCCGTGTCGCGGAGTTTCAAGGTAAGCGTGTGCTGAAGAGGAGGCGAAGAAGAAGGAGTCAACCAATTCGCGTTCACGAATGCGATTTTGACGTGCCAGGGTCCCAGCTTAGCGCGTCTTTTAGGCGACAGGAACGGAGGCTTGCTGCCAGAAGGACACGAGGGAAAAAGCCACAGCAAATTGCACGCTTGAGAAAGGTGATTGGCTGATGATGGCATCCTGGTTAACCAACGAAAAGTCGTGGGGACCAAAATGCCGCTCGGGTTTTCTTCTGGCGTTCTTCTTCCTGTGCTTCCGTCCGGAAGTGAAAGGTCTTTGCGTCTGGAGTCCGTTTGGACAAGGAGAGCTGTGCGGCGAGTCGCCGACGAATCGTTCTCGATAAATACGGATGTTCATTGCAGCATCGAAAAGAATTCTGCGTTCTGGCCACCGGGCTGCAGGATCCCATCTATCGAAGTCCTTAACGGGACTCGAGCTGTCTCATCTCCTGGAAGCTAAGACAGTCGCGTAAGCAGCCACATGGGTTGTAAAGCCTGTCCCGCTGCTTAGAGGTTTCCACAACGCGTCACAGCAACGATGCGGCTTCGTTCCCGGCGCGCCGGCGATATCGCAACAGAAGCAATACGGGAATTATTGTACTGCCGCCGAAGAGAGCTCGTCAGACTCTAGCAGGCTCGTGCCTAACATTAGGCGAGCCAGAAGCGAGCGAACTAGCGAAGATGTCAGACTGGTGAGAATATCGACCACTTGATATTGTGTTATATTGCCTGAACTTCTCGGCCTGACATCCCTCTACCTTAAGCTCGAATATCTAGGCGGGGTTCCTGGCCCGTATTGGCCGTCCCTTTCGCACAGACGGCTTCACTGGTACTGCTGATACTGATACTGGGGCGGTTCATCAAAACGCTGTTGAGGCGACATCATCTTGGCACCACCAGTCCGAGACGATGAGCCAGCCTTCGCCTTCACTGCTCGAACTATGCCTTTCAGCACATCCATCAAATTGACAACGTCCCAGGCTGCAGCGAAGACTCCGAGCTTCACTTGTGAGACATCACCCTTCCCAACCTCAGCCCCGAGCTGCCGACTCCTGAACTGGCCAGGCCAGTAGTAGTAGATCATCAACAGTCCGATAAGCATGACCTCCACAGCGGTCAGGAATGGGCCCAAGCCAACATTCAGATCATGGTAGCTGAATTTCGACGATCCGTTGAGCACGTTGGCATTGCTGAGAATGTTCAGAACGATTCGCTGGATCATTTGAATGGCGACAATCAGCTTGAAGCAGACCAGCTTCCCAACGATGGTCTTGTCGCGGGTCTTCAACTCCTTGATATGACGCTTCAGGAACTTGAGCAGAGCGACCAAGGCCAATGCTGTGGAGATGCCACTTATGATGCTGATCACCAGGTGTCCGCGATGGTTCGCGGTGCTGCCGATGCAGAAGGCGGCGCTGATGATGATCTCGGCTACGGTGAGGATGAAGCGTACCGGAAGAAGTTGAAAAACCATGAACTCGCATTTCACATATGTTGCTGTGCCTCCGTTTTCGGGACGTGCGAAGAAGATCAGTTGTTCTGCCCCGGTGGAGGCTGTGGGCGTCAGGAGGTTGACCATGAGAGTCAGCACAGCGATCAGGGCGAATGCTTCGTACAGCTCTGCCCATGGTAGGATGTATGGCGTGGCGTGATAGACTGCGACGCCAATTGCACAGCAAATGGCGAATGCAGGGGCGGTGAGAATCAGCCTGACGAGATATCTTTGAAGTCGAGGCTGGCGGTAGATGAAGAGGTGGCCAATGGCGAGTGTGCCCGTTGTGAGGATCGTGATGACTGCGGCAGCGGCAGAGATGTAGGTCATCAATTTGTGGAAGGTGAGCGAGCCGGTGAGAGGAGATGCGGCATCGTCCGCCGACCAGGACCGGCACGCGTCATCGCTGCTGTCTGGCGAGAAAATTCCACGGATTGCGAGACTTGATGCTATGCTTTCAGTGTTCATGGTTGCTGTGATGGAGATGGTGGTACGGAGAATTTTGTAGAGAGCTGCTAGTTGAGAAGTTGCTGTGTTGATGTTTCTGGCAGTCGCAGAGGGCTACGAGTGGCCTTCATATATACAGCACCGTCGCTGATCATTTCGCGCATGTTTCTGAATGTGATATTGACCGTGTCGTTGTGTCAACCATAGCCTCCGCTCCGCCCCCAAAGGCAGAGCATTCGCAGTGCGTTCCCAAAACGGCCAACAAGGCGAGTCGCACGGCTGACCCGAATCGGCCTCGCAAGCAGATCTGCGGTCTGATTGGCTGTGGCGAAGGTTTCCGTGGGCAATGCCTTCCTATCATGGAAGAGTAGCATGATTCACCCGAGGGCTTTTGGTATAGCATACCACCGGCCCACGAACTCGGGTTTCATATGCATTTGATCATCCAGCTGCAATCATCATCTCGGAGTAGGCACACAGTGCAGACGGCGTCGAGGGAGCTGATGTTGAGATTCGCACTTGGAGACCCTGTAGCAGGAAGTTTCCGTGCACTTGTAATGGACGTTGGATAACAAATATATTCACGAAGCTTGGTGTGCGAGATAGCTCAATTGCAAGCACAACGCGCGGCGCCAGCGCTGATCAGCGCTTGAACGGACAGCATGGATGCTGCAGAACTCCCGACGAACATGTAGGATGCCGGTCAGGATGGATGTGAAGGGACCGAGCTGGTCGTTGAAACAGGTGCTGCCTCTGGTACGTCAACCGGCGTCATCTGTGTCAGTCGGCGCGCATCGACAGTACAAACTGTACGACTCATCGACCGGCGTTGTGCCTCGAAGGTCTTCGCAGGCTAGCAATCTTTGGTGCCGACGACGAGTCTCACAATTCATGCACTGCTGCTGGTCCACATGCGTGGCATTTACTCAAGGTTTCAAATGGAATAATAATTGTCCTTGCCATGTGATGCGCGGCTCCACCGGCACAGCTACTTCTATGATATTTCCATCCCTAGACGAGGCGTCTCCAATGAGAGATATCGACCAAACAACCGGCCGACTTACCATCCGCGACCATAACGAGCGACGTCCAATCAGAAAGCCCCAGTAACTGGCCATCTCGCTGCCACGCGCATCGTGCCCGGATCGCAGCGCGAAGTAGCATTTGGCATCTTGAGCAACATAGCTTCATAAAGCTTGCTTGACGAGGATCCGATGTACTCTCCATCGCACCAATAGACAGAGACCATGAACAAGTCTCGAGGCGCATGTCCGGCGTCAGACATCGTTCTGTGAAGTGACTTACCTGCCTCGAATTGATAGTGACCGCAGCTCGATGAGCCATCCCGGTGCTCATGTCCACAGGAAGTATTCGTCGTGTGCGTCGTATGCAGCTGTCGATAAGTGATGCGATATAACTGTCCTCGAGACACGCTCGGACTTGATCGGCAAGAGACTCACCTCAGGCGCTTCGATGGCCAGCAAAGGCATGCAATGCTTAGCGCGCCGTTACCGAGTCGTTCAAGGTATAGCAGGACTTTGATGAAGTGACGTTTTTCAGGAGACTGATGACGCAAATTCTTGCTGCCTAAGAAGTGCCCGCTTCAGGAATTTCCATGAAAGGGAAGGCTGTTGGCAGGCCAGATTCACAAGCCGAAAAGAATCAAAGCTGGAGAAAGACTGGCTGTCAAGTGAAGGCGCCCTGTTATAGTCATTGGCCGGAAGGGAAGAAAGACATACCTTTTCCAGTGTCTTGCATGAATGGCGCCCATCAAGCCGCTGCAAGCATACGCAACGCCGAAGATCGTCGAAACAAAGGTCTGTGCCCATGTGCAGGTTGACAGGTATAGCTGAGACATCGTACGACGCGCCGAAGAATCTGGATATGGCTGAGGACATGCTGGAAGGGTCGACTTGTCATGTCGTCAAAGAAAGGAGTCGACAACTACTGGCGAAGAGGCGAAGACGAAGGCGGATTATGCTGCACGTTGTGATTGATTTGTTGCACTGTGAAGACTCGTTGCTTCTGAGAGCTGATGCGAGGTGCGAGCGAAGTGTCATGGCGCAGGAATACCGAGTACGTGTTTGTGTGCTCTCGTTTTGGTTGACTATTGAGGTGCAAGAGGCGCAAAGGGTGAGGCGAAGAATCGCACTGAGACCTTGCTGCGGTCTTTGACTGAAAAAGCCGACGCGTAGTGATAAAAAGAAAAATGACCTCTGCCGGAAGAAGAGGCTGTGATACATGCATGTCCGATCTGTCGCTCTCTCCGCAATGGCTGTTTTTGTCTGTTCTGCCGTGCTCAAGAATCGAACGAATATCGCATGACCGTCATCGAAACGCCACTGTCAAGCGACAGATGAAAGCCACTTTTGCAGACCGACATTATCCCGAACCAGGCCGATATGGTGTGCAAGGAAAAGACTTCGAAGCCGTTTCCAGCTCTAGCGGGACGCATAGCCACGGTCTTCGCGAGGTGGGTAGTCGCGACCTCCGCCGCCTCCAGAGTAGGCATCGTCGCGGGGAGCGGCGTCGCGAGGAGCATCATAACCACGGTCACCACCGCGATCATAGCCACCACCACTGCTGTAGCCACCACCGCCGCGACGATCACGAGGAGGATAATCACGACCGCCACCCCCAGAGTAGCCGCCGTCACGACCACCGCTGCCGTAATCGTCACGACGACCACCCTCGTATCGATCGCTACGACCTCCGCCAGGGTAGCCATGATCACGATCACGACGATAGCCGCCGCCACCACCGCCATAGCCGCGACGGTCATCGTAGTCTCGGCCACCGCGATCGTCTCGACGACCATAGCCACCGCCGCCGTAGCCGCCACCGCCGTAGCCACCGCCGTATCCACCGCGGCGATCATCGTATCGATCACGATAACCGCCACGAGGAGGGCCACGGTGATCGCCTGAACGTGTCAGTGTTTGGTGAATTGCTTGGGGATTGTTTTCTTACCTCTCTTTGGTGGACCAAAGTACTTGCCCGGCGTTGGAGTACGGGGTCGAGCACGACGAGCCTTCTCAATGCTTAGAGTGCGCCCATCGTGGGTCTCACCTTGCAGGGCTTCTTTGGCGGCATCAGCTTGTTCGGAGAGGCGCATCTTGACGAAGCCAAAGCCACGAGACTCCTTGGTGTGCGGGTCCAGCATGATGGAGCAGTTCTCGACCTCGCCATATCGTTCGAAGAGCGCTGACAGGCTCTGCTCGGTAAGGGACGGTGCGATGCCGGTGACGAAGAGATTGGATCCAGTGTTGATAGCGCCTTCATCGTCCTCGTTCTGAATGTCGGTCATGCGGATGTCTTTGGGAGGTGGACTAAGGAAAAGGTCAGTATGAGAATCAGGCTGAGTGGAATGAGATATTGCTTACCCTCTGTCGCGGCCATTGGGAGAGCGGCTTCGAGCGGTCTCCTCACGACGAGGCGACGCCGATCTGCGATCGTATCCACGAGGCTCTCCTTCATCTGTAAACTTGTTAGGTCGAGCTAAGGAATGACGTGGCGCCTGAAGACTCACCTTCGTAGCGCGGCGCATCTTCGGCGTAGTCGGCCATCGTGATGCAAATGAGTGTCTCGGTCGAGCGTAATGTGCTACCTGCGGGTTAGGGGATTGTGCGAGCAAGAAAGTGATGAGAAAGGGACTGCTTCGATAGCAGAAGGAGTGCGTGTTTGGGTAAGACCGAAGGGACAAATTTCAAAAACGCGCCCAACTTGCTCCCCGGAATGCTTGGCAAGGCTGTGCAAGGCTCCAATCTTCTCGACTTCTGGGGAGTGAAGCACTGAGTTACCGCTGTAACTGCCTAAGTACGTACTTCACGCAGTATTGAACATTTATCAATGGAAGATCTCGGTCAGCAGCGGCTTGGCCCGGATTGCCCCCGAGCCTCACTTGTCGAAGAGATATAAGAACCAGTCTCGCCCTCAACTTCTTCGATCCATGCGACCAAACCAGCGTGTTCAATACCGTCAAGTTGCCATGCTACGGTAGCATCTTCAGCTGCTACCTGGTGGGGTGAGCTTCCGAGGATCTGGCAATTTTGGTCAACCCTGAAGACAAAGGCGGCCCAAGAGGTACGTCAATCATCGAAGACGAATATTGTACACACTATCGAAGTCGCTCTATCTATCTCCAGAAAAGCCGAAAATTTTGTTCACACATGTGCTTCAATCATCAGATGTGACCCAGACTCGATCGCCATGAGCTGCCGATCGCAGATCCAAGACAGAAGCTCCCGTCCTTTCCTCCGACCACATTTCTTCGAGCCATGTCAGATCCAAAATCGAACAACGTCCAAGATCAGCAAAAACACAACCATCATTTTTGGGCCCCGCCCTTCTCTTTCCTCATAGCCGCATACTATTAACACTCCCCGTACCCAACGTCACCCGATCAACATCAACACCACTCCCATTCGTCCCATTCATAAGGGGCGTCGACCTCCCCGGCGTCCGCACCTTACTATTCTCCTCAACCGCAACCGCAGGCGGCAGCCTCGGTCCAGCATTCCACTTACTCGTACTCCTCCCGTCATCAACGATGACAACCATCCAAACTCCAATATTGCCGTTCGCACCGACCAAAGGTGTACAGTGAATCCATTTATTACGCCCCTCCTCATCGAGCCGCGTGATCCAGCGCACTTTTGCTGTCACGCCTCTGCCTTCTGCAAGCGCCGCAGTAAGCTCGTCTCGGACACGGTTTGATCCACCAATTTTGGACATGAATGGCGATTGCAGCACCCCCGGAACTCGCTGCGAAGGACTTGCGAACAGTATTCGCAGTGATGGGTATGGCCGGACGAGCAGGTACTGCCGGCAAAGTCAGCACAAATTCTCGCACTACGAATTCCATTTCCTCGAAAGAAATTCAGAGAACAACTCACATTCGTGTAAATCCCGCTCAACCTCCCCGCCCCACCACCCCCATTCCCAGCCCTCTCCAACGGCGGCGTAATCGCATTCGGATCCCGAATCAACAACCTCTGCTGTCCCCACCCACCACTCGCCACACTCTCCCTATCACCTCCATCCCGATGGTGATCCTCCTCGCCCTTATGCATCCTCCCACCCCATCTCCTGATCGTGCTCAGCTCGCCTTGATTCAACATCTCCGATAGTTCTCGCAGCTCGTCGTTCTTCTCCGGGTTCGGTGTATGGTGCTCAGCTGGCTTCTCGCCACGTTTCTCCATCTCCTGCAAGCGAGTGAAGGACTCGAGCTCGGTGGAGTCGCGCACGAGGCCGGAGACGTCGACTTGGGCGCCGATGTGGTAGCGGATGACGCCGCGGGAGTCGGCTAGGGGCGCGATCATGAGGAGGTTCATGAATGGACTTCCATCTCGCCGGCTGTGAGAGTGTCAGCTGTATAGCCCTAAGATATCAGAAGGCTGGCTGGATGGAGGACATACTAGTTCAAGAACAACTCCTGATGCTGCTGCCCAGCCGCAACAGCATCTCGTAACCGCCGCACGCTGTGTGGGCTTGTGACCGGACCTTGTAAAAATCGACAGTTCCGGCCAAGAATATAGCCCATGCCATACTGTGTCGTCCTATTGAACTCTGCGCATAGACCAGCTCGTTAGCACACTCGTCCAAAACACCCCCATCCTCCTACCATCACCGACCAGAACACTACTCACCTTCACTGGCAAAATAATCGGATTATCCGCCCGACTCGGATCCGTCAAGCAAAACACCTCCGCCAACCCCTCACTCGCCTCCCGCAGACTCGGACTCAAACTCCCCGTTATCCTCGCCGTAATGCTCTTACTGACCACCCCAATCAGCGCCTCGCACACAAACGCCGGCAGCTCTTCCCGCACCAGCACCTCAAACGCCTTCTCCGCCCGCTCTTCCAGCGCTTTATTCACCGTCTTCTGCACCGCCACCCCCGAGAAGTCGATTCCGGGGACGGGATCGAGACCCTCGCAGATCGCATTGGCGTAGTGGATGGCGCGCAGCGATTTCAGGCTGTCGAGGTAGTGCACGAGGAGGGCGACGGAGGTGGGCGGTCGGTGCGTGGAGAGGAATGTGGTGAAGCGGAGGAGGTAGGAGGGGTCGGAGAAGATTAGTTGGAGGTGGTCGCGTGAGAAGAGGGATTGTGAGGCGCGTTCGAGGGAATAGGAGGATTGGTGGTCGGATGCGAAGTCTGCGTCGGAGGAGGGCGCGAGGAGTTCGAAGGAGCGTGGGTCGTCGTCGGTTGCGGGCTCGTAGTTGGGGACTGCGTTGTTGGCTTGCAGTGGGGGGAGGTTGCCGTCGCCGTTGGTCTTGATTGTTTCGGTTGGGTGCTGCTGGTAGGTTGAAGTGGCAGCTGTGGTGGCAGGCATGTTGCTGGTGGTGGAGTAGCGGGTCGAGTGTGACGAGGCACTTCTGAATGTTTGATGCTCGTCAGGCTCTGATCGTGTCGCGGAGGCAGGCTGGTGGTGAACTTCAGGCGCGCGCTCGGAAGCATGTGAGGACCGCGTTGCCGTTGCAGTACTGCCGTTCACTGATGAGTACTCGGGTCCAGCAGAAGCAATCGCGGGACTGTCTGCGACATGGCTCGAGGCAGTACTGGCAGACATGGAGAAGAAAGTCTGCCACAAGCTGAAGCGATATCCTATGTCTCACGCTTCTGGGTTGGGCCCGCCGCGCAATTGCCGTGCGGTCGTGTTGGATGGATCCTCTTGACAGATGCGCTTGCTTGGTTGAAGGAAAAACGCAAATCGGATCAGCTACGTCAAGATCGTCGCTGATCAAAGATGGAGCTGCGCGGAGCTCGCTGCAGTGCGGAACAAGCAAACGACTGGGGCCAGGCCGATGAGATTGCGCCAATAGTGGCAGATTTGGCGATGCCTGACGCAGGAACCGACCCGGGGATGCACGCCTAAAGCCTCGGAATCCTGAGGAACAAGATCAGAAAAAGCTCTTGATGATGATGTTTCTTTTCCAGACTATCCGAATTTCTGGAATGTCATTGTTCAGAAAATACCCGAGCTGAATAGTGAGATCAGACCGAGAGAATCATCACTTGGATTGAGTTCAATATCTGACCGTGCTGGGTGAGTATGCGAGATGGTGGTGATGGATCAAGCTTTAGATCTGAACCAGATCGGCTGCGTGGGCTGTCTTCGGCAATCCTGTACATGAACACAACAGGCATCCGAACTCACGTTGGGGCCATCCATGGCTGATGTATTCACGAACAAGACATCGTGGCAGACATGCGTCGCGTTTTTGACAGCTGCTTGCGATGGTGAATACGGAGTTGAGAGCCATTGTGTATCGGAAGACGCATTGAAGAGTTCGGACACAAACCACAGCACATGAGGGGAAATTTTTGCCAGTGGAAGATTTTTGTTAATGTTCTATGTACAATTTTGTCCTCGAACAATTAGGCCATCCAACAGCAGGACATGTTCTTCGGTCGAGGCACCTAGCGCCCGAAGCCATCCGCCCTTGCTGAACGCGACAATCGACGTGGTACATGTGTGTTGATGACGGTGTAAATGGCTAGAAAATATGCAACAGAACTGGTCGTGGTATCATCAAAATGGTATCGCAGTATATCCTCAATGCATGGTGCATCTCAATTAAAGCAGCCGGTAGTCGATTGTGGAGGTTGCGGACGTGTGTCCGATCGATTGATGGAAGGATGAAAGGATGAGTGTGGGAGATGCACTCGCGATGATTACTCAAGCACAATCCAAATCATGCTTCCAACAAGACCAACGCACACCAGAATCGTCAAAATGGCAGCACCGGCCTTGTCTGCTGTCGTGATGGGCGCGAAAGTGATCGGCTTGTGAACATTGAGATCGTCTCCCGCGCCAGGATCGCTTGTGGATGTTGCTCCAGTCTTCTCGCTTAGAGGTACCATTTGACCATTTATCAACGTTGACCCTATGACCGACATTGCCGCCATCTGGACAACATTAGTATGTGGAATAAAGGAACATGGAATCAAACTCACCTCTTCACCAACACCAGTCTGTCCGTCATACGTTGGGTTATACCATTGCATTCCACAAGTTCCGGCGCTGCTACATTGGCCCGCTGCGCCAGCTGCACTTGCTGCCAGCTTGGGGGTAATTTGTGCAGCAGATTCCGGATATAGTAGCGCCGTGACTGCCAACCATCGAGCCAGATACGCTTTAAACGACTTCTGATCTTGATTGCAGATCATTTTTTCCTCGCAAAGGTATTCCACCATAATGTTACCGCCCTTATCCGCAGGGAAGAACAACGAGTATGTGCTGCCCAAAAGCTCATCAAGCCGACCCTTCCAAGTCGCGTTGCCGTTGGTCAGATTGTACATGTACGCAGCTCCAGATATCAATGTGCCGTAGTTGTACGTCCAGATGTAATTAGTTGCGTCGATACAGCCGTTGTCGGCATTCGTGTTATCCCAAATATACAGAGTACCATCACTCGCCCTTTCAAACATGACTGATGCTTCCATCCAGTCCCAAACCATGTCCGCCCAGTCGTAGTATGATTGATTGCCGGTGATATATGCAAGTCGAGCAGCCAGTTGGAAATTGCCACCGTTCGAAATCATGTTCTTCAGATTGTAGCCCGCATTGATGCTGTACACTTGCCATCTGAAGCCGCCGCCACAGGTCCTGGTATCCCAATAATCCTGTTGGAAGTTATACGTTGCTTGTGCAAGCGAGAGCCATGATGGATCGCCCTTGGCGGTTGATTCTGGGAAGTTGGCCTCGACGGCGTCCAGGGCTGTGAAAGCCCAGAAATCCTGGTCATCGATACCCATACTCCGCGACTGGTTGTCTGGATTGAAGTTCTTGTCCTCGCCGGACTGGAATTGGATGGCTGTGCTGATCATGCTGTTATAAGAGTCGTCGCCCGTATATTGCCAGTAGTTGATGAGTGCTCCCCACATCGCGCCAGCTTCCCACCAACAATACGTTCCATCATTGGCAGGATTACACGCCAGCGAGCCAGGCAGAAGACCTGGCACACCACCTGGCTCATCGCCTGTATAGTACTGCAGCATGCCTTCTGCGATTGATTTCAGGTTTGTTTTCACAGAGTTTGGATCGGTAAATGTTATTTGAATACCGAGCGCGGCCGACGCGGCGAGCGGTAGTAATGATGTCGACCGCATGTTGTGTATGTATGAGGGCGGATAGTCGCAGTAGAGCGCGTGAGCAAAAAAAGGGCGCCGCGTATTCGAATTATGCCAGGTCCCTATAGTTTATACCCAAAACGAATGTACAAGAAATCCAGAACGAAAGATATGTGCGACGGTATGGGATGTCGCGACCCGTCGATGGCGCCGTCGAAGGTGATACAAGAGAACGGACGTCGAAGAGTAAGAGAGAGGTAGGAAGCTCGGTCAAGACTGCATCATCGTTCCCTGAGTTACCTGTATGTTGGTGGATATGCAGAGGATGGAAAGGGCGGGGAGGTGCAAGCAATCGAAGATTCTGCTCGTTCAGCCAGTCGACACAGCCTCCGTGCGACCCCCTTGACTGGTTCAACGGTTACATGGCAGGGCTAGTCCACGAGGCCGGGTGCGCGCCCATGGACGAAACGAGTGCTCGGAAGGAGGGGGAACTGGCTTGGGCCCCCTTCCAACGAATCCAAGACTCGGAAGAGAAACACAAGACGCGTGCTAAGCCAGAGTTAAGCAAGATTTTCCGGGCTGGAACCAGTCAGACGCCAGTAAATGATGGAGCTGGAATGTCTAATCTTAGCTTCGCCCACCTTGGTGCCTCTTGTTGTGCTTGAAACCCCTGAGTTCATGAGACAAAAACACGCAAGCATTTCCGTCGCAATGACGGTCCTCGAGCCTCCAAGCATCGCGTTTGAATGCTTGTAGAGGTATAAGAAGACTTCACAAGCTCGTGCCCAGCACGAACTGATTGCTTGTCACGACGCGCAGCCATGACAGCATCGAAAACAATGCACAGTCAGATGTTGTGACAGATTCGCTTAAAGGTAAGTAAAATTCGTCGCCCGCGGCCCGAAAAGCCAACTCCACCGCGTTGTTCTCAGGGCCGTCGAAGGAACAGTGCAATTACCTGAAATCGTTCCTGCTGCCTACTTGCAACGAGGCACACTCGAAGCCTCCAGATGTCGAAATTCTAGAGCAGTGACCAGCAACCTCAGCGCCAGCAAGGTGTACGACAGCAGTCGCGTTTCACCTCTTCGGGAGGAGCGCGTTCCTGCATCTTCAAGCACCATGTGAAACGCTCCTCGTGAGCTTCTCCTTCGACTCGAGTCTGGGCTATGCTTCATCTCTCGGCGCTTCATCCAATTCATACAGCAGCAGGTTGCTGCAGCCAATCGCCGGATCATCACGACTGTATTGAGCTGAAGTCGCACCGTTGAACCCCATGGCTGAAGTCAAGACGCAAGTCCAAACAGTTTTCGAAGTCGAGTCCAAGCCCGCCGCAACAGATGTCTGTTCTGCCTGATAAATGTGATGACAAACCCCACGGTTAACAACCCAGTGCATGCTGTTGCCAACAATCCGATCGCGAACTCGTATGCCGCCACCGACAGCGACAGGAACACAAATGCGAGTAATGTTGTAACGCAGAGTAAGTCCCCAATCTTGAAATTCACGAACAGGGCACAAAAGAAGCGTGCTCCACGATTATGGTCATCTCCACCGGCGTCCTTCTGCGCTCGTCCTCGGTTTCGCCACGTCGTCCACTCCTCTGGCTTGAAAGCTTCCCTAAGGTCGTCCTCATAATGCGACAACGCCATCTGTGCGGCCGTCGCGAGGCCAAGCGTGATGACGAAGAAGAACCAAGCCAGCGCGAGGAACGTCGGAAGCGCAGACTTGAAGTGCGATGCACCGTCGTGAGAACCGATGACGACGCTGAATGTGATGGAGCCGCCGAAGATGGCTACGTTCGTGATAGGGGCAAGAAGGCGCTCGACCCAGATGAGGCCTGCTGGTTTCCTTTCGTCATTTGCGCGCCGGAGCAAAGCATTCTGGAATCCGTCTACCGCCTGGGCGATCGGATCGTCTATCGGTTGATCTGTGGCCATCTCGAACGTGTCCGCCAACAAGCTGACCTAGCTGCGGCTGCTGGCTCTGCTCTGTGCTGTGAAACAGATCATCAACGTGTCAGGCTGAAGTCCTAGCTATATGTACCTCGTTCTTACCGCGGGCCAAGGCATTGTGCGAGTACTGGCCATGCATTCATGCAGACCAAGACTTGCCCAGCTTCGTGTACGCACTCAGCTCTGCCGTAGCAATGCTCGATACGAATATTGTCCTGCCATCACGAGTGGTTGTTGGGCCTGCCACGTTACTTGACAGCTGCAGCGGATCAGAGGATTGCCTATCACTGTCGCAGAACCAAGCCTGGTCATCTCCAGATACGAACTCATCAGACCTCTGCAGGTTCTCGCGTTGCCTCACATCACATGACAATTGTCATTATGTGTTCCACACACTTGCATCAATGTTCCGATCAAAGTCCCGTTGTTCGCAGCAGCAATGGATATGTGTACGCGGAACGCACCTGCGACTGGTCGATCTCATCCTCAGCGGGAAGTTTGATCGACATAAAAAGATCTTGCTCAGGCGGGGAAACCAATCAACGACATCCAGCCTCAGCTTGGAATCATGATACTCTTGGAGAACAACAGCGTTTTGGCCACATTCTCGCATCTTAGCAAGTCGCCACGAGCACCACTCGACGCGACTCATCAGTACCCATCGAGAGACACAATGCAAAGCCGACAGCACATCGCTTCATAGCAGGAGGCCCAAAGCCAAGCCACAACATTCGACATGGCCCACGCGGAATCCCCAACGTGGCTCGTCGAGCGATCGACATCAACCGCCCTCAACGGCGATTGGCGACACAATATCTCAAACGAAGGCCTCGTCGTCGAGGCCTGGGGTCAAGGCTTCATCGTCGGCAGCCTTATCATTATGGCATGCGTAACGGTCGCGAACATGCGCAAAGGCGTCCTCCTACACAAACTCATCCTCCTCGAACTACTTCTCGCCATTCCACACGGCACATTCGCCTTCATGGCCTTCGACGGCTACAGCTGGTACCTGTCCAGCACGGCATCGCTGCTGTACACGTCATACTTTATCCACAACGTCGTCGCATGGATCAAGATTCGCCCATTTATTTTCGACCCTACGGGATTCATGTTCTCGCCGCGAACCGCGACATGGGTGAGCAGGATCTACATTGGCACGCTCGCGGCCACGATTGCGCCGATGTTGCTGCAGATTGTGTCGAATTTCTTGTTCTTCAATGGAATCAATGATCTATATGAGCGGGTGAGGCCGACTGAGACGACATACCGGGATCCGTGGTGGCTGTTCAGTACGCTGGCGCTGTTCTATGTGTTGCGGAAGTGCTATGGCAGTAGTGTTTTTACGCTGATTGGGAAGAGTCCACGGTTGGGGATATTGCTGGTGGCGATGTGTTTGGCGATGGTATTCACGTTAATGGATATACTGGCTACGACGGTGCCGGGTGTGAATCATGGTATTGATGGGTGAGTTCACTCCATCTTCAGGATTGGTCTTGTCCTTTGGGCGCAGTGCTAACAATTCATTACAGGATCAATGTATACTGGAAGCTCGCCTTGGTGTTCAAGTGCCTGACAGACAATATCATGTTGGACGACTTCAAGACGGAATTGAAGAAGCTTGGCGGCGTGAACGGCCTCACCTCTCTCGGCGAAGACGAGCAGCACAGTCCAGGCAGAGATCGTCAGGCGGGTCGCGTGCCATACGGCGTTGATTGTCGCGCTGTGCAGCGCGTGGAGACTTCTACTTCTGAATCGACGGTTGCCGAGAAGGCTCAGGAGACGGGAGGGGCGAGGGAGGTAGAGCAGATCAGTTTTCAAGAGATGCTGTCGGGTCCGCGATCGCAGCCACGAGCGACGCCAGGAGAGTTGATGGACGTTGGTGGTTTGGCGTGATGGATGAATACAGGGTAGGAGTGCGAGCAAGATACCTACGTAGGATATCGTACCTCAGCGTATTTCGTACTCACGGCGAAGATGTTAGGCCGCCTCCGCAGGAGACACAAATATAAGTGCCCTGCTTCGCTGGATCTCGCGGTCGAGATCAAGTCAACCTTTGATCTTGCGCACTCCGCGACATGCAACTTGTTCTGTGCTGCGTTGTTGTAATGCTTCGACCAAGAATGCTTCCGAGACTATGTTGAGAAAAAGAAGGCGCAACATGCAGCCGTAGCCATTCCTACCCCGCGTTTCTTTTCAACAGGCACGAATTTCTTAAGTCGACCCTACAGCTTGCCGACAACTCTACATCACGATTCTAATCGAAGTCATCAGTTCTGCCAGAAAATCATCACCAATGGATCTCTATCTGCCAATACAGTTGACTCTTGCGACAGAGAATACGCCATGTGTCAAGTCCGGACCGAAGGAATGAGATGGCTCTTCAACCGAGCACATGAATCAGTCCATTAATTGACTCCTCATTTGCTTTCGTTTTCCCTGAATAAGCGAGCCCTTTTCTGGACAACAGACCTGATGCATCGTCGCCAGCACCCTCGCTTGTCGTTAGACATGCATGTCCTAACACACCATCGCAGAGCGCTCCAGAGTCCGTGTGGTGACCAGCCAATTGTGCCCTTTTCACTGGATGGCAAACCTCGGTAACCCACGAATTCGTCTGGACCCTCGTTGCCACGCATTTCGGTTGCTCGATTCAACTATCCGCCTCAGTACATCGAAATCAATTGGCAGATGTGCCATTGTCAACGTACTTGGGAGAGCGTTCTGCAAAGTCGACTCGTTTGAGCGCAGCAAGCAAAAACGAGTCGGTCTGATGACCATACACCGGGTCTCCATTGTTGATCAGTGATGAGTGACCAGATACGAATTCAGGAATATATCGTCGCATCCTTGCGGACCCTTTCGATCAGACAACGTTTCTGCAAGGTAAGTCAAAGCGCGTTACATGACCTTGATCTGCACAGTGCACGAGCCATCCATACATTCCTTACACTGTCGACGTGCATGAAGTTGATCCAACAGGCTGGAACATGAGAATACCTTCCATCAATACCCTACCTCGGTATCTAGGTAGACGACAGCAGATGAGTGGAGGACATCGAGTCATCGAAGCCTCTTGGAAGATAGGACACCCGACCACTCATTGACGAGACAGGGGCTGAATAGCCTCGCTAACGCATGTTCGTGGGGATCACTAACCAGCAGAAACCCGGGGTCCCCTCACTAGGTCACGCTTTTGGACAAGACCTTGGCCTATCTTGGGTAGCTACACTTCGAGCTCGTGGCGTGGATCGGGTAGGACAAGGGGTTTATATATCCAACGCCTTGCTCCGAGGTTGCCATGCAGCCCTCCGTCAAAGTACCTCAGGAGTACCCAAGCTCTTTCAAAGGCGACTTCATACATCGCAGTCGCCCGAGAGCAGACTCACCTACTTTCGTCAACAGGGTTGTCAGCAAGCTGCTCGCCATCATGGAAGTAAAGCACGACGACAAGAGCCCTACACAGGGCCAGGCACAGGAAGTCGAAACTGTATCGCCGAGCACTGAGGTCTCCTCGGGTGAGAAGTTCCCGCGGCCAGATGTCTACCAAGAGAGCGGAGTCCATCACACGGTATGACAGCTTGCAAAACTCACGACGAGTACTCACGACAGTCGCAGATGAACTTCCAGCTCTTCATGGGCCTAACAGCAATGAGCTTCCTCTGGGTTGGATCGCAGATTCCATTGTACCTCTTCGGCAGTGTACTGCCTCGGATCTATCAGGACATTGGAGGTGTCGACCGCTATACTTGGTGAGTGCAACACCGGTACAGCAATCTGTTCTGATGGCGTCTAGGTTCGTGATAGGATATCTGATTCCGAACGCCGCATTGTGTCCATTCGTTGGCGCGTTGTCCGATCTCTTCGGGAGGCGCTATGTCGCAGCTGGCGGGCAGATCGCTCTCATTGTTGGGCCCATCATTACGGCTACCGCTACGACGATGAACACAGCCATTGGTATGCGTCAATATGCAGTATCTCTCCGCGAAGCTGACGAGTATTCCAGGCGGTCAAGTATTCTCCGGCCTGGGCGCCGGCCTGAACGAACTGATAGCTCTCGCTGGTACTGCTGAGATGGTGCCTGTCGCTAAGCGTGGCACTTATGTCGGGCTGGTTGTACTGACTATTCTCCCATTCTGTCCATCGGTCATCTATGCGCAACTTATTGCCGAGGCAAGCAATTGGCGATATAATGGCATCCTTGTCTGCGTCTGGAACTTTCTGGGACTGCTATTCGTCTGGTTCTTCTACAAGGACCCGCCCAAGCCTGCAAACGTGCTGTCGAGGAAGGAGATCTTGAGCCAGGTCGACTACATTGGCGGCGCCCTCAGCATTGGTGGTGTGCTGTGCTTCATGATGGGCATGCAGTGGGGCGGTAATCAGGTGAGTGCCGGAGCAGAAGTTCCACTCGTTTCTATTGACTTGTGGCCAGTATCCATGGAGCAGTGCACACGTACTGGCGCCATTCATTCTCGGCATCATCATGATTGTCGCCTTCTTCGTCTACGAAATCTGGATCGCTAAGTATCCTATGTGCCCGCCCAAGCTCTTCACCAAGGCGAAACGGACAACAGTGGGTGGCGATCAGCATTGCAAAGACTGCGCTGACATATGGGTAGATCATCATCCTGCTCATAACATTCTTCTCTGGCGGCAACGTGGGTCTCTTCACATCCAACACCCTTGTTGAATAACAATCTGACAATTCCGAATAGTTCTTTGTCCTCCTGTTGTTCTGGCCAACACAAATCTACAACGTATACGGAGATGATCCCGTCGGCGTCGGCATCCGCTCACTGCCGATCGGGTTCGGCATCATTGGAGGAGCGGTGGTTGCCTTGATCCTGATCCCCATCACGGGCGGGCGCATCAAGATGATTTTCATCATCGCGACGGCCATGATGACGGCTTTCTGCGGCGCGATCTCCATCTCCACGCCTCACAACTTGGGCGTCATGTACGTGCTTGTGACATTTGCATCTTTTGGAGTGGGAGGAGTGATCATACCGAGCAGTATCATCGCACAAATTTGTTGTCCTAGTGATTTGATTGCGACCATCACGGCGATTACTTTGGCGATTCGGTATATTGGGGGCGCGATTGGATATACGGCGTATTACAATAGTGAGTTCGATTGTCCTTTCAGCTGGGAGTCCCTCAACTTCGTGCTCAACCGTTGAAGAGAGGACTAGTTGGTATACTGACTCTTCTTGTTTGCAGTCTTCTACCACTACTTCACAAGGTACGCGACCGACATTGTCGCCACGAAGGCCATCATTCTGCAAGGCATCGTCAGCCCAGCATACATCCCTCTTGTCGAAGAGTTGACGCTGTTGGTTGCGAATGCTCAATTTGTCGAGCTTCGTGAGCTCATTGCTAGTGACGACAGGATTATGCGGAAGGATGAGGCGGAGGGCATCATCATTGCTGCTGCGCAGGAGGCGTTCGCGTTGGGGTATAGGTATCCTTACTGGTATGTTGTTTCATCATGCTTCGACGAGTCGAGTGCCAGAAAGTGATGAGCTGTGCTCGTCAAGAGTGTTGGCAAGCTTGTGTCTGAAGAACACGAAACTGACAATGAGGTTAGGATGAGTATTGCCTTTGGCAGCATCTGCCTGATCTTAGCATTCTTCCTCAACGACATCAAGGAGTTGCTGAGTATGGAGGTGGCCGCCAATGTGGACCCGAGGGAGACAGAGGCTGTGAAGAGGGCGAGTCATGAGGAGCCAAGGGCTACTGTTTGAGAAGTTCAAAATGTGCGAGGTTTCGTGGGCACGGCTGTTGCAGATGTGCGGTGATGAGGAACTGGCTATCAATTATGGACTTGAAGCTTGCCCCATCTGGTAGCATAGGCTACTACCATGGCATGGCAATGACGGATTCTGCAGCTGTGCTTGTGGAAGGAGGAAGAAGAGTCGGTCGACGACAAAGCATATACTTATACCTCTTTCAAAGCAGTGAAGATCCGCAGCCAGCCGAGAAGACCACCCTTCTGACTCGAGCGAATGGCTTCACTGTTCCTAGTCCGACTCAGACCAGTCACTGCTCGTCCTTGTCCAAGTGAATGGTCCGTTCGTAGCCTTAACAGCGCTTGTGCTTGAGATGATGGTGGACACGAGGTATGCTAGGTGCTACTTAGGTCAGTGTGCTCGGGGTTGGCTGCTATCTGCTCGGGTCAGGGCTCTGCTAGGGAGGGTTGAGGGATTTGGCTGTCTTGTGCACACGTGCTAGCATAGCCCTTCGATTGACGATGAAGGACAAGACGCCGGGTCAATGCGTCACGTGAGGATGCCCGATGGCTCGGGCTTGGCAAAAATCGGAGCCGGAGTTCCACCTTTTGCACTAGTCCTGATGTGATGAGATACATTGACATTTTTCTGAAGTCGATCCCGTGCATCTTCCATCGGTATCAACTCATTCACACTCCTTTCTACTTGATTGTCTTCTTACGTTAGTCCAGAACCCCTTGTCGTCCACCATGTGAGTACAATCCTCGCCGTCTCTCGAACTCCGACTAATGACCTGCAGGCTCGCCATTCGCCGCAGCGCTCTGCGCATTTTATCGTCTTCACCTTCAGCTTTCGCATATAAACCGCGGACCATCACCTCATTATCACAGTCATACCTGAAAGCAAAGCCAGCAGCATCACTCTCTGGCTTCCAGCGAAGATGGGCTTCTGGTGAAGCCGCAGCCGAGGAGGAGGCGCCAATCTCGAAACTGCAGCCAACGCCGCAAGAAGAGGTCGAGAACGCCATTCACGAAGATGAGGCAAAGCCAGAAGATACCCCGGCCGAGGCCAGTGGCACCGACGCCGTTGTACAAGAAATCGTCGAAGATGCGCCCGCGTCAGAGACGGCCGCTGTCGATGCCGACGTTGAAGCTACTCCCATTCCCTCCGAGCCTCCTGCGCCTGCCTCTCAGGCAGAATCTCAGGGAGGATGGAGTCCTGGTCCCAGGGCTGCACGTTTGGACGAGTCACCGGCGGACAAAATGAAGCGCATTGCTGAGCCTAAGCGGACTGTCTACATCGGCAACCTCTTCTTTGATGTTACCGAGGACGACCTGAAGAAAGAGCTCATCCGCTTTGGTCCTATTGAGCAACTCCGGCTGCTGCGCGATGGTCGCGGTCTCAGCAAAGGGTAAGCAGTCCTCTCCGTTCCTGTCCATGTACTCACTGACCACTCCAGCTTCGGCTACGTCGATTTCGAAACCATCGAAGCAGCCACCGCCGCCATCAATGCTCTGCACCAACAGGTCTACGAAGGCCGTCGCCTAGTCGTCCAGTACGCCGCCTACACCACCCAATCGGCCCGCGACGCTCGAGCATCCCGCATGAACTCCGACGACTCACCGAGAAACCCGCCCTCAAAGACGCTCTTCATCGGGAACATGTCGTACGAGATGACTGATCGCGATCTCAATAACCTGTTCCGAGGCATCCGCAATGTCGTTGACGTCCGCGTGGCCATTGATCGGAGAACGGGCCAGCCGAGGGGTTTTGCACATGCTGATTTCATTGATGTTAAGAGTGCTCAGGAGGCATTGAAGACCTTGTCTACAAAGGAGACGTATGGGCGGAAGTTGCGGCTTGATTACAGTTTTGGCAATAGCAGTGCGGCGAGGAATGAGCAGCAGCCCCCTCCGACTTCATGAGTGCGGTCATCAACAGCATTCCGAGCGTTAGAAGGATCGGCCAGCAGATGGGCGTGAATGTCGCGGCGACGAGTTCTCTGAATCGATTCACGCACGAGGCACGGTAGAGGCAGCTCTGTGGCCGTGATACTGAGCGCCTCAGCACGCCGTGTTGAGGACACCAGAGGAGCTCATGTACATTATTTCTGATCGTGGACGACGCTTCTGGAACACCAGCGGAAACTAGCGATTAGAGGAGCAATGGCCGGAGCGGCGTGAGCCAGAGTCCTTGTTGCATTTGTGTACAACCTCGTCTAGCCAGCTTCGTTTGCGGAATGGGAACGTGTGTTATTAGATGGACATATGATGTCGGCTTTATCGATAGGCAGAGCGGGCTTTGCGGTTGGGTCTGCTGCCCGGGTTGTGGCATCTTGCTTCTGGACATAGGTGCTCTTGCCACGAAATTGCCTCTGCTAGAGTGAGGAATAATATGTGAATCTCCCTTCCTCCCAGTCTTATCATGCACCGCCCGACTGTCTGATGAATGCGATCTCAGTACGCATGTGGGTCGTGCCTGCCATTGTGAAAGCCAGGTTCCTGCCAAGCCGAGGAAGGAGCCGCGATGATGCGAACCTTCTTTCCATCGCTACCGACCTTCATGGTCTTTCCACTGCATTAGATACCAACGCCATCAACATCAGCACCATCGTCAACGTCGCCGCGGCTCTGAGCGACGTCTGCACCAATGGCGAGGCCCAAAGCCACAGCTTGGTGTGTGCCTCGAGGCAGAATACGTCCGACAATGATGGGGTCGGGCGTGCAAAATTTCCTGAACCGAGGGCCAGCGACCCCTGATTCGTCTACACCATGCCGCCTTTGTCTGCAGAAGCGCTGAGCCACTCGGCTGCGCCTGCAAGTGTCCAGGCTGATCTGTGCAGGGCATCGTGATGTTGGACGGTTCGCATTCTTCACATAGCTGTTCATGAGCAGCGAGAATTGCTACACAGGTGCGATGATATTCGTGGACGAGAGACCTCGATTTGGAAGACAAAAGGCCTGGAATCGGGTGGCAAGCGACTCGAAGAGTGTCGCTACCAAGCTGCGACAACGCTAAGCTCCCCACGCTGTTCGTGCGCAGCATCTGCATGCTCGGACACTGCGCCATAGTCGATGGCAGAATTCGCCAGCGCAATTGTCGGACTCGTCGCTGCGGCAGAAGTCGTGACGAGGTACGTTGGACGATATGTCCGCCACGTAAAGCATGCTGAGCACGAAGTCCTGGAACTCTTGGTCCGTGCTAATGCCCTTTATGGCGCTCTAAAGAGTCTGCAACTCCTCATTGATGACTTCGCATCTCGAGGGCTGGATTCGGCGATCAGTACTAAAGAGATCGTTGCGTGCATGGACACGCTGGAGAAAGTGAGGACAAAGGTCAACCAGTTCGATCAGACTGGAAGCAATCCAAAAGCAGTCCGAGAGTCCAGCCTTATCCGCCATTCCAAGTGGACGTGGCCATTCGCAAGATCTCACACGTTGGATCTTGCCCGCGAAGTGGAAGCTCACTCAAAGGTTGTTAATCTTGCGCTGTCCGTCGACAGCGTCACAACCGCTTTGGAGCACTTCAAGGAGACCGAGGGTATGCGTCAAGACGTTCGGAATGTGGCCTCGATGATTTCGCGAATCGAGGCGAACGACAAGACGAGACGAGCATTTGTGGCCCTGGAGCCCGTGAATACGCACGGTATCCATAAGACTAACGTTCTGCTCCGCTATCCTGGTACGGGAGACTGGTTCACAAGTGGAAAGGAGTTTCGGCAATGGCTGTCGGACACCAGGTCTCGCTTGTGGCTTCATGGCATACCCGGAGCCGGCAAGAGCGTCCTGACGGCCGCTGCGGTCGCTCATGCGGTACAAAGTAGCCTACAGCCGAGCTCCAATCTCGCCGTTGCTTACTTCTACTGTGATCACAGACAGGACTCTACTCTCTCTGCGCGAAACATCTTTGGCTCCATGCTGGTCCAACTAGCTCGCCAGAGTCAACGCAGCTGCGACATCGTCCTGGACTTTGTGGAAAAGTACACCGCTTCTGCGCCGCAAGCAGGTGGCGATGGTCCTCTTCCCTGCTCCTGCGAGGAGCTTGTGGAAGTGATAGACAGAGCTTCGGAGCCATTTGACCATGTAATGATGTTCGTTGACGGAGTTGACGAATGTCCGTCCATGGAAAGACGTGCAACAATCATTCACCCTGGCTGCTTACAATCAACCAAAATAAAGTTCTTGATGAGTTCACGAGATATTCCTGATATCAGAGAGCTCGTCGAAGAGTACGCAAGTGCATCTGTTGCTGCTGAGAGTACGGATGTACGGTTGTTTGTCGCAGGAGAAATGGAGAAACGGATGCAGAAGAAATCGTTAAAACGCTTGTACATCAGCGATCCCGCCTTGAAGGGCGAGATTCTTGATACACTCATTGCTAAAGCTGGCGGCATGTTCCGATGGGTCGCCGTACAACTCGATTATCTTTCGACTCGTGTATCAGATGCCGACATCAGAGCAGCTCTTCGTCACACGCCGCTTACGCTTTCGGCATCTTACGATCGAGTACTCCTGGAGACCACGCACGATCCAGACGCCGCTGCACTTACCGCGAGAGCCTTGAAGTGGATTGTCGGATTCGGAGCTGTGGATGTTGCCGCTCTGGAAGAAGCGCTTTCTGTGACCACAAACACTGCTGACCTTGTTGTTGCATCACGGGTGAGCAGAGATCATATTATGAGACTCTGTGGCAGCCTTATCCGTCTCGGTGCTGGAGAGACGTTTGAATCGGCACATTTCTCGGTAAAGGAATACCTAGCGTCCCTTCAAAAGTCAGGCAGGGCAGAGCTCCAGATGTTCGCGCTCGGTCCTGAAACGCCTGTCGAGTATGCGCAAGCGTCTATGAGGTTCTTCAACAATGCTGCTTTCGAACGACCATGTCAGACGTATGCTGAGTTGCGCTGCCGGCGAGATGCGCATCCATTCCTAGGTCTAGCAGCCAGACAGTGGCCGATATGGCCGAGTCTAACGCATGCCAACGACATTGCTACGCTGAAAACACTCTTTGACCCAGCAAGAGTCGGTCATTTGTACAGCTGGACCCAGTCTATGTGGTCAATGCCAGCTGCTACCGACCAGAACTGTTGGCCATGGCACGACACTCTGATGAGCTCCTTGCACTATGCCGCTATGTTAAGGATGCCTGATGTCTGCAAGTGGTTGCTCGTTTCTTGCCAGTCTCAGATTCTCGTGGATGAAATGATTGGAATTCCATTGCACTGCGCACTGCTGGGTGCCTTCGCGAATACTTACCTTCTGCGGGATACGCTCAAACTATGTCCGACGATTCCTCCGGATGAAGGAGTTGCTGCGCGGCTGTGCTCGACTGTAGAGTTGCTATCGGACATCGCACTGCGTTCTGATCAACCATTTCCCGGCACAGACTCTGCCTCCGGCATCAGTACTTTGCGCCTTGCGGTCATGTGTGACATGGCTTACCACACGAACTTGGTGACGCCACGTCTTCTCAGTGTTGGATTCAGGTGCGAGGAAGATTGCCTGGATGAGCTTGAAGCTGGTATGTGTGATCAGAGTTGCCAGGAAAGAGCTTCATCTTTAGTGGGTCTTATCACATCGGAACACCTCTCTGCAAGCCCTGGTCGTCTGTTCGCTTTGCAACGTCGCGGTCTCAAGCAACTCGAAGACAAGAGCACTGTACCCCGTGGGACCGGCGGAGGTAAGACGGCTATACCACCAGCATTGAAGAGCATGCTCGACAGCGATGATGCAATTACGTTAGCGACACAGATTGCCTCAGGATATGCTCGCGTAGATGTGACTTTCGGACCAGAGGGGACGTCGCTATTACACTACTGCGCGATGTACGGCAGTGTCGAATGCGCACGGCTGCTGATAGCTAAAGACGCAAAACTTGATGCTCGTACGTCCAAAGGAGCAACGCCGTTGTTCGCGGCGCTAGAGCGTGGATACACTCACGTGGCAAAGCTGTTGACGGGCGCGGGCGCCGGCCAAATTCTTCGCGATGACGAGGGTACGGTTGTGTGGCACTACGCGGTTCGAGGGGCGGACACTTCTTCGTTGCGTTTCCTCGGTGAACATCAGCTTGCCCTGGATTTGCTCGATCATCCGGCACGAGACAGAACCACTCCCGTACTGGGTGCAGCTCATTCGGCATCAGATCAGCTTGCTAAAGTCGAGTATCTGCTAAATCTTGGCGCGAACGAGTGGGCTCGAGGAGGCAGGCACAACGCGACCATGCTACACCTTTGCAGCCACGAAAAATAACAGTGAATTTGTACAATTTCTGCTTGATCGTGGTCACGACCCCAGTATCCTGGACGCGCAAGACGTGCTCCAGTCTACGACTGCCTTCTGTCCGATCCAGATTTCTATACATTCAAAGCGCTGTACGATGCGGATAAAGCTGTCTTCTTCACAGCTATCGCCAATGAAAACCCAGTATTTGGTGACGCTCTGATAGAGCTCGCTGACGTCGTGACAGCGACTCAGCTCAAGGTTATCATCGGATACATCCTCACAACTGCTTCTCGAGATCAAAGCGTCTTGTTCATCACGTCTTTGGGTCGCTGGTTGAAGGATTACTTGCAGACGACCGGCATCATAGACCTCGCCAATCTGCCAGAGCTCTGTCTGACCATTGTCGACAGTCCCTTTTCCGATTCGACCTGCTCCTTTCAAGGTGTCCTTGGATGGGTTCTTGACGCCAAGAATTGGCGTTCCGCTGCCGACATCTGGAGAAGGACCTTGAAGACAATGATCAACCACTGTCGATCTATACCAGTTCTTGAGAGTTTTCGACATCAAGGACGGCAACTGATCACGACACTGCTTGACGCCAAGGAGTACGACCTCGCTGCAACTCTTTTGGACCGAGGTATCTCCGTAAGTAATAGAGATGATAAAACTGCCGGCGCAAAAAGCGCCCAGGAGACCGTCATAGTCCTTGATTGCCCCAGTGAGATATCGAAGAAGATCCTGAGCGCACCATCGGATCCCACTCCCCACCCAACGACCGGAGATAGTCTTCTACACTACTGGGCGCGAAGCGGCTCACCTGAACAGCTCGACTGGTTGCTGGCCCTAAACGGTGATATCGAGATGAGGAACGTCAGAGATGAGATGCCACTCATGGCGACGTGCTATTCGAACTCACTACACGATCTATCGACCTACAGATACTCCCAGCTCGTTTCAAAAGGCGCAAGCGAAGAAGCCGAAGAAGTCTTTAATTGGACAGTCGCACATCACGCCGTGATCGGCAGAAATCTTGAGATACTCAAAGGCAATGCTCTCGCCACTGACATGTATGGATGGCGAAGCCGCGTTGGCATCCGGACCTTTTCAGATGCTGGCGACGGACCTAGACCTTTGGAGATATTCGGTGCATCACTGGCTCATGTAGCAGCATTCTTGGGCAACGACGCAGCTCTTGATTACTTGCTGAGCCACGTCGATGTGTACCAGGTTAATGAGCTGACACAGTCTGCAAATCCAGTGTCCGTGCTTCATTGCGCGGTGTTGGGCGATCACGAACCCACGACTGCAGTTGCACTGAAGCATGGAGCGTCCATAACGGCCGCGCCCGGTGACGAGACGCTTCTTCACGTAGCAGCGCGCTACAACAGGGCTGGGGTGGTGGGGATACTCACAAAACATGGCGTAGACCCCAATAGACGGTGCGTAGATGGTTTGAAGGCCATCGACGTGGCTCGAGATCACGGCTACTCGGACTTCGTCACAGAGCTCGACAAGCATATGCTCGACTATAGTAGGTTCTTCCCCATCAGGCTCGGGCCTTCACACGCGCTAATCAAAGGAATCAGCGTCGGCAATTGATTCATCGCTGGTGACGAACAATGATCGTATAGCTCGCCGGCGGCAGCAGCGGGAGCTCGGCGATGCCATCCACTGTGGGGAGCTCGCCCGCTGTCGCGAGCTACTGGACTCTGGCGCATCAGCAAGTTGTCATTGGGCAAAATGCAACAGTTGCGATCCGGTGATACAAGCGGCACGTCGGGACTCGAGGGAAAACACCGAGGCAATCATACTCCTACTTCTTTCACGAGGTGGTAGGCTCACGCGAAGAAGAAGCTGCGAAACCCACGGCGAAGCAAGTCTGATCCAGGAGTGCGCCAAGGCTGGCTACACCAAAGCCCTGGAATGGATTTTAGAACACTGTCCTGGACTTTCATTCCTTCGCTACACTTGTCCACCGCTGCATTTGGCCGCACTCAACGACCGGTACGACTGCATCGAATTGATGCTTGGCAAAGCAGAAGTGGCTTGGGCACAGTTCACGCGGTCAGGATTGAAAATTTCGCCCGGACCCGAATCCAATCGTGAGTATGACTCGGAAGAGGACTCCAATACACTGCTCGGACAGCACAAGGCGTGTCTCGATATCGTGCATTGGACAAAACTTGTACACATGGAAGCGGACTTCGGCGAAGCAAGGTCTTCCGCGGATATAATAACAATGTCTCAACCAGCAGCCTACTTTTCCGGCGGGATGTTCGACCTGCCATTGCAGTGCGCAGTCTGGGGAAGCAGAACAGAAGCCGTGAAGCTTTTGATCTCTTGTGGTGCTGCTATCGACAGGCGGACCTCGTCCGGTGGCTACACGATGCTGGACACGATACTTGAACATGACATCAACGAAGACAACTCTATACTCAACCTCTTCGACGATCACCATCTGCTTAGGCGGAGCGGCTACAGGAGATGCGACTGGGCAATCGCTAATCACAGCACTGCAGCTGCCAAAAAACTCTCAGAACGCGTGATGGGCGCGTCCGCATGGCATGATAGCACAGCGAAGAATCTACACGGAACTTCAATTGCCATCGACATGGCTTGCAAGTACCCAGAGCTGCTAGTAAGCAGCTCACATTGCCGGACCGCTGTACAAGATCGAAACATGTACGGATCCTGGGTTTACAGCGACCTGATAAGGAAACGAAGGCCTCACGCCATGACCATACTGTTGAATAGTGGACTGGATTTATCATGGATCGATCCTATGGACGGAAGTATCCTGCACGACGTTAGATGGTATGACGACCGGACGCAGCAGCTCAATCTGATCTTCCGCCGACTCGGAAAAACTGCAACGCAAGACATACTAAACGCAAAGCCGGCTAGAGAACACAGTCTTCCGTATCACGCAGCTGCAATGAGCCAGCGTCAAGTCATGAAGTTGTTCATGAGACATGGTGCAGATCTGGAAGTCGAAGGCGGCCCGTACGGCACACCACTGATGGCCGCGGCATTGTATGGCCGCCTGGAAATGGTCAAGCTGCTCGTGCGAGCCGGCGCCAAGGTTGCTTACTACTCGCCACAGGCGAATGAATATAGGAGTGCTCTGCTTAACGCTCGAACCCAGCGCCACGACGACGTGGTCCGATGGCTCCTGGTAGAAAGGTTCACAGAAGTCAGAAGCATCACTGTGGACGGTACCTGACTTGCCACCGCTGATGGGCCGGAAGACGCGCGAGATGGCCTGTGGAAGGCGACTCTTGCCACCCGTTCGTACTACAGTCGCCGTACGCAGACCAGTAGTGAAGCACTATCGTGACCGATACCACGGACAATCGAACTACCTCGAACCCTGGCAGCATCTTGTCGCTACTTGTGACGGCTTGGATAACCTCGTATGTGATGCAACCGATCGTACCTTCGACTTGACCCGCTCAACCGACGAGGACGAAGGGCAGCATGTTGGCAACAACGACAACAACGATTGAAACTTTGGATCTACTGTTCACGGACTTACAGACGGGGAGACTTTGAATTGAAAGAGCTGCGAATCAAATTCATCAAGGCTTTGTGGAGCTCAGATCGCAACTCATTTCCGCTGAGGTTCCGACTCCGCTACCAAGAATTCGAAGTTCGCGTCGGTGCATATGCCAAGAAGCGACCAGATCGGGTTGGGAAGGTCGGCACCTTTGCCAAGAGTTACGGGTACCACCATGATGTCGTCCAAGACAGCTCTGGCTTGTAAGGCCTGCATGCCATCCTCGTTCAGTCGGCGCGAGACCCGATAAGAGCGCAAAAATCGGTCAAGCAAGATGTCAAATGGATTCGTCATCGCCTGCGAGAAGGACAAATTACGCTGCCCACCGTCGTTTCGGTCTTTTCTCGCCACGCTCATGAAGATATAAGGACGCCCAGCTCTCAAACGTACGCACGCGCTCTCAAATCGTGAGTACTGTATTGCGGCACCTGGTAAGGACAGCGACGATGCGCACACCATCCCGACTCGCCGCTGCCGCAGCGGGCGTCCTGGCTGTCGCCACTCTCACTACCGCCGAAGCTCCGACCACAGGCGATATCTACCAGGGCTACCCAGTGCTCGACCTCTCTTCGCCGCTTGATCTCTCCTCTGTGCCCGCAAACACTATCTCGCGCTACTATATCAATGCTGCTACCGGCCAAGGCAACATTCCCTACTACCTACCGGTCCTGATCGCCCGTGGCAGCAACTCCAGCCTGGACTCGGGCAAGAAGTTGTCCCTCTCCTCAAGCATTCACGGCGACGAACTCAACGGCATTCCTGTCGTCCACCGCGTCTTCAGCTACCTCAACTCCAGCGGCGTCGTTGCATCGGGAGACTTCAATGGCACAGTCATTGGGCTGCCACAGCAGAACCCGAATGGCAATTTTCACAACGCGCGGCAGCTCTGGAGCCCGGGAAACAGTGGAACGTATGTCAACTTGAACCGGATTCTGCCCGGTATCGACCCCTTTGGCGAGTCAGCGGCGGAGGAAGTCCCCAGCATCACGGACGCACACGTTGGAAGCGTGTGGTATGGCCTCTGGGGCAATACGTCCAACGTAGACGTCGCGGTTGACCTGCACACCCTCTCCAGCGGCGCGAATGGTCCGATATGGGCGTATGCAGACTACCGCGCCGAGTATGTCCAACGCCTCGCTGAGCTAGCGCAGCCAGACATCATCAAGATCGACCCTGGCGAGCCTGGATCTGTGGAGACGACATTCGTCGACTACGGCATCCCCGCCATCACGCTGGAGATCGGCCCCGCGAAGCGCTGGAACAATGATCTGATTGACCGGGCCGAGGAGTTCGTGTATCGCCTGATGGCGGATCTGAGTATCCTCCCGAACAGCACGGCGCCAGAAATCGATCTGAGTGAGACGTACAAGGGGACGAACTTCAGTAGTGTGGTTGTGTCGCAGACGGGGTGGGTGAACATGACGGTGTCGGTGTTGGATGATGTGGAGGAGGGCCAGCAGTTGGCTGTTGTGTACGATTGGTTTGGCGATGAGGTAGAGAGTGTGACAGCGCCCGTGCGTGGAGGATTCTGCAGACACAGGTGGATCCCGCCGTGGAAGTAGGCGAAGAGGTGGCTCTGATCCTATATAATGCTACGGATGATGGACAGGAGAGTAATAGTCGGAGGATGGTCAAAAGAGGACTGTCACAGAAGAGTGGACGGGCGAGGTTGTGGTAAGTAGACGACTCATGTACGCTACCGTGCGCTCGAAATGAAAGTGACACCACAACCACCACAACCAAAGCATATCGTCAAGAGATTTTTCCTCAAGCAACCTCACTGTAGGTCGGCAGCCTCTCCATCTCCTCAAACTCCCCCTGACTAACCTCATATCCCAAATGCCTCTTCAACAACTCGTGCGTCACATATCTCTCGGGACAATTTCCCTGCGCATCCACAAAGCTGACATGCGGATTCACATCCCCTATTCTCTGCAATTCATTCGCATGCCTATGATGATGCGGACATCCCTCCACCCCGACCAAGAAAACCGTCACGTGCGCCCAGCTCAAGCTCAGCAGATCCAGCTCGAATTCGTCCATGTCCGTCGCCTCCCCATCCAGCAGCAGGAGCAGCCGCAAGATGGGTGTTTCCGGCCCGGCCTGCCAGCCATACACCGGATGATAGGTCGCGCTCGCGGAGTGTTTGCGGAAATGCAGATCCTTCACCATCTGCCAGCCCGTCATGACGCGCGTGCCGCCGCCGAGACGCACTTTGGTGTTCCAGTGGTGGTCGAGGTTCGCGTGGTTGATGCGGCCGATGTACGTCGCTTGGCTGGAGAATGTCACCAGATCGTAGCCGTCGTTGCCCGATTGAGAGATGTGGTCGTGGTGTGAAAGCGCATCGGTGAAGCGTCGAATGATGGCTTTCGCGACGTCTTTGTTCTTAGGTTGCGTCCCGCTCACGTACTGCGTGATGAGGTACTGGTCGTAGACGGGCCGGACGGGGTCGAAGTCCATGCTGCCGCTGACGTCGAGCAGGATCATGGTGTCGTCGGTGGGCTGTTCGGGGCGGTCGACGATGTGCAGGGGTGGAGGCATCACTTGGCGCGAGTAGCCGCCTTTGGTGTCGGTGTGTTGGACGTGGCAGGTGTCGTCGGGGGAGAAGTATTGCGGTGGTGGCTCGACGGCGGAGGCCATTCGGGCGCGGGCCATGTCCATTTCGGAGATGAAGTCGGGCTTCAGGCGGGTGCGGGTGATCCCGTCGGGTGAGTCGCGGTGGTTGAGGACCCAGTAGAGGCGCTCTTCGGCGGTGTCTTCGTAGCCGCGCCAGGTTGGGGTGATGCCGCGCCAGCCGGCTGCTGCTTCTATTGAGAACTTGAGAGGGTTGGAGGCTTGATTCGCCCATGCGACTGGGATGGGCTCGAAGTAGCCGGCGCGCAAGAGGTGGAGGTACTGGATCGGGCTGCGGTTGCGGAGCGCAGCGATCTTTTTCGTCATGCCTACTTTGTCCTGGTAGGTGAGGACGATCTGCTGCCATTGCGCGTCGGGCCAGCGACCGCGCTCTTCTTTGAGGATTGCTTCGCGGAGGTCGACGCCGCGGGAGACGGCTTTGGTGGCTTTGGAGACGGCGCGCTCGGTCGAGGTCTTCATGCCGATTGATTTGCGGAAGCTGTGGAGCCGTGAAGTGGAGGGTTTGGTGTCTGGTGCTGACAGGCTCGGGCGCTTTTCGCTGCGGACGGCGCTGCCCTTTTCTGCCGTGGTTCTGTCGTCGCCGAGACCGAGGTTCGACATGGCATTTTCCAGTCCGCCGTCTTCAGCCCAGATGTTGTGATCTGGCTCCTGCGCGTCGATCTTCGCCTGAGCCTCGCGATTGAGGTTGTTATTCAGTGCAATGGTCTGATGAATGCTCTTGGCGTGATAGCCAGGTATTGGTCTCGTTGGACCACCCATCCAGTTGACTGCAAAACTGATCAGCTTTGTGTCGGGAAAGGGAAGTAAGCTGGAAGGTAGGATTGTGAGGCTACTTAGAGCAGCTTCTTTGTCATCCCGAGACATTTGCTTGGGCAGCGCTCGTTACCGGATACAAATTTGACCTTGGGAGAGCAACTTACACTGGTTATACCCGTATGGTGATACTACTCGCATCATGTACGGGTTGCTCGACCACAGCCCATTGCGGCCATTACCGCCGTAGCGAGGGTTTCCCTTGGAGTCGGTATATGCCTTCTCACCTGCGCTATTGGTCAGAGGTAGATCCACCGGAACGGGATACGGCGCTCACCCGGGTACATGACCGCCTTGGACCACATATCCTGAACACCATAGCGCTGCCATTTCGCATACTGATATTGGTGGATCGCACAGTTGCAGGGATATTCAGTTTCATGCTCCGGCTCGATGTCGGGGTTGTAGATCCTGTATCGAAACTGGAGATTTTGCAACATTTGTTGCATCTCTTGCTGCGTCGGTCAGGATAAAGCGATCCGTGACCAGTCAGTACGTAATGACTTACCTCGTCTCTCGCACGAACCCTTGCGGCTTCTATCACGGCGTTGGTGTGGTCGTATTCCAGCGCTCGGCTAGTGGGTGGTCGGCCGGGTGGCGGCGCGTACGCCGGTAGTGATGGAGCAGCAGTGGCTGGCGCGTGCTTGCCGTTGGCGCCGCTACTTTGTGAGACAGGCGGATCAGACTTGTGTTGCATTACTGCAGCTGATCCTACGTGTCTCATCATCATCGCCGCCGCCAAGTCAGCCTTGGTCTTCGGTTGTGTTGCAGCGGCTGATGCTCCGTTGGGAGATCGACTGTCTCTGAATGCAGCGATGAACTTCTGAGCGTTCGGAGAGTCGCCTAAGAGGTCGTTGAAGTAGATACAGGCTTCATCTGTGGAGAGCGACTCGACATGTGATAAGACCTGTGTCAGCTCGCTGTCATTCAGCGGCAGCACTGTGGAAAGTCGCTGCTGCAACTCCCAATGGTGGGTCGTGGCTGCCATTCTGTTCCTGCAGGGCTACTCAATCAGTATACGACACTAGACATTGACAGGGAGCCTTTTGAGACTGCTCAAGTCAGCAGCATCGTGGTCATCAGACGTCGCATCAGCCTCAATGGTGATGTCTCGATCTGAAAGGCTATCCCAGAGCATGACGCGTCTTGGCACGTAATTGGCTGGCCAGAAACCCCAAGCATATCACGCACAAAGCTCCTTCCGCGGCACAGTCTGTGCTGCCTTTTCTCCAGAAAAGCGCAGTTGACACTTCAAACGCATGATTCTGCGATCAGTGTGAGACACTTGCCCATTGAACGCTGGCGAGATCATGGCAATACATTTGGCACCCAAAGCCGCCGAACGCGTTGCGCGAGGTCCGCCACAACTATTTGAGGCGTCTTCGAGCTAGCAAGCCATTATCGCTAGGCCACATTCTAGTAGAGATCGTCCGACGAGGATTCGCTGAAGTGAAGCGCTTCACGACGTTTCTGAAGGAAAGAGCTGCGAACCTGGAAGTTTCAGAACGCTGCAGAGAAAGACCTTGGCCGGCGATATCGCCTTCTAACTCCGACGGAACTTTGCTCAAGTCTTTCACGTGTCAAACGCATTCGTCGCGTGCCTTGATTGCGCTACTCTACCTGATCTATATGGATCGAGTTTCATACCTTCGTGTTTCTCAGCAGTACGGCGCCTCAATGAGACATGTCCAAAATATGGGTCGACACGCTCGCGACCAGCTTATAAAGCAAAGGCGGCACCTGCAGCGACAACACCACCCATGAATCCCACCCCAACGCGGACCTGATCAGCGGACGAACCAGCAGTCGCACCCGAACTCGCGCCGCCGGCAGTCGCTGAGGCGCTGATGCTTGAGCTTGGGGAGCTGGACCCCCTGCTTGTGGTGAGGAACGGCCGCAGAACCTCCAGGTATGCATCGAGATCTTCTATGTGGCTCATATGACTGAGACCCGGGAATGTATGCCAAGTGGAGTTCTTGATGAGCTCGGAGTAAGGCTTGACACATGAATCCTGTGCCTCGTCGAACTCGCCGTTCAGTATGAGCGTTGGCACATCGATTTTGTGCAGCTCCGATCGTATATCCCAATCTTTTAGATTTCCAGTAACTGTGAACTCCGAGGGACCGTTCCTGTATGACACATATCAACGCGATGTAACGAAACCCACAGGGAGGACTCACATGGTCATGTATACGGTGTCGTCTTTCCCCAGCCACTCGAGGCTGGCCTGGAGAAAATCGGGACCGGGCCATGTCCGGCACAAATGAAGCTTGTAAAACTCCAGCACAGCCTGCCGAGTCGAGTTTGGTCAGCCAAAGGACTCCTAGGAGCGACAATTGGACCAGCAAACGAAGCAGATCCCGGCATATTCGCAAGAACTCACCTCCTGGTAGGCATCACTGGTATAGTTTTGTTCGCGCTCACCAACATCGATCGCATCTTGGGACTTCTGTGGCATTTCGTCTATCCACGAGCTGCATGCTTCCGACCACAACGACATGCTTGCGGGCGAGCTGCTGATAACAAGCTTTCGGAGCCCCTTGGGTTTCGTCGTCGCGAACGACGAAGCTAACATGCCTCCCCAGCTTTGGCCGAGAATGTCGTATGGCTTATCTTCCCCGAGACCCAGATGGGACAGGAGGTTTTCAAGCTCCGCGACGAAGAGATCGGTTGTCCAGAAGGTGCCATTGAGTCGGTACTCGGGGAAGTGGGTCGACAGGCCGTTGCCTATCTGGTCATAGAAGATGGTCGGGGTTCCATGAACCGTTGTCAGAGTATCCAGATTGGTGAGATAGTTGTGGCCCGCGCCAGGACCGCCATGGAGGATTACAAGAGGTACCTTGGATTGGTCCGACAAATCGCCGACAGCTTTGTACCATGTCTGGCTGTCTCGAGGCAGCGAGGAGTGCTGGAAGGTGACGTTACCTTCGATCGATGGTGCTGCTGAGACATGGTCAGCTAACATCGCAAAGAGGCCGACGAGAAAGCCGTGTAAGGCAAACATGGTTCTCGTGCTGGGTGGCGTCGTGTCCGACAGACTCGAGCCAAATTGCGTCCGCTGGAGGGATCTTTATATCTGTCGTTGTACTTCTATGACCGCAGGACAAACCTTTCATCATCCACTGTCAGCTTGGGCCCTGAGGCAGTCATGCTGTGACGACCATATCCATGCTGCTCTTTGTCGCTTAACTAAGGCTTCGGAATGGCGTGGCAAAGTCCTGCTATCGCAAAAGGAAGGGAGAACAAGCTCGAAAAGTCTGGCGACCAATCGTCTGGTGTCCTTGCGATGCTGGCATCGTTCTGGCGGATACCCATTGCGCAAGCGATACCTTCGCAGTCTGACCTTACAAGGCCAGAGCGCTCTTTGTTGACTTACTTGGGGCAACGTCCTCTTCGATCATGTCCATCCTACTGACCGTGGTGCATGGAAAACCAAGGTGGCAATGTAATCACTGTCGAAAAAGTCTCGCTTCCATTGCCGCTGGAGTGAACTGACTGCCAAGATCTTTCGCCAAGGCCCGCTGATCTCCAACGGCGAATCAGAAAAGACCGGAGCTCAACTCGAATCAACTTAGATGGTACGCATGGTTGTAATCACCACAAAGGAAGCCATTAAGGGAGACTTGATATTATGGGAGCTCCGCGCAGTGTTGGATTATATCAGCATACCCACCAACTACGACATACCGCCGGCCGAGGTACATTAGTGCTGCAATTGGGACGATGGCTGCGACAGAAGCACTGAAGGAACAGCTTCGATTCTGCCTCGGCTGGTGCGCGGGTCGCAGATCTGCGGAGCAAAGGACAAGCGGTTCAGAACAGTGTATGTATGCGGTGAAATTCAGCCTGACCTCTCGGGCGCCGATGGGGCGGCGGGTCCAGGGTTGAGCCGCACCTTCAGCCAACTTCGCCTCCATACGAACGTCGGCCACGACCGAAGCCACTGAGGATTGACGGGAAACAGTACAACTGTACGCCGACTCGATGAACTCCTACATGGCTATTCTACGCACTCGCAAATGCATTCCATCTTGGGGCTGGCACACCAAGTCTTTCCTCATCTTGGGTTTCATCCCTGGCGTTGTCTCTGAGAACTCGAACCGGCTGAGAAGACCCACAAGGATGGCCTTCATGCTACGTATCGAGAACTCTTTCCCGATACAAACTCGGCTGCCACTTAGGAACGTCATGAAGGCGTGCTGACCTGCGGTGCCACCACTTGTGCTCATGTTCGACCACCTCTCTGGATCAAGCTGTTCGGCATGCTCGCCCCAGAACTGTGGCGACCGATTGATAGCATAGATGGGGACCAGGATCATTTGGCCACGAGGGACCATCGTGCCATCAATCAATGTGTCCTCGGTGGTCTCACGCACAGTTTGCATGATGCTGGGGTACAAACGCAACACTTCCATGACAAAGCCATGCAGGTATTGGAGAGTGTCCATCGTCTCAGCTGTGAGCTCCTCCTCCTCGGGAAGATTGTGTTTGATCTCCTCGCGCAGTCGTGATTGGACTGCAGAATCGGCAGCGAGAGCATACAGTCCCCAAGTCAGAGCAGCGGCGGTGGTCTCGTGGCTATGATAGTCAGCGGTTGCCTCGTATTGATGCAATGCACTTACCCTGCAGACAGCATAGTCATCAACTGTCCCTGCATCTCCAGCTCGTCCGACATACCGCCTGAGAGCATCATCTGGACAAGGTCGGCCTTCTTTGAGCCGGACGCGAAATCTTCTTTCGACTGACGGATCTGCGCCAGGACAGAGCTCCGGAGAATTTGGCGGCCTTTGATGGATCGTTGGTTCCTTTTGGTGTGCCGGAGGAGCCAATCCGTGTACTTTGGCGACACGAAAAGCGGCAGGACACCCTCGCAGAAGGCTTCGAGCAGGTTCTGCTTCTCGCCATGGAGTAGCGCGGCTTCCCAAGCTTTCAGCAGTCTCTCTTCGCGATGAGGATCTTTCTCGATGTCAATACCGAAGACAGTTTGCATAATGATGCCAAACGCAACGCGCATCATCGCCTTTGAGATGTCCACGACAGTGTCTCCGGACTCTGGAACGACTTCATCCATCTCTGCTTGCATTCTCATCGCTTTTGTCCAGAATCCTGGGACCATCGTACGCACGCCTCGCTCGCCACGAAACACTGGGTTCAACACTTTGCGTTGCCTCTGCGAATTGATTAGCGGCATCCCGCACAAGGCAAGAGAGCATACCTTGTGCTCCTCTCCTTCCGCAGTAACGAGCCCATGTCCAATGGTTGTCGACAACCCCTCCCGGACTTGAGCTGGCTTCTCGCAAACGTTGCCTTTGCCAGTGACTGCAATTAGCGCGGCCGGGCTGGTTGCCACAAGCAAGGTCATCGGACCCAAGAACACGCGATATAATCCTTCGCTGAAGCTTTTCTGCCATCTGAGATTCGGAACGCCGAACGGCTCGTTGAGAAACTGCTTCGCACTGCCAAGAAAGAACGAGCTATCCTGTCCTTCCGTCAGATCACTCATGGGAATCAAGAATTGTATCTTACATGCGGGAATGGCAGCTTCCGGAGAGGCGAAAATAGCCATCGATGTATACACAGATGATACAGTGTCGCCAGAACCAAAGCGATCGTGAAGACCGGGACGAAGTCCCGACCGAGATGAAAAGCCGACGAGTCTCGCAGCAGGTAAGCTTTTGCAAGGCACACGGCCAGCGATGTGAAGAGTAAATTCTGGAGCATAACGAGTGTTGTTGTGAAATGGTTCTGGTCCACCGCTTGAGCCGATTGTATCGTAGCCCCTACGAGATACTTGAATGCTTTCGAACCATTCCCAAGTACTAATTACAGGGTTTCACGGGCGCTGGGCGCTGCCAGAATTGGTAAGCTGCCTGCTGGATTTAACCCATGGCTCAGCCCTATCTTACCCTCTGTGGGTAACCCAAAGCCTCCTACCCTGCCACTCGGGGATTGGTCCCATCTGGCATGCATAAGCTTCCTTGAGATGGAGCTTATTCTGGGGCTTAGCATTAGCCAATATCGGGCCCTGCAACCACGCCCGGCCCCATCTCGTAATCGCTTCTGGCATCCTACGAGGCGGCCCCAGCGCATGCCATTTCTGCTTCCAGGTGCGAAAAGACATATGGAGATGCGAAAGCTATTTCTAGGCCCGCCAAGCTGTCAGTACTGCAGGTACACACAGCCTGCCGTCAAAATGGTCCAACTCCACTTCTATAGGGAAAAGTCTAGCACGCTCCTACGGCTCTATGTCTCGGTAGCAGCCCCTTCCACCACCCCAGAATAGCTTGCAAGGCACCTTCGTCCGCTGCGATTACCGGTCGAGTTCCCGACGGCGACGGCGATGCGACAGTACGGGCAACTACATATTGCTACCTGATGCTTTGGACTCGGGTTCCCGTCGAACAACACAACCTCATCTTCGCTCCTGCTTCTATTGCACAGCATACAAACACTTTCGCTAAGCCAATTACAATGACCATCGTTTCACTAGCCACACCGTCCGCTACCTCCATGGACACATCTTTCGCTGTCTTAGGCACTTCGATAGCTCTTTACAACGTGGCCCTGCCTTGGTTCAGATCGATCAAACCTGGCAAGGACGAAGAGGTCCTCAAACATCTAGCAATGGACTTCTCAATGACGCCCATCCGGCTGATGCTTGCCTACCTTTCATTTCCTATCCTCAGGCAATGCTTTATCTCAGGTTCCAAATGGACCGAGAATGACATCCAAGCAAGCCACTCGGCCTGGATCCTACTTTCTCTCGGATACCTGTTCGACATGGTCACCACCAAGCCTGATCTAATGGGTATCGTCCACCACAGCATCGCATTTGGCAGCACTGCCTTCAGCATATCCGCCATGAGCGATACGACCGGCACTGCTTTCTGGCACAGATATCAGTCCGCTGAACTGTTCTTCGCCATCTCTGCAGGCGGCATGGTGGGCACTGCACTGCGAGTCGCCTATCTTTTCGCCAGCCTTCATGGACACGAAGTCCCTAGGGTGCACCAAATCATCGTCACGTGCCTCACCTGGTCACTGACTGCAATCATCTCTTTGGGATGGGCCTTCAAGATCCTGTACATCCACCAAACCGCTCCTCTATTCTGGAACCTGTTTGGTCCGATTGGAGTTCTGTTCGTGCTCGCTGCACTTTCGGTCATCTTCGCTGTGCAATATCGTTGGATCTTCATGTGGAGCGCAAAGGCAGATAGGCTGACTGAGAAGGCTGGTCATGCGCGGAACATCAATGGGACACTGCGTCGCATCCCGCTGAGATCTGTAGTCGCAGGGCTGAGTATTGGGATGGTTGACTTTGGAAGACTTTATGTACAGCTGCTACGAGCAGTGTAGGCGAAAGGGTTCTACGGGATAATACACGCAACACATAGGAGTTCAATGTCATCTTTGCTACACTTCAATCAGATTCATCTAAGTAGAAATTGGTCCCCTTGGCATTGATGTATGGATCGACACCCTGGCTTGATTGATGGCCACGTTCAGGGCCTGTCGCCTCGCTCTCCGTCCTCAAGATAGACACAGCAATCCAGGCAGAAGCACTCATGCCATGAGGAACATTCTTAACAGCGTTAAACGTACATCGATCACAACTAGGGTTTCAAGCTCTGCAGAGAGACGGTTGAGATTGGACTTGGTAATGTCAATATACCTGATTGTTATTTGCGTACCTAAGTCACCCAAACGCCGCAACGACCCTACATGTCCCAGCTTTCCTGTCATATTTGTACACGCTAGCCGTGGTAGGCATACACCCTTTCCTCCTTCGCAGCAAAAAATCCCGTCACGACATACATGTATGCAATCAGTGCTTCAGGCAAGAGTGACATTGCGACCTGCACCACGATCGAGACGATATCGTTGGAAGTGCTGCTGAACGCTTTGCTGTCTCGCTCGAATGCACTCAAAATGCCGTAGAGCACTTTGACAGCCATCAGTGGCCACGTGAAGAACATGATAGTAATGAGTTTTCGATCCGCGGCCGGCAATGACGCTCGCGCTCTGGCAATGAGCAGGATGAAAAGTCCAATGACTGCCAGAGTAGCTGCGAAGATGATGGAGGCGTACTTTAGAAAGTCCACGCCTGTATTGAGCTCCTTGGTGTCAGTGCCCATGACTTTCGTGCTGCCGAGAATTGCTAACGCGAGAGCAACGATGATCGGTACATCTGGCAGTCTGAGGAGAATGCTAGACAGGATGGGCTTTGGTGCATTGTTGTTGGCATTTCTTAAAAAAGAGAGTGTCAACAGCAGGATTGGTGTAAGTCCGATGCTGTAACAGATGATTGAAGCCTCGAGAAGAGACCTTGGATCCGATGCTGAGGTACTGGTGAGGCCAGTGATGCTTCCTGTGATGCGCAGTGCTGCAAGTACGAGCATGTATATCCAGCCGGCTGACCGGCGAAGGCCATATCTGCGAAGAAGAATTGCTGCCAGGGGCAGGATCTCCGCGAAGACGAAAAGTACGACAAGATCAAGTATGTTGCGGTGAGTAAGCGTCATGCTGGAGTGTTGTGTGTTGACTGAGACGTTTGATTGTTGATACGAGAGTGCTTTGCTTGTCGATAGAGAAGTTGAAAAGCTGCGATGAAAGGTCTTCCAATGTTGCTGGTGAGATTTCTGTGAGATGTGGGTTCAGGCTGACAGCCCCGAATATGTATCGCCGTCCATGCTGTGTTCGAGAGTGTGCCTTGCCAAAGTGTACAAGTACCACAGGCTATGCTATAGTGTGGCTTGCATGTATAACTATGAAATGCTAAATGAGGAAATCCGGATGCTGGATGGATCATGGGGGCCGAGTGCTGAGGCGCAATAAGCGTCCACGAAGATCTTGGGTTTCAACCTTAGGGAGACCCCTGTAACCACGATTTTCGGACCCGCGCATAGGCCAATGGTCCGTCTCACCGAATTGCATACCTAGGTAGGAACTCTGCGCGAGGAGTGTGCACAGTAAGTCGAATTGAGGTTCCACGAGTCGAGAGGCTGAGCCTTCCGGCAGGACCGGCTGTGATATTACGATCTAGAGTTATCTGACTCTGCTGTATAAAAGCAGCAGTCTGTTCTGACCGTCTCAAGCCGTGTCATCAACTCAACCACTTCCTGGCCTCTCACACAAAATAACCTCCACCAGCTATCAAAACTTTTACAACGAGTCAACATGATCGTTGCTTGGGGTCTCAGTAAATACAAGAAGGCGAAAGCCGACAAAGCTGCTTCAGCACCCACCAACAACAACCAGGCACCGCCAACAGAACGTCGGTCTGCTTTGCAGACACCGCCATCGTACGACAGACACCAATACTACGACACTGAGCTCGCTCCTCGTGATGGAGCTTGCACATGCACACATGACCGAAGACAAGCATAGATGGCAAGGACGGTTGGCATTAGTGCTACTTATTCCGAGTTGGAGGATGGTATTGAGCAGGGCGGCCGAGAGTGGTGAAAAGGCCAATTTCATAGCCATGCACGCAAACTTACAGTCTTTCGTACTCACAGTAGCACGCAATGAACTTGGCGAATGAATTGTGTTTGATCTATGACTTTGCCGCACATCTTCCCGAGCCATGCCGCAGCCCCCTGAATCATCGTCATGGCTGTACGGACGCGGCGAAGAAGAGCGGCTCTGTGCAGCGTGATGGCGGCATCGCTCTCACCCACATCAGATCAGTGTGTCCTCAATCCGAGTGGACAGACACCGAACCAGTAAGATCCTGCCGCAAAACACGAGAGTTCGAATTCAAGATTAGGTTAAGGTTGCTGAGAGATGGGGTTAGTCCTGGTCGCAGGGGAGATTTAGGCAGGAAGCTTACTTGCATACAAGCTACGCGCACATAGCGGGCTGCTGCGCCTTGTACGCACTTAGCTTCCTCTTGACAACACTCTGCAGCATGCTTCTTCGCCCCAAGCACTGGTAGTACACTCCACGGCTATCTATGGCACACTCAAGATGGATCGGGCGGTCGACCATAACATTTGCACTGCACGGAGGCTCTCTCACATGGCTCACATTGCCATTTGCTCCAATTATCGCGGACAGGTTTCGAAAACCTTCACTTCAACCAGTTTCATTAACCCAGAAGATTCATACTATACAGGACACTGCACTGCTCGCAACCTAATCATGCCGCAAACTACAATCCATGAGATTAGACCTCAACGCCCATTCGCGGCAGAATTTCCACTCAGCCTGATCGATGGCCTTATGCCACGCATCAACAACAGATACCTGTTCATCTGGGAGACAGCAAGGATATCGACTCAAAGTCTTTCTGCCACGCGCGAAGATCTGGTCTTCAGACTGATCGCGGCTCTACAGAGCCTTCTGACTTTCCCGGAAGACGGAGTTCTAGCATTACCAGAAATTCTCGGCAATGTACACGAAAATCGTGTGACTGGTCGACTCACTCTGAAGGTCTCCGAGGAGTCTCATGTTCCCTTCAGAGTCACTTACCGAAACGATATCACATTTGAGTCTCTTGACCAGCTAGCGGGATTCCCACGATGCAATTTCCCAGCTGAGGTATATGCAACAGGCATGGACGCGCTTCCGACGGCAACTCCAATGAAAGGCTTCTGCGCACAGATCACATTCATCGACGGCGGCTTCGTGATATGTGTCACCAAGCACCACTCTCTACTCGACGGCAATGCACTCGCATTCCTGATCAAGCAATGGTTCTCAAGAGCCCGGTCGCTCACTACTGGAGAGGATATTGCTGTGCTTCCACCTGCAACATGCAATGCGATTCATGAGAAGTCCGCCCTTTCTTCCACCCGACCTGTACAAGCAGTCAAGATCTCCGACTGGTCTGTCAAGGTAGGAGCTAAGCCTACAATCTTCGGCTTGGACACATCGTTACTTCCTCTCAAGAATCTCATCAAGTGGATTCCTTTCATCAAGCTGCCTGTAGTGGCGAGTGGAACCTTCCATTTTAGTGCCGAGGCTATCCGCCGCTTGAAGTTAGAAACAGAAGCAGTGGGACTTGGACGACTCTCAACGAACGACGTCCTCTCGGCGCTCATCTGGCGATGCATGACGAGAGCCAGATTGGGCACTGGCAGCATTTCGGAAGAACTATCATGTCTTTGCATGGCTGCCAACGCGCGTCAGAGGATACAGCCAAGTCTCCCTAAGGAGTACTTTGGCAACGCAGTCTTCACGATTCCAACCCATGTTGGCGTTCGTGACTTGACAGCTTCAGGCATTGATGCCCAAGCCAGAGCATCGATCGCCATCCGCAAGTCTCTGACGGAGAAGTCTGACGACAACTACATCCGATCATTCCTAATGCTCGCACAGAAGCAAAGCAAGCTCTCTGACCTGAGACACGACATCCACGTGTTTGGTGGCAAGGACATCTTCATGACGAATTGGGAGCAGTACTTCACGTCGACCAGCGAGCTAGACGTTGGCTGTGGATCATTCAGACGCATGAGGCTTCCTGCTGGGGATGGATTTGATGGCTTAGTGATGATCATGCTTCGTATGGTCTTCGCGAGGCGGAAGGCACTGCAAGTCATCCGGGCGGCATTGAGATCACTGTCGATCTACAGGAGGACCATATGCAAAAGATGCTGAAAGACGATGACCTTTTGAGATACATCACGCGTGTAATCTGACGGTGTCATGGTGTGCGCATAGTCCCGTAGCATAGGAGTTCAGGCGTTTGATACATGCAATTCGCCCAGCTATTGAGTTTCACCCTCCCAAGCTGTTCGGACAAGACATGAGCGTTTCATCTATCCTCACTATACCTCGCGCCAAATTTCTTACAGCGACCTCCCTGACAGGCAAATTGATGATAGATTGCTTCTGCGTCTTGAAGCTCAAGTGAGGCTCCTCTCAAGCTTCCTGGCTTGGTTTTCAAAACAGTTCCAGCCCTCAGAGCCCGCCCTGGCTCGAAATCTGAAGGTTCAACTGGCCCCACTGAAAACGCTCAGTTTACCTAGGTATGCCCGAACAGCCTGCCTCCTTCCCACTCGTTAGCAAACTGAGCCTCAAGCGTTCGACAATCCTTCCAAGCAACGGGTCCGTATCATACATTACGGTGGATCCGACGACGGACATTTGATACTATCGATGGTCCTGTACGATCTCGCAACAAGATGTACCAATTCGGCTGAGCTATCTTTGGCTGCATTAGCGGTCTTCGACCGTACTGTTAACCGCTCCTTCGTCTTGCTCGTGTAAGAGCGGCCGCTTCTTGAGCACCTGGGCAGACGCTTCGCCCGTTGTTACCGCAGCCTCGGGGGAGACAGCGTTGCCGCCCCAGCACTCGCTCGGGGAACATCCACTTTTAGTCTATTCAAGGATCATCGGAAGTACCTGTAACCACATCACTGCGGAGCATGCACGGGTGCTAAACATCAAACTAAGGTTTCGGATCGAAAGCCTCCCCTGTGGGGGCGAGGCTTACCCATGGATCTGGGCGATGCTTGAAGCGGGACTGGGCGGTGCTTAGGCGAAGCTTCGATTTAAGATGGTGAACTGGGGGCCCGAGCCGCAGGATGTGCATTGTAATGGGCTGCTGCACATTGATAGTGTGAGAACTAATTTAGGGGTCATCTCACAAGCCGCCGAGCTCTCCAGGCGGGCTTCGTTAAGAATGGGCAGTGATTGAGGCCTAGAGCACCCCGAAGACATCGATTCGTCATTGAAAACTGCCTCTGCGACAGCTACAGAATCATCACAGCCATCACATCGGTCAGAGTCAACAGCAACACAACATGTCTACCCTGACGACTGATGCACTTCTCGCCTCCCATTACCCCGGTATTATCATTCCACGCGATGAGGACTCAATATCTTTCTCGCATATCCAAATCATCAGACTCGTCAACAAATTCCAGCGTTCACTGCTCAATATCGACATCCGCTCCGATGACACGATTGCCATTGTACTCCCTCCATCGATGGAGTTCCTTGTCTCACTACTGGCAGCCACTTCCGGCAGCGTGACTGTCGCGCCCTTGGACCCGGAGTACTCCCAAGCAGACTTTGAAACCGTCTTCAAGGAGATTCGACCGTCAGCGGTGCTGCTGGCTGCTGGATCGTTGCGAGAACATACGCCTGCCGTCGCGGCGGCTTTGGCTTGTCGAGTGCCCATTGCTGAAGTGAGCTTCGATCTCAAGTCCGTCACGGTCTGCGAGTTCATACGATTGGGCCGGCGGAGGAGTACGGATGCGTCAGTCTCATTCTCAAAGCCGAATCGCAATGACACCGCTATACTTCTTCACCACAGCAGAGCTTCGGGCAGGGAGCTGCGATGCGCGCGCTTCTCGCATTCGCAGTCGATTTCAATCTGCCAACGGATTGAAGCAGCACACAACTTCGGACCTGCCGATCGAGGCATGCTAATCACGCCAGTACATCAAGCTCATGGTCTGTTCCTTGGTCTGCTCGGACCGCTGCTTGCCGGTAGCTCCGTGATTATTCCGAAAGCATTCTCGGCACAAACGTTCTGGACGGACTGCATGTTTGACTACGCTACATGGTACACAGCGGAGGCGTGCACTCAGCAGGAGATTGAGAAGTTGCCGTACCCACAACTCTTGTCCTCTGTGCGAGTCGTGAGCTCTGACAGGCTGGCTGAGATCATGGAGGAATGTCTGCAAGAAACAGAGCCGGATGACCAAGAAGACGAAGAGGCTGTTGAGAAAGACAGTCTAGCCTTGCAGTGCGAGGCTGGAACCACGCTGCAATGCATCGGACGAAGGTCATGTATGAAGGGATCGAGTACGAGATCATCTGGGAAGAAGGTGCGGTTCGCCACCTTGGCCGATGAGATCCAGTCACGGGTGATCACTTCTCCCGGAGTTCCGGACATTCGGTCGATGCTTCAGTCATGGTTTGCGGTGCAGGCGTTGACGCATTTGACGCAAGTGTATAGTAGCTTCCAGCGGGTTCAGGTATAGGTAGCATGGTCAAGCCCAAGGATACTCTAACGATGTACTCATGTATGCCGTGACCCTAGCAGGCTATGGACACAATCATTGAGCGTTTTCCGTGAACCGATCTGTAGGCTGCTCATTGTGGATTTCCATGCGCGGGAGGGCGCTGACAGCCTCTTGTTCTCTTCTGAACTAACATTGATGGCCTGGGATGAGCCTCATTTGAGCATCAAAACAGTTGCACCGATGTGACGAGAAATCCTCGCCAGGGAGGGCGCTGTAGAGGTCCTCATGCGGCCAGCTGGGTAAAACGCCCGGCTCTTGCTCACACTGCTTGCCTAGCCACCGAAGCTCCTCCAAGGTCAAACTCCAGCAATCGTCTGTTGCGCATAACGAAGAAGCTATGTCTGTCGCGCTGATCGCTGACGTGCAAATGGCATGCGAAAAGAGACTACAGCAAGCGAAGATGATGGAAATTAATTGGTCAGGTCAACAACGCTATACACTCTATAAGATCCTACTTCACAACTGGTTTCTCCTGCCCACTTCCCTCCTCCTTTTCCGGTAGTGCGACCTTCTGCCATGGCTGGACTACCGCAACGACAAACGCAAGTACGCCCACCGCAATGGGCACAATGAATGTAGTGGTGACACTCTGAGTAATCGCATCCTTGATGATACTCTCCGTAGCATCTCCAGAAGTGCCGTTGAATTTGCTCGAGGTAGCAATAGCCGCCTCAATCTGTTCCACTTGAGCCTGGTCGAAGCCACCGTTCGATAGATTCGACTTCAGCTCACCATTGAACAGTGTGCTACAGATGGCGACAGAGATGGTCGCACCCAGCATTTTGATCATGTACACCATGGAAAGACCAATTGATTCCTCTTCTCGGGAGAGGACTTGCTGTGCAATGCCAGTCGCTAGAAATTGACCGCAGCCTGCGCCGAAGCCGGTAAGGATCTGGAAGCCGATGATACGGGCGTTGGGGGTGTCTGCATCCAGAGTGTAGAGGAAACCGGCGCCCACGGCGAAGACGGCGGTGCCGAGGAGCATTGGCGGGTTGAAGAGACGGCTTCGCTGTACGAAGATGCCTGTGGCAATTGCTGCTGTTGTTTGGCTCAGGAGGTAGGGGATGAGTTTGACGCCGCTGCCTTGTGCATCGGTGCCTTCGACGAACTGTTATGGTCAGCCTGGGCCTAGACAGGTTCTGCAGTGTAACGTACCTGGAAATAGAAAGGAAGGAAGTACACATGTGCAATAGATCCCATCTCAACTCAGAATCCGAACAACGCCGCCAGCCACAGTCGCAAGTTTCTGACCAGACTTCGTGGCAGAAGCGCCTGCAAAGGATCAGCCATTGCCTGCTGGAAGCCGAACCAGACGATGAGCACGCCAGACACGGTCAACAGCGCAATCACACCAGGCGCGCTCCATGAGTCCTGGGCGCCGAATTGCATCGCAAACAGCAGGCATACAACACTGGCTGTCAAGAGCTTGACGCCGATGGGATCAAGCGCAAGGAAAAGCTCGTACAGTACTGGCATTTTCATGCGGCAGCCCAATGGTGGACAGCAGATGATGATGATGGTCACCACAGCAGCTCCAAGAGGGAGGTTGATGTAGAAGCACCATCGCCAGCTGAGCTGCTGAGTCAATACACCGCCGAGCACGGGACCGAGAACGGCGGCAATGCCGGCTGTGCTGGCGCCCAGACCGGTAAAGATGGGTCGTTTGCTTCGAGGCACCAGCTCAGTAATGAGAGCAAAGATTCCAGGAGCCAGAGCTGCAGCGCCGACTCCAGCCACAAGACGGCCGACGATGAACATGGTGGACGAGTTCGCGAGAGCGCAGACGAGTGAGCCGATCTCGAAGATGGCCAAGGACAGGACAAACAAGATCTTTGCGTCAAAGAATGGGTACAGCTTTCCGAAGAGAGGCTGAAGTGTTGGTTGTGGGAGCAGGTAGGCTGCACCATACCAGCCAACTTCGCTGATTGAGTTCCATTGTCCAGTGATAGTCGGTAGCAGGGTAGCCACGATCGTCGCATCAAGCGCCAGTAGCGAAAATGTCACGCATAGAGCACACATGATGCCAACGTAGCGCGTCTTGTTGATGCGTGGGACTTGTCTGTCATCCGACCTGTTGACCAAGGTCTTCTCAGAACTACTGTCTGACACTAAAGCAGCATCGTGATCAACAGCTCCGGCCGGCAATGGCTGAAGCTTGAATCTCTTGCTATCATGTCGACTGATCTTGGTCAAGGAGGAGACCAGATCGAAATCCACGGCCTGGACGGCTGGGTTGATGGCTTCCCGGCGGACGGCTTGTCGAGCATAAGTTCGATCCTCGAGCTCTTTTTCGGTGAGCTCGCGGGACTGCCAGAAGCTCTTGGATGATGAACGTGCCAGTTGAGGACGGACGGCTCGCAAAGATTTGAAGCGAGTCAGGGTAGACGGAGGAGTAGGTGGTTGTGATTGCGTGCCAACTTCGCTAGGTCGTTGTGAGTCTTGGTTGAACGGCTGTGGATCAAAGTAATCGTCGGCAGTCCGAGAAGACGCAGTCGAGGGAACGCGTTGGAAATTGCCAACCCGTAGAGATGTGAATCGCTCGAGTCGAGGCGGCGGCGATAGTGCGGTCCGTTGGCTGCTCATTCTCTGAGACTCGCGTGGACGGCTGCGCTGCGGATACTGGAGAGGTGAGGGACGCAGCGTGGTATCAGAGGAGTCGTCGTCTTCGACGATAGGCGACACAATGTGAGGTTCTTGGTAGACAGACATGACTGTGAAGATGTGGTTTTGGAGCATTCCTTGGCCGCGACCCAGCTAGGACACTACATCTGTGTATATGAGTGAGTACAATCATCTTGGGCCCACGAATGAACTCTCGTATTCTGCCTTGCAAGCACTGCCGCAAACTACTATACCAGTATAGCATTGCCCTGTGGGTTCTCTGGTAGCGCGAGCAAAGGATCCGAGTGCACCTTGCGGCGTCTCACTTAGAGTAACACCAGAAAGGCAACCCATGTTAGGGCTGAGCAAGAAGCGAGACAGACGCCAAGGAGGGGCGCAGGGATGGAATAAGCGACAGAATAAGCTTGCTTGGGGCGGGCTTGATTGAGTTTGGCGATGCGACAAGCTCCCGTCGGGCGTGGCGCCATGGCCCCCAACACGAGCTGCTGCAGTGGGTGAAATGGTACCTGAATTTGGGCTTCGTGATTCCCGACATGCTATTCTCGGCTTGATGCAGCAGCTGACAGGTATGCATTCGCTCCAGTCGGTGCCGTGCCGCAGCGATGCAGGAACAGATGCAGCTTACCTGTTGCTTCGATGTCTCCCGTTGTCGAGGCAGTGTCGATCGTGGACGTGCACATAGGCTTGTCGTTCCTGTGCAAAGATTTGAGGATAAGTACTCACCGAAGTTCTCATGACCACATGCACCCTCTCAAACAACTGCAACAAGACCGTTCAACACAGACATCACATACTTCTTTCCCGACTCAACGTATAACACTTTCAACATGATCTCCTCAACCCCCATCTGGCAGCTCACCGACGCAGTCGTCTCCAAAGTCACCGGCAGCCCATTGATCAGCTATGACTTTGCAGTCGGTAGGACGCCGTTCTCCACCCTCAGCAGCGTCACGGCAGCCCTCGTAACGTACTACCTGGTCATCTTTGGCGGTCGCGAGATCATGAAACACCGCGAGCCCTTCAAGCTCCGCACCTGGACCAAGATCCACAACGTCGCCCTGACCGGAGTTAGTGGACTGCTCCTCGCTCTTACAGTGGAACAGCTCCTTCCCCAACTTTGGTCGCAAGGCCTCACCTATAACATCTGTGGCCACGGCGGCTGGACCGCGCCCCTCGAAGTGCTGTACCTGCTCAACTACCTTACCAAGTACATCGAATTCGTTGACACAGTCCTCCTGATGCTGAAGAAGAAGCCACTCACCTTCCTTCACACTTACCATCACGGCGCTACCGCGTTCCTCTGCTATGCACAACTCCTCGGCGCGACTCCCGTCAGCTGGGTACCCATCACCATCAACCTCTTCGTCCACTGCCTGATGTACAACTACTTCTACCTGACATCTTGCGGCCGCAAGGTTTGGTACAAGCGGTACATCACCATGATCCAGATCGTCCAATTCGTTATCGACCTCGGCTTCATCTACTGGGTCAGCTACAACTTCTTTGCCACCCAATATTTCGAGGATAGTGCACCATTGATGCAGAATCAGTGCGCTGCAAACACTCGGGAGATTGTTGGTGCGATGACTGAGGATAAGGTTCGTAAGCATGAGTTCGCTGCTTTCACTGGACTGGTTTGCTTGACCAGCTACCTGTTCTTGTTCATTGCGTTTTACTTTGCGACGTACAAGAAGCCTGCGTCGAACAAGATCTGTGGTGCTGGGCAGAGCAATGCGTTGCGTGTGAAGGCTCATGTTGAGCCGATGGTAGCGGAAATCACACAGAAGGTGATGAGTGTAGCGAGGCCCTTGGCCTAGACGTTGTCTTTGTATGGCTCCTTTGTGCCCTTGGTTTGGAAGCGCGGCGCATGGTGTTGGTACACTGTCAGAGCCTTCAGATGGTAGTTTTGTTGAATTGATGCATTCTTTCGATACTTGTTCCCTTGCTGTAGGCTTGTGTCTGTGCGCTTTGGTCGTATCTATCGAGGTCGCCTGGAACGCAGTAATCTCCGAGCCTCCAAACCTGGAGAGAGTATGTCCGTCTCGGACGGGCAACGGCAACAGTAAGGGATGCTGAGAGGGGAGATGACCTGAGCGCGCTCGCTTGCTGGATGCATGTGCAATGATTGAGGAGGTGCTCGTCGAGGGTTGGAAGTTGCGCTAGAGTGGTGGTCCCGGAGTGTTTGATGTCTGGAAGTGAGGCGAAGGATCGGACGCTGACCGAAGCGTGGGAAAGATCCGAAGAGTCAGCCAGACAAGGCGTCAAGTACGGCGAGCACGAGCCGAGCCGCGGCGAGGCCCTCATTGAGAGCACCGGACCAAACCTGTTGCTACCAGTCATGTGACATTCGTTCGATAGTTGGGGCTTGCCCCTGCGAAATCGTTGGCTCAGTTCTCTCTGCCAACGCGACGTGCGAGTTTCGACTGCGGTGTGCCTAATCTCGAGCGGCTTTGTTGCCAGACAACCATCGATGTCATATTGAACGGCTGGCGATGCTCCTGCAGGAACACGGAGTAGGAACCTCGTTTACTGCTGCCAGATAATATCTAACATTCCTGCATCGCTCGTACAAGTCGCGGCTTGCCCAGAAAAGGAAAGCTGCGAGATCAGGCCGGCAGAGACGAGGCGTTCTGTTTGGTTGCAAGGACTCCCCAGATGTTTACCTAAGCATAAACTCAGTTGCTCCAAGGCATTGGATTGGCTGCAGCAAAAGGTGCGTTTGGAAGCATTTCGGACCCGTGAACGAGATGGTGTCCGTGTTGCTGAGAGCTATAAAAGCTCTTTGACGTTCCAAGTTCTGAGCAAGAGTGTACGGAGGGACCCATCAACCCTGTTCAAGACATTTAAATCAAGCCCACTCACTGTCATTGCGTGCTTCCCACCTGCTCCACCATCATGGCATCCGAGAAGTCGGAAGCGCTCTTCACTGCCGTCGAAACACGGCGATCCATCTACGGCATCAGCGGTGAGCTTTCCATTAGTGACAAGAGAGTGCGAGAGATCGTCGAACGTGCTGTCAAGCATGGACCGAGTCCCTTTAAGTGAGCCTTCCCGTGTTGACTCCCAGCCCTTTCCAGTCACCGGGCGGGCGCTGTGTGAGGTCTTGCTTGAGGCAACGGTCTGACTCTTGTCCCAGCGTCCAGGCTTCTCGCGCAGTTGTTCTCCTTGGAGCCGAACACCATAAGTTGTGGGACATGGGCGATGCGATATTGAAGGGTATGCTGCCGCCTGAGATATACGAGCGATTAGCGCCTCGAACGGCAGGCTTCAGACGTGGACACGGGACAATCGCATTCTTTGAAGACAAGCAGGAGTTGAAGGAGATGGGAGAAAAGAATCCTGCTGTTGCAGGGATGATGGACCAATGGAGTGAGCATGCGAATGGGATGTTGCAATTCGTCGGTGAGTGCTTTCTGTGATAGAGAATGGTCCGTCTGGTTTGCTGACCGCGTTGTCCTCGTAGTGTGGACAGCACTCTCGCTAGAAGGCGTTGGCTGTAGCATGCAGCATTACAACTTCGATCCGACTTTTTACGGCGGACATGAAGAAGACATGGGGACTTCCAGAGAGCTGGGACCTGAAATCACAGCTGGTGTTTGGCGAACCGAAACATGGTTTTGAGAGGGATCGCGAGAGGACTTATCTTCCGCTTGAAGGAAGGGTGAAAGTGTTCGGAAGCTAGACGTGCAATGAAATCTCGGACAGCATTCGCAGACGTGGTGTTGATGGCACATAATTGTAGCAATTCTGTCGAATCGTGAACCATGCCCATTCCGATTAATTGTGCCGCGTCTCTTTCCCACTGGAACTCGCATCTTCTGGGCGGCAGTTGCCGTGGCTCGGCATCAGTAGACAGCTCGGAGCCTCGGACGCAGCCATGTTGTGGCGAGGGACTGTAGACGAGAGGCAGGTAGATGACCTGCGATGGCCATGCGTTATCGAAGGTGGCAGCGCTGATTTGTAGGGTGACTCAACGACACAGCTGCCGAGCCAGATACTGCAGGGTCTCCGCAGAAAGGACGGGAAGCGCAGAACGTATTGCTTGGCATGCCGTTGAAGCCGAGGCGGTCCTTTTCAGAACTGTAGATCAAGACGCGATGATAGCGAGGCCGTAGGAAATCTGTGATCACGGAACGCTCAGAGGAGCCTATGCAACATGTAGTGGACGTTTCTGTTCAGACGTCCACAACGAATTTGACCAAGAAGACGTTCGTTGGTGGGTGTTAATCACACTTCGGGGAATTTCGAGGACATGGATATTGTGGTGATGAAGCAAGCTTCTCGGGATCTTCAGCGTTCCGACGACAGTGCTGCATAAATGCAACAATCCGAGAGGTTCTCGATTGTTTGATGGCGCACATGACAGCAGGGAAACACAAAAGAGCGCGGTGAAAGGTGGTCGAGTAGGACGCGTCAACCCCGCGCAGTCTGCGGATATGGTTGGAATAGTGGGTTAATGAACATGGTTCATCATGATGATGATGGGATCATCGATCGTTTGGTCATGGGTGACGCGACGATCACTTTCAGGTGCCGAAGGATGCCGCGTATCTCTCCCATTGTCTTGCGCGCCATATGCTTCTTCTGTCGAGCCCATCTGTCGCATTCTGGTCCAAGATGGGGATGAATTTGATGCAGACGCGTCGGTGATTGGTACCTAGGTATGTACTACCTTGCGCGACCATAGAGCCTTGAAGAAACGGGCGTCGGAAGGAGACAACCGCGGAAAATGCATACAGGAAAGTCACGTTTCTCTACAGGCATGGCGGGGCGACTTCTTGGGTGATATTGGGGGTGTAGTCTAGTCGGAAATCGGCAAGTATGGCTGCATCTTTAGGGCATTTTGCAGGCTAAAACCTGCTTGAAAGGTCTCTTTGCCCGCCACCTGCAGTGTTTCTTCCACTCGCTTGGTGTGCTCTTCTGGGGCTTGCAGTGGTTGGCTACTGCTCGTATTCGCCCTCCTTCGCACTTCGCTTTCCTCCTCCACACCTCCTCTGCGTCTCCTCTTTTCCCATCTCACCTTTGCCACACCAGCCCGCGCTATCCAAGACTATCACCGATCATCCGACTTCGCTGTCGCACAGCTCTTCGACCTCAGTCTTTCGTTCCTCATCGACAACCTACGACTGCACGGCACACGACAGTAATCGCTTCTTCCGACACGCCATTTCCTGCAGGCTATACCCCTACCCGCGCAGACCTGAAACAGCTCACTTCGGGGGCCCTATCTCACGTTCACTCCGCGCCTCATCCAGCCCAATACCTGCCACAACTTCACCGACGCCCGTCGAGGCAATACACAACTTCACCAGCGGCAAACCTCAGATGGCTGCGACATACCCTCACCGATAATCTAGAACTACAGCATCTTATCGCCAGGGCTTCCGCCCGATCCGACCATCCCGCGGACATCACCTCGAGTCCGTCCTGAAACGAACCGGTAATCCAAAATACTTAAAAAATGAGCACTTCAGTCAGCTCGACGGCGACCCCGACGGGGTCAATGCCGTCTGCCACTACTAGCGGCAATGGCGGCGGTGGTGGAAGCGGACCGAGCTCGCCGTTGCTCTTCTTCGTCGCCCTCGGCTTTGGCGTTGTCTTCACAAATCTATGGTAAGTTCGCTGCAATGGACCCAACATTAGGGTCATCAAGCTCACTCGCGGTCTCACAGGATCATCGTCGGCGTCAAGTATTGCTTTCGCTACAATCAGCGCAACCGAGCTCGTCTGGCTGGCGAAGATCCCGATGCAGTTGATATGGCCAACATGCCACAACGGCGCAGGCGCCGCGAGAAGAAGCTGATGTCCATGGAAGAGGTCAACGAAAAATTCCCACTCACAAAGTACAAGACCTGGCGCAGCAACCAAGCCGAGCAAGGTCTGCCGACTGCAGGCGGCATCACAGCCGATGGCGCAGCTAGTCGCCCCGCCAGCATTCGAGGCGTGGCGAGGGCGTCAGAAGATGCGAACAAGCACACAGAACTCGCCACTACTCAGACGATCTCGACAACAGCAGAGACGGATACGGAGAAGCAGGAGAAACATGGCAAACCTGAAGTCATTCGCGCCGACACGTCCGACGCACAACCGTCGACGCCTCGACCGAAGACCGCCACCTCGACCGACGCACCCGACACACCTGTCATTCAGAAAGTAACATCGAATGATGGCGAAGAGGAGGATGATGACCATATTCAGACGGCGGTGCCCGCCGAGCAGCTCCCAGATCCTGGCGATACCTGCGCCATCTGCATCGATACGCTCGAAGACGATGACGATGTCCGAGGGCTGCTATGCGGTCACGCCTTCCACGCATCTTGTGTCGACCCATGGCTGACGAGTCGACGAGCCTGCTGCCCACTCTGCAAGGCTGACTACTACGTGCCCAAACCACGACCTGAGGGTGACGGAACAACCCCGACTGCGCCACAGACTGCATTCATGGGTGATGGCAGACGACGACCGACGATGGTCCTGCCAGGCCGCTTCATGTCGATTGTATATGACGAGCGGGACAGATATGGCTTCCCGCGAGTCATGCGTCAAGAGACACCAGCCGAGCGACGACGGCGAGAGCGTCGAGAACAGCGGTTGCGAGAACGGCATGCCGCCAACGGTGGAATTCCCGATGTGCCTCCCAATACGGCTACGGACGGTGCTGAGGCTGGAACAGAAGGCCAGATTCAGCCGCAACAACACCAACAGAATGGTGGATGGCGGTCTCGTCTGCGCATCCCGAGAATACGATTCAATCACGGCGCTGCCAATACTCTGGTGGCCAGCGAGGGCGTGATGCCTTCCGACGAGCAACGGAGGAGCGGGACTCAGAACAGAGCACCCGAGATCCACGATGGGTCAAGAGAGCCTGTGACACCGGCGCAGCTCGAAGCCGGGCAGCAGGGCCAGTCGCAGGCTGGAAGAGGATAGGAGTCCTTCGTCCACCGTCCATTTCAGGTTGATGGGCGGCTCATGTATCCCCCGGCGACGTACCCGTCCTGGTGCTGAGGAAAGAGCTCGTCGAAATCACGTTGCGCTTGGGAGTGCTTGTCTGTTGTCGAGAGTTTGCGAGACTGCTCGTAGCAATCGTCTCGCAGTGGTCCGGTTCAACAGGATGATATGGACGGTCCCAACATTCACGCCAGAAACTTGCAAGCCACATGCTTTGCGAAGGCGACATGATTGCCCCTGACTGCACCAAAGCCGATTGCCGTCCCGAGGCACGCTGTCAAGCATTTACAATCCTACAGGATTCAACTCGACACTGCAAGCACTCTCGGAATGATGGCAGAATAGTTGTACAATGGCTAGGACATCCAAAATACAATGGCTCGTTGACATGGCTATAATTCTGGATGGATTCGCAGAGCCAGCGGAAGATGTTGAAGAGAAGCAAGTTGATGTGATCGGGTGATACAACGATGAGAACGAAAGGAAACCCTGGCATTATGAGATTACGCATGGATGGGACATGAATATATTTTGATAGCGTTAGCGGGTAGGAATCACGACTCGGACACGATCTCATGACTTTTCCCGTGCAAGTCTTCTTGACCTGAGAGTATTCGTGTCATCCTTCCCGTCACCTCCCACGTGCCGTCCCATCCGTCCAAGGCTCTTCTTCCCCAAGATGGCCTGTCCCTCCTCTCGATATATTGAAACTTGCAACGTTATCCCTCTCCGCCTGCTATATACACCAACGCACACGTCATATTCCCACCACATACATACAGTATAGGCATCTCTTACTCGCTTGCGGTCTCTCGCACTTAGTGCTATCATCACCTGGATTCTTATGCCTGTTAGATCTTCACAGCCCGCCCAAGTCCCCTAACGCACCCCGCAACTCTTTGATCGCAGTTGGTACATCCTCGAAATTCAGCGCGCTGATCGCCCACCGGCAGTGTTTCTGTGCTGAGAGCATTGCTTCTTCATCGACGACCGCAGGTGGTCCGGCAGGTGGCGGTGGTGGTGGTGGTTGCGGTGCAGGCTGCGTGTAGTACGCCGAGGGAGGGGCGGCGTGTGTTGTTGCTGCCGGAGGAAGAGGTGGTTGTGCTTGTGGAATGCTTGCAGTGGGTGGTGGGAGAGGTTGGGTCTGCGCTGGCGGTGGAGGTGGTGGAACCGGACCATGATGCCCTCTCGAAGTTTGTGGTTGCGGTGGTGGGCCCTCGTCGATCGATCGGCCGTGGTGATGTGCCGGTGCTGGTGGAGGAGGGCCGGAGCCTGTTCTCGCATTTGCGAACACTGAGGGGAAGGAAGCCTCATCTGCGGCGGCGAATGAGGTAGGCGATTGTGTCTGGGCTTGATTGCTTGTTGAGCCAGGGACTTCGGGGAAGTAGTTCCCACCGATCGAGGGCTTTCGTTCGGCTGGAGGATCGAGAGGCGAGACCGGCGCATTGTCCCCGCCGGTGCCTGCGTGGTAGAAACTCAAGGGGTCTTGCTCGATCGGTGAAACACTTCCGCCTGTAGGCGCTGCCGGTGGAGGTATCGAAGGCGCGCGAGACGGGTGAAGTGATTCGTCGTTGGTACTTGTTCTTGCAAGCTTTGCTTGCAGTCGATCGGCCTCATCTGGAATTTCGATGACAGACGGCTGTCGCGGCTTTGGCGCTGCGGAGGGATCTCGCGATGGGTGTAGGGACTGGTCGATGGAGCTGGTCTTTGCCAGGGTATGCTGCGTCCCATCTGCCTCGTCTGGCACCTCGACCACGGACGGCTGGCGCTGTCTGCCTTCCCCTTCTAATGCCTGCACTTCTGGGTCGTTAGGATCGAGCTCGGGCTGTGGTTCGGGCTCCGCAGGCGCAGGATTCGAGTCATTTGGATTTTCGCCGGCTTTGATGGCTTTAAGGATGCGTAGGGCGTGGTATTTGCCGTACTTGATCTTGGACACGATCTCAGGCTCGATAGGTCCCCATATTGCGAGGAGATCGAGGAAGGTGGATGCGGCTTGGAATGTCTCTGCGGTCTGCTGCGAGGCTTTGTTGGCGCGTACGGCGTTGTCGGCTCGGGTGAAGGTCTCGAGGCCAAACTGCTCGACGTATGCTTTGCCAGCGACATCGTCCGTCACAGCTGCTTCGGCGGCATTTGCGGACTTGAACTTCTCAAGCTTGTCCATCATGTTCGTCGTGAATGTGAGCGCATCCTGATCGGCATTGTGGAGGCCCTTTGAGAGGATCTGGTTGACGATCCAGTAGTCGCACCAGTACGCAACGATCGGCTTTGCTTTCTCGAGTTGAGCTGCCCGGTGCGCGAACCGAGCTATGTCGGCGGCCTTGAGCGATGGAGGTACTGCTGTCGCCATAATTAGTGTGGACGGCGGGCTCACCGCCGTCCTGAGAACCTGAGAGTTTCGTCTTGGTTCCTAGGCGCGATCAGATTGCGGTCCAGGCATCTGTCGATGAACAAGATATGACGTCCAATTCCCCGCGGTCGAGGCGAGGCTACTTTACAGCCTTGTCGCGTGGAATCGGGACGCGTGGAATCGGGAGATTCGGTCTTTCTGTGCCATTGACACCATTCATCACCTCCAGCTGCCAACGACTTGATAACACTTGATGCCGGAGATGTCCCTGTAGACCGAAATACCAGTTCCATCGCGGCAGCGACGACAGAAAAGCAGCTGACCAAGGTCAATGGCCGTGACCACGTCCTGACAATCTTCCCTTCGCCGTGTCTTGCAGGACTATGCAGAAGCTCGCCCCAACAAGTAGCAGCAGATGCTGACTTGAGATGGCATATTCTCCAGCTGTTCAGACCACAATGTTGGGTGTGAAAGAAGATGACGATGAGATCGAGGCCGCGACGACTTCTTATACCCCTCTGCCGAAGTGAACATCAGAGCAAATATGAAGCAATTGGGCCACTTCCTCGTTGAGGGAGCATTCACTGTTCGTTGCATGTTTCAGAGATAGCTGGTGCTTGTGGTCACTCACTTGAAGGGCCATCAGAGCGTTTCTCGTCTTGCAACAACCTGACTGGTCTCCTGGGCCACGCCCACGAAAGTTTGAGCAGTCTTCCAGTTCCCCGCAGTTGCAACCTTTTTCCCCAGAGAATGAACTTCTCCAGATCATTGACAAGTCGACTCGATTGGCTATGCTCATGTACCTACACACGGACGAGGGTCACCCCCTCATCAGTCGCGTTTGGACGTGATGAGGGGATTCCATATCCTCCGGGCGTCAAGCTGGCGAGATTCTGACTGACTTGCCTACCATCCACCCGTGGACCGTGCGTTTAATGTAATCTGTCTTGGTGACAATACAGCTACTTCCACTAACACGTGCGTCTGCTGGTCGTCCCCACTGACAAATATGCCTACCGCCTACGTGACAGGAGGTGCCTCGGGGCTCGGGAGAGCTACAGCGCAGATGCTTGTGAAGAATGGGCAAGTGCATCCCGACGACATCCAAGACTGTATCTGACAAGTATCAGCATCAAAGTATTCATCGCCGACCAGAATGCTTCCGGCGCCGAGGCCGTTGTCGCGGAACTTAACAAGTCTGGCCAAGGCATGGCTCAGTCCGGACAGCTCGACGTCCGCGATTGGAACCAACAAGCCAAAGTCTTCGGCCAAGCCATCCACGCTCTAGGAGGACGAATCGACTACGTCTACTCTATCGCCGGCATCAATGAACGTCGCTGGATCGACAACAACCCGAGTGCCGAAGGCTTCCAAGCGCCAGACCTCAGTGTGCTAGACGTGGACGTCACTGGGTTGATGTACACTGTGTCTCTGGCAGTGCAGCAGTTCCGAAGGCAAGACAAAGACTCGAACGGCTTCAGAGGCAAGATTGGTTGCGTTGCCAGTGTATGTGGGTTCTACTGCTGCCCAACTCTGCCGATCTACACCGCAGCAAAACAGTGAGTCACTGTCATTCTCCAGGTCTTCCCGTACTGACCATCTGCAGCGCCGTCGTCGGCTTCGTCCGCTCTTACGGCAAATGGCTTCCCGAAGAAGGCATCACCTTCAACGCCGTCTGCCCCAACGTCGTCCGCACAAACATCTCCACCCCTGCGTTCTACGACAGTCTGGAAAAGGTCAATCTCCTTACGCCTCTGGAGTCGGTTCCCGATGCCTTTGAGAAGCTGCTCGGCGCCAACAAGGATTCCGGCGAGTGCTACGAGACCGGTCCGAACTACCACAAAGGGCAGGGAGTCCTTCAGACCCGGGGACCGCCATTTGTCGACGATGAAAGTGCCAAGGTATTCGATATGCTGTATGCGAGAGGAAAGCCGCTGCATCTGCCGAAGTGAGCAGGAATCCAGAAGAAAGCGCTGTGGCAAAGGACTCCCCGGCCGGGACGGTGAAGCATTGCATTTCTGGTTCTGCGGACCAATTGAGAATGCGATCTGACGGCTTCGCTCTTCTTTCAGACCACATGCTATCTGAAATCCTTTCACAGCTTCGCCTTCTCCGCATCAACAGCATCGAACGAGCTCAACCCCGTCTTCGCCTCCCCAAGCCGCTTCCGCGTGAACTTCCCCGTGCTCGTGCGCGGCAGACTCTTCACCTCCCAAACCCCACCTTTCAGCTTCTTGTATCCACTGACCTTCCCGTCCAGGCTACGTTGAATCTCCTTCAATGCTCTTACTTTCGCTGCCTTGTCCGTTATGCTCGCCTTCAAAACTACAAACGCAGTCGGCACTTCAGTCATCCGCTGCTTATCAACGCTCGCACCCACCGCCACGTCCGCAATCAGTGGATGCCCGTTGAGATACCCTTCCAACTCCGTTGGCGCAACCTGGAAGCCAGAAGACTTGATCAGCTCCTTCGTCCTGCCGACCACCGTCAAATACCCCTCCGGCGAGAACGTGCAGACATCGCCCGTATTATACCACCCTCCTTCCCGGAACGCAGCCGCCGTCGCGGTCGGGTTGTCCACATACCCAGCCACAACGTTCGGGCCCTTGATCCACAGCTCGCCGGCTTCTCCCTCCGCTGCATCTTTGCCCGTGTCTGCGTCAACTAACCGCGCCGACATCCCCGGCAAGATCTTCCCCAACTGGCCGCGAATCGGCAGCGTCTCGGACACAGTCTGCCATGTCACATACGGCGCCGCCTCCGTCATGCCGTACAGCTGTACAGTCTTCCATTGACCTTTACTCATGAACCGATCATAGATCTCCTTTGGAAGCGGCAGTCCGCCGACCACCATCCTTTGCACGCTGCTCAAATCGTACCGCTCGCACAAGTTGGTGTCCGCGATAGCAACAGCAATCGCGGGCGTACACTGCATCGCAGTCGCCTTCTCCCTCTCCACAATCCTACACAGCGCCTCCAGCTCGAACTTGGCCATGATGAAGTGGCACATCCCCACCAATGGCCCGAGAAACAACGGTATCGTGGTATTGGCGATATGCACGTACGGCGTGAAGCTGACAACTCGTTCGCGCTGAGCTGCGTGGCTGCGGGCGGAAGGCGAGAAGCGTGCTGGGTCGTGGGCGAGCATTTGCAGGACGTTGGCGACGTAGTTGTAGTGTGAGAGGGCGACGCCTTTGGAGGAGCCGGTCGTGCCGCTGGAGAGGTGGATTGAGGCGAGGCGTTGGCGAGTGTTGGGGTACACGGGTACAGCTAAAGGATCATTGGCGAGGAAGGATTCGATTTTGGGGTGGGTGGTGCTGTCGCCGAGGCCGATGATGATTTGGGGAGCGGCATAGCTGGACTGCTGTGTCAGTGCGAGCGTAATGCCCTCCTGAAGTCTGGGAAGAGTGTCGGAGGAGACGGTAATGTATTCCGGTTGGCAGATCGCGAGGGCGTTGCCTAGTTCGTGCGGAGTGAGCAGGTGGTTGATCGGGCAGAAGACGCCTCCGAGCCAGAGTACGGCGTGGCAGCACTCGAGGTAGGCGACGCTGTTGGGCAGGATCACGGCCCATCGGCTCTGATCGCGAGGGTGGAAGGCATCTGTGAGCCCGGCGGCGAGGCGACCAGCTGTGGACTTGAGTTGCTGGATGGTGAGTGTGCGGTTGAAGTCGTCTTGCGCTATGATGGTGCTTGGTTCGTATTTGCTGTTGTTGAGAAGCTGGGTGAGGTTGAGGTCCTGCGGTATCGTGATGTCCTTCTCGGAGTGGTAGATTCGCATGTTTGTGGTGGGATCGGCCTCGACGCGGCCTTTGGCAACGACTGTACGTAGTCACGGATCCGTCAGTCTGGATTGCCATCTTCATATTCGGGTAATGTTTGTTGTCGATTTCGTATTGCTGCTGCGTACGCAATGTGCCGAGGTACAGCAAATATATTTGGAGATGAGGTCAGCAAACGCGAGCTACCTCAACTCTTCGTTACAGCGAGCACTTCTAAGCAAAAGCAGAGAGTAGTCGAGAGCGCAACAGGAACAGCTTTCCAGCAGAATCGTAGCATAGGCATTGCAACAATGGGCCATCCTACACAAATCCCACCGCCGCTAACACCCACGTTTCTCAAGCTTACCTTCCCTTCCCCACGAGTTGTGCTCGTGACGATGGACCGCCCCTCCGCCATGAATTGCATCAATGCCGCCGGAGCCGAAGAGCTATCTGCCGTGTGGACGTGGCTAGACGAAGAGCCTAACCTGACAGTCGCTGTGATCACTGGTGCCGGAGATAAGGCGTTCTCTGCGGGCGCCGACTTGAAGGAATGGTCTCAGTCACTGCAACCGGGAGGCCCGGAGCGGAGAGTCACAAAGTCAAAGGGTGTAGGTCTGAGCAGGAGAAGAGGCAAGAAGCCGGTCATTGCGGCAGTCAACGGCCTGGCTCTTGGTGGTGGAACGGAATTTGCTGTTAATTGCGACCTCGTTGTTGCAGCTGAGAATGCATCATTCGGGCTACCTGAAGTCACCAGAGGCGTCGCTCCATTTGCAGGAGCGCTGCCTCGACTTATTCGCAGCATTGGATTGCAGCGAGCAAGCGAGCTGGCTCTGACGGGGCAGCGTATTTCGTCACGCCAAGCATACGAATGGGGATTGGTCAATAAAGTGGTTTCGCAAAAGGGTGTCGTGCAGGAAGCCTTGCGGTATGCAGCACTTATCGCCGCCAACAGCCCTGACAGCATCATCTGTACCCGAGCTGGGCTGCGAGAAGGCTGGGCGAAGGCGGATGTGGAAGATGCGGTGCAGACCACGATGGACAATGAGTTTGCGGAGCTTCAGAAGGGCGAGAATATCAAGGAAGGTCTGAAGGCGTTCGCGGAGCGAAGAGAGCCGCGTTGGAAGCCAAGCAGGCTGTGAGAGCACCTCGTAAATTCATCAAAACAGTGCGATGAACGTCTTGATGAAAAGTAATGACTTGAAAGCGGCTTGCTGCTCTGATGAAGCAGCGGCCGATTGTTTTCGAGCTTGGCTTGGCGCATTTTGATTGGCTGCCGATCTTGGTGCTGAGATTGGCGAACGAAGACTTTCCACAGGTTGCTCTCCTCCACATCACTCTCCATTCTTACATCTCTGACCTTATTGCGGGAGAGGCCTTTCATAGATCGCTACCATGGAGCCTGTGCAGACTTTCGTGGCCTATACCGGAGACGCGTACGCAATCGAACGCACCCTCCGCTTCCTCCAAGCCACTTTCGGCGTTCTGGCCAGTCTGTCGACGGACGTAGCATATGTAACACATTCAAACCTCGCAAGAGCGAACATCCACCTCGCCCGCCGCTTCTATCGCGCCTTCAAATGGATGGACTGTGTCTACGAGGTCTTTGCAGCCCCGAAATTCGACTATGGCGGACTGCACGAGAACGTCCGAATGCTCAAGGACTCGGCTCTGGCCATGTACTTCTTCTTCGACATGCTCATACTACCGACTGCTGTGGCTACGCCCGTGCAGACTGGCTTGATGGCTTCATCGAAGAGATGACGGGCGTCCGTGGGCCTGGGAATGCCACGCTCGAGAATACGGCCCTGACATGCTGGTTTTACGCGATTCTGCTGTCCATTACGCTCAACCTGATCGAGTTGTCGCACATCTCAACAAAGGCTGCATCTGCCGAGAAGGATGTCAAGGCGAACGAAAAGTCCCACGGAACGAAGTCTCCCGTGGCCAAGAAAGAGCGACTCAAGTCAACCTCTACGTCAGCGAGGGAATTGATCTGCAACGTTCTCGATCTCGCTATTCCCGGTGTCGCTATTGGCTACGTCAAGCTTGATCCGGCCTATGTTCATATTGCAATGGCAACAAGTTCTTTGATCACGATGAACGCAATCTGGAATCGGATCTATGCGGAGAAAGAAGCGGCCCCATCGTAGCATACGCCGTTCACGCCACTTCGACCTCAGGCTCATGTGAGAACGACGCCAGGGTCGCGCATGTCGAACTTCGTGCAGTCCTCTGCTCAGGCTGGCTGTGCACTCTGTCTGCCTCGGCGCATAGCCTGGCTGGCAAATCAACACTGTCAAACCCTCTGAGGCGTACGATATTGTGGGCACAAGCTTCGCAACACGTCGCAGAGATAAGAACGCGTAGTCAGGAGCCATTCCGGTCAGCTTACGGCTGTTCCAAGTCGAGTCTTCCAGAAAAGCACTGCCAAGCTCTTGTGTTCGGCGGCGAACAAGTGCTTGCCTCCAAGTGACTATATCTCGCTAATAGAGGAAGCTATCGTGTTGCGAGAGCATCCGATTCGCTCGGTTTGCGAGGCGGCGACGGCTTCATAATGTACCCACTCCGCCGCTACTGTGTCTACACGACGAGTATGTTCGCGAATCGCGGAGCGAGCATCGTTCTTGCATTGATGCAGTACGAAGTAACTGAATCTTTTGCATCACGGCTGTTACAGGCTTTCGGATATGGCCGGTTCCAATAGGACATCCTGAGAATGTCTCGTCCCTGGAATATCGTTCAGGGTCACCGAACGAGACTCACAGTAACGTGAGGGAGCCAATAATCTACCTCTGCATCTTCTGACGCCAATATGATTCACGGCGTTACCGACGTTGCATTCGCGGGACGTTTACCTAAAGGATCAGAAATGCTGACAGCAGGAAACTGATAGCTGGGGATGACGCCTGGAAATCCTTCTGGAAGCCTTCCCTTTAGTGGAGGTCTTTCAGGCCTCGGCGCTTGACATACGACCATTGGCTCCCCTAGAGATAGCCCCCATCCCCGCCGGATTACCATAACATAGATGCTTATGCGATCTCTCCGTCCGCTCTGCCTCTTGACCTGCGACATCTCAGTCGATAAGTCGCATGCAAACGATCGTTGTCGACCGCACTGCAGCTTTGCTCAAAGCCCCGAAGCTCCACGATGCCGACAAAGGTTCTTCATACAGGCCTCCTTATGCTCGCTTAGCGTTACCTTGAGGAGGCTTCGATCGGCTTGTTATCATGTCATCGACACGAGAAATGACCAACAAGATTTGGCCGCGCCACCGCCGAGTACACGCCGAGCCGCGGAGAGCTTGGCAGAAATCTTGTAGCTCCGCCTCTTTGGCCTTCACTGGCTGTCCGTACAATACCAAGACCGCCGAGCCGCGCGATGGCGCTCAAGCTGTCGTTGATTTCCACCGCGCCCAGATGCGGCACACCATGATCGTATGACATAGGATCTGAAAGACGTCGACCATTCCAGTGATAGGCCACATTTCGCTATCAGTACAGTTGGAGACACGACAAGGATCCGAGATGTCCCCAGCAGCAGCTCGCGCGTCAGGCTGTGCGACTAACCCCTCAGACGAGCAGGGTGCAGTTCACGATCACGCGAGCGGGAGACTTAATTCTTAACCTTCCGTCGCATGTCAACCACCTTCGTCTTCGCCCTCCACTTCTCACCGAGATTGCGACGTTTCTGCTTCGCCATCATTCGCAAACATGTCGAAGGAAGCACATTTGGCGGGCTCGCCCTCCGATGAGGAGAAGCCCCCTCTTGGACAGACTCGCCGACCCAGCGCTGGCGAGGCCGGCATCCCCATCAACTTCCGTGAGGAAGACTTCCTGACGCGCAATGGGTTGAACTTGAAGAGTTTCCAGCGACGTGAGTTCTGTTAAGGCACAATCCGACCGCAATACTGACAGCGCGTCAGGCGATTATGGCACTGGCGCCAGCGAGCTCGACCGATCGATGAAACCTCGACATCTCAACATGATCGCCATTGGAGGTTCCATTGGCGCTGGTTTCTTCGTTGGTTCAGGCTCAGCTTTCACATCTGGTGGACCCGGTTCTGTCTTCATCTGCTTCTTGATTGTCGGCATTATGATGTTCAACGTTGTCTATGCGCTTGGAGAACTTGCTGTCATGTATCCTGTCTCTGGTGGTTTCTACACATACTCGGTCCGCTTCATCGACCCCTCTTGGGGATTCGCTATGGGCTGGAACTACACTATGCAATGGATCATCGTATTACCGCTGGAATTAACAGTCGTATCCTTCACAGTCGCATATTGGAACAAGGACGTTAATGTGGCTGTCTGGATTTCAATCTTCTGGGCTTTCATCATCTTCGTCAATATATTCGGCACCCTCGGGTATGCTGAGGAGGAATTCGTCTCGTCATGTTTCAAGTTGGCAGCTACAGTTATCTTCATGATTGTGGCTGTGGTCTTGATCTGTGGCGGAGGCCCATCCGATGGCAAATTCGATGAGTACTGGGGTGCTCGCCTGTGGTATGATCCAGGCGCGTTCCAAAATGTGAGTGTGATTGTCGCGAACTTTGACTCCCGTCGTACTGACAGCCATTCTCAGGGGTTCGTTGGTTTCTGCTCAGTCTTCGTCACGGCCGCGTTTTCGTTTTCAGGGACTGAGCTGGTCGGTCTCGCTGCTGCGGAAGCCCAGAATCCGACAAAGGCCTTGCCCAGCGCCATCAAGCAGGTCTTCTGGCGTATCACCCTGTAGGATCTTCCTTCCCATTCCTTCAAACTGACTGCCCGCTAACTGAATTGAAGCTTCTACATCCTCGGTCTCACACTCGTTGGCATGCTCGTCAGCTCGACAGATGAGCGCTTGCTTAACGCCGACAATCCCTACGCTGACGGCACATCTCCCTTCGTGCTCGCTGTCAAGGACGCAGGTCTCACCGGCTACGACAGTTTCATGAACGTTGTCATTCTTGTCTCTGTCATTTCGATCGGCGTCTCCTGCGTCTACGGCGGGTCTCGCACCCTGACTGCACTAGCAGAGCAAGGCTACGCTCCCAAGCTCTTCGCTTATGTTGATCGATCTGGTCGGCCACTGATGTCAGTCCTTCTCAACCTAGCGTTTGGCGCTTTGGCATATATCGTACTCGCCTCCTCAGGCAACGAAGTATTCTCCTGGCTCCTGGCTTTGTCTGGCTTGGCTGCATTGTTTACATGGGGCTCAATCTGCTTCGTAAGTTCCTTCCCTTCACAACGAGACTTTCCTCGATTCTAACATCCTGCCAGGCTCACATCCGGTTCCGCCAGGCATGGAAGAAGGCTGGCCGCACCGTCGATGAAATCCCCTTCCACGCGATCTTCGGCGTCACTGGCTCGTGGGTCGGTCTCTTCCTCGTCGTCATCTGCCTCATCGCTCAATTCTACACTGCGATTGCCAAGATTGGAGGCGGTACCAATGATGCCGAGGGCTTCTTCAAGGCCTATCTCGCTCTGCCCGTCGTCCTCTTCTTCTGGGCTTGCGGCTATCTCTGGAAGCGCGAGGGTGTCAAGAAGCTTGACCAGATCGATTTGGACACTGGCCGCCGGCCTATTGATTGGGAGGAGATTCATGCTCAGCGTGCGCGCTATGCGTCCTGGCCGATTTGGCGCAAGGTGCTTAGCAAGATCTTTTAAATGCGAAAGGCGTGCGATTGACCTCAGAGCTACGCGAGATAGGATGCCTGGGCATTCCAGTACTGCCATGCATGCTCCATGTGTTGCCTGAGGTTCAGATATTTCTACAGAAGAACCGATGCATTATGCATTACTTACAACCATGCTTACCTTGGGAGTTCGTAAGCCACTGCCTGCCCCCGAACACATGCCATGATAATGACGGACCACGAAGAACTCGTCGGCTGACGTACTCTTCTACGAAGGCTGCTTGACGGCTCCCAGCTGAATGTAGTAGTTCAGCAGATCCGAGCTACTTGTCACATTGTAGATCAGCCTCGATTCCAGATCCACCTTCAAATAGTCTGTCCCACGATAGCTGATTGGTGTGCCAACCGTCACGTTACTGTTCTCATTAATCAGTTACTAATCCTCTTTATCTGCTCTTGGAAACAATAACACCGCGGAAGCAGATTTGCTGTAACTTACACGCCCGACGCTTGGCGCTAAGACTATCGCTTTGCCATCTCACCACGCTGGTGTCGCAGCTGGCGAAGCTCTCGATGATAGAGTATGTGACATTGGTGACCAGCGAGCCACTGTAGCCGGAGCCGCTGACCGAGTTGTACACTGCGCCTGCGGAGTCGTACACAGCGGTGGCGTTGCCAAAGGATGCACCTTCATCGTAGTACTAAGGGCCATGGTTCCGTCAGTGGCTGGATCCGCGCGCAAGTCACGATAGCTGGATAAAACGGAGTGAGAACAAGGACCGTACAGTGAAGTTGGAGGTAAGTGTGCTTGCCACGATCGCGGAGCCGGTGCCGGTGCCGTTCTCGTTGGTTTGGAAGATCTGCAGCCAACGAAGGGCGATGTTGTAGGATTCGCCCGGGCTAAGGCACGGCGTTGATGAAGATGCCCTGACTTGTGCTGCAGTCCCGGTCAGGAAGATGTACCACCAAAGTAACATTGGCTGGAATGATCGGAGCATGTTGCTGAGAGGAGCTTCTTGGACAGGTCGAATCTCATGTACGCACAAAGCAGGCCGCGCCGGGTCTATATGTGGCCAAAGACACTCCATGGCGCTACAAAGCATGCTCCGGGGCAGCTACGAAAGTCGTTGGCAAACGTCATGCCCCAGATGTACCTGAGTACAGCTGGAGCTGTAGCAATGTCACTTTCAATACCAATTCAGGAATGGTGCAATGCTTTGACTTCTGTGGCTGTCAAAAATGGTTATGATTTGGCGCATGCACAATGTGGAGCCTTTCGAGCTACAGCTCTGTGCCCAAATTGACATGAATGGCCTTCGTTTGCGTGTAGGCGTCAAGAGCATATCGACCGAGCTCCCTGCCAATTCCTGACGATTTGTAACCTCCAAACGGGATGCCAAAATGAGAATCGCCGCTGGAATTGATCCAGACCATGCCAGCTTGCAGCTTGCGTGCTACTCGATGACCTCGCGAGATCTTCTCGGTGAAGACGGCTGCCGCGAGACCGTACGAAGTATTGTTCGCTTTGGCGACTGCCTCGTTCTCAGTAGCGAACTTGCTTATCACGACGACGGGACCAAAGATCTCCTCGCGGACTATGCTGGCGTTTTCATCGGCCTGTGTGATTGTCAGCTTCTCCTGCCAGCACTTTCAACACTGACGTACCTCCGTGAAGACGGTAGGCTGGATGAAGTAGCCCTCGCCGTCAATCTTCGAGCCTCCACTAAGGATCTTGGCACCCGCCTTTCGACCTGCCTCTATGTAGTGCAAGACCCGGTCGAATTGTGCCTTGGAAACTTGTGGACCATGCTGCACGTCTTGCTTGAACGGGTCGCCAACAACGGTCACTTTCTTTGTGTAGTCGACGAATGCTTTGGCGAAATCATCATATACGCCATCTTGAACGTATATCCGAGATGTCGACGTGCAGACCTGCCCAGAGTTGTCCATAATACCGCCATGTGCCCACTTCACGGCCTGCTCTAGATTTGCGTCGTCGAAGATAATGAGAGGGCTCTTACCGCCGCACTCAAGCGTGATGTTCTTCAAGTTGGCCGATGCGGATTTCATAATCGAACGACCTGTGTTTGTGCTGCCGGTGAATGCAATCTTGTCGACGCCAAGATGCCCGGCCAATGCCTTGCCTGTCACGCTTCCCAGACCTGGGAGGACATTGACCACGCCGTCAGGGAGGCCAGCCTCCTGAACAATTTTGCCAAAGTACAGCGCTGAAAGTGGCGTCTGCTCGGCTGGCTTGACAATGACCACATTCCCGCATGCAAGGGCTGGTGCTACCTTCCAGGCCAACATCATGAACGGAAAATTCCATGGGATAATCTGACCACAAACACCGAGCGGTTCCTGTAGCGTGTATGCTAGCTTACTAGGAGAAGTGTCGATTGTGTCGCCATAGATCTTGTCGGCCCAACCAGCGTAGTACTTGAAGACATTGTACGACTCATCGAGATCAGCATCAAGCGCGACACTGTATGGCTTTCCACTGTCGTAGGCATCAATGGCAGCTATCAATGCGCGATCTCGATCGATGAGCTCAGCTAATTTTCGCAGATAGTCACCTCGTTCGACAGGTGTGATCTCAGACCACTCGCCGTCGAAAGCCGCTCGGGCGGCATTCACGGCATCATCAACGTCAGCGATAGACGCGCCGTTGACGGTAAGGACCAGCTTTGCTGTGGAAGGATCGGTAATGTCAAATGGTTCTCCTGTGGCAGCGCGATAAGAACCGTTGATGAAGAGGTCGACTGGTTGTTCGTAGCTAACACCGTTGGGTAGTGTCAGATTCATAGACGCCATCTTCCTCGTGCACGGAAAGTGTTGGTGAGTGACGCATTCTTCCAAGTCCGATAAGCCCTGTCGAACGCTTTTGTAGGTCCATAACTCAATTCGTGGCCTAACACGAGGCCCATCGAGCGAGCTCGATCAGCAGCGAAGTGAGCAAGACACGCGAGGAAAACAACGATGAGTGGACTAGTGCCGAAAACGGGAAAGAAAGGGGCACGTCAGAGACTCCGCTTCCCCGCAAGGTAAGCTCAACGAAAAGAAAGCTTGGCCTAGATCGACGTGTGACGTCGGCACTTGGGATCTCTTCACACCGTTTGCCAGCGTATGTGCGTTCCTTTCCTGCTTGGCTCAAGCGGTCAAGTAGGTCCTCTCGAATGTACCTTCAAGCATCAAACTGAGGTAGCTCCAGACAAGTCCCTACATGTAACGCAATGATGCGCCATGGCGGGCGAGACGCTTATTCTTACGCGTCGGAAAAGCCGCGTCGCCGAAGGATCGTGCTGGACATGTCGAAAGCGAAGATTGAAATGTGATCTTCAGCATCCTGCTTGTGCGCAGTGCACAAGTAGGGAAGTGGCTTGCTCATACAGCTTGAACCCACCCATCAAGTGGATTGGAGGCGCCGCTACACGTGGGCGATTTGCGAATTTCCCATCTCCGGACTCAGAAACACCGTACAGCACCTCGCCAGGCTCACAGCCACTAGAGCCAGGAGAGATCATCCTGTACTTTGCCAACGCTGTTCTACCGCGGTTTCAGATCCCTGACGACCCAATTGTGCTGGATTACGATGTTGTGTTACAAGATGCGCCCCTTCAACAGGCTATCGTCGCCGTGTCTCAGGCGCATTACGCGTTGCATTCTAAGGTTGACATCTACGATGTATCTTTGCTGCGAAAGAGAGCCAAGCAAACCGCGATAGAAGGTTTCCGAAAATGTCTGGAGCAGGGCGTCTATTCTGAGACATCGGCACAGAGACTGTTTGCCATCAACATCTTGCTTTGTATACTCGACGGGATGATCCAACCTGAAGAAGATATCAATGCTTCCATGTGCCATCTTCGTGGAGGGTTTGCTATACTCCAGCAGTGGACCAATACACCAACGCGGATGCTACTACAAGACGGACTACAAGCACATCTCCTCTCGATTTACACCACGATGGATCTTGTTCACGCTCTTCTCAGTGGCGAAAAGCCTTTCTTTGAATCTATCACCTGGAGGATGTTCGCCGATGCACAAACATGGTTTGGGCGTTTGGGCAAGGGGGACCGATTCTTGGAAATTCTGACGGCATTTTCAGAGATGGCAGCGCTCGGTAATGTTGTGCGCGACAACCTTCCCGTTGACAGCAGCTCTTTAATAGAGAAGTGCCTCGGCTCTATTGAGACAGTATTTTCGCGTGACGCGAACGAAGTTGCCTACGAACACACCGATCATACGCCCTGGACACTCTTTTGTTCGGTATACGAAATCTGCGGCTTCATTTATCTTCAGAGAGCATTGCGCCTGCACTCCCTTGCCGAAGAGCGTACACAGAACGCAGTTCGCCGGGGTGTAGAGATGCTCATAGATGATCGGCTCCCGAGTATGATGCAGCATTGTGTCATATTCCATTGCTCGTTATTGGCAGTCATTGCACGTTGGCACAGGACCGCAAAGCCATACTCGAAGTACTCTCCTCCAGTTCCTCATATCTCAGTTTCGGCAATATGATACTAATGGCCACCTTTCTGAAAAGCAATTGGTCATCCAGCGATCCACTGTTGAATTGGTGGGAGTGCTTCGCTCCAGTCTCTCAGAAGGCCTTTCTGTTTTAGCCACAGCTACACAGCTTGCAGTATATGGCAGACGCAGTGAACACTCAGTGCGTCCCGTATCTCCTCCAGTTTCACGGTTCGTATTTGGCCGACCGGCCCCGTTAACGGCCCGGTGTCGCGGAGTGCGAGTCCACTAACCCGAAAAGGCACTCATTTGGGCACGCCACCTAATTGAGGCTAGTCCTATCTCATGACACGGGGAATGCAGACCTCCAACCGAAAGCATGATATAAACACATGATAGCTTCCGGCCACCAAGCGACTCAAACATTCAACTTTGCTATAGCCGTTGTCGGGCTTCCAAACTATGTCTGAGGCATCCAGCGCCGAGAAAGGCCATCTGCATCACGATGGCGGCATTCGCACTGTTGGCGGTGCTGCGCCCCGAGAGGACAACGACCTAGCCGCGCTCGGTTACAAGCAAGAGCTCAATCGAAATCGATCTGTATACACGATCCTGTTTCAGGTCCTGGCCATCACCGCGGTGCCATTTGGTGAAGGTACTGCTCTGACCAGTGCCATTATTGGCGGAGGTCAGCTTGCGTACTTCGTTGGTTGGATTGTTGTTGTGATACTCGACCAGTGCGTCGCGGTCTCGTTGAGCGAGATCGCGTCGAAATTTCCGACCTCTTCTGGTCCATACTAGTGGGTGCCATCTACATGTGATTGCCTGAGCGAAGGACTGACGCCGTCGCAGCTGGACGTATCAGCTTCTTCCGGAAGGCCGCGCTCGCACCATCGCTTCATTCATCACCGGCTGGGTATGGCTTATCGGTAATCTGACCATCTGTCTCAGTGTCAATTTCGGCACAGCATCACTTCTCGCAGGTACAGCAACCATCTACCATCCTGACTGGTTTGCCTCGGATTGGCAGCTACTGCTCATTTTCTACGCAGTCTGTATCGCAACGTTCCTTGTGTGTGCGTTTGGCAATCGTGTTCTGCCCTACGTGGATACAGTTGCCTCTGTCTGGAATGGCTTAACGATCCTCATCGTCTGCATCGCATTATCTGTTGTCGCCGACGCGGGACGCCATAGTGCTGGGTACGCTCTCGCAAACTACGACAAAAGCTTCTCCGGCTGGGGCAACTTCACATTTTTCATAGGCCTGCTGCCAGCTGCATACACCTTTGCCGCAATAGGTATGATTACATCCATGGCAGAAGAAGTTGCAGATCCATCCAAGGACGTCCCGAACGCGCTCAGCTTGGTCGTGCCGATCTCAGGGATCGCTGGCTTGTTCTTCATCCTGCCAATCTGTTTCACAGTACGAACATCCATCCTCATTCGTACCGAGCTAACATGGTCTAGATGCCGCCTCTGGAAGACGTCCTCAACGCGCCAGCCGCGCAAGCCATGCCGTATATTTTCCACACAGTAATGGGGACGCCCGGTGGTGGCCTCGCGCTGATGTTCTTCCTGCTTGGCGTCGCTGTGTTCTGCTGCATCAGTATCACCACCGCTGCGTCAAGAACGACTTGGGCAATGGCACGAGACCAAGCAATTCCGCTCTCGAGCGTATGGTCGAAACTGACGGGCGATGGAGTTCCAGTCATGTCTTTAGCGCTGCTGACAATTGTGCAGATGCTGCTTGGCTTGATCAACTTGGGCAGTACAAGCGCATTCACGGCATTCGCATCCTGTGGTGTCATCGCGCTCGCGGCGGCATACGCAATTCCGATCGGAATCAGCTTGTTCGGCGGCAGGAAAGCGGTGTCGACCGCGCGATGGCGATGTCCAGCTCTGATTGGGTATGTGGTCAATGTCGTGTCAGTAGGCTGGATTGGGTTTCAGCTCGTGCTGTTCAGCATGCCGGCTGCGCTACCTGTGACAGTCGTCTCGATGAACTACGCTTCGGTGGTCTTCGTGGGCTTCATGTTCATCAGTTTACTTTACTACGTCGCATACGGCCGGCGAGGTGAGTGGTGTGGTGTCTTCAACATTACCGGGCTAATATCTCTAGTGTATCACGGTCCACCAGCTAGCGATGGGTTATGAGCTTGCCCGTATGGGTACCGACGCCTTCCTTCAACGAGCACTGACTCGGCCGAACCTAGTTCTGCGTTTTTCGTCAAAGTCTATGCATTACCAATCTGGTAATAGGCCCAACGTGCAAGCCAGCCCTGTTCGACGCCGTAGTGTTCAAACCTTCGTCAATATATCACCACCCCCCACGCATGAAGCCTCCATTCGCTCGTGTTGAAAGTTTTAGTCCTGTCCAGCACGCCATGGATATATATCTATGCGCGGGGTCTTGCCGACGAGGAGCATGCTGGTAACCATTTCATATTTTCGTCCGAGCCGATCGATCAGCTTCTACAACACACGTCAGCACTCTCGTGAGCCCCGATTTGGCAAGAATCGCAACTCACCAAGGTCAGCAATTAACAAGAACGCCCCAGCCATAGCAAAGTTCTTCAAGAAATGCACAACCTGATTCTCATCGCTCCACTCAACATGAAAGATCATGGCGGTCAGAATGCACCAACCGGCAAGCGCCGACGCGACGAGACTTGTGCGCACGCGCAACAGCAGGCAGACCGCGCAGATAATCTCGAAGAGGGCGGCGGGGAGGCGGAGGCGGGACGAGACGCCGTATGCTTCCATCTATGTGGCGGTGGCATCTCCCGAAGTGATCTTGCCCAGTGCAGAGATGAGAAAAAGGGCTGCAGCTCCGAGGGTGGCTGCGTGGTGGACGATTGGGAACGAAATGGCTTTCAGGAAAAGCGTTTCATGTTTGGATAACGATGTCATGATGTTCTGGCGAGAGAGCTCAGGCTGCACTGTGTACAAGCAGGCGCAGGTCGTGTTGGGGAGACAGCCATCGCTATATCATCGTGGTTGCGATGCCTTGGCCGATGAATCGATCTCCGAACGAGGTGGCATGATTGGCCTGTATGGACTGGCAAACCCTCCGATCGGCCAATCATACGTCCTCGCCTGTCCTGGCTGATTACCAGGCTGGCATGATTGTTGAATAAGTTCGACGTTATCACCGTCAGCCGTTCTTCCCAAGTCCAAAGCCGAAGACGGCAAGGGTTTCCAGAAAGTGTGCCAATGACGTTGCTGTTTGCTCGCTTCGTCCACAAATTCAGGCGGCGTCCCTGAAACCCCATCAGTATGTTCAACAATCAAAGCCCTTACGCTTTGCAAACGCGACAAGGCTGGTCTGGGCTCACATGAGCCGCAGCATAATGCAACCACAAGGAATATACGGCAGCACTGACGAATGCATTCAACGCCCGCTCGAAATCATGCTTGAAGGACCTCTTGAACCATACTCGATTAGGGCAATGAGCTCAAGTGGAGCCTTGGCAATATCAAAGATGTATTGGCAGGAGACCATCGGGACCAGCTGCATCAACACTCTTTGTGACAACGAACGTCCCGATCTCCAAGTCTGCGCTCGTGGTATGCGCTCTGCCGTGCAGTCATCGTGAGCTGTGCGTCCGATGCGTCACCCGTGTGCGCACCACTGACGCGCTTCCATGCTAGTCAGTAGTCGAGCAGAAGTCCTGATAGGTTCTCTTTCCTGCAACTGTCGATATCTGCAGTGAAAGCTGCGTGTGTTCGAGCCCTGATCATCGGAAGCGCGCAGGTCGGTTGCATATGCGCTTAGCCTTTGCAATCTGGATGGATCTCTACACAACAGGAGAGTGGCGCTGGAGCCGTCCGAGACAGATATAAACCGTCGTTGCTACGCCCAGGTTCTCGCAAGAGACCCGTTGCAGCTCTTAGCCAGAAGCTTCACACCTCGCTCAACATCGGAACCTCGTCACCACCGATAAGCAGGAATACTATCAATCCGCCGCCATGTCGTCCGCCGAGGCCCAGATCAAGAAGACGCTGGAGGCGTATCGCGACGCCCTAGTCGCCTCTGATGCCACAGGCTGCTCCTCCCTGTATGTCAGCGACGGCGTCGTCATGGCTCAAGGCTTTCCATCCCAGGTCGGCCATGCCGCTGTGCCGATTGGTACAAGCTCTGCTTCTCACTCATCAAGCTCGACGTCGAATTCAGCTTCCACGAAATTGTCATCGTGTCGGACAAGTACGGCTTCGCTCGCACTTCGTCCGTTGGTACCCAGAGGGTGCTAGGGACTGGGAAAGTGAGCAACGAGGGGAACCAGGAGTTGTTTGTCATGGAGAAGCAGGGCGACGATTGGAAGATTGGCAGATATTGCTTCTCAACAACGAAAGGCCCAGCGTGAGATCTACCTCGATCAGAATGCGGTCGCTCTGCGTCTCTCGGAGGCACATTGTTACCCTGGCTCATGCAGCCCGCGGAACACCGCTGTAAATCTCGCGCCATGCCTGGGAAGCTAGCGGCACGACCAGAGCGCGCTTCAAGATTTCCGGGGAGAGCGTTAGAGCGCGACGCCCTGATCGCGGAGCAGTCCAGATCTTTCAAGACAAGCCGCTCGTTGACAATACCTCCAAGCTGTTATTGAGCAATTGAGCTGCTGCTGTCCGTATTCTGGCCTCTTCAGCAAGCCTCTTTTTCGTTCTGCCGCGCTTGCCCTGTTTTCCATTCCCGCTATCTTTAAGATTCCGAGCTTATCTTTCCTTGACCCCGATGCTTGGCCAATCAAGCTCCCGTCTTGTGAGCCTTGGCAATGATGTGATAGCTTAGCGGTTTTTTCTCGCGTTCTGGACGCCCACCGCCTGCATAACGTCAAATCGCCTGACATTTCGCGCTGCTGCAAGTGAGTCTCACCCACGTTATCTACCAACCACGCAGCCACTCGGCCCAGCGAGGGTTCCGCCTGCAGGAGAAAACGATTCTAGCGCGGGATGCCATGTGCAGACTTCGGCATGGCTTTCTCAATGCAGGGTCGGTCTTCCCGCGTTTGCCTCAAGCTCCATTTCAGCTTCGCCTGCAGGTCCTCGTTATCGGACTAGTTCCGTAGGATTGGAACGCCCCAGGTCGCTGTCAGATCAACTACTTCGAAGCACGCCATCAAGCGAGCTTCAGGATTTTTCAAGCCATATATCTTTGGTCTTTCCCCAGAGCCCTGTCGCGTCGACTCCCGGAAATTTCTGCACTTGACCACGAAAGCAAAGCTGTCAGCATACACCATGGCCGACTTCAAGCATGAGCGCAGTTCTGAGGAGAAGGGACGCCGACCCTCCCTCCTGGTCCGTCAACTGGAGCCCGACACCGACGACCAGTCCATTGATACGATCACCGCCCTCGTCCAAGAAGACCACGGCCACGAGATCAAGCTTCGTACCATGTCGTGGCAGAAAGCCGCATGGCTGCTTGCCGGTGACCAAGTCTGCCTTGCAATCATGGCGCAGTCCTGGTCTCTCTCCGTACTTGGCTGGGTCCCTGGCATCCTCACTATGGTATTCGCTGGCATCTTCTTCTGGATAACATCCATGACGATGCACAAGTTCATCATGAAGCACCCTCAGATCATGGACATCTGCGACTTTGGCTACTATGCCTTCGGCAAGTCTCGCATTGCATATCACTTCACGGCATTCATGCTGCTCTGCAACAACATCATGCTGATCGGCTTCCACGTCCTCACCGGCGCCAAAGTCATTAACACTCTCAGCGACCACAGCCAATGCACCGTCGTATTTTCCGTCATCACCACCCTAATGGGCATCGTCATGTCGCTTCCACGCACGCTGAAGCACGTTTCTTTCATGTCCATGTTCAGCGCCGCCTGCATGGGTATCGCTATTCTGCTGTTCCTTGTCTTTGCTGGCATTGAGGATGCGCCTCTGTACGGCTACCTCGGCGAGTATCCTACCGCAGGACCCGTTCGGACGTACGCTTTCCCATTGGCGGGAACAACCTGGGTTGGCTGCATGAATGCCGTTCTCAACATCACCTTCCTCTGGGTCCCGCAGATCTTGTTCCCGACTTTCATCTCCGAGATGGAGCGACCGCAAGACTTCCCCAAGTCGCTTGCTGTCTTAACGGCCATCAGCATCTTCCTCTTCATCGTCCCGCCCGCCATCGGCTTTCACTACTTGGGCCAGTACGCCACAGCGCCAGCTTTCGGAAGTCTAGGGCCTGTCGTATACAAGAAGGCCAGCTTCGCGTTCGTCATCGTCCCCACGTTGGTTATTGGTGTCATCTACGCCAACGTCTCAGCTAAGTTCGTGTACAACCGCCTGATGGGCAAGTCGCATCATGCGCATTCGAACACCATTATTGGGTGGACGGCGTGGGTTGGCGTCATGGCGGTGATCTGGCTGATCGCGTTCATCTTCGCTGAGGTCATCCCATCTATGGGCGATTTCCTGTCGCTGTTGGGTGCGGCGTTCGACTCGTTCTTCGGTTTCATCTTCTTTGCTGTGGCCTACTGGCAGTTGTTCAGAGGCAGGCTGTTCGCAAATGTTGGAAGAGGAATCATGTCGGTGGTACATGCGATTGTGATGGTCGTGGGACTGTTCCTACTCGGCCCGGGCCTGTATGCAGCTGTGGAGGCGATAATCGCTGATTACAGTGGAGGGACCAAGCCGGCGTTCAGCTGTGCTAATGTGGCGATCTAATGGTGGCGATTCATGTTTGCGGAAGTCGCATAACTTCGCTGCGGCACAACAGGTAGATAGCGCACAACGCACCGTGGCTCAGATCTGTACTTTGCAATGAAGGATGTCGAAGATTCACTGTGCAGGACTTCCGGTCGCGCTCCGCATTGAGTTACCTGCACGCCGAGGCTCCAAAGCTCTCACGTGACCGCAAATTTTCAGGCGACCACAGCGCTCTGACTTGCCTTGATGCCGCACGACGTGACCCGAAGGATTGCTGTCAGCCTGACCGAGTTTCGCTTACCCAGTGGTCTTCAAAGTCTTTTTGCCAGACGTGGCCATCGTGCCTAGCCCAGCAAGGATTCCTGTGGGCCGCTCAGGTTCCACGAGCATGCTGTGCACTTGCCCGACGCAGGCGGCGTGCCAGCCCCTTCCAGGGTTGCATTTCTCTTTAAGACTATAAGAGCGTCATGGCCTACTTCGGATTATCCTTGGCTACGCAGTTGGCTGTATGCCTGCTGATATACAAGACCCAGGTGCCGGTACAAGACACGACAGTGTTTCCCCCTTCGACGCCCTGCAGCAAGACTGTGTATCGATTAAACGCCTTTCCGCACTGCCGAGAGCCTCTCAAAGGCGATTGTCAGAAACAACCTCACCTTGAATTCTTCTGACTGCATTGATACTCGGTAAAATGGAGACCATAACGACAGACTATCTCGTCGTAGGCGCTGGCGCTATGGGCTTAGCATTCGTCGATACTGTATGTCCTCTCTGCCCAGTCAGCATAACCAGCGGCAATGCCGAAGCGTAGCGAGTTCCTTGAGCCACTAGCGAGATGCTGACCTATAATCCTCCAGCTCCTCACAGAGACTAAGGCGACGATAAGTTTAGTCGACCGCTATGCCCAGCCAGGCGGCCACTGGACTATAGCTTATCCATTTGTTCGGCTGCATCAGTCATCGGCGCACTACGGTGTCAACTCCCGTATTCTGGGTGATCGTAAGATCGATAAGATCGGCTGGAACGAAGGGCTCGCTTCGCTGGCTCCAGGAGCAGAGGTTGTGGCATATTTCCAGCATGTGGTGCATGATACGTTCCTGCCTTCCGGAAGGGTGAGGTACTTCAATAAGCATGAGTATCTGGGAGACGGAAGGTTCAAGTCTCTGGCCACGGGAAAGGCATATAACGTCGGCGAAGCGACCAAGATTGTGGACGCGACGTATATGCGCACGGAGGTGCCATCGATGCGCGAGCCGCCGTTCAAAGTTGCGGATGGGGTCGACGTGATTCCGCCAAATGATCTGGTCAAGCTCAGTCGACCGTACGGACATTATACAGTCGTAGGAGCTGGTAAGACTGGCATCGAGTGAGTATTCTCCAAGGACCACCATGAAGTCGGATTGCGTAGGACTATTCAGTGCTTGCCTCTACGCATCAGGTACGGTCGTTGATGGTCGCATCTGATCTGAAATGTTGCCGGCTGCATGTCTGGCGAAGCAACAAATGCAACTACCACGCCCTCAATCCTTCATAGAATCTGGAATTGACCTTAAGCGATAGTGCATGCCTCTACCTCCTCGACGCCGAAATTTCACCATCTCAGATATCATGGATCTTGCCGCGCGACCCTTGGTGAGTTCATACTGGCGTTGCCTTTGGACATGGGTCACTTACACGCCCGTACAGGTACTTCAACCGCAATAACTTCCAGACCGGTGAAGAATTCCGTGAAAGAATACTTGCAGCCGGCGCCAGATCAACTGAAGCCATTATGGCTGCCACGGACACACGAGATCTGCTGCACCGGCTGGAATCTGCCGCCCATCTCACCCGCCTTGATCCGTCTGTCGAGCCCGAAGCGTGGAAGTGCGCCACTATCAGCCTCAAGGAACTGGACGCGATACGCTCGATACCCAAGTCCAACATCACTCGCAAAGGGCATGTGACCCTAATCACGGCTAACAAAGTGACGCTCGACAACGGCACGTACGTTCCAGACGCGGATACCCTCTACGTTGACTGTAGCGCCGGAAGCATACCCAAAAGACCAATCGTTCCTATATTCAACGGCAGACACATCACGCTGCAAGCCGTACGCTTTTGCCAGCAGGTGTTTAGCGCAGCGGTCATCGCCCGCGTCGAAGCTGTGTACACGGCCGAAGCCTTCAAGAATGAATTGTGCACCCCGATACCTATGCCAAACCACCCCAACGAGTATGTGCGAGGGTACCTCCAAACCTACCGCAATGAGATCCTCTGGGCCTCGGAGGAGAAAATGAAAGCGTGGCTGGGTGCGAGCAGATTGAACGTGGCTGCATCGCGGATGCCGAAGCCCCCAGAGGACCCGAAGGCAAGGGTCGAGTTCAATAAGAAGATGCGGGAGAAGTTAGTCATGCAGATTGAGAAGCTGGAAAAGCTGATGAGAGCGGACCCGGATAGAGAGCATTGGACGGGTGTGGAGGAGGATATGCATCAGGCGAGGCTGTAGTCAGGGTCAAGTTCGTTCGTTTGGACTGGAGCTGTGGTCATGAAGCTGTCGATGCTCGTGAGACAAATGGCTTGCGTGCGTGACGGTTCGCAGAAGTCCATGCCACAATTATACGGAATCACGATTGCCAAGCTTGAGTCGCGTCCTTCTTGGAGCCGCGTTTGACGCATTCGCTGCTCCTTGCAAGCGGACTCTGTCGAGCACCACATTGTATTGGCAGGCTGTGCAAAACGCACGGAACAACTCGGGCAGTAGAAGACGCGTGGAACGATTGAGGTTAAATCAGACCGCCGCTGTTGGAGCATGTTCATCGATTGTCCATGATTAGTCCACAGGTCCATCAATTGGGAAGCTGCAGGAGATATAGACGCAAAGAGCTACGAAAGCTGTCTCGCGTGAGTGGTACGCGTGAGACGTGAAGGGAGCTCCGGTCGGGCGAAGCTAAGAACGCTATCGCCGGGTCGCGCCCACGCGTCACCATAAGCTCATTTTCTTACAGTAGCAGAACGTACCTTGGCTCCCTCCCAGCACGATTGTTCTACTTATCGCGTACGAGTTACTCGCAGAAGAGGTTTTCTCGACTGTCTGTCGACCTCAGTCTTCTCTAGTAACTTGTCCTAAAACGACAGTTGCCAGTTGTAATAAGGTAACATTTGACTTTACGCGCGGACAAACGCAGCGTGAATATCCGACTGATTTGTTCTGGCGGCGCCCCAATTTGCAAAGGTGTATTCTGGCGTACAATTGCCTTTCGTTCCCCATACTGTGAAGTGGTGGTGTTTTGAGCTTGTCAGCAAAGCCTGATTGCATGCCGAGCCGCTGCGCACGCTCAGGAAACCTCAGTGAGGGCAGGCAGTTGCTGGCAAGCGCATGTTGGCCGGATCAATGACAGAAGTCGGGTGCCACAAGCAGCTTCTGAAACCTACTCTTCAATCGTCGACTCAAGGACTAGTCGACTCAGTCACTGACCAGAAAATCCTAGAGTACACGCGTTGTCTCCCATGTGTTGTTCACGGTCGAGGCAAATCCAGATGGGAGCTCGGAGACGCGTCATTGCATCGCATGCATTGAGTTTTGCTTAAAGTCACTCAACTCCATTCCTAGTCCACTGCCGGCATTGGATTGTTCAGAACTTGCGGTACATCGACCAAAGCTAGGTACATTGCTCTCCACAATTATGCGACTGCGATAGGAGCTTCTCAACATAAGATCCCTGTCTCGACCAACATGAAAATGGCACATCACAGCTCGGCGAGCACAAAAATCACGCAGAGCAGTGTACGACTGGTATAAACGTCGTGCCGCCTCTGAGCTACACCTCGCCTCTCGCCTCGCAGCATCAGATGGCAGCATATCTTGCTTTCGGCTATTTAAGTAATCTTCACTTGTCAAGCTCACGCATGGCAATTCATTACTACCAGGAGCTCGGTCGGTACTGTCATCGACCACGCCCGTGAGCGCTGTCGCGTTCCGCAGCCACGAATGTGACCTCTCAGCGACCAAAAGGCCAAGGCTAGCCGTCAGACCGCGGGCCGGCTTCTGAGCTAAGGCTGTGGAGCATATGCGCTCTGTCAATCCGTCGTATCGACACTTCCGGGCAAGATGTTGGACATTCGGAAGATCCTCTCTGCGCCTGGCGCACGGCAAACTGTCACCAAGACTGCGCCATCCCCTTTCCTTCCTCACGCCGACGTGGCTCGCACCGAAAAGGCCCTCGGTCCAGCTCGGGCAGGTAGAGCGAAGAACGACGCCGATTCAACATGTCTCGGGGGTTTTCTTGCGCTAGACCACATATCGGAAGACGTTCAGGCCGTGGTGGACGGGACAAAAACGCTGACTTTGGATCGCTGGCTTGACCGGCTCGTTGCGTGGGCCGGATCGTGGCAGATGCTTCTATTCACCTTCATACTGGTGCTATCTTGGGCATTCCTGGGCATTCCTTTTGGTAATGCAACCGACTGGCAAGTCGCTATATCCGATGTCCAAGCCTTGGCATGCTATGTGCTCGATTCTTTGCTCATGCGCCAGCAGCTGAATGCCTATGATCACGAGATCGGTGTCGCAGCTATCTTACAGAGTCGCTCGGTCAGCATACGTCGCATGATTGGAACGTTGCACGCGAGCAAGACGACTGCCGCTGCAAGAGAGTCAAATGCCCAGCTCTTGGAGCCAGTCCACAAAGACACGTACAGACGCTCTCGCCTTGATTCTACCATCCATGCTCTGTGCCAACTGTTCGGCAGCCTTCCTTCGCTACTCCTCTTCTGGGTGTGCATTATAGTCTGGCTCAGCTTTGGCCCGTACTGTTCCTGGAGCGCAGAGTGGCAGCTGTACATCAATTCTGCTACATCGGCACTGATGCTACTGGTCTTCATGCTCTTGGCTTGCGTGCAGGAGCAGCATCGCTGTGAGATGAAAGTCTTATCGACGCGGGTTTGTACTCTGGATTCAAAGCTGGAGGTACAATTGCGCATTGCAACTCGAGACAATGTGCCAAATGAGGTCGCTGCCATCTATCCCTGCCCAGTCAGCCTTCTCGAGCGCGCCATCTCATACTACGCGGACCTGGTTGGTACGCTTTTCGGCGTCTCACTGCTGATCCTTGTCTTTATTGCCTGGGTGGCTATTGGACCAGCATTGCAGTTCAACTCGAATTGGTGGCTCGTCATTGGCACATATGCTGGCTTGATAGGCTTGCACGACGGGTTCGTTCTGCACAATGTCCGTCATCAGCTCGACCGAAATAGCCGACTTGCGCTCGCGAAAGTCAATGCCGATGATACGGAACTACTGGCCGCTGCAGGGGTCCCTCACTGCGAACCCTTCGCTGTCCAACATGGCGACGTGGAAGGCGGTCGACCGAGAGGACAGTCCCAACAGGCGTATTCACGGATCAACATAATGTTGTCTTCACACCTTGTCCGTCTGATGTCGCATCCATTACTGGTCGTTGCAGGCATTGTCTTCATCGCTGGCTCAGTTGCTGCTGCGACAGCACTGCACTGGAGTCTGACGGGCCAGCTCTTGTGCAATGTCCCGCCTAGCGTCGTTGAAACATTCATCATGATGGCATTGATTACGAGAGAGACCGCGGACGCCAAAGCTGAGAAGGAGTTGTACAACGAATTTGCGGGAAGCAGAGATCTGCTCTTGACTTGGGTGCTGACACAAAGAGACGGTTCCGACGTGGATTCGAGGAGTGGTCCAATTATCTCGGCCTTGGAGTGAATGGCGCTATCAGTTCCAGGTACCTAAAAGCCGAATAAGCGGAGATTTTACTTTTTCAGATACTGGCATAGAGGGCTGGGTATATAGGATGAGCTGGTCGTCCATCAAGTCTGACTTTTACGTTATGCAGTGCAAGAGGAGTTGGACAGGGCCGAAGCTGTCAAGCAACACTTCTGCCTCGAGTTCGTCTGCCGTTATGAAAGGCTTCCATTGTATGAGGTGCGTACAGCCCGTCTTGATGCAGCCAAGATGCAGTCTCCTGATTCGAGACCGTGAGTGCGTCGTCGGCCTTGCAGGAAGGGAATGCAGCGTCCGTGTGCAAAGGACTCCCATAGCTCCGTGGTAGATGGACCAGGTGCAGGCCAGCAGTGCCTGGAGTAATTGCAGGGTGGACTAGATAGACAATGCAGCTTGGAGCTACAAACCGACAATCACCGTCAATCAATGGAACAGCAGATTGCTCGACGATCATCAGACCTGTGACCTGTAATGCCGTCGAAGATTTCTCGAGTGACACCCTGAGAACATCGTCGGCTTACGACGAGGACCAGAAACCGATCCAATGTAGGGCGGTCCTCCGCAAGGTCACATCCGTCTGAGGGCTACTAGGAACAGGCAAGCTCGTCCGGCGCGGAGACCAATATCAGGCAGCAGAAATCACGGCCTCATATACAAGGTTGCCAGTTCGAGCCGACTGCTACAATGACGGGCAGACGCAGGCGCAGCTCTTGAACCAATCCGCACCCATGATACAGACGATCCCTATCGAGCGGCGCGACCAGGCTGTGTGAGTGACGAGGTGGTCATGATGAGGCGAACATCGCTAGGGCCCTCGTCTTGGCTCTTTATATTATTGGTCTCACTACATTGGAAATTACTCAGCTGGGTTCCGCGGAACCAATATACAACCCAGCTAAGCTGGTACTTCTGGCAGCGACCTCTCACTGCTCTTCAACCATTGCAGCTATTATCAATCATCCTGCCACAGGTCGCTCATTCCAACGGCGCTGGTCGCTCCTCCCAATGGCGCTGGTCGCTGATCCCAGCGGCGCTGGTCGCTAATCCCAACTACGAAGTAGATCTCTCAAATTCAGAGAGAACACGAAACACTATATAAGGGTGACGAGAACTCACTGTTCGGTCGTGACAATCAGCAGAAAAGACTACCAGTTCGAGGATCATCCAGCATACACGTCTTCCGCAAGATGTCGTCCGCACCCACAATCGTCGTCCTAGGCAGCACAAGCGGTCAAGGCCGCGGCGTCGTACGCGCTATTCTTTCTCATCCTTCCCTTGCGCACTACCACGTCGTTGGTGTGACCCGCGACGTCGACAGTTCCACCGCAAAAGCACTCCTCAATGCGCACAAAGACTCTGGCGACCGCTTACGTCTCGTCTCAGCCGATATCTACGATCGAGAAAGTCTCCTGAAAGCGTTCACGGGTGCATATGGCGTCTTTGCAGTGACAAGCGACAACATCCCCGGGAAGAGCGCGGAGACTGAGGAAGACCTGAAGCACCAGCTTGAGGCTGGGAAGAACATTGTTGCAGCCGCGAAGGAGGCGGCAATCGAGCACTTCGTATTTACCTCTCTACCTGATGTTGCGAAAGCGAGTGGTGGGAAGTACAGCAAGGTGTTCCATTTTGACTTCAAGGCCCAGATTGACGAGTTAGCGAGGAAGGAGCTCAAGAATGTGACTACTTTGTTGCCTGGTTAGTGCTTGCCAATCCATCGTGCGGTTCGACTGACATGAATAGGGTACTTCTTCACCAACCTCAATTGGCCGTGGTATTGCCGTCGCGATGGGGAGGTCGTGCGTTTTTGCGCTCCGATGTCAAAGGATACAGAGTGTGAATGGGCCGACGCTGACTATGATGTTGGTGTCTTCGCTGCTGGTAAGTCATCTCGATGGCCAGTCAAGTATAAATCCTAACCATCACAGCCGCGTTGGCCGCCGGCCCAACGAAGACCCGCAACAAAGTCTACCCCATCGGTCGGAAATACAGCCTCGCGCAGCTTGCGTCAATCCTCGAGAAACTATCGGTCAAGACTGAAGTGCGGCCGTCGACATTGGAAGAATGGGAAGATGCCACTGTTGCGATAGTTGGACCCGGCTGGCGGGTAGATCTAAGACAGATGATGGAGTGGACGGAGCGATGCCGAAGGAGAAGATAGGATGGGGAACGATGGATTTGGCGGAGGACCACAGGGGTGAAGAGCTTGGGGTGAGATCTACTTCTTTCGAAGAGTGGTTGGAGGGGTCTGGGTGGAGAGGTCCCGCTGGGTTGTGAGAATGCGAACGCAGTCGAGAAGAAGGAACAGCGTACTTTAGAGATCCTGAGCCGAGCAAGAACGAATCTCAGCCTCTGCGCGTGTGAAATGGACAGAGTGCGTGATTGACTCCCGGAGCAGACCGCGCCAATAAGGAGGAAGTTTCGTGACTGCCAGAAGCGACTCTTGTGTTTCTTCAAGGCGCGTTTGCCGCGCTTGCTACCACCCGTAGGCGGGCTGGGAAGGCGCGCGAAAGACGATGCAGCTTCCGTGACACCGCTGCATGTGTACAGTCATCGTCCTTTCTTAAGCTCGGCTCACGAATTGAATCATTTGAACGATGCAGGAATTCTTCAGGTTGCCAAAGACATGAAGAGCGAGTGTGCGCGTGAGACGGGAAGACAATTATATTCTCGAAATGCTGGACGAGAATCGGCGAGGACGGAGCTACGGCAAGCTATCGCCAGGTATCGCACCGGCCCCGCTCTTTATGCGTCATCAACACGCGCAACGCGTCAAGGTCGAGATTGGCTGCACCCTGGCTTCGTCTTCATCGTCGATGCTTTGGCATCTGCGACTCTGCAATACATATGTTGAGTCTAGAATCTCTCGACCCCGGCAGCAGCACATCCAACTTCTGCTTCAGCTTCGATCTCCACGAGCATTTCATCCCCTATCAAGCCCGCCACCACAAGTGTGTTGGCCGGACGCACGCCAGCCATACCGAATACCCAGCCATGAGCCCGGCTTACCTCTTCGCAGTCGTGCGCATGTCGAACCATAATACGCGTCCTTACAACATCCTTCATAGATGAGCCGAGGACTTTCAGGGCATTCTCGATGATGTCCAAAATATGTACAGTCTGACTTCGAGCAGAGGAGCCGCCGATGACGGATAATGAAGACAAAGAAGAGTTCGCAGTCGTACCAGAGACTCGGATGATGTCCTTGGTGCGCACCGCTCTGCAGTAGCCCTGTACCATTCATCAGTATCGACATAGCCTCGAGAGCATTGGAAGAACTTACAGCTATTGGTTCCCGCAACGATCCGGACGAGAATTCTACCGTCTTCCCCGAGCAATGGCCTCGCGCGTCCGCTTGCTGTCGTCAGTCTCTTCGAAATGATCACTCGTGTTTCCGGCAGCCATCAGAAATGGAGGCCTGCGATACTCATCGCCACAGTCGTTCGGTATATCCGTCAAGCCTTCCTGCGCCTGGTGGATCAACGCGAGGTCCTCCTCGGTCAAGGCCAGCTGGAAAGCTTCAAGATTTCGATCAACATAAAGCTCAGAGTCTGGCGCTAAGCGATTGCCCACAATGACAGCTTTGACAGAAGGTATATCAAGAACGTATCGGGTAGCGACAGCGGAAATCCCGACACCGTGCCTGAGTGCCACTGTGTTAAGCGCTTCGAGAACTGCCTGGAAAGGTGCCCAGCCACCAGCGGCTCTTATGAAACGGAGGTACTTGCGCAGGCTCCAATTCATACCCTCCATGCTGGTAGGTTCGGGCTTCCTGAGCCACTTCTCGCTGAGAAAGCCACCAAGCAACGTCGCGTACGCAAGGATTCCGACGTCGTGCTTGACGCATATATCATTCAGTCGTCCGCGAGTCAGCCGTCGATCGATTACGTTGGTGGGGATCTGGTTCGTGGCGATGGAGAATCCGGAGTTCAGAAGGAGTTCCAAGTGTGCGGCATCGGTGTTGGTCAAGCCGATGTGTTCAATCTTGCCCATCTTCTGGAGCCTTCGCAAGTGATCGAGGTTGTGCAGGTATGTGTCGTCTGAAAAGTCCCAGGCGTGGTCTGCAATGGCGTCAGAGACGGAAGGCGAAAAGGGAAAGAGACCCAACATTGCATGAGAACAATCTTCTTCTGACGCATCCGTCGAAGTGCAAGGTCGACAGCAGCTTCAGCTTTCTCAAACGACTTGTCGCCGGTCACAGGCGGACACCACTTTGTGAACGCTATCTTTGTCGAGTTCGGTCGAGAGACGTTGTGCTCGCCAACAACCAGCTCTGATGGGAACCGAGTCAGCCCGCAGTCTACCGATGTTCGATGACAGAACCCCGCTTCACCTACCGGCATCGCCATAGTGGTCCGCCATGTCGAATGTGTCTAGTCCGCGGTGCACTCTGAAGAGCCATCAGTCCGTGCTCTGACGCCGGATCGTGGAGTCTTACACATTGTCCATCACCTCAACAGCTGTCGCAGTGTCGCTTCTTTCGCTGTGGCCTTCTGCTCGCTGCCAGAGGCCACTGACCATGCGAGCAATCTCCAGAGAGCCTCCGATTACCGTGCGCTCGACGGCGCCTCCCGTTGGTATGCCCATGTCGGTTCTGGTCAGGCAGGCGTGCGAGGCGCTGAGTTCTTCCTGGGTTCAGAGCCTGCTACTGGCTTTCGGTCCGTCTGGAATGCTGAGAGCTACGAAATCGACTGGTTTCAAGTTGCTCTCTGTTCGTTACATGCGAGAATGAATGTCGCGGCGCCTTATTGACGCTGAACGGTGGCTATCGGCGAAATGCAAGGCGTTGAAGTTCTACATCGGCGTTTTACAGCGTGCCCAAGATAAAGTTTCGCCGCGCATGACCCACATCACGACGGGCTATCGCATCTCCACTTCGCGACGGACTATCGCATTCGAGACGCCATGCGCGCCCAACAGTTCTCGGACCGATGTATGTGAAGGCAGGAGCTCAATCTGGACCGTTCTGGACCGCACACCCGACGACGGTCTTGGCCGGGCAGATACAGCAACATGTTGTGATCGAAACCCTGGTGGCAACATACACCCGCTCTTCTGATGCTCCAAATCAAAGCCCTCGTCAATCCCCAGGCACACATGTCCGTCTTCAGGCCCCAAGCATACTCCTCCATGCGACCACGAAGCTGATCAGACACGGAAGCGCTGATGCGGTCCTGTCCCTAGCCCAGCATGCGGAATCATTTGACAGGTTGTCGTCCATGCTACACGCATTGCCATACGCTGCACATTGTCGGTGTCGCCTTCCACCGCCGCCATGATCTGGACTAGAGTGACCCGACTTGAACAACTGCTCGACGAGCGACCCGGCATTGATGTCGTCGATTCCCACACCTGCGGTCAACCTACTCGTGTCATTCTCGGCGGTACGGGTTTGAAGGATGGGATGACCCCAGAGGAGGGAAGGGACTACCTGATGAACAGCGCCGACTGGGCACGACGCATTGCTGTGATGGAGCCTCGTGGACAACGATCTATGTTCGGCGCCGCGATCATTCATCCGTCAGGCCCAGACGAGAGCTTCGGAGTCGTCTACATGGACGCGAGCACCTATCCTGATATGTGCGGTCATGCTACTATCGGTGTGGCCACGACGCTCTTTGAACTGGGTCTCATTGGCCCTGCCCGGCCGCCAGACGACACAACAGAGTTCCCTTTCCAATTGCGAACTCCTGTGGGCACGCTGAAGCTAATCCTCACTGTCAAGAGAGGCAAGTGCCATGCGGTAACGTTTCAAATGCCTCTCGCTTACTACGTCGGTTCGATGGATGTGCATGTGGCTCCAGGTCGGACAGCACGCGCTGACATTGGGTGGGCTGGACAATACTACGCCTACGTACCAGTTGAGGAGACCGGACTCAAGATCGAGCTTGATGAAATTGATGAGCTCCTTGCCTCTGCCACACCTATTCGACGGCAGATTGCGCATGACTTCAGGGCTATCGACCCTCGCACGAGCTTCGTCCCCGAAGTTGGAAATATCGTGTGGACAGGCGCACCGCAGAACACAGCGGCTCACGCTCGCAATATTCCTCACTCAAGTAGCGGCTCATTCGATCGATCGCCATGCGGAACCGCTACGTGTGCAAGGATGGCTGTACTTGTTGCACAAGGCGACCTTCAAGCCGGGGAAGACTTTGTCAACGAGAGCATTCTGGGTACGCTATACTACGGCCGCGTCGTCCGCGAGCACCTTGACGGTGATTTCCAAGGCATAGTGCCGCAAGTACGAGGAAGCGCATGGATCACCGGAGCGAGCCGCCTGACTCGGGATCCCGATGATCCTCTCGGGCTTGGATACCTCATCGGTGGAGGAAGAGCAGTTATCTAGGAGACAATCGATCATATCAAGATCCAAGAATTAGGTCATCGTTTCGTTCCGACGTCACAACACGGACAACTCTGCCCAGACGTCTCCCAGATGCCCCAATGGTAGAATGCGTACCACCTTCTGCAGTTCCGCGTTCTTCGTCACAGACATCAACTTGCCTACTACGGCAATGAATACCCTCCATCGATGACCAAGTCAGCTCCAGTCATGTAGCTCGAGGCATCCGACGCGAGGAACAAGTACACTCCTTTCAATTCATGCGGCATGGCCTCACGTCTGGGACAGTGTCAGTGTGAGTATCATCATAATAAGTCGGTTTGCCCGCGGAAGCACTTACCCCATGGGAATCTTGTGTTTCCACACGGACTTTGTATCCTTGGGAACGAAGTTGGCGATCTCTGTGTCGACATATCCAGGGCACACGGCATTTGCTCGAGCATATCGACACCATTCAACAGCCAGAGACTTGCCTGGCCCAAGTCATTAGTTTGGGACCTTCACGGTCAATGTGGGTTGTACTCACACAGATGCGTCACTCCAGCTTTCGCCGAGTTGTACGCTGCCTGGCAAAGGGGAATATTGACGATGCGGCCGCTCATGCTGGAGGTGGCGATGAAGCTGCCATAGCTGTAGTTCTGCAGCTTCTGGCCGGACATGTCGGTGCCTTCCGTCAGTTGTCGTTTCCAGATTTTGCCGCAGGCCCTGGCAGAGTAGTAAACACTGTCCAGGTCCGTCGACATGACCTTCTGGTACAGCTCAAGCTACCGTCGATGATTGCTCCTTCTGTCCACGGGATGCCGGCGTTTGCAACAAAGATGTCCAGGCGACCGTTGAATTCCTCAACTTGCGCAAAGACGGCTTTCTCGACAGCGTCCGCGTCGCATACATTCACTTCGTATGCTCTGCCTGTGCATGGGAAGCAGTCACCCCAATCAGTATGGCTGTTCTTCTGACGCCCGGACCAGAGGAGTGTGACATACATTTGACGCCATATTCCTCTTCGATCTCCTTGGCACGAGCGATGGCATCCCTATTCGAGTTGAACCATATCGCAACATTTGCACCGGCTTCTGCCAACGCCTGGGCGACTGCCAGTCCAATGCCGGCGCCGGCGCCCGAGACTATCGCTGTACGGCCTTGGAGGGATAGGAGAGGAAAGACTCTGGTCTTCGCGGGAGGAACTGGGATCATCAGCACACGCGACGAGGAAGGTAGATGCGGTGGGAGACGTACCAGTGTTGTCGTGCGAGAACTTGCCGTCAATCATGGTGGTTTGCGAGACTGCTCTCGGAGCATGTATGCCTTCTCACCATTTCTGCGCTGCTATTGTTGGTCAGGCGCTTTATACGGTCTTTGCGACGAGCGACGCAACATTGTGACAACACGGAAGCAGATCGGATCGCGAAGGAATTCACCGGCGCTAGAGCGAAGCAGGATGAGCCACGCATCCACCCCACAACTTTAAATATCCCGTCGCTTCCGACTCCATTCCTCCCTGGACCCTGTCGAAATGCCCGGCATCTCAACCGAATTGTCTGTGCTGATGATACCGCGACATCGAAATACGCTCCTCTCACTTTGCAACACTGCGGTACCGGGGCAAGCGCACTAGGCCGTGAACATGCGCCGTTACAGAGAACGCGAAAATAGACGTACTCCACTGATCTGACATGGGGCGCCTGCGGACAGCGTGCGGCAGATGCGCATCCATCAAGTCAAAATGCACACAACAACGGCCCTGTAATCGGTGCATGAGACTTGGTCTTGATTGCGCCGACGGCTACAGTAATACAGCCAGGACGTCGCCGGAGCAGCGATCTAGGAAGATTGGAGGCACGAGGTCCTATTCAGGATGCCTCAACTGCCGCCGTCGTCGCCAGAAATGCGACGAGCAGTTGCCGGCATGTGGGACCTGCCGCCGTCTACGAATCGAATGTGTTCCTCGCCATGGAGAACAAGGCTATCCACCCGCCCAAGAAGCAACGAGTACAGTAAGCATGAGTCCGAACACAGAACCAGCAAGCTTGCATGGACCCAGATGCCTCACGATAGATTCTCCAAGGAAGCATGCCATATCCGACTGGATGGCATTGATCGATGAGGACAACTCTGCTGGGGCGGCGAAGGGCGGCAGCCTCGCAAATAGCGCAGCGCTTGTCGATCTGCCTCTTCCATGCGCGCGAGATGACGAGGTTGGAATGTCAAGATATCAGCCAACGACCGCGCTGAGTCACCTCACTGGCGTCACGTCGCAGGCGGTGAAGCACTGGACGATCGTGGAACGGTATCTGTTGAACCACTTCATGCAGTCGGTCTCTCGCGCTCTTGTCGTGGTCGAGGATCAGGACAACATCTTTCTCCTTCACTTCGTTCCCATGGCACTGCAGAACCTGACGGTGCGTCGCGCGCTGCTCGCTTTATCCGCTTGCCACACATCCAAGGTCTACCCGATCTTCGAGCATGATGTACTCGTACAGAGAACAGAAGCTCTGTGCAATCTCAAGACCGAGCTCGCCGATCACGATCGTTTCAAATGGGCCATTGGTGCAACACTTCTCTTATGCCTGGTTGAGGTAAGCAGTTCGGAAGTTGTTGAGGGCGGCGCGACTCACGAGTACAGATTTGCGAAGGGAACTCACAGAAATGGTTGTTACATTTGCACGGCGCTCGGACGCTTCTCACCAATACACTTTCCGATTCGCTCCAAGGCCCACCTCTCGCCATTCTGAAAGAACTGTACAACTACATCTGCTGCATTGCATCGGTAAACTCGATTACAGCACCTCCAGTCTTGTGGCCGTTGTCTGGTACCGATGTCGGTGCATCGACTGTGCATCCGTTATTCGGATCCTGCGGGGATCTTTATCATTGCCTGGCGGAGATCAATGATGTAGCAGCAGAGATGGACAATGCGTCGCCTGCAGAGCATCAATCGCTACGATTGCGAGAGATCGAGCTCTCCCTGCAAAGCTGGACCCCAGCAGAAGAATCACAAAAGTCTCGATACACATCTGAGCTCAGGGCGGCTGGTTTCGCTAACCAGTGGGCAATCATGATCCGACTACAGCAGGTAGCGAACAAGTCCAGGAACGATGATCCTCGCATCACAAAGGCCGCTGAGCACATCCTGTCTGCGTTGTCGCTGATCAGACCCGGCTCCGATGTCGAGCCGCTTCTCCTCTTCCCTCTGTTCATGGCGGGTCTGGGAAGCACGACAAAGCCAAGCCGACTGACAGTGGAGCATAGATTCACCTCGATGGAAGCCACGATCGGCTTGGGCAACATTGTAATCGCGCACAAGCTCCTGGACGAGATCTGGCGAAGAGCAAATGACGGCGATGTTGTGGATTGGCAAGCGCTGACGCGCGCAAGATATCCCGGTCTCATTCTCTTCTGAGGACAGTCAACCGCGTAGGCAGCAGATCTCCGCGCACAGCCCTGTGTGTTACAGCAAGAGGGTTTCGGATCTGGCACTCCGAAAAATGCACGCGACGGCCTATTGCGGAGCTGTCTCGCATTGAATGAGTCTTGGAGTCGGATGTGGAGCATGCCCACCTGCGGGTTGCGGCTGCCACGAATACTTAATGGTCCGGCCAGCGGGCAAAACATGACCGATCTCACGTCGAAATCAGGCTTGAACACAACGACCTGCCATATCGCCTGCTCGGAAAAGGTCCTTTTCACGATGTTGACAGCCCAACCTCTCAAGCATCAATTCACGGATACGCCGGTGAACAATGGCTACGCTCAGAAGACCTCCGGCCTGATCGAGCCGCCCGCCGCTTTCGCAGATATCGTGGGGTGAGTACTCTTCCTTTGGTGGTGAACATGTGTTCGAAACATCGCTAACTGCGGGTTTCAGTCCCTACGATGACTTTCGAGGCGAGTTACACGACAAAGGCTTTGTCGTCATCAAGAATGCCATCCCGCGCGAACGTGCTATCCAATACCAAGAGAAAGCCTACGAGTGGCTGCAATCATTTCCCGGAGACCTGGACTTCAGCAACCCTGAAACGTGGATAGCGAAGAATCTTCCGCTCCAGAACGGCATCAAGGTGTATATCCACTATGGTGTCGCGCATGAGAAGTTTGTCTGGGATGCCAAACAAGAGCCTGGAGTATTGGATGCTTTTGCTAAGCTCTGGCAGACAGACGAGCTGCTTGTCAGTTTCGATGGCATAAACATCACATTTCCGAACCGCAAGGACATCCCGAGGCGTGCGGCATGGGAGCATATCGATCAGAGTCCGCTACGACGCGGTGCTCATTGCATCCAAGGGATCATCAACCTCTCACCCTCCGGACCAAATGATGGCGGCCTAGTCCTGTATCCCAAGTCTCACAACTACAACGCCGAGTTCTTTGATAGCCGGGACGATAAGTCGAGCTGGCTGCCCATGAAAGATCTGCACCTCTTCACCAAGGAAGAGCTTGCGTGGTTTCGCGCGAAAGGGCTGCAGCCTCACAAGGTTTGCGCGGATGTCGCGGATCTCATCCTGTGGGACAGCCGGGTCATACACTACGGCGCCGAGCTACCGAGAAGAGCAACCAGATCAGGACTGCTATCTACGCTACATACACACCCGCAAATCTTGCGGAGCCAACACAACTAGCAATCAAAAACGAAGTCTTCGAGAAGTTTGGCTCTACAACTCACTGGCCTCACCAATACATTGTGTCCAGACCAACGCAAGCGATGCTGCCGGACGGCACACGAGATCCTCGTGACAGGGACCAGCCAAGAGAGATGCCAGAGATGACGGACAAGCTTCTGAAGCTCGCTGGAGCCAAGAGGTACTGATGGCGGTATCGGATCAGATGCAATTGAGCTTCACGTCGGAGCTTCGCCGCATACTGTAGAGTGGGTGCCACTTCTGCTAGCTGCTATGTGGGTGCTCAGGGTGCTAGGATCAGGCTTGCTAGAAAGGATCAGGATATTTGAGATGAGCCGAATGGGTCCGCATCTCAGGCCCTTGCATCTGGACATCAAAAATGTGCATTTGGGAAACCTCGTATCCTAGGCCTCTTCGCATCGATGGATAAAGTACAAGCAGCAAGCGGAAATGCATTGCACTTCTGCATCTCATTATCTTGCGGCGCCAACGGTCCGCATTCGCTCCTTGAGAGCACTAGGCGTGCCGCCGTGTCTCATGCATAGTGTACAGACCACCCATGTGAAAGCATCGCCTACGCGGGCGTGGTCGCGTCCACTTCGCGCAACCCGAAGGGTTACCATAGTCTACACACGCGCCATGCGCTTGCCGTACGGCTTCGATCCAGGACGTACAGTTACTGATCCGTTGTACCAATGCCCACGCGTCTGGCAGAGCTCCTTGTGCCGCCTCAATAACACCGGCTTTGCTCAAGAAATTCACCGACGTTCCCGCTTTGCTTATCTAAACTTTCGAGAGAGCGAACAAATCCCGAGTCTATCCCCAGGGCATGCGACGGCCCGTGGACCCTGCACGTCTCGCCCTTCAGGAAACTCTGCTCCAGGAACTGCCAACCGCAAACGATAAAAGCCGTCGTCTTCCCCAACATTCAACGCGACGGCATTGATATGCTGCTGCAATCTAGCCTCGGCCGACGACCATCAATGGCAGATATGAGCGTTGACGGGATGCCTACAAAACAACCCTTGTCCCATGGTTCATCAACGATTAGCAAACGGTCTTCACAGCAACGAAGAGTCCAGCAGCGCTATCCACCAAGTCCGACAACATGAAGGGCCTGTCCTTCAGAACCGGCGCGATTGGTGTATGGCAGCCGAAGTCGAGCAATGTTACGAACTTGCTGCTCATCATCTCAGCATGTGTCTTCGCTACTGTAAGCCAATACTTGCGGAGCCTGCTTCAAAAATGACTGGATGCTGACACGCGATGCGAGACCCAAGGCTATGACTCGGCCCTTATGACGGGCCTCAACATTATGCCGCGGTATACGCAGGATCTCGAGCTTGTCACGGCGACCATTTCCTTGAACTCCGGAGGGACCCTTGTCGGCTGGGGTATTGCGTCGTTCTGCATGGGCCCTGTCGTCGACAAGGTTGGGCGCAAATCCGGCATCGTCGTTTCCATCGTGATCAAGACGATTGGTATCATCTTGATGACAGCGGCCATACATGAGGCTATGTTCATCCTCGGCCGTATCATTTTGGGTTTTGGTTCTGCGACAGCTGCCATCGCATCATCCGCGTGAGTCCAGAAATGCCAAATACTTAGCGTTGCTGACGATATCCAAGCTGGCTAGCAGAGACTCTCCCCATCAGCATTCGAGGAAGAGGCTTGAGTATCATCTACTGCGTCTACTACGTTGGAGCACTGACAGCCGCTGGAGTCACTTATGGCACAGCAAACTATGACAGCTCTTGGTGTTGGCGTCTCCCATGCGCCTTGCAGGCTATCTTCGCCCTCCTGTGCTGGTGTGTGTTGTGGTGTACGCCAGAGTCGCCTCGCTGGCTGGCCCACAAAGATCGCACGGAGGAAGCTCTTCTGGCCCTTGCGTCTACTCATTCCAACGGCGACCGTAATGATCCCGTTGTCCTGGCACAGCATCGTGAGATCCTGGACACGCTTCAGTTCGAGCGCGACTCCGGTCAGAAGACAACGTACAAGCAATTGTTCAAGACAAGGAACTCGCGCAAGCGCGTCATGCTGGTCATGTCCGTGGCTATCATCGCCATGATGAGTGGTATGTACCGAGTCAAACCTATCGCCTGGAGATTGCTGACATCAGGAACAGGTAACAACATCATCGCATACTACTTGGGCTCCATGCTCAATGCCGCTGGAATCACTAACACCACCACACAGCTTCAGATCGTATGTGTTGCCCTTTCAGACGCGTGTTTCTGCTCCGTTCTGGCAGAGGAGACTAACAAGCCGACAGAACATCATCTTGAACGCATGGAGCTTCTTGTGTTCAATCGTGGGAACATACTACATGGACAAGCTGGGCCGCAAGACACTGTGCCTGTTCGCATGCTCCTCGATGACGGTTTTGCTTTTTGTCGTCGGAGCATTGACTAAAGGTATGCCCTTGTGCCCTCTCTCAATCCTCCTGGCTGTATCCATTGTCGTGCATCTGCTGATTTGGCTCTCTTTTTCTTCCCTAGTCTATGGCGAGAGCATCAACACTTCGGGAATATACGGGACCGTTGCTGCCATCTTCCTCTTCCAGGGCGCGTATAGCGTCGGCATCACGCCTCTCACTCAGCTCTACCCGCCGGAAGTTCTCAATTACGCCATTCGCAGCAACGGCATGGCTGTATGGACTCTGTCGGCCGCATGCTTCGGTCTGTTCTCGGCTTACATCCCACCGTTCGCCCTGGCAGCAATTGGCTGGAAGTTCTACATGATCAACGGCGCATACGACGTGCTGCAGGTTATCTACGTGGCAATCTACTGGGTTGAGACCAAGGGCTTGTCACTCGAGCAGATCGATCGACTCATCGACGGCGAGAAACACAGCGATGTGCCAGACGCGATAGTACATGGTGTAGCCATCGACTCGCAACGACGCAGTGAGGAGCTTGGGCAGGAGAAGAAGAGCGAGATCATTAAGGTGACCAGCGCTTCAGCATGAGTCGAGGAGCTGGGACTTTAGGCCCAGACTCGACGAGAACAGGTCTAAGCATCACGGCCTTGGTCGTTGCGGATTCGTCTGGGTCGAGACTTGCATTGCTGAAAGCGTCCACGAGCAACCTTTCGTGGCATTGACAATAGCGGCTCCTGCTCGTTTGGGAGATGCTTGCAGTGTTCGCTGTCAAGAACGAAATGCTCAGCAGCATTCTGGAGAGGCACGAGACTGAGGCCATCTAGGAAACGGTTTCGCTGTGCTGGCTCAACGCCCGCTTCAAGGTGTTTGCAATCGTAGGGGAAAGGGCTCTAACACAGTGCTATAGTTGCTGAATATATATGCATGTTCTCTTACTTCCGGTCGTCGTTGCATTTGTCTATCCGCTTGGAGACCCCTGCGTTCTACCCGAGTCCTCTTATTGCTCTTCAGCATTGATCTGCGTTGGAGCATTGTCTTTATAACAGGTGTTGACTATCGCACATCGAGGGGTGAGTGATGGACCTCGGAGTGCAGCGGCGTCGTGAAAAACGAAACGCGTTCTACGTCATTCTTACGCGTGATCAGATCTAGCGCTTGGCAGGCGCGTCCACCTTCAGCGGCCCGCGAGATCATTGAACGCCTAGCTGCCTTTCCTCGGACCTCATCCTTCCTCTATGTCACTATCATTCGTGTCTCCTTGATGTTTGCGGACGCGAATGGCAGGAAGTGTACTGCTTTATATCGTCGTGAAGTCGAGCATTAGATGTCGAAAGGTCTAGTGCCGTCGACCTCTGCGTCAACGTCGATTTGAGCTGGATTTCCGCAGAAAGTAACTCCGAGATACTTCGCCTCCTCTATCTCATCTTGCCGGAAAGCTCCCCGTTATCTCCTGTATCCTTGGGACGTCCTGCCACTAACATGCGCGCTCGGACTGTGCTTAGGTTTGATCATATCGCACTTATTGCGATTCATTGTCATTCAGCGCGAACCCACCTGTTGCTTTAGCTTAGTCTCGAGCTCGGTACGAGGCGCGAACATGCAGCCCTCAACAGCCTACCAGATGAGGCGCTACACCATCACCGCCGCCTCCAACGACTCTGCAACCGGCATCTGCGGACGTCTCCGCCCGAGACCGCCGCCGACACCGAGAAAGCGTTACTTCCTAGCGGCGCATTGCTCACGTCTAGGGAATGCTATCGCAGCGGCTCACGACGTCCTCTCAGCCCATGCCTTCTCGCGAAATATGTTTCGATGAAATCGCAATCGAGTCGAGATCCTCCACGAGGCGAAGGCCTACTTCCGTGCTGCCCCTGTGCGAACGATCTGGCTGTTGGCTACACAATAACAGAATGGGAAAAGACGGCCAACTAGGGCGTCCAATTCTTCCAGACGGGTCTGCCAAGCCTGGAAGAGCAACGGACTGCCAGTCCAGGTCCACGGAAGAAGCTGTTGAGATCTTGCGCAGGCAGCAGATGCGCTTCAATCACGGCCAGAGGGGTCTGCGGTCGTCAATCGACCGTTCAGATAGATTTGGCCTTCGCGAACCAGAAGAGAAGAGAAGGCGATCGCGAATCAGGTGCTTGCCCATCGAAGGCAACATGCACAGAGCAGCACTGGCGACAGAAACACCCATGGCGTTGAAGCCTCCCAGCGTTTCTGCGCACTGCGAGAAGCATGTATCTCAGCATTATGTATGGATTGCCTCGTTCCCGATGCCACACCCGACCTTCTATCTTTCGTGCTGATCGTGTCAACAGCCAGGCGTATTCTGTCCAGAACAGTCACATCGGCACAGATGCTACAGCCGTTCATGCCCAGCTATAGATTGCCTCCAATTGGCGTGAACGGCTCCGCCTTAGTGAAGTTGCTCTTCATGTTGCCTTGCAGAAGTTCCCAGTTATACTCTCGCAGCGGCAGATTCATCACCTCCGCGCCCTTTTTGAAGTTGAAGTCCGAATAAAACATGTAAACCGAGATAGGCATGACCGCACTTTCGTAGAAGAAAGCCATGTCGTGGGGATCCTGGTAGGTTCGCCAGAGTGTCGGCCAAACGTCGACGCCACTGTCGATCTGGTCAGGTGGCACAAAGGGAACGCTAACGGCTCGTATCATGCTGCTGTTGCCACTACGGAAGACGCCAGATCAGCCGAGTCGGGCGACAGTCTGTTGTAGTATGATAGTCGCACATAACGATCTGTTCAGAAGCATGTCAGCTCGAGAACATAGGCTTTAGTGGGCAGTGGTGGTGTAATGTGTAACTTACCTGCGGGCGAGCTTGTGCCGGGTAGCGAGACGTTGGATATTGGTTCCCAGTATCTATCAAGTGCCAGCTGATCGTCGTACGAGGGATCATTCGTCATGACTTGATATTGCTTTCCATGATGGACGACAAGAGCACCATCAAGATATTCAAATACTGCATTGTCGCCGGACTTGTCGGATAAGCTGATATGACCAGTAGAGGAGACGCCGGGTACGAGGGCTGCAGTAACGACCTGCAAGTTGGTTTTGTTGAGATCGGCAACGGCTTCCGATACGGTAGCGAATTGATCGAGGTAGTACTGTAGCCAGTATCCGATTGCAAGGCCAGGGCGAGAAGTGTTGCGAGCTCCGTAGTCGCTTGCACCAAGGTAAAGGAGACTCCCAGTCAGACCTTCGGTATTCATCCCGTCGATGCTGACCTTGTCGTACATGGTTACAATCATAGATCCGTACTTAGAAGTCCATTTCAACGGATTGTCGGCAACGGAGCCATTTTTGTTGAGGCCGGCCGGAAAGACGAAGATGCTGGAATTCGTGGAAGCCACGAAGTCCATGGAGCGACCGTTGGTAATTCTGTCATCCACTTTCGCGTGGTATGTAACTCGAGAGCACGCTTCAGCGGCGCCGCTTAATAGCAGCAAACCTGAAGCGACAGTTGTGCGGACCAACATGGTGGGCGATCAGCAGAGAGTGGACTTGGGTACAATACAGCAAGTCCATGCATTTCGAGCGATGAATCTGCCGGGCCTCATATAGGCCAGCACAGTTGAGAAGCTGGGATGCGGTCGAGTAGAAAGCGTAGTCGGCATCGCGGAGATTCAGCCGGGGCGCCGAGCTGATAGGGTGGTTACACCTCCTTCAAAAGTCCTGCACGACAGCCATGCTTCGCCAAGATTGTCCATCACGCGCTTTCGCATCGTATTGTTCCCGCAACTCGACGATTCCACTGTGAGGGTTAGAAGGAAGGCAGCTGTAAGGGCTGCAAGTGCGTCAGTTGGTCGATGTGTTTTGGCTTGGACTCTACGGTGCCGAGGACTCCAGTGCGTACTCAACGCCTTTCCTCTGGCCTCCAAGAGCCCCAGCATCGAGGTTAACTCATGAGACCGTTCTTCAAAATTGGATATAATCGTACCCGCATTCGAGAGTAAGCTTGTCGCGTCCCTGGGTATTCCTGGCAGACTTCAAGTTTTGGTCTGTGGGCGCGGTTTCGACTGAAACGCGCAGAGTTTCGGAATGCCGGGAACAGCTTCGCGCAACCATGTGTTCACAGATCAAACCAGGAATGCAGGTGACCGATAATTGATTCATCGTCATCGTCCGGAACCTGGCGGCAGCTGCAGACTCGCGAACGGTTGGGGGCATCCCACACCAAGCCTTTCCTGAAGCTGAAGCTTTTGAGTTCGTCGTGCAACCACAGAAGCAGCGTTAAGCGAGAGAAGGTCGGCCTAGAAGAGTTGAGCGGAACCGTTGGAGTCAATTTTTGTGATTGCTGCGGGGAGGTGGTTGGGATATCGTCAAGCAATGGGGCTGTGTCGAGCGGAAAGCTTATTTTGCGCGTCCGGAATACGAGCAAAGGCCCGACAGCTGTGCCACGTGCATTCCGACATCCCGCTTGACCAATTTCAGCTTCTGTCAGTCCATCACGAGCTACCAAGCTACAGGAGACGGGTTGATCTGTATGTCTTCGCCGACCCATCGTCCAGAGAATCTGTGAAGGTAGCTATAAACGAAGCTGGCAAGCTTCCGGTTTGGCCGTGGAGTTTCTGGCACGAGCGAGAGGCCGGACTGCCATGAGCACAATGTGTGTGATCAGGGAACAGCGCTCTGCTCAGGTAGCGCTGGGCAGATTCTCCCACTCAGCAACGAGCGGAAGTCTATAAGCAGCAAGAACGGTACGATGCCGAGTCATGTCGAACAGGAAATTTGTACCGCAAGGAAGATTTCTCCGGCAAGCCCGTGAACGCAATGTCATTGCCATCTTTCGCTTCGGCATCCTACCGCACCATCATTTCCCGTGAGTCTACTTCTGCTGCCTTGAAGAGCATCCGATAAGTCAGCGCATTCAACGTTGATAGGCTAGCGCCTCGATTTTGTCTGATGTGGTGACGTCAACATCCAGATTCAGCACAATCGCCAGCCTCATTTTCCCTGATGTCAACTCGGACGCTGTCGCTGCTTACCAACAACTGCAGTCCTGTCGCAAGCAGCAGTACCGACAGCATGACTTCGAAGCCTCATGTCGTCATCATAGGCAACGGCTGGGCAGGATTTACAGTCGCTGAGAAGCTCGACCTCAATAAGTACACCATCACAGTGATTGCGCCAATTCGGACAATCCAGTATACTCCTTTGCTCGCGAGTGCTGCCGCTGGCCTGTTCGACTTCCGCTTAGCTGAGGAGCCTGTACGACGGAGGACGCGAATGGGACTCAGCTATTTCAAGGCCAATGTTGACGACATCAACTTTGACGAGAAAGTCGTTCACTGTCAACCAGCTTTGGACAAGGTTGCTGGCAACAACTTCAGCGGTACCAAGAAGCATCGGTTCACCGTCAGCTACGATAAGTTGATAATCGCACCAGGATGTGTCGCTGAGACGTTCGGCACACCCGGCGCCCTAGAGCATGCAAACTTCTTGCAAACCACGAATGATGCGCGGCTTATACAGCAGCGAGTACTGGAAATTCTTGATGCAGCTTCGTTGCCTGGCCTTTCCGACGAGCAGCAGAGGAATATACTGAGAATAATCATTGTGGGAGGTGGCCCGATCGGGATCGAAGCAGCAGCCGAGCTTTATGATCTGTGGAACGACCACATGAGATTCCTGTACCATCATCTAGATGGCAAATTCAGCTTGGAGATCCACGACGTAGCACCGACGATTCTTGGTCAGTTTGATGAGAAGTTGGGCGAGTATGCGCTCGAGAGCATTCAATCGCGGGGCATCAAGATCGTGACTGAAAGCAAAATCGAAAAAGTGGATGCTGCCTCGATACATGTCAAGGATCTAGGCCAGCTCAAGTATGGCATGTTGCTATGGGCGACAGGGAACGGCGTGAATCCGCTTGTAAAGGAGCTCGATGTCAAAAAAACTGATAAGCTACCGCGAATCCTCACGAACTATCAGCTGCAAGTGCTGCAGGATACGAAAGACGAGCAGACTGTGGAAGATGTCTATGCCCTGGGAGACTGTGCAGATATTGATGGGATGTCGTTGCCGATGCTCGCAGAGGTTGCAGTGCAGAAAGCCGAGTGGTTGGCGAAAGAACTCAATCGATATGGCCAACCGCAGCGGAAGTTCAGATACCGAGAGACCACGAATCTGGCGTACCTGGGTAATCACGATGGCATCAGTGATGAGAAGAGAACAGGGCATTCTGCTTGGCTAGCGTGGCGGAGCGGAAGCGTGTGGTACTGGCCGAGAAGCTGGAGACGCACGCTAATGATTGGCATATCCTGGCTGTTCAATTTTGTTGGTGGAAGAGATATTGCGAGGAAATGGTAGGAGGCCGCGGACGTCAAGCTGTCACCGTGGGTAACGGATGCGAACACCTTTCCCGGCTTGCTATACGCGAAGAGTCCAGATGGTCGCATAGTCAGGCTTCCATGTTGAGTGAGCCTTATCATCAAACGCTCGTCATATTCGTGAGACAATGTACCTATCAGTGGCGGTGTCGTGTGTGTGTCGATCACGCTGAATGCCTACGACACCGAATAGTACTTCGCCCACCAGGTGTTACCTCGTTCCCTCCACGATGTCTTGAATCATTGTTTCCAAAAGGACAGGTCTGTAAAATCAAGCACTGCTTCTTGAGATCCAACGTCCGAGAAAGTGGGAAGTGCGTCTGCTGGGAAAAGCTCCAACATCTCTAGGTTCGCTAATGGCTGGAAAAACTCTAGTGGCTGAGTGTATTCAGATGGATTGAAAGGTATAGACAGATCTCGAGCTGCGAGATACTGTCCGGAGGGTGAGATGACCATGTGCTCGGTTAATGCTTGTGGGTCGGCTTGCTCATGCAGCTTGTTAACGTTGGCTCCAGCAGAGAGACCACCTAGATCCAGTTCTTCTTGGGAAGACGTAGGTTGCGCTATGTGTCTTGCCTTAGCGTATGGTGCATGTGCGGTAGAATTTTCGACTGAGATTACCGAGTCAGTAAGTTAACTGTGGCAAACGTGGCTATTACCTTACACTCAGTGATGATGGCGTTTCCACGTGGCGAGATTGATGCCGCGGCAGGACTGATGGTACCAGTTATTGCCTTGTCCTCATCGCCTGGCTGCGCGTGGCCATCCCTCTGCGAATATAGGATACCTAACATTAGTAACCGCATTGCGGGTGACCCGGCAACCACCAAAATCAGGCCTTGACACTGACCCCGCTTAGCATTAGGTCATTAGCTCTAGGTTAGTCACTCCCACCAAAAATTAATATTATTAATAACTCTTCACCACCACACCTAATTTATTATTATTTACTTTTATATACTATAGAAATATATTATATAGTCTCTCTTCAAGTTAAGATTCAAGTTTAGAAGTATATAGTAGCCTAGTTATATTAATAGAATTATTACAAGTTTTATTACAAATCTTAATATTATCTCTTCTCTTTTATATATACTCTCTATTTATAAAGTAATCCTCTGTACTAAATATTAAATCTACTTTACTATTAGTAATATTAGTAAGTATCTAAAGTATAAATATAGTGTCTCTAGTAAGTAATAAACACTTATTAAGTAATAGATATAGAAATAGGACTATATTAACACTATTATAACCCCTTCTAACTATATTATTAAGATTCTATATCTCTTATTAATATAGAATATATATATAATAAAGTTAACTATTACTATTAAGTTATCTTATTGAAAAATATATAGAGTTATACTAGTTCTATATATAATATTAATTAGTAATAATAGTAATAATAATAAATATATTCTATAATCACTCTCTAATAGCTTTTTATTAAAATACTTTACTATTTTATTATTATCTTTTTAAATCTAGTATTACTTATATAACTATCTCTCTTAATATTATCAGTTATTATATCTAGCTTAGTTAGTTCCTTAATAACTTTAATATACTTTATTATCTTTACTCTAGTAATACTTACTCTACACTTTAGTTAACTTATTAATAAGAATTATACTTATTATTAATAAATTAGTAAATCTTAATATATCTCAAAGAAGATATTATAGCTATATAAGTATTATTTCTATTAGTATCTCTAGGATATTAATAATACTCTAATAGAATGTATTATAATAGTTCTACACTAGCTAACTAATAATAGTCTTCTATAGTATATTACTTAGTTTATTTACTAGATACTATATTATCTTTATAACCTAGTTAATAAGCTTCACTATATTAATACTCAAGTCCTTAATACCTTTTAGATTAGTACTATATTATAGGATTCTATATAAATACTATAGAATAAATAATTATATAGCAACTATATAAAACATATATAATCTTATATATATTACTTTATTTAGATTATAGAGCAAGATTATTTTAAGTAATAGATATTTATAATAATAGCTTCTTAATACTATATACTAGATAATATACTTACTATTATATAAGAGCTAGAGACTAGTATATCTATATCTAGTCTATATCCTAGATACTATTATAATTCTATACTATTCTATAGTGATAATAACTATAAAGTCTCTTTATCTTTTAAGAATGATAAGAATAGTTAGTCTAAATTACTTTACTTACTAGATAAGTATATAGCTAATTTACTCTTAATATAGATTTAATAGAATATTAGCTCTAATAAGATAGATATCTATAATAGTATTATTATTTTTTCTATACTATATAGTTAAGTTATCTCTATCTTAAGAAGAAGAGTATATTATAATAACTAGTCAAGTTAACTAGTAGTATACTAAATAAATTAGTCTACTATTATTAATTAATTATCTTTAGAATAGTCTATAAGGTGACTAAATTATATAATTCTTTTAGTAATCTAGATATTAAGTTATCTATATTATATTACTAATAGATAGTTAATAATATATATAGATTAATTAGTACTCTTAATAACTAGTAACTTAAGGTTATAGCTATTAAGAAGAATATAATACTTAAGAGATTAATAATATAGAATATTAATAGATAGTAGATAACCTATAGTAATCTTAGGTATAGACTTAATAATCTCTATTCTAAGATATAATACTATTAGAACAAGACTTAATAGATCTTCTATAATAATCTTTATCTTAAACTTAAGAGAGTGTTTATATATCTACTTTATAAATTCACTAATAACTAGTTAAGTATAATATCTAATTATTTATTTATCTCTAATAGTTATAATATAATATACTTTAAAGATTATAAGAACTAGCTTACTAACTAGATTTATTAGGATCTAGATTAAGTATAACTAGTATTCTAGTCTTCTAGTAAGTATATAGCTTTAGATATAGAATTAATATAATCTATATTTATAAAAGAGTATTAGTAGATAGTGATATATTTTCTCTAGATAATAATAGTGTTAGTCTATAAGAGATCTAGTTAATCTACTTAACATCCTGAGTTTATAAGCACTCACTAGTATAATATTAATATTATACTCTAGAATTTATAGCTTCTTAATAGGAATATACTCTTTATCTTAATATATTACGAGTCTAAAACCTATATATATATCTTATAGTTATCTATATAATTTCTATCTCTTACTATAGTCTATCTACTAGTCTAGTTTCTGGTGTTTATCTAACTATTCTATCTTATATATATTAAGAATATCTAGATCTCTAAAGGAGTTTAAGACTATCTATAGAGTAATAGTCTAAGTCTCTAGATAGAAGATTATATAACTTAGATAGTAATAAATACTAGTTAATATAGTATTAGATAGCTAGTTAATATTTAAAAGTAATAGCAAGTATATAAGATAATTACTATTAAAAAGTTTAATAATATAGAGTATAAAGTAGATATAGATATTCTAGATAATACTAATAATAAGTTAGATATTAATATAAATATAGTAGATATAACTCTTATACTATCCTTTTATATATAGACTACTTATAGTATTTATATTAGTAATTATATATATAGTAGATCTATTAACTTTAATATATTACTTACTAATATTAGAGTATAGATATATTTATAGACTAGTTAACTATAATAAACTCTTTTTATCTCTATCTTTAATAATATTCCTATTAATAGCTACTAGTCTATCTTATCTACTAAATAGCTATAATTACCTAGTATAGCTAGTACTACTAACTATAAGATAATAATACTAAAGTAGATAGTGATATAGATATAATCTAGTTAATAGTATTATTACTATAGATTAGAGATAATATTAACTATACTTTAGTAACTATACTATAATCTATCTAGTATCTTTCACTCTCTATAGTAGCTTAAGATAGTAATAGTTATAGTATTCTATATAATCAAGATAGTAGTAGTACTTAAAATAGATAGTAGTAAGAGTCTCTCTTTTATAGTCCTATTATTTATATCACTCTCTAGAATAACTATAGTTATAGTGTTACTAATTATACTCAAGTCTAATCTTATATAATACTATCTTATAGCTAATATCTAGTACTTAATATAAGACTTATATACTCCTACTAATTAGTGTATCAGGATACTATTAATATTTATTATTACTAAATCTACTATTAAAGAGTCCTTCTAGTAATTCCTTAATTAATTAGATATATTATAATAACTAAAGTAGATAGTATTTAATAAATATCATCTTATACTAATAGTCTTAATCTATTAATTCAAGCTAGCTCTATTAAGATATATCTATTAATTTCAATATCCTATTATCTTCTTAATAGTAACTCTACTACTAACTATAATAGATATCTTTACTATATATATACTTCTTAATAGGCTATATATAGTATATAAGATCACTTTTTAAGTGATCTTATATATAATATCTATTATTAGTATCAGAATCTATCTTTTAATAAGTATATAGCTATCTATATATAGTAGATCCTCTAGTAGTAAGAGAATAACCCCCTTATCTATATTATTATATATATATTCTATAAAGAGATAATATATAGTTTAGTTAATCTTATAGAGTATAAATACTATTATTCTAATTTAGACTTATAGGACTATAAGGAGTAAATTATAACCTAGCGATAGAATAGCACTTATTAGATTATTATAGTAACTAGTGTCTTTAGAATAGATATTAATTACCCTTATATATATATAGTAGTTTATTATAACTAGCCCTAGAATATAATTAACTTTATATAGAAAGTAAGATAGGCTAGTCAGGATAGATAAGAAGAAATAAGTATAATTATATTGCTATAGATATTTACTATAATTAATAATACTTAGTAAGAAGCTAACTAGTATTAGACTCTATTACTTAAGCAAGTTATATAGTGCTATATAAGTTAGAATTAATATATAGATATAGTGCTTAGTTAATTCCTAAATAGTATTCTTAATATATAGTACTATAAGAATAGTAGCACTCTATAATATCAGGCCTATCATAATCAGAGGATCTTTAATAATAGTATTACTAAGGACTAGATATACTATTAAGATATATCTTACTTACTTCTAACCTAGCTATTAAGAAATAGTCTAGATCCTAGATAGAATAGTATAATATCTAGACTAGAGAGTTAGATATCTTTAGAAAAGAATAATATTAATAATAAAGATCTAATAGTATTTAATATTATATAGAGATAATAGTAGTATAATATATTAATATAAGTTACTAGTATTATATTTAAGCGCTATCAATAGTAATATTAATACTAATAAGGGATATACTTTATTTATTAACTACTAGAGTTAAGTAATAGATAGAACTATTATCTTAAAAAGTGTCTAAGTAATTAATAAGGAGTGTTTTTCTAGGCTAAGAAAGTCTTAACCTTCTTATTATCTTAACTATAGATCTAAGATTATATAGCTTATTAGAAATATAGATAGCTATCTATTATATATAATAGACTATATATATAAGAGCTATATAAATTTTATAATATAGTCTTCCTAGCTATCTAGACTATATTCTATATTAGAAATCTTTAGGAATAGACTATTATATAGATTAGTAACTATTAAAGTAGATTTTAAGATATCTAAGTATAGATATAATAACTTAGAGAAGAGTGTAAGATATTTAGTAAGCAGAGTATTCAAGCTGTCTATATACTAGTATAGATATTAGACTATTTAGATAAAGAGATTATAATAGAAAAGATTCCTAGTTATAGTCTCTTACTTATACTAATACAGAAGTGAGAATTTTGATTTAGTAGAGAGAATAGCCTTTAGACTAGATTATCATTTAGAGTAACCCTAACTAAACATTATTTTATTATTATAATTAGTAAATCTTCTCTATAAAGATAGCTTTATTCTTTATTAGGTAGACCTAAGATTTATATTTTAGTGAGTTTCCTAGTTTGATTTCTATATTATCTTATCTTAGGTATTATATATTATAAGTACTTATTACTTAATATATAAACACTCCTATTCTCCTCTTTATTAATATACTATTAACTCTAAACTAGTTAATATAAAACAGTAGTAAGAGGCTTAGAATATAAGTGATATAGTATAATATATTCACTAGGATAATCAGCTAATAGTAGGGGATTAATTAGACCTTAATAATCATAATATACCTATTATACTCTTATTATCAGCAAGGAGTGAAGCCCTCTAGATATCTAAGGCCCCTTAGATTCCATTATATAAGGAATAGGAGTGCCTAGTTAATCTTATTATATCTAGATAGAATATTTTCTATATTAGAGATATAGAGATTAATAAATTAATCACTCTATAGACTATTATTTAATAACTAGAGATAGCTAGTAAGATCTTTAATATTATTATATTAACTAGTATCTCTATAGTTAATATTAAGGGTATAACCTATTTTATATTTATAGGGTAGAACCCTGGAATATAGAAGAAGTCAATCTAATAGATTCAGAAGGACACTAATTCTAACTAGTGATAATATTAGTTATATAGTAGATAGGTGCTTATCATTAATAAGATTAGTATACTAGAGTCTAATTAGTTTTAGTACCTTAACTAGATATACTAGGCCACTTAATAATATAAAGCACCCTTTAATAAGATATAGGTTATTATTACAGGGAACTTTTATTAGCTATTCCTAGTTAAACCCTTCTAGATCTATTTCTTATATAGGATAGAGTTATAGTAGCTTAAGATAACTTAAAGCTCTCCCCTAATATCTACCTAGGGTCTATCTAGGACTATATAGTAGCACTATCTAAAATATAAGGAGATCTACTATCTTAATAATTAGTAAGTATCTTAGAGTAATATATAAAAGATCTATTAGTTTACCTATATTACCCTAACTAAGGTTTATTATTAGAGTGATCTAATATTTAAGGAGATTCTTAATATACTATAGATAGGTTAATCTCTAATATTAATATAGCTATCTTTACTTAGTGACTTCTAACTCTAGCTAGGAGATACTACTAAACTATTAATAGTATAATAGAAGATAAATAAGAAGAATATATATAGTCTTACTAGTATTAATAGAATAAAATATCTCTATTACTATAAGGACTATATTTATATTTAGATATACTATCTATGTTTAGTAGATAAGGTATAATAGGATATAGCTAGCTATCTTATTAGGTGTGAGAATTATCACTTTCTTAGTATACTTATAACCAAGTTTCGGATATTAATAATCTTACTTATTAATATAGAGCCCCTAACTAGTCTAGTTAATAGTATCTAGAGATATATTATAGGATATACATTATATAACACCTAGATAGCTAAATAACCAAAGCAGATTATATAGACTAGGTTATTCTCTTATTAGAAGGAGAATTAAATTATAGAGTAGATCTAATAGTAGGAAAGGTTATTATTATTACTACTAGTGATTAAGTTCCTTATTAAGAGCTAGTAGCTTTAGTAGATAATCTTTTCCATATATCAAGATATCAAGCTAGGAGATCTAGTACTATTTAGTATAATTATATAGATATAGATACTACTACTCTTAGTATAGATAATCACTATATACAAGTTATAAAATATAATACTATAGATAGTGATAATTAATATTAACTAGATCTTTAAACTCTAGATAGTATATATAGCACTATTATGTATATAGATACCAGCAGGACTATAAGTAATTAGCTAGAAGAGTCGAGTAATATTATAGATATAGAGTAAATTAGGTAGCTATAATCCTATAGTATAGATATTTATAGATACTATCCTATTTATATAGTCTATTTAATATATCCTAATAAAATTCACTTAATTTTAATAGCTATACTTATCTCTAGATATACTATCTAGACTATATTATTATTATAGACCTACTAGTAATATCTTAAAATAGAATAGTTTAAGTAGTATAGTCCTCTATAAGACCCCTAATAGAAGTTATAAATTACTAGTATATATTTATTATTTAAGCTCTTATGTTAAGATAACCAGGCTATAAGATAACTAGATAGAAGAGTTAAATTCTTTAATATATCTCTTTCTCTTCCTTTCTCACTCTCTTATACTCTTCTCTCTCTCTCTCTTACTCTCTCTCTCTCTATAGCTCTCTTATCTTATAACTCTATCTCTATTATAGTAATAGCACTTAGAGATTAGATAGAATCTTAACTCTCTATAAGACTATTATACTTACTCTTTAAGTATAGGCTAGTTATTAATATTATGATTATATAGTCTTAATATACTTAATTACCTTAATCTTGATTTAAAATCAGTATACTAATATTTATACCTCATAGGCCTTGTGGTCTAATAGTATGATATGCCTATCTAATGATCCACAGAGAGGTCTGAGCCACTACTGGAAGACCTATTTGTACACTAGTCTATACTAACAAGTCTTTCAACACTACAGTGGCCTGACCAGGGCGTGGATCATGGACAAGGTTCGAGGATCAAGTCCTCGCCAGATCGATCTTTTTGCTTTTGCAGCTACTGATTCCTTGGCTGTATAGTCCTTGTGTGCATAACTATATTCTTTTTACATCTCTTTCTTCAATATACTGCAGCTTAAGTGAAGTATATATTTTTGATATCTTGAGGTTTTGCTCACCTTTGGGCATACAATTGCGATCTAAAATCTATTGATTAAACAGCTTGGCTGATTATCCTACTAATTAAACAAATAAATAAACCACATTCAAAATGGCTTTAGCCTTGAATCCTATAAGTAGCCTGCCGTTCCTAATTAATGATTGAACTAACAACTGTGTAGCCTTCTCACTCCTGTGATGACGATGATGAAAATGTCTGCGGTAACCCTGAATGTAGCGATCTTTATCTAGCCACTCTTGGTGACACAATCCACAGTCTCTCAACCACTATTAATCGATATGAAGGTGCGGTAAAGCGCCCGCATCCTGACATTTGGCTACGACGCCGCGGCCGCCTTCTCCGAGTCGACAGCGGAAGTGATTGACCACGCAAAGAGCCTACTGGCGAGTCTCGTTGCTAAGTGGGTTGAAGAGGAGGTAGCATTCTGTGCTCGTGGGATGGTCTCAAGTATTCGTCCCGACGCTGACGATGTGTGTTAGGAAGACAAACGTCCGTTGATTTTTGTCGCACACTCACTAGGAGGTATCATTGTGAAGCAGGTAAATGGGGCTACACAGTGTCATCCTGATAAGGACGTGACGTTAATTGACATCGGAGGGATTCGCCGTGCTTTGGCAAAAGATTGAAAGGGAGATGGGCAGTCTGGGCATGGCTGAACAGGCTTTGGTTGAGAAGGCGTTGAATGCTGGGCAACAAGTCATGGCGCATCAGAGCCTGCTCCTTGATGAGAACTGGCGGCTGATTGAGCAGAATTTAGAGAAACAAGTTCGTACGTCGACAGTATCGCGCAAGGTGGGCATGGCGAAGGTGATGAGTCACGAGGATATTGTACATGCGGGAGTTTCGCAGACTCAAGAAACTGCCAGATCGCCGACGGAAATGGTGAAAAAGGGATTGAGAGGTTCCCAAGGAACCAAAAAGTCAAGAACAGGCAAGGCTTCGACGCGTGCGATTACACGAACAGGAATTCAAGAGTCGCTGAAGTGGACCGAGCTCGACATGAGATAGAGCAGTCCGAGTTCCGTCACCACTGCCACATCCTTGACCTCGGGCAGGGGTGAGCCGACATGGCACGCAGTATGAGGGAATTCTGGCGTCCTCTAGAAATGTACAAGAAATGTACAACTTTCCTCGTGGTGTAAAACATCTATAGACGTTGCTGTAAAGATAAGGGCTTGTTACTGACTATTGAATCCGCAGCACATACTGATGTATGCTATTTAATTGAATAGCAGACTCGAATGACAGTGATGCCGTCAGAAGATGTTAATTCCCCGCTCCTATTGATCTAGTTGCCAGGACACCGTTGAAACCTGGTCTCGGGCCACATTTGGGAGCAGCTTGCATATGAAAATACACCATGGTGACCTTCGACAGGGGGACCATATTTGAAAGGAGTGTGATGACATAAGATGAGGAATGCATAGTATAAGCGTGGTATGAGTGCTGACGACCGAATTGCGGGATTTGGGTAAGATGTTGAAAGCTACGACCACACAAAGGTATTTATCTCTCGGTCCGGTGGCATGTGCTAACATACAGACCCCAACTGTGTCTCATGAGTATTCTGAAAGGCAACGCCGGTTCTGTGAGCTGGCCGGGTGTGCATTGCTGACGCCAAGACTTTATGCTGGGATTCTCGGTACGCTTGGATGGAGGTTAGTAGTGCTACGAGTACGCCGAATAGAGAACTTTGACGAGCGTGAGACGACGAGTAGAATGGTACTAAACATAAAGGAATCGGACGTAGAATGACTGACTTGAAAAATCGACGTTCGAACAAATTTACTTCAATACATCGGGTGACCGATTCCTTGATGCGCAGCGCCATAACCTTGCCCGTTGAACTCGGTACACTGGAAGCAATCGAAACCTGAGACAACATACACCTCAGATGCAGCTACCCCAAGCAATCTAAGAATGTGCTCTTCTGGTAAGCGCCAACGAATCTTCCTCACCTACCTTCTCGACAAGCCGAGCGTTGGAGGTGAGGAACCCTGAACGAAACACCTTTGCCTTCTGCTTGAACGTGAATGGCAACTCTGTGACAATTTTCTCAGTGAATAGCAACGTGGACAACATGGCCAGACAAGCCATCGGATCAGACGTCTTATTGTTGCAAAAGTTTTTGCGATCCTCTGTAGCCACTGCACCTGTGCGGAACAAGAAAATTCTCGTGTGAGAATAAGTGACGGCCTGCGTGCGCGGAAGAATGCAACGATCAGTGGGGAATACTAGCTTCTGGTTTTCAAGCCGCATGAGTAGCCTCAACTTCGCTGCTGGATAGTTTTTCGGTCCCAGCGCGCCTCCCAATATCGTCCTGGGTTTGGTCATATCTTGCCGAAGATCGAGCTGCAGTCTTACGTATGAGTCGTGAATACGGCGGCATGGCTTTCTTGTCCACGTGTTGCTCGCCCACAAACATCATATCGATCTGCTCCAAACTCTTGTTCGCGGTCTCGACGTAGAAGAACCAGACCACGAAAACGTTGACAAAATTGAAAATGGCGAAGATGATGTAAAACCAGAAGCCAATGTTTTGCAGTCCGACTGGCGTCACTAGAACAACCACATAGTTGAATGCCCAGTTAGTGCCAATCGACATGGGATAGAAGCGCGCGCGATATTTGAGCGATGCGATCTCCGCCGGGTAGAGGAAAGGGATCGACTGCCAGGCGAATGCGAAAACGATAAAGTAGAGATACACCATCGTCTGGAAACATTGTCAGCACAGTTTCAGCAAGTCTTTTGATGCCCCAGACGTACCACCACAACTATGCCCGCCCACTTTGCGTCCCCGCCGGTTCCGAGAGCGATGCCTGCAACGAGGAAGGTTACGAATTGGCCCATGCCCCCAAGCATCAAGAGTTTGCGTCGACCCCACGTCTCAATGACCAGCATGGAGGCAAGGTTAGACGCGAGCCAGCCAATTCCTGTACATGCAGCTAGAATGCGGGCCAGATTGTTTCCTAAGCCTAGACTCTGGAAAATGATGACAACGTAGTAGGCTATGCGATCAACGCGTTAGCTATTTCTTGGCAAATCAGGGATCGAAGGGGCGCCGACCGATGATGTTAATGCCACCAATTTGCTGCATACACATAATGCCGCATCCCAGGAGCAGTCGGTACGTATTTTGGCCTTCACCGTTCCAGACCTCGGCGATAGTCACTTTTTCTGCGGCATGCTCGAGTTTGACCACTTCTTGAATCTCTTCATAGTAGCTTTGGAAGGTTGGTGATGAGTCGTCCTCGTCCAAGATCTGGCCCAAGACCCTTTTGGCTTCGGACAGCCTATCTTTGGTTGCAAGCCACCGAGGGCTGTCGGGTAGCCAAGGCAGAATTACGAACACTGGTAAGAGAAAGAACACCTGGAAAATCGTAGGAAATCTCTGTTTCCGCATGTATCAGTCTTCCGCCTCGCCGCGAGTAAAGGGGACAATGTTGCGACCTACCCATTGAAGGCTGTCTTTCACAAAGCTAAAGCCAAACGTGACAAATTGCGCGGTCAACCATCCGAGATCAAGGATGAACAGCTCGCCGATCACTGCACGCCCTCGTGAATGCGTGCGACTTGTTTCTGCGTGGTAGACGGGCGATACTGAAGTATTCAAGCCTTGCGAGAACGCGTAAGCATGCATGTCCAAATGCTGCACCGAATGGAAGACGTACCGTTGCCGATGCCTCCAATGACTCGACCTGCGATAAGCATGCCGATAGAGACAGACGATGTCTGTATCACAGCTCCGACTGTGACGATTGCAGAGCCAAGCAACTGGCAGATCGTTAAGATGACCACCAACAGGTCCTCGACATGGAGAAAATTCAGATTGTGCTTACCAGAGCATATCGGTGTCCCACCCTGGATGCGATGAAGAACGCAAAAACGGCTCCAAGGAGACATCCTATGTCGTAAATTGCAGCAGTGTGACCAGTCAAGGTAGCACTTGGATGGTTGAAATGCTCCACGAATGCAGGACCACTGGCGATGCCGCCATACAGCGCTTGGTCATAGCCGAATAGGGAGAACGAGCAACCACAAACAACAGTCACTAGGAGTCGCACGCGACGACCTCTAAGATTCTCGATGCCGAACATGGTAATGTGTGATCGTCGAATAGATGAGGTCCTTCCTGTCGTGGATCGCCAGCCTAGGGACAACAGTGCAGGTGATAATTGTATCTGCAGGGTGCATAGCTGCAGATCTTATAGTCCTGATATCATCTGGTTCGAGGATATTGGCTTCAGCGAGACGCTCCAGGAACCCACCCGCAGTGGGGTCAGTACTCCGGGGTACGTTCTCTGTGGGGTCGACGAACATGAGGCTAGATGCGAATCCATGAGGAGGAAAGCCGCTTTTTCCGCACCTTTTTCCGCGATACTTCTGCCCCGACCACGATGGCATACGACTAATAGCGTGCCGGCACCAGGAGCTGCGCACTTGCGTTCTGAAGGTGCTGGTCGGCACCGAAAGCAATGTTACACGGGTGAGCATGAGACATCGTCTGCATCGTCTTCCATGACACACGGAATCGTCTGATGTGGCTCTATTCAAGGAAAGCACACAGGTTGAATCCCAAGCTCTGGCGGAAGGAGTGGGTCAAAGCTGAACACGCAACCCTTCACGTAATGCTATCATGAAGACTCGTTGGAGAACAGCCTGTTATCCTTGGCTGTGGGTTGCATAGACACAGTTGTGACACTAGCTCGAGTGATGAGATGAATCGAAGCGACAATCGATGGAATCTAGGACGCAGATCTTGGCAGGGCTGCGTGAGGCTCCCAATAATACCATCAGATACGGGCACGTTAATCTGTCGATATACTCACACTGGGTGTGACTCAGGGAAGTGACGTACCCGGGTTATCGCAGGGCTGGGTACCCTGGGTGTAGGATACTGTATACCATCTGACGAGTTCTTCTAGGGGTCTATAAGCACAAGGATGGTGACAAAGGCTCAGGCCGGACGCTCCAGCGGTCCAGTCCATTTGTGGACATCAACTGCGTGCGTAGAACAACATATTATCACATATAGCATTTCCGCTCACGAATCACGCACTGAGGGATCCAACGCAGCAGGTAGGCATGTGATCTCGGTATGAGTGCCCCAGCCCTACTATCCGAGAGCAGATCATCCGCGCCAATAGCCGCCTCAGGTAGGCATTGCCAGCTTCTTGTCTACTCGCACAAGAATCTTGATATGTCGCTCCTTGAAGGAGATGAGCTCTTTGATTCCCCTTTCCACCAAATCCTCCATCTCTATCCGAGCGGTAATGAACACATCCAGACTTTCCTGCGGAATCGCGCCAGACGCGATAGCATCGATAACAGAAACATAATCCTCTTTTGTAAACGCCAATTCCGATTTGATCGTTACACCGCTAAACAAAAGTTCATTCAGGTCAATGTTGGGCTTCTAGGCATCAGAGCAGGTCTCAAGCTTGGGCTATATGTACTCACCGGGTCACCCCAGATGGCGATGTTGTAATATGTTCCATATTTCCTGAGTGAACGGGTGCCAGCAGTAAGTGTAGCTTGCACACCGGATGCGTCGAAAGCAAAGTCGGACCCGAGACTGAGAAGCCTGTCAGTGCGGTGCGATTGTGAGTGTCATTGGGGCGCTCACCCGTCACACAAAGCTCTAGTCTTGTCTGGCACGTCAACTTGTGATGGATCGAAGGTATGTGTGGCTCCAAGCCTGGAGGCTTGAATAAACCGAGCTGGAGAAGGTTCCGATGCTAGTATCTTTGAGACGCCGATTGCACTTAAGCACAGAATAACCGCGAGACCGATAGGCCCGGCTCCCAAAACCAGGGCAGATTGATGAGGCTTGATCCCGGAGTTAGAAACAGCATGCCAGGCAACGGAAAGCGGCTCGATGAGCGCCCCGTGCTGAAAAGAAACATCTGCAGGCAGCCTATGACATGTGGTGGCAGGAATTACGATGCTCTCGCAAAGCCCTCCGGGATTCGTTGATAGTCCAATGATCGCAGTCCTGTCGCAAGTATTTGATTTCCCCAAGGAGCATGAGTAGCACTTGTTATCGCTCAACAGGTTCTCAACGGCTACCCTGTCTCCTGCCTTGATGGAGCTGACCGATTGATGGACCTCGGTTACTGTGCCCGAAAATTCATGTCCAAGAATAATGGGTAGTGTGGCTCCAGTCAAAGGATTTGGTTTGTCCACGGAGGGCGGAAAGATGGGACCGTGCAAGTATTCGTGGACATCAGTGCCGCAAATTCCACACCATGCTGGCTCGAGTCTGACTTCACCTTCTGAAAGTTCGTGTCGGACAGTGACGGACTCGACTCGGATGTCTTTGTTGCCGTAATACCTCACAGCTCTGACCAATTTCGCGCTGCTGCCAACAGATAGAGTGCCATTTTCCATGTTGGTGAGAGTTACTGGCAGAGTGATCTAGTCTTGATGTACACCTTGGTCTGTGTCGCATGAAATCGCGTGCAAAGAGTATGTCAGTGTTAAGCATTAGCCTGGATTGACGCCTGGTTTGCACAATCAGCATGGAAGAAGGGCATGTCGCTAGCCCTTTCATAAGTATGGTCCATTGTTCCGGCCCTTCTCGCGTCTGTTGCGGAAAAGCGGTCAGCGCGGGAAACAATCCAGGTCAAAATCTTGGACTGCGGCGGAAATCGGTGCTTCTTTATTGGTTGCTCTTTTGATTCATTCGTCCAGTGTACCATGGACATCCGACGTCCTCCAGAGAACGGCCCAGATCTCGGGAATGTCTTCCGATGAACCTTGAAGCGGGGCATAACGGCGCAAGTAGTATGTCAGTTGGAACGCACAAAACCCTGGAGCTGGTGTGACATTTCTAAGGCACGTGACAGACATGCCTCGGGGCCGAGATCACAAGGCGAACCAAGGCTGAGGTTTCTGGACAAACTTAAACTCCGTTATCTCCACTACCCCGCAGACCTGGAAATGGGTTTCCTCTAGCTTGCCGAACCTGTTACGCTGTGAGCACGAACTCTACAAAGGCTTTTCCTCATTCTGATCTCAATCAGCATGACCTGTGCCGGGTCCGGAGCACAGGGGTGATCGCATTTCTTGCATAAGAGACCCATGCAAAGTCCGGTGGAGAGCCGGGCAAAGGCACCGCCCCTGGGCCGAAACGCGCGAAGAGCTTCGGTTGCGTGCCTAAGCTGCAAGCGATCAAAGCGCAAATGCGATTTCGCTCGTCGCTATGCAGACCTCCGTGCGTGTTCCAATTGCTATCACAAGAATATCGATTGTGTGCTTCCAAAGGGGCAGGACGGACGGACGAAGAGATCGCAGATACCGCCCGGCTCAGCCTGCAGCGAACTTTTGCACTGGCCCAGCGCCGGCGTTCGCCGTCGAGCATCCTCCTCACAATTAATGCAACAAGCCGCAGGGTCGAACGCAGTGCTCACCACTATTGGGTCTAATACCCTTCCTCCCATGACGCAAGAGATTCTCAGACAGCATCAAAAGCAGTCAGATATCGAATCGACTACCGTGTCGTCGACACTACATCCCTCTGATGATTATCTTTCCATGGCTGATAGCATCTATGCTCGGAATATCAGCGGAAGTGATAGGCTGGGGGATACTCCAGCTACTGGCTCGTCCGCGCAGGGCATGCCGCCAGAGAGCATCGTCGATAGAATTACCTCCCGGAACGGAGGTCTTAACCCTCAAAGCGATGGTCAACTCGCATACTTCGGCCCGACAAGTATCTTTCGCCTGGCCAGGATTCCAAACACGCAACATGACGAATCTACAACGGGATTGGAAGACGCCAATACGATGACAAGTGTCGATCCTGAGTATGACACGAGGCTTGAGCCAGAGCCTGTCGTTCAGCATTTACTTGACCTGTTCTGGGAGTGGCAAGCCTGCCACCTCCAAGTTGTGCACAAGCGGTTGTTTTTGGCTCATAAAAAGTCATACGATAGCGACGAATCGACAAAGAGGTACGACTATTTCACTCCGTCCGTATTATACGCGATCTTGGCCATGGCTTCCTTTATCAGTCCGGATCGTGGTGTGCGTAAGTATTCCATGGGTTGTGGGACCATACCTGGACACATGTATGCCGAGAAAGCTAGACATCTGCTCGACAAAGAGATGGCGCATCCCAGTATGCTTACAGTCCAATGCGCCCTGGTCCTTGCGTCCCGCTACGGGGCCCTCGGTGAGACGACAGCTGGTTGGCTGTACTGCGGCATTGCATCAAGGATCTGCTCAGACCTTGGACTCTACGCAGACAGAAGCCGGATGGGACCGGATCATGGGATCTCAGACGACTTAGCTGAGAACAGGCAAGCAGTCTTCTGGGGATGCTTCGTTCAGGACAAGTTATGGAGTGTCTACTGTGGCAGACCTTCCGGGATTCTCGACGAGCATATATCCATCAGACAGCCAGACCTCGATGTGACAGGCCACTCACAGGCCGACGCAGCAGGCGCCGTGGCTGCAGTGTACCACCAAATTGTGGTGCTGTCGGTACAGTGCTCGCGGATACATCGGGAGCTTTACTCCCTGAAGAATGAGGACCAACCTGAACAGTTGCGAAAGGCTGCGGACACAATTCATGCTAATCTGATGACATACCATTCCAACTTGCCAGATGCACTACAATGGCCCAACAGGGACTCAACGCCAAGCTCTGCGCACGTTCTCGTGATGCATATGCATTTTTACTTCTGCTTGCTTCTTCTACATCGGCCATTTATCAATTTCCAGGAGGTGACGACGAACAAAGACCGACCGCTATTGAATTCGGCGAGTATATGTACTTTGGCTGCAGGGAATATCACCAAGCTCATCCGTGACTACTCCACTTTCTACAACCTCAGGATGATTGCTAGCCCGGCTGTACACTTCGTTTTCATTGCTGCTACCGTACACCTTGTGGATCTGCAATATACCAACAAATGCGACAGCCGGACACTTTTTCAGGGATGTCTCTCTAGCCTAAAGGAGATGGGCAACAGCTATCCCCACAGCAGCAAGGCAATCGCCGTGCTAAAAGAAGCCGAACGCGCATACTGCACCGAGGCTCGTGCTGCGTCTTCTCAGACGAATCCGGTCCAAAATGAGCCTGCAATGAGTGGAGTAAGCTCTCGGATGGAAACGTCAGTCTCAGAGCATCGTTACGCCAATGGTACAGACATAAGGCACAGCGCCCAGACAACGGCGGATTCGGAATTTTGTGCCTCCGATTCCGGTCTGCCCGTTTTGCCATCAGAGAATAAGATCGCGGACTATCTGCCCGGAGAGGACTTCGACCTCGAAAACTTCGACTGGAGCATGTTTCAATCGCCGGTGGAGTTCCCTGCGGGCATTGAGAATGTTGACTTCGAGACGTACGCCTTTCACAACGAATTATAAGAATGATACGCAATTTGGCAGAGGCTCGGGGTGAATTTGTTGCCTGAGGCTGCGGCAAGTCCCCGCCGATATCGAAGAGAAGGATGGACACTAACCCGAGCAGGTTAGACATGCTTTTTGTCTATTTATCAAGGTTCCCGATTGTTATGGACTTGATATTCTGAAACTCCGCTAAACCATACTTGCTGCCCTCACGGCCGACTCCGCTCTCCTTGATACCTCCGAAAGGTGACTCTGCTGCACTGATCAAGCCGGTATTAACACCAACCATGCCACACTGCATAGCCTGGGCGACTCGCATCACCTGACCGATATCTTTACTGAAGAAGTAGCCAGCGAGGCCAAATTCAGTATCATTGGCAAGCCCGATCACTTCATCCTCGCTTTCAAAGGGGAAAATCGCTGCAAGCGGGCCAAAGGTTTCTTCGCGCGCCACCTTCATGTCGCTCGTCGCGCCGACGATGACTGTTGGCTCGTAAAAGAATCCGTTCAAGTGGGATGGCGACTTTCCGCCGACAAGAATTTTCGCGCCCTTGTCAGTGGCATCGCGGACATGCTCGTCGACTTTTGCAACGGCGGCCGCGTTGACGAGCGGTCCCTGAGTGGTGCCTTCATCGATTCCGCGGCCTAGTTTCAGTGCCTTGACGCGATCGACGAGACGAGTAGTGAACTCATCAACAATTGATGAATGGACATAGAGTCGATTGGCACACTGATATGCGTTAGCATAGCTTTCGGCGATATCTAGAATGACAGTAGAACCGAGGCCTTCGCTTACTACTTACCACACAAGTCTGTCCAGTTGCTCTGAATTTTGAGATCATCGCGCCATCGACCGCGAGGTCTAGGTCTGCGTTCTTAAAAACAATGACGGGGGCGTTGCCGCCCAGCTCCATGCTCACTTTCTTCATAGTGCGTGCAGCCAATCCAGTAAGCATTTTGCCAACATTGGTAGAGCCGTGAAACTCAGCTTCATGACTTTGGGGCTAACGGCGAGCTCCAGAGAAGCCTCACGATCTTTCGTGGGTACCACATGTAAGCAAGACCCGGGCACGCCAGCTTCCAGTGCGAGCTTAGCCAGCGCCAGGGCACTGAAAGGAGTCTCACTGGGAGGCTTGATGACGACGGAACAACCAGCTGCGAGAGCAGGCGCAATTTTGCGAGTGATCATTGCAGCTGGGAAATTCCATGGAGTGATGATCCCGCAGACGCCTACAGGCTCTTTCAACGTCAATACCACAGTGTTATTGTACGACGAAGGTATGGTGTCGCCATACGATCTGGCGGCTTCTTCTGCGAACCAAGCGACGAATGATGCAGCGTACAGAACTTCCCCTTTCGCCTCAGCTAGGGTCTTTCCGTTCTCAAGTGAGAGGATGGTAGCAACTGCTTTGGTCAGTCCTTGACTTCATGGAGCAACCGCTGCATAACTCACGGTCGTCGGCGTTCTTTATGATAAGCTCGTTCCAACCGCGAAGTATTGTTCCCCTCTCTTTGGCAGTAGTTGATGTATAGAAATTTTGATAGCCGGTGTGCGCGCTGTCTATTGCTTCCTTGAAATCGAGCAAGGCCAGATTGGCGCAGCGAGAAAGTTCTTCGCCAGAGCTCGGCTCGATCACCGAAAAGGTCTCTCCCGACTTGCCTGGTCTCCATTGACCAGATATCAGACCCTCGGTGACAAACAGCCCGGCATTTTGCAGTTTGCGTGAGATTCGTAGTGGTGTCGATACAGAACCCATCCTTGTAGTCTCGACAAACCCAGGGAAGTATGGGTCAATCGAGGAGGATTCGAGAACGACTCTTGCCAGATCCAGCCAGGATAGACGTTCTCGTCAGTTTCCTGGTCAGTCGAGCAATCTCGACACGCTCATATACTGCGAATGATGTGAGCCCGTCCCGATCGACTCAGTCCACACCTCACTATTTCACGCATGATCCGCCGAGGGGTCGCCGGCCAATCCCGCCGGATCAGCTTCCGGTGGATGTGATTTTAAGCTTGCCAGTTGCGCACGCCTTATCCGCCGGCTGCCTGAGTGACAGCGGTAAGCAGCAACGCAGACTCTCGCCGGAGCTAAAGACTGGGGTTGTACGAGCGCACCTCACGTATTCTAATTGGGGATCAGCATGCGCAATGGTGAAATAGATGGATTGTCAATATATGAATATCTATTTCCGCAGATATGCAAATGGCAACTCCATGCCAACCACCTGTGTGCATTGAAATCGAACTGTGAACCTACGGTTTTACACACATTCTTGCTGTATTGGAGCTCAACATGGCACCATCTGATACGGCCCAGGGCACGATAAACAGAAACAATCAGTATTTCGGTGATTCGGCCGCCAATATCATGTCATCGGACAGTCCATTGTCGCTTGCGAAAGATGAACAGAAGCCATACGAAATACGTGAGCAGCCGTTTGGCACAAAAAAGAGAATGCGGATCGTTATCATGGGAGCTGGAGTTTCTGGCCTGAATTTCTTCAAGCAAAGCGAATCTAAGCTGGAGAATGTGGAAGTCCAATGCTACGAAAAGAACAATGACGTAGGAGGTACGTGGCTGGAGAATCGCTACGCAGGATGCGCGTGCGATATTCCTAGTGTAAATTATCAATATTCATGGAAACCTGCCATCTGGTCGAAATACTACTCGGAAGCCCCTGAGATTTGGCAATACCTCAAAAGCATCGAGCAGGAAAACGACTTTATTCGAAAGTATGTGAAACTACGACATACCGTTCAGTCTGCCGAGTGGACAGACGCAACGGGTAGATGGGCTGTCTGCGTGAGAGACGACGCAACAGGCGAGACGAGTATTGACCATTGCGATGTCTTCCTCAACGGTGGCGGTGTACTGAAGTAAGTTTCCCATTTATGACCACCTTCCTCGTACTAATTCAGTCAATCAAGTAACTGGAAGTGGCCCCAGATTCCTGGCCTTCATGACTTCAAGGGCAAACTGATGCACTCCGCAAATTGGGATCAAAACTATGACTTTACCGGCAAGAGGATAGCAGTCATTGGAGCTGGTAGTAGCGGCGTGCAGATTGTGGCATCGTTGTATGACAGACTCGATCATTTGTATACGTGGGTCCGAAGTCCGACATGGATCACGGCTGGATTTGCCCAAGATTTTGCTGCCGAGGACGGCAAGAACTTCTCTTGTAAGGATGACCTTCTTACGACATTCCAGAAGGACCAAGTGTGCTAAATCCTTGAAACAGATAGCGCCGAACAAAAGGAGTTCCTCCGAGACAATCCGGATGCATATCTGGCTTACCGCAAAATGATAGAGAAGGAATTGAATCAACGATTCAGCCTTGTTATCAAGTGCACCGACGAAGCCAAAGCCGCGAAAATGTACTCTGACAAGGAGATGCGACGGAGAATGGAAAAAAAGCCCCAGGTAGCGGAAGCAATAATCCCGCGCGACTTTGCTGTCGGATGCCGACGCCCTACACCCGGGAATGGCTACCTGGAAGCTTTGACTGGAGACAAGACAACGTGTTTCACGCAGACCATCACAGGCGTGACGCCTCGCGGATTTGTTGACGGTGACGGCAACGAATACGACGTGGATGCAATAGTTTGTGCTACAGGTTTCGACACGTCATGGATTCCACGGTTCCCTCTGAGTGTCAACGGTGCTGATCTTCGTGACACTTGGAGAAAGGAAGGGGTGATCTCATACTTGAGTGTCGCTGTACCCGGAGTCCCGAACTACTTCTCGTTCTGTGGACCGTATGGCCCTCTGGCTCATGGAAGCTTTTTCCCGATCATAGAAAGATATACCGGGTATATCATTGACGTGGTCGCGAAGATGCAGACCGAGGGCATCCAGTCGCTAACACCCAGAAAGAAGATCGCTCAAGATTTCATGAGACACTCCGCCGAATTCTTGAAACGTACCGCGTGGACTGATCCATGTTCAAGTTGGTTCAAGAACGGCCAACCCGAAGGCTTACCGACTATTTTTCCAGGAAGCAGAGTGTCGTTTCTCCGACTTTTGAGCAGTCCCAGGTATGAAGATTACGACGTAAGCTATGACAGCGCCAATACTTTCGCCTTCCTCGGTAATGGCTTCGCCATGGAGGAGCTTGACGGCAGTGACATGACATACTACCTAGGAAGACTGGACGCAGATGTGGACATTGTGCAGATTCGAGAAAAGTTGAAGGGGACAGCTTCAAGTGTATGCAGGGTAGCGTAGTCGGTGGGCGAGCGATGTAGAGGAATGAGTAGCTTAGGCAGGATAGAACCTACGCGCTATGGATATCGTGACTTAACATCGCTGGATACAACACATAAATTGAGCAAGATATTCCAATAGAGAGATTGAAGCCAGTAAAGATGTGATGCACCTAATAGAAGGCTCGCGCACGATCGCCTCTGGGCGATGCAAGCATTTCCAATTACATCGGTAAACAGTCTATATATTGAGGACGTAAATGGGCCAATTCTGAAGGTTTATTCCATGTCCGTGACAAGGTCATGCCAGCATATCACCGAACTATTGTCAACACTTCTTCAACGCGACTGTCCCTCAAACGGAGTTGTACAACTGCATGTAAGGGCTATCGCTTGCGATTCTGCGGATACGGCGAGTACCGTCGGAACGTTTCGAAGGCGACATTTGACGTAGCGCTGGGTCAGAGAGGACAAATTGTTTTTCCGCATTCTCCGGCAATTGGGGCTATGCATTGCCAAGCTTACAACAGGCTAGCCAAAGCTATAGTCACGCATTGCTCACGATGTCGTCTCCGACCAGGAGCAGCCTTTGGCAAATTCACTACCTTGTCTCGTATCGAATGCTGTCAACACGCCGTGAGCTATTTGGTAGGCTTCTGCGTCGTTGCATTTCGTCGAAAGCGCCTGGGCCGATAGACAATGGCTCATGCAGCATCAGGAATCCATTCGGACTCAAAGACAAAAACTTTGTCATTACAGGTGGCGGTCGTGGCATAGGTTTCGCAGCTGCAAGGTCGATCGCCGAGATGGGTGGCAACATCTGCGTACTCGACTCGGCGCCTCAACCAATCGAAGAATTCTATAAACTTGCTACAAAGTACGGCATCGATGCCATGTTTCACAGGACCGATGTTACCAACGAAGCCGAGTTATCTGATTCGTTCGATCATGTCGTTGAGAACATGAGCAGTATCGATGGTCTGTAAGTCCGAAACGAACAATATGGTCTGTGCGAGTCCCTAATCACGCGACAGCGTTACTGCGGCCGGCATCGCCATCGATAAGCCATTCGTTGATTATACTTGGGCCGAGGTTAGGAAGATCCTAGACGTCAACGTGATAGGAACTTTCTTTTGTGTGCAACAGGCAGCCAAGCAGATGATCAGACAGGGTCGGGGTGGCAGCATCGTACTGATTTCTTCCATCTGTGCAACAACAACGGCTCCTGGGCACAAGCTGAGCGCATATCACTCGAGCAAAGGAGCCATCAAGATGCTCAACACCGCACTTTCAGTGGAGCTAGGCCAGTACAAGATTCGCGTGAACAGCATCAGTCCCGGTTACATCGAGTCGGATATGACCAGGAAAATGAGAGACGAGAATCCAGCACTGACACAGCTGATGCATTCCACTCCTCCATTGCAAAGGATCGGCAGGAGCGATGATCTGACGGGAGCACTAATTTACTTGCTCGGTGACACTTCGCAATATACCACAGGGAGTGATACAATGGTGACTGGTGGTTTACACGCTGGTCGAAGTGAGCAGTAACACGAAGCCAGCGGCGATGCCTCCTGCTGGCTTACACAGATCGCGTAACGGTGTAGCTCAGATTTTGCCGATAACAAAAGAACGAACAGAGTAAATTCTCCGCATGTGGATGCACGCATGATGCGGATGTTCTCAAGGCGGCATGTCACCCACAGGTTCAAGCAGTAATGTCTACGAGGCGGTTACACCCTGGAGAGAATTGCTACAACGCCAGCTCTCAAATTGCTCCGCTAAGTCAGACCAATACGAGACTGCGCCGATTAAAAATGGTCACAGACTCGGTTGGGGTTGCGACGCTGAGTAGCAGTACATCATGAATTCCAGTGCAGAAGCTACAACACCTGTACGACATTACATATTACCCACGAACGAGGCAGGACTCCTACGTAGCCGGGATATAAAAATTGCTCTAACTCAACTTATTGAAAGATCGAAGATGCTTGGGATCATGTTTGTCCAAAACCCAGCAACTTGGCCATTTTTGGGTCCGACCGATCATCATGCCCACTGGTGTGAGCTTCCTTACTTCCCGCAAAGTCGTCAAATGCTTTAGCTGCCATCGGAACCATCAAGTCTGTGATTCGTACTGCAGCCTCTGCAGCTGAGACCTGCATGTCTTTGAAGGCGCATTCTGACTCAAATATTGCCCAGCCCTGGTAGCCGTACCGGTACAGCTTCGTGAAGATACTCCTGAAATCAACTTGACCATCTCCAATAGCCCGTACAGTTCCAACACGGTCTCGCCAGGACGCATACCCGCCGTAGACACCCTGCTTACCATCAGAATGGTATTCCGCGTCTTTGACATGGAATATCTTGATATATTGATGGTAATGGTCGATGTAGGACAAGTAATCCATTTGCTGCAAAATCAGATGCGAAGCATCTAATATCATGTTTACACGTGGATGGTTGCCTGTGGCCACTCGGAATTTGTCGAACGTATACCCGTCAAATAGATCTTCGCCGGGCATGATCTCGTAGCAGACATCAACTCCGGCCTTATCGAAAGCGTCTAGGATGGGTAGCCAGCGCTTTGCGAGTTCGGCAAATGCTGTGTCCACGAGCTTGGCCGGTCGCTGCGGCCACGGGTACCAGTAAGGCCACGCTAAAGCACCAGAGAATGTCGCATGGGCTGTGAGGCCGAGATTGTGGGAAGCCTTGGCGGCTTTGAGCATCGTCTCATGTGCCCATGCTCGACGTTCATCTGGTTTGCCGCGGACATGAGCTGGCGCAAAGTCATCGTAGAGCATATCGTAGGCCGGATGGACCGCAATAAGTTGTCCAACCAGATGGGAGGACAGCTCGGTGATCTCGACACCAATGTCGGCAAGCTCAGCTTTGAGAGCCTTGCAATACTCTAGATCGTTTGCTGCACGGTCAATGTCGATTAGGCGCTCATCCACGGGTAGTTGAATTCCCATGTAACCGAGGTCCGCTGCCCACTTCGCGATAGATGGCAGCGTGTTGAATGGTGCTTTATCGTCGACGTATTGAATCAGGAAAATGGCCGGGCCTTTCATTGTGACGGCACTGGAATGAGCTTGAGGAAGGGTAGTTCAAAACTTCGCCTGTGTATTTATCGTGATAGAACACACGCGCGCGTGTGGTTCTCAAATGAACAGAAAGTGCGCGCGGATCAACGGAGACCCAAGCCTATTCTCGTGGGGTTCCCCCCAGACAACAAGCATAATTGGTGGGGTTCCCCTCACTTGTCAGAACTTTCTCTTACGTGCGGTAACCAACGTCGAGGCTTGCCTTTTCCGCATACTGGCATGATATCCGCTTCAGCCGCGCAAGGGTGCCGCATCGAAGCGGTCCCGTGACGATGTAAATTCAGGTCCTCATCGTCGCACCCCGTCGGAAAAAAGGCGACGACTCTCGACTTCATTTGTAATCAAGATGTCTTCAACGACTTGCCGGTGGGGAATTTTGGCGACTGGCGGTATCGCCACGACTTTTGCACGCGACCTTTACGTCGACCCGCGAACACGCAATGTGAAGGACGTCAAGCACGTTGTAGTAGCAGCTGCGTCTTCTTCCTCTGCAGAGCGCGCGAAGGCTTTTCTGAAAGATGTACAGGCACCCGGATCTGCCAAGCTTATGGCTCCTACAAAGAACTGGTAGAGGATCCTGACATTGACATCATATATGTGGCCACTCCGCATAGCCATCACTACCAGAACGTACGGCTTTGCTTGGAAGCTGGTAAGAACGTATTGTGCGAGAAACCGTTCACGACGGCAGCAGCGCAAGCTCAAAAATTGGTGCAAATCGCCAGGCAGAAGAACCTGTTTTTGATGGAAGGAGTGAGTCACCGAACTGCTCCGAAGTGCCGCAATAGACACTATGACACCGGAAATTGCTAACTGGCTGGGTCAGGCTTGGATTCGCTATTTCCCGCTGTCCATCTATGTTCGCGAACTTGTCAGCTCTGGAAGACTTGGAAAGGTCAGTCGTGTCTTCGCAGACCTCTCGAACGCCAACAAACTTGAAGAGAGCATTGAGGACTCGCATCGAATGGTCAGTCCAGACCTCGCAGGAGGTGCACTGCTAGACCTAGGTTTCTACTCCCTGACATGGATCTTCCAAACACTATACAGCACTCAAGGTGACGATGCTGTAAAACCTCAGGTGCTCAGCAGCATGCAGAAGTACCGTCTCGGTACGGATGAGATGACCACGGTGCTGCTGACGTTTCCTCGGTCTGAGGGTGGTGATGCACATGGAATAGCAACCACTAGCATTCGAGTCGCATCTGACCCTGACGGCAAACGCACAGCTGGTCCATGTGTACGCATTCAGGGAGACCGGGGCGAGGTGCAGGTCTTTCCTCCGGCATACCGTCCCACGCGCACCAAACTGGTCCTACAGGATGGAACTGTTGACGAAAAGGTCTGGGAAGTTCCAGGCGTTGGTCCCGGAAGCGGATGGTACAATGGTTTCGCTCCTGCGAATGATTGGAATGCCGAAGGCGAAGGCCACGGTATGTTCTGGGAGGCCGACGAGTGCGCGCTCGCACTTAGGGACGGGCGAAAAGAGGGTCGTTTTGAGAGCTTGGATGAAAGTATTGCCATCATGCAAGTCATGGACGAGGTAAGGCAGCAGCACGGGATGACTTACCCTGAACGCATCGAGACCACGGAGTATCCAGTACATGTTTGACAATATACAATGTTAACTTCAGATTGACCATTGTGTTGTTTCAACACATGCATGCTCGCGCTCTGGCGCGACGGGCGCACTGTTCAATCATTGGCAAAAGGGAAACGCTGCAACTCTCAAACCCGTTCATTTCCTTTCAGACCATTGTCGATGTCTTTTGGCTCTACTTTGAACTTTTTCAAGGACCATGACCACTAACTGGTAGCGACTCGACGCAGGTAATGCTAGTCTCCAGATCGCGTCAACACCAATCAATCATTTATAATATGTCCATATGGGTCTTTAGCAATGTCGACCCAGCACCCTGTGACGAAATTGAGCCGAGCCTGGCCTAGTCACGAGATTGAAATTCTTGGGCGCAAGGGGGACACGAGAACCGCGACTCCTACCGGCGTGGAACCTCCCTCTCCATGCCGTGTCATGCTGCCCTTGACCAAGCCATCGCTGCTGCTGCAGGGATTTGTCAGCGGACAACCTACATCCGCATCTTCCGCACTCACAATTATATTGGTCGAGGTCCACCGCTCCAATCACGATGGACTGGCGGGAAATGCTTGGCTGTCTGCATGTAGGTCACTATGGTGCAAAGATCACATAGCTTACATCGCAGGTCACTACGACAGTGAGACTACGTTCGCACCGCCCGCCGATTTACTTCGGCTGAGTGACTTGCATACCAAAAATCATGCAGAAGATGACGTCAGGTCCTGTCGACGCTCCATGCGCACCACAGTGGCGACGCAGAAAAGTGAAAAGCGCTTGTGAGCGATGTCGCCGCCTGAAGCTTGGGGTAAGCAATCGCGCGGCATGGGACATCCTGCATAGTGTTCGCTCACATCAGCAAAGTGCGATGACCATCGGCCCTGTGCAATGTGTGTTCGGACTGGCGCAAATTGCAAGGCGCCCCAACGCCCGACCAGGTGAGTGCGCGTCCACCCCATTCCAATCGCTTGTCAACTGACCAGCCACCCATGGCAGACAACTATTCGCGACAACCATTCGTGACCCAGCAACGATTCCAAGACGGCGGTCCAAGCAGATCCTGGCAACTCCCGAAATGCTCGGTGCAGAACAATTCTCGCCATCAGCTCCCGCCTCCAGGAGCATTGATACTACGACACATGCTGCTGAAGAGCGCGATCTTGGTCTCTCCCATCCTGCCCGAGGCTCCTCCATGACCAAGCTCATGCACGACGTAATGAATCCTCTAGTGTTGGACTAGTGCGTTGAAGAGGTAACAAATGCTAATTATAGCGTCGCAGATCCTCCACGAGCATCAAGAACGCCAGTATTGCAGCAACGTAACTTTCGCATTGCCAGGAGGTTCTGAATCTAGCGCAGCTCATTCTACGACAGCGCGGGCAGTGTCCGTCTCAGAGATTATAGACTTGGAGCTACCACCGAAGAACGTCTCGGATTTTCTCGTTAAGACCTATTTTAGGTCTGTGCATTGGTTTATGATGGTAGTCAACGAACACAGCATTCGCGCGGACTATGAACGAGTCATGACTTATGGATTGGCATTCCAGCATGAAAAGCCGTTCCTAGTTCTATTGATGATGATGATGTCAATCGGTTGTAAGTGCTGGCTTCTGTCTGCCGTTGAGAAAGTCGCTCACTTCAGGGACAGCGCAGTACGCCACTCCATCCGCAAGGCAAGAGCACTGTCCGGATGTAGATGTAGTACTGGTACAAAAAAACCTGCTGGAAAAAGTGAAACAGCTGATGTATGAGCTCCACGATGAAGTGTGTCTGGAGACTGTTCAGACCAGCATTCTTCTGGGCTCCTTCTATCTGTACAACGCGCGGCCCAATTTGGCGTTTGCGGTTCTGGGATGCGGCATTAAGAGTGCTCAGGCTATGGGATTACATATGGAGTCTTCGTGGAAGACCGAGTCTGACGAAGTCCGCGAAATTCAAAGGCACGTCTGGTGGTCGTTATACACATTCGATAGGTACGTATTCAGCGGGCAACGACGTAACCTGGCTTTTGTTTACTGATTGTCTGGACAAAGGTTTGCATCTATAGTCTTCGGGAAGCCTTGTTCGATACGCGACATGGACTGTGAGGTTCAGATGGTGCAAGGCTCTGACGCTGACTCCCCTACGCATCCCAATGGATCAACAGAAGTCACTGACGAGGATGCCACGATTCCCGTAACATTATACAGCTATCAACGGTGCAAATACAGGCTCTACTCGATAATTTCCCCGATCCTCGAGAACGTGCGCTTTTTTTATGGCACAAACAAGTCTCAGGTAGCTGAAAAGATCGAAAATGTCCACCAACAATTGCTATCCTGGTCTGCTTCACTGCCACCTGTGTTGAAGTTGAGCGGCAACGAAGAATTATCGCGTGCAGCTTCCTTTTCATTGGAAAACACTTTTCGACTACAAGCTCTTGCGTTGCAGCTGGCATATGACAATATCATGATTGTCCTCCATCGCCCACTACTTCTAGCCGAGACAAACATGAACTTGCGAACAACGCGTGACGGCACTAGCTCGCTCAAGACAGCGCAGAGCGTGGCAGAAGCAGTGCGGAGGGGCGTTTTAGTCAGCAAGAATCAATGCTGGGAGTCGGCGCTGCGCACTTCCGAAGTCGTCGACCACATGGATATTCTGGGAGTGGCAAAAGCCACGCATGCAGCTTCATACGTCGGGATGCACATGTTCACAGCAGGCATAGTCCTCAGTGTCGTTGGTTTATCACAGCCTACATCTTCGGAGGCTCAAAAGGCGAAGAAATCGATTGGGAGCATTACTCGTCTTTTGAGTGCCTTCGGGCCGTTTACATTATTGTCTGCTCAGAGCGGAAGCGTCCTGCAAACTATGCTCAAGCTCATAATGCGGAGGGAGATGGAGGAGCTACTTTATGGGCCAGAGCATGCCCGAAAAGGCCGAATTTGGTCCGAAAACATTGATTTTACGGCGGCCACTAAGTTTGGGACAACTCAAGACCATTATCGTGACGGAGCAGAAGATACTACCCAGAACACAAATCTGGTTGCTGGCCCGTATCCTCGCTTGTGCACCGGATCATCAATGGACAAGTCAGATGTTATGGCAAACCTTCAAGGCCACCCCATACCTTTATCTAGCACAGCTGCAGGTTTACACAAAGGTCTCCGACCCGCTCAGCAAGGTAAGTTGCTTGAGTCATTACATCTCGAGTAGACCCGCGGGAGGACTGACACCTTATGCAGCTGTTGCTAGTCTCCCTTACAGCGACTCTACCGACGGTCATGGTCTGGCGAGCTGTACCAACCCAGCGGAGCGACCTAGTACCAATCTATCCTCATATCAGACCGAAGTTGCTGTTTTACATGAAGACGCGGATGGTGTCAGCTCGATGTACAACGACCTGTTCGGTGGCCTGGAAGATAACGGTCAGATCTGGTTGTGGGACACAGAGTCATGGCCTTCATAAGCTGCAAACAGCCCGGACAACATGTGATCTGCTCGACTGCAATCTTTACATGCGCATCACCTTCGGGTCAGCTATCGCGCATGAGGGTGGGTATTCTGGTCTAAGTTGTTCTTCGGGAAAGCCGAGTTGCTGGCGAAGACTAGTGGGCGAGATAGCCACCGTCGATCGCCAAGGAAGTGCCATGCACAAAGTTACTACGGCTGCTCAGTAGCCATAAGATAGCTTCTGCAACCTCCTCTGGCAGGCCAAATCGTTGTAATGCCGTCCAGTTGGCAACCTTTTCACGGGCGTTGCGGCTCATCTCCCCAGGCTCCGATGTCATGGGAGTCTTGATGTATCCTGGTGCGATCGCGTTGATCTTGACTTGGGGGTTCTCGAGCGCAAATGTTCTTGTAAGCCCAACAACGCCATGTTTAGAAGCAACATAGGCGCTGGATTGTTGTATCCCAATATGACCAGCTATTGAGGAGACGTTGACGATAGCACCGCGCTGCGCGGGTGCGTCTAGATATCTGGCTCCACCATCAGTCTCCGAGAGTTTGAAAGCATGAAAATAAAACGACTGTATGGACGTCGACGGTGTTGTCGGGGGCTGTGACTTACCGCGCCTTTTGAATTGGCTCTTGCTTAAGCATCTGTCGCATCTCTTCCTTTGTCGAATTGAAAACACCTGTGAGATTGACAGCCATCACCCGCTCCCAGTCGAGCGCTTCCGTCTCAACACCTAGCTTCTTATACCCGATGCCTGCGCTGTTGACAGCGTAATCCACGCGACCGAAAGCATCAGCCGTCTTCTTGACCATTTCCGCCACAGACTCGGCCTTGCGCACGTCCACGAGGATCGCGATGCACTGAAACTCATCATTGGTTGCTACCGCCTCGATCTCAGCGATGGCTCCTTTCAACTGGACTTCCTCAATATCGGCCAACGCGATGCCGTAAGCACCCTCACGGGCAAGCAGCAAAGCAGTAGCAAGGCCGATACCGGACCCACCGCCTGTGATAAGGGCATATCCAGGCATTGCCATGTTGTAATTGGATGTGCGATTTCTTTTACAATATTCTCGCAAGAAAGGACGCAGGCCAGAGGAAGGACCACTGTAATGCGTACCGAGCTACGACAAGAAGCAACCTCTGCGAATCCAAAGGAGCAGGTGTTGTATATAACTGCCTATGTATCTAGAAACTAATATCGAACGTCCTACAACGGGTTCCGACCTCTGCTCCGACGTGGAACTGCGGCTTCCCTGTCGCTCAGACACTGTGTCAATGGAGGCCGAGAGCAAACATACTTCTATTCACGAATGTCTTTCGGATGCTCACTGTTTCCTCCGCCGGGCCAGATTGACTGGCTGGCTGCCTCACCGTATCAGCCATATCAAGTGCAACAGTCTCGGGACTGTACAGTGTGGCAGACTCCGCTGTCGTTTCCGCGGATCAGAATAAAGTCGACACGACTCCACCAATATTGTAGGTGCGCAGCGCTGTGGCGGAAAAAGCGGCTGCGTCTAGACTGCCAAAAATCGGACTCCACCAATATTGTAGGTGCGCAGCGCTGTGCTGTGGCGGAAAAAGCGTCTGCGTCCAGACTGCCAAGAAATCGGGCCCTCGCCGTGAGCACCAGGTGGACATGTTCTCGATCGCCAGGTCAGGGCTTATGTCACGTGTGCTTGAAGCAGCTAAGAACACCCAGTATCCGCTCCTACCCGACATACAGTAATGAAATAGACTCGATTTTAATGGCCACGCCCATACAACCGCATACCAAGTATAGGAAAATCAGGACATGATTTCATTAGTAACGGACACACGATTTCAATGGGAAGTGTGTCTCACCCAAGAGGTGTGTATATATTAAATATGAGATACACATAATCACAGTAATATAGTGAGTTAATTACCACTATCTATAATATATAGTGATTTATATTAAGTGCATAATCATGTGTTTATATTTTAGAGGTAGTGTAGACTATCTAGACTATATTATTATGATAGACTCACTAGTAACATCTAAAAACAGTATAGTTTATATAATATAGTCCTCTATAATATCCCTAATAGAAGTTGTAAGCTACTAGTATATATCTACTATCTAAGCTTCTATATTAAGATAACTAGGCTGTGAGACAATTAGGCTATAGAGTTAAATTCTTTAATATATCTCTTTCTCTTCCTTTAGCTCTCTCTCTTACCCTTTCTTCCTCTCTTACCCTCTCTCTCCAGCTTCTCTATCTTATAGCCTAACCTCTGTCACAGTAGTAGAATATAGAGATTTAAGAGTAGCTTAACCCTCTATAAGACTAATCCTTTTTCATTCTCTATAAGTATAAGCTGACTATTAATATAGTGATTATATAGTCTTAATATATTTAATATATTTACTTTTAATTTTAAGTCAGTACCTAGATATATATATCTCTCTAGTCTTATAGTCTAATAGTATAATATATCTATCTAATAATCTATATAGAGGTCTAGGCCACTTAGTTAGACTCATGAATAGGCTAGTACTATAACTAAACTGACCTAGTGGCCTAATTAGGACATAGATTATAGGTAAGAACTAAGATTTAAGTCCTCGTAAGACCAATTCTTTTTACTTTTTAAGCAGATTAAAACTTAATTCAAGTTATATAAGTGCTTATAAGAATTCTTTTTATGCTTCTTCGGGTTAGGGTTAGGGTTAGGGTTAGGGTTAGGGTTAGGGTTAGGGTTAGGGTTAGGGTTAG